AAATAATTTAAAAATATACTTATCTTTGACGTTAGTGCTTATAATTCATATATAATTTGTAAAGTATGTACTAGTTTCTTCATGCGTTACAAATTATAATATTTTCTTATATTTTTAAAAATATTGTATAAAATCTTTTAAACGCCTAAATTTACTGATTGAGCTTATATACTAATACAATATTCTAAAAGTATGATGACAAATTGTACAATGTTTAAACTATGAGAAAGAATCATATAGATTTTCTAAACAATTGGTGAATTAAAGATAATTATATTTATATATATATATTTTTAATTATTTATTTAAATTTAAAAATTTAATATTGCAGATAATGACAACAAGGTGATGGAGAAAAACCAATTAAAAATTAATATTTCAGGTTGTGCTCCATACAAATGCACGCTATATCCTCATTGTTAGTGTTGCCCTATTCGTCCGAAGGATTTATGTTGGGAAAAAAAAGAATACTGTGATAAAACTTGTCATCCGGGAGTGGTGAGGCGGAGCCCTCTTTAAAGATCTTTTACTATTTATCTTATTCTTGATCATAATTAAGCAATTGTCTCAGTTCATATTGAAGAGGTTGTAATTTCTTAACAATCGTAGTCTATCCGACTAATAATACAATTAGTCTTCAAAATAAACAAATAAGTAATAAATATATTTGTGTAAATGTTATCAATATTTTATATATATATATATATTCAATTTGAATAATACTTACTTCCTTATTAAATTTGTGTTTGTATGTGATGCATTTTGTTGGTCTTATATTATTGTGAATTTTTATTGAAAAACTAGTGTAATATTAAGATTGTTCCGACAATATGGTTCATTATATATATATATATATATATTTCTCATACAAAGTTGATTGTAACCAATTGTAAGAAAACAAAATATTATCAATATCTATACATTATAATAATTAAACCATCATTCAAATTCAAGTCTATAAATATGTTACAACCTTACGTCTCAAAATTAAAACACACACCTTAATTTCTCCAAACTAATGGCTACATTTAACTATGCCCATTATGTTCTCGTCTTGACAGTGCTTCTTGCCATTGTTGTTCCACATAAATGTAAATATAATTTTTAATTTTTTAAATAATTTAATTATATACTTATACTTGGCATTATGGTTTATAATCCATATAAATTAGAAAGTATGTACTAGTTCTTTTATAGCTCACCAGTTGTAACATTTTCTTAAATTTTAAAAAAAATACTAACTGACTGAGATTGTATACAATATTCTTGAAAGTATAATAAAAAGGTATACAATGTCTAAATTACGATGAAGAATCACATAGATTTTTCAAATAATCAGTGAATTATAAATATTAATATTTATATATATTTTTTTGATTATTTATATAAATTTGAAAAAATTAATATCGCAGGTAATGACAACAAAGTGATGGAAGAAACCCAATCAAAACTTATTCTTACAAATTGCAGATTATTAACAAAGTGCAAGCCAGATCCTCATTGTTGGTGTTGCCCTCTTTATCCTATGGATTTGTGTTGGAGGAAAAAGGAAGACTGTGATAAAGCGTGTCATTTGCTTGATTGAATTGTTGTTCTTAGAGTAAATATTTTCTTCATCCGACCAATAATACAATTAGTCTTGAAAATAAATAAATAAATAAATAAGTATTATGAATTTTATTGGAAAGCCAGTATAATTTTAAGATTGATCGACAGTATGATTCATTATATTTTATTTTAGATTAAACATATATACACAAATACAAAGATGATTTTAAATGTGGACTGTAACTCTTTTTCATTAAAATAAAAGTAATAAATATATTATAGCATGTACGTCTATAAAAATTATGTTAAATTTAATAATAATTTTTTTAAGTTTTAAAAGAATTAATAAAATATATAAATTTATAATCTATTTTTTCTAATTATTTATATAAAAATAATTAAATAAGGGTTATGTTTTATTTTTTTAATTATTTGCTCGGGCCTTTTGAAATTCCGAAATGACCCTCAATGCATGTATATTTATTGATAGATTTAGTAAAGTTGTTCGACGAATATGATACAATAGATTCAAAGAATAACTAAAACACATTTATAGTAATTATTTGGTGGAAAATTTTGAATAACGAGAGAAGTTGAAAATTAAAACAAAAGGAAATAGAATGATTGAAATGGATGGTATTGAGAATATTCTTCAAAGGTTATAATTAATAGGTTGCAATAAATTCATATTTAGGATAATTCAAATCAAACACTTAAGCTTTTGGTATAAATGAAGAATAGAAAATTAGAGAATTTGTTGCTTATTGTGTTATGCAACAAACCAATACAAATTAAGTATCTACTATAGTAATTATGGAGGTTGATTGTTGGAAAGAAAAAAAAATATATATATATATATGATGTTTTATTATTATTATGTTAAAAAAAAAACTTCCATTTATTTTATAATTTTTCCATTTCAAATGGTTATTTTAACAATATTGTTCCCATTGGACTAGGTGGTGGGTTACATTGGAATCATTTTAACTCAAAAAAATATATGTATTCTAACTTCTATTGTAACTTGACGTGAAATTCTTTTAATATTTGAGTAAATCTCAATCATACTAAATTTACTAATATTGTTCAATAAGGGGTTTGTAATTTTTTTTTGCCCACGCACGATAATAAAACCCTAAAACCTCAATTATGCCAAATGGGTGTTCAATCACTTGATATATATTTATATTACATCGAATAAATTTTTAACTATTCTCAAAATACACCAAAGCTCTAAAACACAACCAAACAAACCTGCATGTTATATTTAAAATATTATAATCCGTCTATTTATATATGAATATATATATATATATATATTATCTTTTTTATAAAATAAAATGCATGCAATGTACATTATTAGTTTATTTATCTAGATAAAACCATTGTCCATACACATATAGTGTACAAATAAGATATAATAAATTTATAAAAAATAATGTATTTTTTATAGAAAAATATAACAACTCAATTCTAGAGATTTTGAAAATATTGCAAAACTCACCATATATTGCTTGACACATCTATATATACATCCATCTCATGACATTATTTTATTGTCTTAAATAATTATGTCTTCGTACAAGCTAACTTGCTTTCTCTTCTTTATAGTCTTACTCTCCATTTTCCTTCCTCATGAAGGTAAGAACAATTCATTCATTTATTTAAAAATAAATCTTTTTAAATACATTTAGTAGTAAATCTTAATTTTATAATTTACAAATATAAAACGAAAACAAGCATGCCCTTTGCTTCCTGCCACCTTTAGGCTTGTTCTTGGAGCTTGATTTGATTTATAGATTTTTTTTTTTTTTTTTTTTTATCTGGATAATAATCTAAATATATATAATAGTATTTTTTAAGACAAAAAATATATTTTTATGAAGTCGCATGGTTGCATGAGTACATATCATGTTCTTTGCGCTATGTTCTTTTGGAAATTCACTTTTTTTTTATTACTATTACTATTATTATTATTATTATTATTAATTTATTTGATATTTTTCAGGTTTATTTATTTATTTTTTTTTATATTTCAGGTTATGGTAGGAAATTGATTGAAAGTAAAATAAATATAGCATTTTGCAAGGAGCGTCATTATGACAAAGACCCGGACGACACATGCTGGCACTGCACTCTTGATTTCTCCCGCGATTGTTACTACAACCGCGACGATTGTGAAAAAATATGTCATCACTCCATTGGATGATTGCTTCCGCGGACCACTGAACCGAGGACCACCATAATACTGCCCATTTAAATAAATGTATTTCGCACATATGCATTATATATATATATTATATATTATAATGCGATAATATAGATGTTTATATATATATATATATATATTTTATCTAGTTCGAAATTATCTTGGTTTTAGAATGTGATTGTGTTTTGTATCTCGTATTATTTAATTTATATTATAATTTTAAAAAATATATGTAATACCTTTTCTATTCTCTTTATAACGTTTTTAACTGTTGATCATCACATTACTAAAATAAATTTTAAAAATAAAAAAATAAAATCAAAACTAAATAGTGGACTAAACCAACCTAGGGGATGCCCAGTCCAAGAACGGGCCCACCAAAAATGGGCCGGACCACCCACCCACCAGACCCGTATCGAAACGGAGCTGTCCAGTCTACCATCTGGCCCAATTTTGTAGCGGCCCGCATAAGATCTCGCAGCCCTAGAATTTTGAATAGGCCCAAATAAATTCATAATTTTTTGCATGGTCAGACCAAACAAGTCCAATCATTTAGCCCAATAACTGTGAATATAGTCCACTGATTTGTTTTCGGCCGATTACATTTAATATTTTACTTTTTTCTTATAAAAAAAAAAACTAAAATAATTATGAAGTATAATAATATTATAAATTATTAATTTATATAATTAATCAATGAAACTAAAAAGTAAAAAATAGAAATAATATTACATTGATTTGTATTTGGGGGAATTTTGAACATTATAAAATAGTATAATAAAATACTAGTACTCTAGATTAAGTATGTTCATTTTTATTAGTACTCTCTAAAAATGTTAATTTTGATCATTTTTAGTCTTTTTCATATCATATTTAATAGTAAACAATCTAATATTTTATTAACTTTTTATCTATTATCTTTCATCTATTTATACTATTGTGGTTAGTGGACCCTATGTATATTTTACATAAAATTTCTATTTCAATTAAAAATCATACTATTAACTTTATAAAATTTAACTATATGTTTATAAAAAATATATTAAAATTAGTATATTGTTGAAATTTTGTGTATATATATTTTTTAAAGTAATTATTATTTTCAAAATGTTAAAAAAATACAAGTTAATATTAAATACCTCTTACACGGATCCCGGTATATGTTTCGGCGCGGCACGTGTGCGGTTTTATCTGTTTCTTCCTCGTAGTAGAAGACGAGTCTAATAAAAAAATGGCCAAAGGCTCACAGTCTCAGTCTCAATCGCAGTCACAGTGTGAGCTTCGCCATTGAAACTTTCTACGCACAAAAGATATTATTTATTAAGGCAATTCCCCAAAATTCATATCTCTATCCATCTATTCTCGCCGAGTTTCCTAATTCTACCTCGAAATTTTCCTTTTTATCGACGAATTACTTATCAGATGATCTCCGTACACATGACTGTTTGGATTCTCTGACGGAAAAAAAGGGGAATTTTGTCGGGATAAGACATGTACGCCGCCGGCGGAGGTCCAATGCGTAAGTCCTTCAAGGATTCGCTTAAAGTTCTCGAAGCCGATATTCAGCATGCCAATACTCTGTGAGTTATTTACCCTCTTTTTCTTCGGTCCTTTGATCGGGCGCTGCGGTCGGTTAATGTTTTTAAAATCAGTCCTAATGATCGATCAAGCTTCCCTTTGCTAAGAACTTGTGTTTTATGTCCATAGAATTAGGTATTTTTCGTGTAATTTTCGGTTTGTTTGTTCGGGAAATATTTTTTTGTAGTAAGAGTTTTTGGAGCTTGAATCTCAGAATTATGTAGTTTATGCTTCAATTTTCCTTTCAGAAAGATGTCCGGGGCTTTTTTCCGGTATGATTATTAGAAATTGCAGGAATTTTGTAGTTGAAGATAGTTTGTTGTTCACTTTATCGGTTGCTTCATTCTGTAACAAAGGTATCCTTTTCAGGTTCAACTAACGATGAGTTTTGAACTTCAATGATATCTTCTTGAATTTTTAAGAATCAATTGATGGTTTCAATGAAGATTTTCATCTTAATATATTACAAATAAGCCAAAATATGGTAATAGGACACAACTTGTGGGAAAGAATGCAATATGAAATTACCATTGATGAATTATAATTTTAGAGAGATCCATTCAAAGTTCCTATTCCTTGTACATCAACTTTTCCTGCTTTTCAGCTTCTTTCTCTAATATGTGATGAAAATGTTCCACCAAGGAAACATATCTTAAAATTTGAGTTTCAAAATGGTGTTACAGGGCGTCTGATTATCCGCGAGACTATGATGGCGCATGCCTACAAATGAGAATGTCGTACAGTCCGGCAGCACAGTTTTTCCTCTTTCTAGTTCAATGGACTGACTGCCATCTTGCTGGTGCACTAGGACTGTTGAGAATCTTAATATACAAGGTTGATCCATGTTATGTTTGATTTGCCTGTCCTCTGATGTTATTCCTCTTAACTTAATCTGCTTGATGAACTGCACTGCCTATGTATTCCACAGTTGGTGAGTGCAATAAATTGAGCTTTATCATATTACAGGTCTACGTTGACGGCACTACCACCATGTCCACTCATGAGAGAAAAGCAAGCATCAGAGAATTCTATGGTAACTTGTTTGTTCTTACATATGCAGTCTATTTTCCTAACAAAGGGTTTCTGGTCTGGGAACTGAAAATTATTTTGTTTCCAGCTGTTATTTATCCTTCTTTGCTGCAACTTCAAAGAGGAGTCACAGATTCGGAAGATAAGAAGCAGAAAGCTGTGTGCCTTGAGAGATACAGGAGAAAGGATGAAGAAGAATATAGGCATTGCTCAGAATCGGAGATTGAAAGGGAAGAAGAATGTGGGATTTGTATGGAGATGAACAAGAAAATAGTCTTGCCCAATTGCAACCATGCTCTGTGCTTGAAATGCTACAAAGAATGGTACTCTATCCAGCTTGATTTATTCTTATAATAGTTGGCTTTTGGATCTCCAAAACATAAAATTGAAGTGTGCTTGTTTGGTTCATGCATCACTTCTCGATATCCTCGAGTAGATTTCTTCAACTAGTTGCCACTGAGATTCCTTATTTTAAACTCCATAAAAGTTAACATCCCTTCTCTGGTTGTACTTCTGGTTATCACACTTAGCACCTGTTCTTGAATTTTTAAAATTTGTATATGAATATGCATGCTTGGCTGAGCTCTAATTGAAAAATCTCAAGTTTTGGCGGTGATATATTTGCTTATTTGGAACTGAATGTTGTGTTTTCTACTTGAAAGAAGCAAGCAAACATTAAAAAAAATGACTGTTTTCCGTGAAAATGATTTCACAGAAAATTGGAACTTCATAAGAACATTTTATTTCTACGGAAAGCTGAAAGTAGAATAATTGGTTAATATTACTTCTTGTATATCTGATTGATTTGTTCGTTTACACAAGACGAATCAATGAGAAGGTCATAATTGTTCTAGCATTACTTAATGTATACAAATTCTTTTCATTGCCATCTTATGAACATGGTTGCAGGCGCACAAGATCACAATCATGTCCCTTTTGCCGCGACAGCTTAAAGCAGGTGAACGCTGGTGATCTGTGGGTGTTATTGGACAGCCGAGATGTGATCGACATGACAGCAATAACGAGGGAGAATTTGAAGAGGCTCTTCATGTATATAGACAAATTGCCTCTGATCATTCCCGAAAACCTGTTTGATGCCTACGATACCCATGTGAGGTAATTGACTGGTTTCCTCGTAGTTTCCATTTATGGATTACAGATCTTTCTTGTTCTCAGGATGTTGGATGCTCCGAGGAGCAAGAAATGTCTTGAAAAGTAGTCTTGGAATTCAAGTGGTCTTATCCACATCTCATTAGTAACAAAACCCAGCCTTGATTTGTTATAGGCCGAGGTTCAGCCTTAGGATTTGGTGGGGGCGGGGGGCGGGGGTGTGACTGTAATGTGTGCTTGTGGAAATTTGTAAATGTATGTACAGTTTGAAGTCTGCCTTTCCAAACTAAAGTAAAAATCTGCTGTTGTAGTGGCCTTAATTTAAGTATCTACTACATTGTGAAACCTCCCAAGATCGATATCTCTTTGCTTTTTGTTTGTGAATTTTAATTTGTCTTGGCTCAGACATGATAGGAGATGCGTATGGTATATGAAACTCGCGACTTAACCACTTTGTTCGTCGTTAGATCATAGATGAGATGGTATATCATATGGTTTTAGTTTTGTCATCTATGCTTCTGTGCCTGTGGGTTCAAATGTTAATATTTCCATGTAATTAGCATGTTGTCTGAATTTCTATTACCTGAAACTTACCAGATTACAGTGCACAAATTCTTAAAGTAAAATACAGTCTCAATAGATTATTACAGTAGAATACCTGTATTTTTTAAAAATTTATCCTGTATTTTTTACTATTTAGTAAGGTTGTTGCAATGTACAATAATGGTTGTCATTCTCGTGTCCAATGGTATTAGATATATGTGTATGGAGTGTATAATAATTGGTTGACTAAAAGTATAAATGTAGCTTGCAAATGTGGGGACAATAATTGCAAAGAATTTTTTTAACTTATCTAGTCAGTTGTGTCATTCTGTGCTAATAATTGCAAGGCTAGAGAATATTACAGTATTTGGAAAAAACTTTAAAAAGAAGTGAAAATGGATGTTGATTGTTTTGATTAAGTTGCAGCCATAAAGTCATCTTGGTCATCACTGAAGACATTGTTTAAAATCATGGCCAATCTGACCCCACCCTGAGCTATCCTCTTCATCACAATAGGTAATCTTGAATCAAAGTAATCATCTGTTCATCAAACACAAACATCACTGGGTAACACAAAAAAAAAGACACAAAGGTAAGGGAAAAAAATAAAAAAACCCATAAACATACCTGAAAGAGTCTCTCCAGATTCAACACCTTTATAGCCCCATTTGCAAGCTATATTTATACTTTCAGTTGCATATCTGGGTAGAAATGAATAATGGATTATGATAAGGCAAAAACTAGAGAGTGAAAATATGTCCCAAGGTGAAGATATATATATATATATATATGAATGTATATATACTCACTTGTTGACACAAGAAAGGAGGTTACTACAGTCCCGCCAAGTGGCAACATCAGGAGACCAGATCCCCTGTTTAAGATTGAAAAAATTGAGGTAACAATAAACTAACAAGATTGGGTGTGGTGTATGATAAGTTTTCAGTTTCTAACATCAGTGAAGTTTCCTTCAATGTCTTCTTGGAGTAGGTTGATGTCTTTTCCATAGTAATCCTTGGCTGCTGTAAGGATGATCTCTCTATCCCACACCTAAGCATACATTGTTTTGGCACAATAAGTGAGTTAAAAGTAATTGACTTGTAGTGAAATTTCAGAAATTATGAAATTGCTGGATATGGAATGGTGTTTTATAGAACAAACTGTAAGATGTAATATATATGGATGTGGGTAATACTCACGTGATGCAGATTCGACTTGTGTCTGAACCAGCGCAAGTCTATGGTGTTTCCTCCTTCGTCGCTTGTGAACCCCACATGCATCGGCTATCAATAGCCCAATTATGATCAAGATTAGAAATACAATAATGTTTTCTCCTCTGCAGAAATAAGGAATTTGGATCTCTACTTGTATATTGGTTACCTGATGGATATCTCCCATGAAGTGTGCCAAGAACAACAATGCCTCCGTCATGTTGTCTGCCATAACAGCCATGGAAATTTTTATGTTTCAAATATGCTAATCAGAATGGCCTTAGACGAAAGATGAATAAATATAACTGAAGCAGAGATGGAAAAGAGGGGCATGGTTTCTTACGGCGTCTGTCAGAGGTTCCATGGCGATAATGCGAGAGCTGGTTAGTGAAGTTCTGAATGGCGCCTGCAACACACATGTCCTTGACTCCATGTTGATCGTGGCAGTCCCCTTATTCATCGTGCACCCGTAAGTATTCCATTATGATAATCAAAGAGAAGAACAACAGTAGCAATTCTCTACCTCAACTGTTAATTAAACTCACTTTGATAATTGAAATTGCAAGCCTTGTCAGGTGTGTCGATGAAGTGAAGAGGGCTCGTCCATCGGTACTTGTACCAGTGCCTTACTTGGTCCGGCCACACACACAGCGTTGACAAATCACCGTTAGCGTAGTCAGGTAACAGCATTTTTACAGCATGTTTTGCTTCCTCTTCCAGCAAGTCCTATTGTTTAGGGACCCAAACACTGTTAGAACAAATGGAGATTTTAACAAACTCATAATAGATTAGTGTAAATAATTTTACCTGTGCAATTTTGCAAGTCATTGCATGTCCCTCTTTGCTCCATGCTTCAACACAAGGTTGGTGAACTGTAGAAAAACAAAGAAACCAAGCCCAAAAAGACACACAAATCCCTCTTAAAAAAGTGGATTTTACCATTGTGACAATGGAATTTTCTTTAGCTCCTAAGAAAACAATATGATTATGACCCACCATGATAGTTGAACTGATCTATATATAAAAATACACAAATAATTGATATTTAAGTTAAACAATGCTTACAAGGCAAGGATTCCCATAGTTTTTGCATGTGTTAATAAAGCATTTAATCCTTACAAGCAACATAGGATGGGATAGCATATCCTAAAATACCAAGGCATCCAATCATATAAGGGGGAGTGGATGACTTAACTGTTAAATATTAACAGAAAAGCTACCTAAGCAACATAATATCGTCTTGACGTGAGTGAAAGTGCAACCCAGTAGAGAAGGTCAAAGGGTCCATATAATGGTATATAATAGTGTATTCATAACTATCCTCCAGCTAGATAGATGCTCTTGCAGTTGATTCATGTTTGGAGAAAATTCTATTGAGTAAGGCTGCCAAACGGACCCCGCCTTGGGCCAATCTCTGCTCAACAACTGGCCATCGGGAGTAGAAATAGTCATCTGCACAGAAATGGATCCTTAGTACTCATGTGCCCGAGCAATTTGGGATATGTGAAATCACATGCAGAATTGTTAATTATAAAATGTTGAAGAGATCATTCGACAATAGGCAACTAGAACAAAAAAAGTTGCAATAACACAAGAAATGGCATGGATAATTGACAATTGGATAGCCTTCAGCAGACAGGCCAGATGAATTAGATAAAACATTACCTTCTAAGGTACTTCCAGGAGTGGCGTTTCTGTAAGCATATTTACAAGCTAAGCTAACACTTTCAGAAGCATACCTGTGAATGATCAAATTGTTATAAGATCTTGTAGGCATTGTGTAATTGTGTTGCACGTCATTAGGTAGAAGCATGAATTGGGATGTAGAAACACATAAAGAATATACTTACGGATCTGGACAAACTGTCTGGTTGCAATTTTTCAAAGTTGATTCATCAATGAAGGCGTCCTATTTGTGAGTTAAATGGCAATAAAGATGAGCCATGGTGAGTGCATGACCAGCAAGTCACAAAAGATTTTGAATCATGGATGAACCCTTCTAGTCTATGTTATCGAAATGTTCGAAGTATATTAGATACCGTGATATTTCTCTGAATGGCTTGTATCATTGTTGCTAGATCTTTACCATAGAAAGTCTTCATGGCAGATTCAATGATCATGGTGTCCCAAACCTGATATAAGGACATTGTAGGCAACATTCTGTCAGTCAAAAACTTAATATAGAAGCACAAAATAACAAAAATATTTAGAAACTTGATGTTGAAATAGCCCGCAACTTACATGGTGCAAGTTTGTTTTCCTCCTATACCAACGAACAGTTATTGAATTTCCACCTAAATCTCCAAGAAAGCCAACATGCAACGGCTGCCATCCAACATTAGAATTTTAGGCATGATTGAATCAACTTAGTTATTGCATCGTTGCTATTACTGAAGTCTGTGCATGCTACATTTCTAAATAAATTATCATAATTCATCAGATCATTACATTGATCATGGATTGTAAAGAAAATCATCAAGTAAAGAATTTGTAAAGAACATGAGGTGACCTGATGAACATCGCCGATATAATGGGAGAGAAACATAAGTGCCTCCGTCAAGTTGTCTGCAATAGGAAGAAAAGTATTGAGTTATAACATTGAGGGCATAACCAAGCAACAAACGCTGGATACTTACACTTGGCAGCAGATGAAACAGATTCATCACCATCTGCAACAAGCTGCATTGTGTAGTTATAAATTGCTCCAGTAACACACCTATCTTTAGTTCCAGACGAATCGTGGCAATCTCCTGTCATAAATCAGGAAAGTTATAGACGTAGCAGCACAAACCAGAAACTTAAATTCACTTTAGCAAGAGAATACGCTTACGGCAGTATCGATAGTTGCATCTGAAGTCAGGTGTGTCGACATAGTGCAATGGACTACTCCAGCGGTAGAGGTGGTTGTGTTTAACTTCATCTGGCCAGGCGCAAACAGCTGCAAGCTCTCCTTCGGCCTCATCTGGAAGCAGCGCTTTCACTGCAGCCGTAGCCTCTTCAGTTAGATAATACTGTATAAACAAAAGGCATTCCCATCACTCCATAGGACTCCATTGGAAGAATTCTTCTAAAATAAGCTAATTGAATTTTTCAAAATTAGGGCACTTAGATACATCGCAGATCAACAACTCACAGTCACAAACAACAATCAATCAAACTATCGAGATTCCAAAGCTTCTGTCGAAGGAAATTACCTCAGCAATCTTGCAAACAGTAAAGTGACCTTCTTTTCCCCAACCATAAACTTTCGGAATCACAAAAAACAACACAACCACACTGGTAAGCCACCATTCCCGGAACTCAGCCATCACTGCCAAAAATCGCCTATAAACTGAACGAGCACGTCTCGTCAAACAAACTCATGCGCAAAAGACACCAACTCGCATCACACCAAAGAAGACAACAATATCACAAAAACAAATCAGCATATAAACAACTCCAACACCTACCAATAATTGCAGCATTAACAACCACTAATCGCCTGCGATTGCCACGTTAATTCAACTAATTTGTCGCGCGATGATACGCTGTCTGGATATCCACTGTAACAAGGATTTGGCAGTGATCGAGCTTCCAGCCTCAGCCTGTGACGTCTGTTTGACTTATTATGGAAGATCACGAGAATAGTTATTATTAAGCTTAGTTGGGCCGGGTCTGAAAAAGAAGTAAGGGCCCAAATAATTAGGCCTTCAGGTGGCCCAGTTAAGTTACTATTATGGACCACTTTTTTGTAGCCTATGGGCCAGTGATGGAAAAGCGTGTTAACAAAAACGACACTAGGAAATACGTTTTTTACTACAGGAAATTTTCTCATCGTACGGCTCGATACAAAATGATTTGATTCGAGCTGGACTTACTGCAGTAAAGATCACCGGACACAATGACCTCTATATAGTGGCCTCTATACTGTGAACCAGTGCTGGAGTGGAGAGTCTATCTGGTACTGAAAATCCTTGGATCGTTCATCCGAAACAATAAGGAAGAAAATCATGAAGGCGATAGTAATCACAGAGCCGGGGGGACCGGAAGTCCTGAAGTTGCAGGAAGTGGAGGATCCTCAGATCAAAGATGACCAAGTTTTGATTAGGATTGCAGCCACCGCCCTCAACAGAGCGGACACCATCCAGCGGGTGGGTAGGTATGCCGCTCCTAAGGGTGACAGCGAATATCTCGGTCTAGAATGCTCCGGAATCATAGAAGCAGTCGGCAAAAATGTTGATCGGTGGAAAGTTGGGGACCAGGTTTGTTTTAATTTCTCGGATATTGCGTCTATTCACTTCCTGTAGAGCACGCCGCTGATGAAATAATGAAACAACGAGCTTATTCAATTTGTATTTATCAGCTATGCAGTGGAGTTTGCCGTCGCGTTATCGTTATGTGTTCGTAAATATATATATTGGATGATCTCGGTTTGTTTTGATCCTTCATTTTAGATAATTATGGAAAACTCTTTTACTACCTCTGAAAATTGAAAATCTAAAAGGAAGTTTGGCGTGCTTTGTTTCCATATTTCTGTAGTCGTAAGAATTTGTTGTGTATGTGTTTGAACTTTGAAGCTATTCTTTGATTGACTGATCTCTGTCAAAATATGGAAATTCAGAACTGGATACATGATTAACATATTTTCTAGTGTGATTATCTGAATTATTAAAGCGGAGGTGTTTCTTGTGGAGAAGGTTTGTGCACTTCTTGGCGGAGGAGGGTATGCAGAGAAAGTTGCTGTCTCTGCAGGGCAAGTTCTTCCTAATCCTTCAGGTGTTTCTCTTCATGATGCAGCTAGTTTTCCTGAGGTAGCGTGCACGGTTTGGTCCACTGTATTTATGATGAGCCACTTATCCGAGGGGGAAACTTTCCTGGTATGTTTTCATTGTTCCAATTTGTGTCTTATGCAGCATTCAGCTTGCAATCGACTGTTCTTGTGAAGAAGATGTCTGCTTGTTGAATTTTTAATGTTATTGTGAAGGAAAATTTTGGACATATTAATCTCACAGATAAGCCTGCACTTTATGTTGATGGCATTCTATGAACTGATCCTATTGTGTGTGTAATATGTAGATATATATATATATACACATATACATATTCTGATCTCATTGTTGATGATATTTTAGTGTTTTACATCACTAGCATCAAAAAGAGTTAACAATAACCTTATTAGAATATGCCTTTATATAATTAAAACTAACTAAAAGCTCAACATAAAAGTAGTATGGTTCAAGCCCAACTTCATAAGTGAAGCTTTGAAATTGTTTAATTAGGAGAAAAGCTCTTAAATGTGCTTGAAGATTGTTTACTTATAAAAATTAGCACTTTACAAAATTAGTGACAGTATTAGATATTGCTGAGGTTTTACTGCAGGTGTGTGCCAACTGATATCATGAATCTTGTAGCTTTGTACTGAAATTTTACATGAAATTTTTCAGATACATGGGGGCTCCAGTGGCATTGGTACATTTGCAATTCAACTGGCTAAATACCGCGGAATCAAAGTTTTTGTCACTGCAGGTTACTACCAAGATGGCACAGTTTTGAATTATTGAATGATTTCTATTGCTTTCTGTCTGTATGTATGTGTGTGTGTGCGCGACTGATGTAGCTAACTTCAATCCTTCAGGAAGCGAGGAAAAACTAGCTGCTTGCAAGGACCTCGGAGCTGATGTTTGCATCAATTACAAGACTGAGGATTTTGTTGCCCGAGTAAAGGAAGAAACTGGAGGAAAAGGTGAAAGGGTTACATTCTCTTTTTTGTGTGTTCGGGCGTGGAATTTGGATTTTAAATAATAAAATTTTGAGTTGAAATAATTATTTGATATGATATAAAAATGTGTTAATATGGTATTTTGAATGTAAAACTAGATTTTGATGTAATATAAAAAAAATAGATATTTGATTTGATGTTTTTCTAGATTAAAATTTTCGTGAGTAGTGAAAACCTTAGAGAACCCCAAAACCAATTCAATCTCGGTGGATATATTTTCTGAACTTGTATGATACTTATAGCATAGAGAACTGTGTTGCGATTGCCTTTCAGCTCTTCTTTGGCCTGAATATCTAAACATTAAATTTATGAATCAACAGGTGTTGATGTCATATTAGACAACATCGGTGGTCCTTACTTGCAGAAGAATCTGGAAGCTCTGAAGCTCGATGGGAGGCTGTTCATAATAGGTTTCATGGGTGGATTTGTATCAGAAATAAGCCTCGGCATTGTCTTCGCCAAACGCCTTACTATCCAGTGTAAAATGCTTAAGCCTTCTTACTGATAAAGTGTTATTAAAAACCACACCTCTTGTTCTTTCAATTCTAGGATTCTAAAATGGCAAGAAAGAATTTGCAGTGATATAATATATATATATATATGTATAATCAGTGTCTGTCTGTAGGTTCTGATTCTTTGCCCAAACGATTAACCCTTACGTTGAATTGTGGATACTTGGCTAAAAAATGCCGTGTTCTTGCAGCCGCAGGATTGCGAAGTAGGAGTCCCGAAAACAAAGCTCAAATTGTGAGGGAGGTGGAGGAAAATGTCTGGCCAGCAATTGCTGCAGGCAAGGTAAAACCTGTTGTATACAAAAGCATGCCATTAGAACAAGCTGCAGAAGCTCACAGGCTTATGGAGAGCAGCAAGCACATCGGGAAGATCATCCTTGTCGTACCGTGAGATGTCCCTTTTAAACACTATTGTTCGAATTTGCTGAAAAGTTACGCAATGAATGGCACCCGAAAACATGTGTGCATATATCTAAATATCGTGATGCGATACGAGTTCAAGAACTCTTATTTCTGGAGAACATATAACATTTGGAAGCAGACAGATGTTTCGGGTTATAAATCTGCATTTATTATGGATAATTTCTGTTTGGAAAGCAAGAAAATCATACAGGTAAAGTAGATTGAACTCATGCTGTACAAAGGGCTTCAACTGCTAGAGTTTTCGCAACATTCGGACATGGGTCCCCAAGTTCAGCTCCGGAGACTGGAATCGAACATCCCGACTTACCGACACATGCCTGGACAACAAATTCGAAAAATACCAACATCAGCTGGCCAGGTAATGTATCTATTAACTGCTCATGTCCAGTAACTTATCGAGTAAAATTGCTGCACTAAAATGTTTGTTACCTTGTGAACAATCGACGAGACATCAGTATGGCAAGTTCCTTGTTTCACTGCTCCACAGTTTCCTTCTGGAGTCCCAAAGCTGGCAAATCGAATCGAAGCTATACGCCACCCTGTTTCACAGGTCAGTCGAAGCTCCGGTATCCTAGATGCAAAATCCTCACCCGATTCCCAAGTATCAGCAGGCGGAAGGTCAGTCTCTGATACACGATTGCATATTCGTTGCCTATTTTGGGCAACCAAAGAGATAGTCGAAGGATCACCTCCGAGTTCTTCATGGATGACTAGTAAGTTCTTGCCGGGATTTAGCCAAGGGCGCGGAATGTGGTACCTGGAGATGGTTCATAGAATTCAGCAACCTAAAACTGAACTGCAGTCGATATTTTGAGAAGGATCGTAGAAGAGGGTAAGAAGTTAAATATAGACATCAAAAGCCACTTCGGATTTTTCGCAGATTACGCCTTCAGATTTCGGATTCTACTTACAGTGTCTGAGCAGGTTGGCCACACTTCTTCAAACATTTTCCGGCATTGTAAGTTCCTCTGTAATCACAATTCTCTGAACATCCATTTGATGGTGAGAGATTTGAAGACCAATATCTGCCTATACTCTGACCATTTATCCATGCTTGACCCTTCCCCATGCCGGAAAGATTCAACGCCACGGGACCGTTACCTTCTGGGGCATCGAAGACAGTCTGATAAATGTTATCAAAAGTGAGTTAAACGATTGAACCAACGGAACCAACGCAATGTAGATTCGCGAAAGGGGATAGTAATGAAATGTAGATTCGCATTCTCGACATAATCTTGGCGAGCATAGCTCGACAAAGATGTGTTAGTATAAGTATGTGCCTACTAAGGATTGGGATAAGCTCTAATTACCTTGTACCATAACAAGCTCTGGTTGGTAGGTATTGCACTTCCCTGGATCCATACTGAACTATTTGCCATAGATACATTCTCCAGTTCAAGGAACTCGCCTTCGAGTCCAACCTGAAAATGTCGGGGACTATATCATTACGCTGTCAAATTGGGTAAACTCATACTGCATATGGAGCTAACAAGTAATGAGATATGTACCAATTTAATAAATTGAGATGAAACTACCAACCTGGTAAGTCCATTGCATATTGGAAAGGTCTGCTTTGGAGCCCTCCAAATCCATAAGAATGACAGAATATAGTCCCGCCCCTTGGATATCAAACCACGGCCCATAATTCTGAGGATCGATAGTTTGGGCAACAGAAAAATTAATACTGTCGAAATCATTAATTGTTCAATGTAATCAAGTGACAGGAAAATGGAGCTGAAAAATGCTAAGGATTAGTTGTAGAACCCCATCAAGAGTTGCTAAGGTGCAAGATTGCAATGACTTTACTAATACCATAGTCTTCACTGTTTATTCATGCATTATATTATCAAATAATACATGAGAGGTATATTTTTGGTACTTTTAATTACACTAACCTGCAGACCAATCATCATACTCAGCACATCTAATGTGTTGTTTCCACTGTGAAGGTTTATTTTAGCAGTAAGTGTGAAGCTAGCATCATCATGATTTCCATAACTGAACCCTGGAAAAGGTAAGCGTGCATCAGATAAGCAAGAACTATCCTTTCTCGTACTATTGTGTCTACATTAGTTTCGGCACATACTGTTTTAACTTTTAACGTGAGCTATGCAACATATTTTGCACAATATTATCATGCATCATTAAATTTTGGTTTCAGTTCATACTGTTTATATTACCTTTTTTCATTACAGTTTCCCATTATTCACTATTGCTAGCAATAATCATATACTCCATCACTTTTGACCATCCTAATCTTCAGGTAAATAAATCTATACCTCAGCTAACAAGTGGTGAGTGCCAGCTTCAGTTTTACTAGTGAGTGCCTACTTCAATCTTTTGTATTCGACCTCACTTACCCATTATTGAAAACAATACGACAATTAATTTTCACTCTTGCAGTAAAAATCTAACCACAAACTAGAGCATGAGCAAAATAATTTTAATAACAAATTGGTTAGATATTATAGATTAGAAGTTGCCACTTATTGGGAATCCAAAGTGGAGTGGTTTCAACTGGAGATTGATGACAAGGGGAGCTTAGCTTACAAATACATCTATGGGCATAAGTGGTTGTAGAGAATACTTCTACTTTCTCTTGTTGCCTGCTCAGTAGATGAGTTAGATGAGAAGTCATAGTAATCTGTACACGCTGACTTTAACTAGTAAAGAAGTCAATTGAATAAAGTAGCCGGTATCTTCTAACTGAGTCATTGTTGTGTCCTTTCTTTCAATTATATTTCACCATGCAGGTTACATTTTATGTCAACCAAACCAACAACTGCAAACTACATAATTTTCGAGCCCTACAGACTTTATGCTGACCCTATATTTATCAGCAGGAACAACTCGCAAACTTTCATCGCAAAAGGTTATGCAGAGTCAAGTTTATTGCAACCACAATTACAAAGTCAAAGGTACAGGCCCAAGCTCACTGAACAAAAAAAAAAAAAACAATGCAAATTATAAACTTTATGTAGCACTTACAACTAAACATCGAGTACTTAAAATTTTAAGCTAATCAATCTCTTTCAACTTGGAGGAATGTTAAAAAAAACAAAAATGAAATTCATGGACAAATTAATGTGCAAAAAGAAATATCTGAGAATATATTACTTACCAACTGGTTTTTTGTTTACAAAGAGAAAAGCAGCATGTCCCAAGCTCATGATAAGCAACCCTACTTCTTTTGTTTGATTTTCCACAGTTTTTTCATCCACATTAATGCTGCCATAGAGGGAAAACGAACAGAAAATGTAATAATATTCAGTAAACAGAGCATGTGACTATAGATTCTTGATACCCTATTACCCTGTACTGCAAAATTCCTTGTGAATGGAAACCCAAGATGAAAAAACAAGAAAAAAAACAGAAGAAGGTTAATAGCATATGTTGCTGAAAATGATGAACGTCTAAAACTAGCCTAAGTCATCTTTGGATGTACAGGTTCCACATTGCATAACATTAATATTATGTATTGTAAAGTCCCGTAAGGGATGGCCTAGTGGTATTGCAGTGAACTTCTAACTGTATGGTCATGAGTTCAACTCTCAACACCTCTAGGTCCTGCGTGCCACATTGTTTGCCAAGGAAATCAAGAAAAAATAGGTTACTTATTACATGAACACCAACTAGGACAACATCATGTGCCTGTCCGTCACTGTTATTTTTGAAATTTAGGTTCTTGCGATTTAGTGAATTGTTCCCAGCACAATAGTATATACATAGTAAATAGCAAAAACTACAGTTATACTGATTTACCTTGTGGTATACCATAGAAAATCACTTGAATCTTTGGTTGTATTTATCTGCTCCAGTAAACCTGAAGCCTCAAACGAGTTGTTACTCCAAATGCCCACTTTTTCTTTATACCAACTCCAAGAAGATGATGGCATGGTTACGTCCCAAATAGAAGAATCATCATCTAGGGTTACTTGTGAAACAACCTTTGAGCAAGAAACATGTAATGAAGAGTTTTGGCAAATTAGAGCTGATTTTCTGCCAAACCAATCTTCTTATATATTGAATAAGCATATTTTCACATTACAATATAATCATTCACGAAATAGTAGTGCCGACAAGAACACATATGCAACAACATGAACAAAATGTTAGGGATTGAATTTACACAACTAATCATTCAAAGGAACAATTGGAATCCTTATAGTTACTGATCAATTTTGGCCTCAAATATGTAAAAGGAACAGTAGAGATAGTCACTTAAGATTCTGATCAGCATCCATCCCCTCTTATCAATTAAGATAAAAAGTTGTTTGGAAGGCGGAAGCCTGTATATTTATTATGGAGATATTTTAAAAGACTGAGATTTATCAGAGATAACAAACAGAGCCCAAGTTCCACAAAATCCCTATATTGAATATTTTATACTTTCTTATTACCTATCCAGATTCCAAGGCCAAACAAAATATTAAAAAGCCAGAAAAAAAAGGTAGGGATTGGATCCTAATCTGTGAGGAAGCACAAAGTCTGTAGGTCACCTTGGCTGTGTTGAATATGACGTTTACACAATCTGGAAGAATGCTCACAGACCATGCAGGAAGAAAGTAAGATCTCCCTCTGAAGTTAACAGTTGCATTTGAGGAGCTATCATAATTAGCAAGAAAGGCAGCACAGTCATTGAAAGATTTGTAGTATACGTGTGCCTGAAAACAAAGATGATAATCAGTTCTCAGAGAAATTAATGATTGTTCAACTGCCATATGCATGTCTTTCATAGTTTTCATCCAAACAAACATTTAGATTGTACTTTCATGGCATCAACTTTCTATTTTTGAAGGGTGTGGTGCTGTATATGTTTTTTGGGATGTTTTTGGGGGGTTTTGGAGTTATTTATTTCTTAAATAGAAAATGACTTAATTGCTTGTATTTTTTTTTATTTTATTTTTTTCATTTTTTCCTAAAACATCACAAGAAAAATCCAATTTTTCATTCAAAACATCTCGTCAAATAACTACTTTTACCTCAAATATCACAACAGAAAGTACAAAATAAAAACCAAAACACATGTGAACACGTTAGGTTTTCGATGTAATTACCTCAAGATTCTGACCAAGGGAAATTTGAGTTGCATTGGCATTTACCAAATGCTCCTCACACTTCTTTACAGCAATATGAAGGTCACGTAGGTGGCCCCACTTTGGCTGATTGATATAACCTGCATAAATTGAACTTAGAAGAAGAAATACTTTCTAACATGTTGACCTTAGTGTTAAAGTTTCTGTGCTGTTCCATACGATGGAATTTCAAGCTCTTTCTGAATGGACTGTCAAAAAATACATAGATCGTCAATAAGGATCAGCATTTTTTTTAACTCTCCTTTATGCCTACATAGTTAGAACCCTCTTCCCCTCAATCCATGCATCATCCTTCTAAAGAAATGTTATGTACATGCTAGTATCTTCATGTTTCTTTGTCAATGGACAAAACTATCAAAGAATCAAACTTAAGAAGCCAATAATGCTATGAAGATATTTAAAATTTGAAACATATATTGAATCAACACATTGCTAAGTTTTCAAAAACCACACACAAGCATATTAAAACCAAGCCACCAGATTTCCACTTCCATTGTAAAATCTCACTTTGTGCATAAGAGAGTGAGCTACTCCAAGCATGAATGAAAGTTACTCCAATGCATACAGAGGCATATTGCTCTGCCTCATTTGAGTCGTTTTGTTACGCCGAAAAAAAAAAAAAAGGAAAGAAAGGAAACTATTTCAGGATGCTTACCATACTCATTTATTGGAGCATCATAATCATAACTGGTTGCAATCAGTGGTCCTCCAGCTGTTCTACCAAAGTTGGTGCCACCAAAATACTGCAAGAAGTGCGACTATCAGATGATAAGCTCCACAAGACAAGTCAACAACTATCAAAGCTCACCATATAATAGTTTTGGAAAGTGCCACCTGTTTCAAAAAATCGAGCAACAGCAAAAGCTAAGTCTTCAACAGGTCGAAAAGGAACAGCATATCCAAATGAAAGGAACCTATGGAAATGTAGGTTAGCATTGGACATGACTAATAGAGAGTATGATCAACTGTACAGGCACATAAATCTGTAGTATTTACCACCCAGCATAATTCTCCGTCCACATTTTTGGTTTGAATGGTGAGTTTGGAGACCATCGGTCACAATAAAACCCATTGCAAGTGTTAATCTGCACATCACATGTCTCCTTGATTTAGAAAATGGGTCTTCTAGAGCCTTCCAATCAGGAGAATATAGTTAACATGACATAAAAATAAATTTTCCAATGCTGCAGGTTTACTGTGTCAGATATGTTACGCGTCTTTGGTCATGCAGAAAGACAAAAGAACGATTAGTCACACCGATGCACATACTTACGATTGGATCAGGTGCATCTTCCTGTTGACACATTACCCAAGGAACAGTAGTGTTAAGACCAACGGCTGTTTCTGCAGCCCATTTGACATATAACACCCCAGCTACTCCATATGATCCTTCAACATTCCCATATTCATTTTCCACCTACAGCAATAACTCTCCCATAATCATACATAGAAAAATACAATAAAAAAATCAGACTACAAAATTCAAAGATACTTCTGTGGAGTTATGACTTCAAAAATTAAACTACTGTTCAAGTTTCATCTAGGTAAAATCCACAGTAGTGAATTCCATTTCCAGATAAATGGATCCTTGTAAAACTTTTATATTGAAAGCAAAAAAATGGTTCCTTGTAAAAGTTTTATATTAAAAGCAAAAAACTTTATTTCAACACATGAGGGTCGAATCATTTACCAACACCCATTCTAGAACATAGATGTTTCTATTGCCTCAGGGAAGACAATTTTCCCTGAATTCCAAAACAAGAAAAGAAAGGAAATATTTATCAAGTCAGCCTAGTGCAGACAAGGAAACTACCTGTGCAAGAATAATTGGTCCCCCTTGTGTTGCAAATAGATTCTCATCCTTCATCAGATTAACTATTTTCACAAGAAAACGCTCCATTTCACCCTGTATTGATGATTAAAATTTACGTGGAATCTTTAAGCTGCAAAACAATTAATAGGAAACTATGTACTGCAAAATTTAAAAATGCACCTTGAAAAGGTTATTTGATGTCCGGAATTGTATACCGGGAATGAAATGCAACCACATGGGGAATCCCCTGTTCAAACAAGCAAAGGAAATATTTGTTAAAATACGCATATGAACTGACTGAATTGTTTCAGCAATAATTTAAGATAAAATTTGCATGATTTCAGTGGATTCATTCCAGTCCTTAATGAGCGGGTGAATTCGAAATACTTTCAGAAGCAACCTAAAATCATGGTTATTGCCTTGGGACAAGAAAGTGAATTAGAACACAGAGAAAAAAGTGTATTAGCACTGACCCATAGTTCCATTCCGCACAAGCATAGGGCCCAATTCTCAAATGCACAAAAAGACCGGCTGCATGTACTTCCTTCACAAACCGAACTAGGTCAAACCTGCCTCCAAAATAGTACTACAATTTTAAGAGGGTTAGTATACAAGAAGAAATATATAAAAGTATGAAGTATGAACCAACGGACATATAAATTTATCAAACTCACTTTCTTTCATGCATGCAATGCAACAGTAACAACCCCATGCATTCATTTTGTTCTAATAAACATAAAAAGATCTCAACTTCAACTACCAATCATTATCATTTTAGTTTCCCGGTGAGATTACAAAAAATAAATAAATAAATGAAAACAACTATAAACATGAACTGGTCAAACCGATTCCCTTAGGCCTGTATGGTCGGAAAGTTTGGGTTAAAAGTATTTCAAATTATGGAATCAAATTCATTAGTTTCGTTTGTATTTAAAATCTCCAAATTTAGCTTAGTCAACTACCTATTATCCATTCATTTAAAATCTATCCTCAAATCCGAAAAGGACCTTATTTTTCACCAAAGTTACTAAGATAAACTACTTTACCTCTCCTCTCACAGGCTCGTGATAATTCCAAAAGACATACGTCTCTATCACGTCCAGTCCTCCTTCTTTTGCCTTTCTAATGATTTCTGGCCATAGCTTCAATTAACCAAAAACAGAAACGTCAATTCATGAAGCCGATTAGATTTGGGGGACAGGGGAAAAATCAAACTTCCAACTCACTTCCGGTGTCGATCGAGGATAATGTACTGACCCTGACTGCAGGATTCTCCGCTTTCCATCAATCACCAATGCCTTACTATCATATACCACGCTTGTCGAAACCGCCGTCCGACAAAAATTACCTTGAAACAGTAGAATTGACAAGAAAAGTACATTGAACATATTCTCAATACGCAATATTCAACAAGTAAAAGCACTAGAAGGTTTGCAATCTCAATCCCTAACCTTATATATTTATATATGCACATACAAGGACCTCGTCGTCACGTTGCGTTTTGGCGTGTTCATTGCGATCCAGAATGACGGACAATACTGAAACCATAATTTGGACAGGCATCCTTGATAACATTGGCGTGATCACGACGACGAGGAAATTGTCGGTTCCCGAAAACATTTTACTCCTTGGACTGATTCAGGTGCAGAATTTCCTATCCTCATTTGTGATTGCGACGTCGCCATCACCCACCGGCGCCACACCTCCCCCAGATATATATATATATATATATATATATATATATAGTGAGCCGCAGCTCCCAGCGCGCGACGGAAGCGTCTAATGACGCTTTTGACCTTTGACTTTTACGTGGACCACGGTTTTCTTCGAAAGCGCTTTTCACACTAGCACCCGTTTTAATTCAAACACGATTTTGACTCTTCGTCCTCTGCCAGTCGAGAACTCCATTCCAACAACAAGACTCAGTTCACTCGATTTTCCAAGCCTGGTAAGATTTTTCTCTCCTGTTGATTTTTATTGATCATGTATCGTTGATCGATGCTCTTGATGAATTCATCATTGAACTCGTAATCCAGGAACAGAGCGTTTCGATTTGCGTTTCGATTTAGCAAATCAGTATGGATTTTAGCAGTATGGATCGGAGGCAGCTGACGCTGGCGGGTTCAGGATTTTCGGCGATGATAACGATGCACTTCACGTTTCAGTTGGTATCGCAACACTTGTTTTACTGGAAGAATCCGAAGGAACAAAAAGCTATAATTATTATCATACTGATGGCTCCAGTTTATGCGGCTAATTCGTTTGTAGGATTATTGGATCTCAAAGGCAGCAAACCCTTCTTTATGCTTCTAGACGCTGTTAAAGAATGCTACGAGGCTTTAGTGCGTGCCTTCTTTCTGCTAGGGTTTCGTGTGCTCCTTTTCTTTATGTGGAATTGCTTTTGATTGTGAATTTTTCGTTTTTTGGCAGGCTATTGCGAAGTTTTTGGCATTGATGTATAGTTATTTGAAGATTTCTATGAGCAAAAACATTGTACCTGATGAGGTCAAGGGGAGGGAAATTCACCATTCATTTCCAATGAATCTTTTCCTGGTGAGCTTTTGATTTCCTCCATTAGCAAGTTTGATACTCCCTCTGACCACAAAATTTATTCACTTCTGAGAGAGTACTATATATATAGCATGTTGATTGATGGATAATAAGAACTTCTGTGGTTGTTTTTGTTGCTAAATTTGAATTGAGAGCATGATTTAATGATTGGATTTTGAATTCTGAATTAGAAGAGGACGAAATTATTGATGTGGTTGAAGTATTGTGGATGGATTTTATTACATCTTAGGAAAATTCATTCATTGTTGTTACTTGCAGCCCCGAAAAGTTTGCTTAAATCAGCAAACATTGAAGCTTCTCAAGTACTGGACATGGCAGTTTGTCATCATCCGGCCCGTGTGTTCTGTAGTGATGATAACATTGCAAATCCTTGGGTTTTATCCCAGTTGGCTTAGCTGGACATTCACCATTGTTCTCAATCTATCATTTTGCTTGGCTATGTATGCTTTGGTACTTTTCTACCATGCTTTTGCAAAAGAATTGGAACCTCATAAGCCGCTGGCGAAGTTCATCTGCATCAAAGGAATTGTTTTCTTTACCTTCTGGCAGGTAACAATCGTATATGTGCATCTTGATTTGTTTAGTTCTTTTATCAGATTTTATTCGGAATGGAATTTGAGTTAACACGTAGTAATTGTTAGTCATAACCAATAATGATCATCATCTATGTTGGATTGTGAAACCTGATAACAAATAGCCCGGATGAGAAATGGGACAGCGTAGGGTTTGTTAGCATGTCAGATATAGTTCTAAGGTTTCAACTCTATATATATATGTTACCTTCTAGTGTTTTTCATGTAATCCATTTATTCTACTATAGTGAAATTCATGGCTTAGCAGCGCCCCCTAAACATAGATCAATTTAGGTCGAATTGGGTAACTAAATTATCTTAAATTTCATATTGTTCTTCTTTGATTTTTTTGATATTTCCATAACATTCTGTTTTACCAGAAAGGGGCACAAGCTAATATAAGGTTGATTCGTGGCTTTGTCAAATGAATGGAAATGATCTTAACAATTTATTAGATATGATATAAGAAAGTATGATCAACCATAGGAGTGAATGTTAAACAGAACTCTCTTTGAATGTTAAGCAGAAAGCACAATTTTCTTTTAGCTGTTCAGGAAATTGAATTTCCTCGGAATCGAATAGCGCTATTGCACTCTTCAGTTTTTACTGCTTTTGAGATTTTTTCTTGATAATTTCCTATCAATTTGAGGCATGCCGCGTAGCTTCTTAGAATTGGTTCGAATCTTTGACCCTTTTTCTAAATCTTGGCAATAAGGAGGCAAATAAACTTTTTTGGATGCTGACCTGAAAAAATGAGCTAGAAATTTTCTTGTGACTCCAAGATGTGTTGAATTTAGAGAATTCTATCAATACTTTATTAAACTATTTTTTTTATCGGAAACTATTTTTGACATGACGAATAGAGGATTACATTGCTTGTTATTATATTTGAGCTAAAACTAATTCTCCTCTGGCTAAATATGCATCGATTGTTGTTCTCCTAAATGCTGTGATGGCTGCAGGGAATAGTGCTCGACATCCTTGTTTCAATGGGCGTAATTCGATCTCAGCACTTCTGGTTGGACACGGAGCACCTAGAGGAAGCAATCCAGAATGTGCTAGTGTCTGTCGAGATGGTTATTTTCTCGGTACTCCAGCAATATGCATACCATGTTGCACCTTACAGTGGAAACTTAGAAGCCAAACTGCAGCTTAAAAAAGATCGGTGATATTCGGGTAAAAAATAAATAAATAATGGTCTTTCTGTGCTCCAAGCACATTTTTGGCCTGTAGTTTTGTGTAGTGTTTGCTGTACACAATGAATGTTATATTTTTCAGGACAATAAAGTTTAGTTGCTGTATAACTCTATGCAATAGAATTCTTTGTGTTGTGTGTGCTTTTTTAAAAATTCATTGTTCAGTAACTATATGTTTCTTTAAAACAAAAAATTTACACAAAATATTGTTTATATTCTAAATTAAATAATAATTTCAATTCAAAATTTTATTATTTTTATAAACACATTTCCGCCGCCAAACAAGTTAGTACTTTCTTTCTCTTTCTCTGTTCCATCTTATGTGACTAGAGACTAGAGAGTAAGACTACTTTTCAGCAATTTTTATCTTCTATTACTATGCAATTTTAAATATTTAAAAAAAAAAAAAATTATATAAAATGTCATATCAAATGTAAACACAAAATAAAAGATTTTGTGACTTTTTAAAATATATATATATACTGTTAATATGGCCTTAACGTTTTATTTTATTTATTTTTTTATATGTATGTAACAAGAGTATAATATTATTGGCATAGTATTGTCTTCTATTTATAGTTGGATTTTATGGGGGAGGTTGTCTTTCCATACTAGTAATAGTAAGTAGTAACTGAATTGTGTACTGGGTTTTTTGGTCGGTGATTCCGACTCCACTACTTATCCACATCGGCCCACCCCACCATTTGTCGTTTATTACATTACACCAACGCCACATCGTACTCGTGCCACTCCTTAATTAATTACGATAGACCAACTGTTTATTACCCTCCATCACAATTCACACCAAGAACAATTGACCTGCATTTATCTATAACTTCCTCATATTTCAACTTACTAAGTAATTTTTCTATTTTTACGTTTTTGGAGTTTGATTTCAAATTATACAATCGTGTAAAACTAATACTCAAATTAAAAATAAAATAAAACTTTAAATGAACACATCTTATATTCTTTTCATTTTTGTATTTTTTTAAATTTGTTAGTATTCAATCTTCACTGTGATTTTATAGTAAAAATAAATTATATTCTCTTCATCGCTGTCTAGTGTACTTATATAATTATAAGTACATATAATTATAAGCTCATATCAATATATTTTAATTTTTTATAAAAAATTAGAAAAATATAATGAGATATAAAATATTTTTAATAATTTTTTGAAAAAATTTATAATCCAAAAACGCAAACAAACATATTCTTTGTTTGTATATGGTCAGATTATGGCGCAGCTTTCATCCAATTGCAGGCATTTTCACCACCGCCCACGCATCTAACTGTAACTGGCTTGGAAACGACGCCGTTCAACGAAAATGCTACCGGCTTTCGTTGTCTATTGGCGGTATCCATACCACATTCATTACTACTTCAGTCAAACAACGGAATTCTGCCAATATTGAAGCTGGACCGTTTTCCTTATCCAAATTAGCCTCTGTAATTCGGACATGGGTTGCATTTATTATTATTATTATTATTAATTTATTATTTTGGATGTAGACACGTCACGCTCTCGTTATGGACTAGCTGTGCCTCTGTTATTTTATTTTAATCTCCTTAATTCTTATGTGTCAATTTATTAGGCATGGGACTTTGTAAAAATCAAATTTAACTACTGGAAAACCATTGACGCACAGGAATCGTAGTTATGCAAGCATTAGATTTGGATATTCAATACCTAACAAAGAATCGTTTCTAATTTAATTATTCTTTTATTGCATCTAATGACATAATTATGTTTACCAAATGAGTCCAATTGTAACAAATTGCAATATATTATGCGATGAAACTGATACTGATTTTCAAAAAAATAATAAATAATGAAAAATAAATAGGGAGCGATCAGCCAGCGGTGTGACACCTGGCGTGCATCTCGTCCGCTCATTTACAGTCTCTTGTCACCTTATCCGACGGTGGAAGTTTCAGACGGTGGAATCCTTACTGTATATATATACTTCGATCGTGATCATCTCTTCCGAATCCGCCATTTCTGCTTACGAGCTTCTCGATTACTTTGCTTGTGACGATTCTGAGCTTCGCTCACACGCATTAGATAAGGATTGAGAAATTGCTGGTGAGAATTTCGTGATTCGATGAGCAATTGGATGTTGTCCATGAAGGCGGTTATGATTTCAGCCGGAATTGTGATTTTAGCAATGGAGATCAAACTTACGGTTCCGATCGCGGCGGATTGGATTCCGGCGATGTGGTCGGCTTTCCTGGAGTGGATGAAGCCTCCTTATTTGTATATAATCATCAACGGCATCATCCTCACCATCGCCGCGTCTTCTCGCTTCCAACAAAGCCAAGAGGAATCTCCGCCCAACATTCAATTTCAACCGGAAAACTTGAGCTCCTCCGTCAGAATTCCTGCGCAACCGAGTTTCGAGGCGTTCTCAGATGAGCTTGATTTTAGCGTTAGCAGTTCTGTTGAGAACACGACAGCGGCGATGGTGCATGAGATTGTAGCGCCGGAGATGGAAAACGCTGTCGTTGAATTCAAACCTCCGGTAGAGAACGACTCGAAGAACGACATCGAAACAGAGAAAAAAATTGTGTTTACATCTGTAGCTGAGGATGTTTTTGTCGATTCGACTTCGACTGACACATTTTCTCCGGAAGTTCAATCGGAATCTCTCTTGACGGTTACAGATAAACCTCTGGTTTCTTCGAGATTTGTGCACAGAAAGCCGATCAGAAACGTTCCCGAAGGTAATTTTCACCAGGAACAATTCTCATAATTCTTCTACCTTTTTAAAATTCCTTATCAAAACGGAGTGCATTTCTTCCTCCCTACCTGTTATCGGAATCTTCACGTGTCTTTCACCTTTAACCGAAGCTTCACACTGCGCAATCGAAATTTCGTTGTATTCCATTCCAAATTCCAATCTCCAGTCCAATCCTATGTTCTGCAATCTCATATTCATATTCATAATTCGAAAGCCTGAAACAAACACGGCACAGCTGAATAAGCTAATGGATTGATCGGATTCGCAATTGCAGTTTCGAACACAAGAGCCCTACGGGTGGCGCGGCCGAAGAAGCAGGAGACGCTGGAGAGCACATGGAGGATGATAACCGAGGGACGTCACGTGCCGATCACGAGACACCAGAAAAAAGCCGACGCGTGGGAGCTGCACCAGCAGCAGCAGCAGTTGGTGGCCAGCCGACCGGCGGCGAGGATCCGCAAAGAACCGTCGCCCGGTCAGGACGAGTTGAACCGGCGCGTGGAAGCATTCATCAAGAAGTTCAACGAGGAAATGAGAATCCAGCGCCAGGAGTCGCTCAAACAGTTCATGGAAATGATAAATCGAGGTGTCTAATTATCTAATCTAACTTTAATTTTTAAATTTTTTCTTTTTTAAATTCTTAATCTGTTGTTCAGTTGATATTTAGGGAATTCAGTTTAACAGAAGCAAACGAAAACATGTGATGTGACGTTCAAAGTTGTGAATTGAAGAATCTAATCATGATTTTAATTGTGTATTTATTGAGGAAATTGGGGACTAATTTGCAATTGCAACAAAACTTGATTCTCTCTGTATATACATATATAAAAGGATAGAGAGACTCGTCAGTTGCAGAAGGTTCTAGTGATTAATTAGCTCTTTCCATATTGTTCTCGATTCTGAGAAGCGAGATAACAATGGTGAGGATGATTACGATTGCTAGGGCAATCGCAATGTACGCTTGCTTCCGCATCTCCTTCTCGTAATCGTTCAGGCTTCCCGTCCCCGTCCCCGGCTTCGCTGCGGTGGTGGTGGTGTTTGGAGTTACCAGCGGCGTTGGATGTGTTTCGATGGGGATAGTTGGAGCTCCGGCTGCGGCTCCGGCTCCTTCTCCTCCGCCGCTGCGCTGTGACTCAATCGGCGTCGCGATGCCTAGGAATATCTGGTGTAGATCCATTAATTTCCGCCGGATATCCTTCAAGGTATCGCGCCTCTCCTGAATCTCGGCCAAGGCGTCCGCCATGGCGCCTCTACCGTGCTCCTGCATCTCGTAGCGCGGCGGATACGCTGGCGTTTGGCTCGCGATTAAATTGTCGATCGCTTCCGCCGTCGCCTTCTCTCCGGTGATTGCGGAATACCTGGAGATGAATTTCAAAGGTAATCCGCTCGAATTCGACTTCTCTTTTGAATTCATGAAATCTATTGTTGATTTGTTATACGAACCTGCTCTCAATGAGAAGTCGGTGTTCGGTTTCCATTTGAACTCTGAGCCCCTGGAAATTGCGCGTGATGCGTTTGAGATTCTCCGTGACGTTGGAGATCATCGCCGCTCGCGTCCGATCATCCTCAGATCCGACGCCGCTTCCGGCGACCATTCGCTGGGCGGCGTTGGCGGCGACGAGACCGTCGAACTTCTTATTTATCTGCTTCGCCAATCTGAGGAGAAATTCGAGATCCGCATTTAATTGCGATCGAACCTCCTTCATCATCATCTCGTTCTGCGCCTCCTTCACTTCTTCATTCGAATCCTGTATCCTGTTATAAAAAACCTCGACGTTCTTCAAATCCGCCTTGATATTATCAACTTCTCCGGCGAAGATGTTCATGCCGGATTCCTTATTCATAGGATCGACGTAGACGTTGAAGGAGCTTCCGAACGATTCTCTCATTTTTCCAGGCAATCGAATCAAATTCGAGCAGGAAAATGATTTCGGCGACGGAGCAGAAATCCTGAATAGGATAGATTTATACCTCCGGTAGTGATCACGACGACGGAAGGATCATTTCCACCGCCTCGTGGAAGTTTTCCGGTGGAGAGGAAAATCGGGAAACGGGAAGGGTCATTTGAAGGCTTTCTCTAAGGTTGCCTCTAAGTTTGAAGGAATGAAAGCTTGGGATTGACCGTACAAGTGTTGCCATTTGATTCGTTGGTGTTCATTCGTTCAATTTCATTCGTACGTATCGTTAGTTAGAAACTAACCTCTCTTCTTTACTTAATTTTATTTTCATGTATGTGGTATTACCGCCTTCTAACGGTTCTTTAAGTTAGAGTTGTGACAGCATTTTGTGTGCAAGCAGCATGTTACTATTACGAATCATAAATAAAATATATATATGAATAAAATAATTAAATTACTTATCATGTGTTTAATATAATTTATATTTAATTGAATCAAACACAAAGAAGTAGATTTGACTAATGCTGCTAAATTTATATGTAGTACTATTTTCTTAAATACAAGTCACATGTGTTCTGTGGATTTGTTAGTTAAATTTGAAAATTTGAAGAATAAACATACCACCTTAGATATTTTGATATTTTATTTAATTTTTTTTAAATATCATATCAAATATATTTTTTTCATAAATATTAGTTTAAATACTACTAATTTTTATTATTTCAAAATTTTCAAACTCCAAAATTTTTTAAAAAAATTCTATCTACATGGACTAAAATTTTAAATTTAAATAATTATTTAATATATAATATTTTAAACATAAAATTAAATGTTAACTTAATATAAATAACATATATTAAATTTTATATTTTTGAAAAAGAAATTATAAACAGTGATTCAAATTAAAAACCTACAAACAACATAAAACAACCGACAACATTCTTCCATGGGTATTTGTCATATCCCTTCATTCTACCTATCCCTAACAAATTTTTAAAAAGATCTGCAGCAGCCAAAACAACCAACATAAGATAACCCACAAAAGCTGCCAATCCCATCCATCAAACCAATATTATAAACGTTGTTCTGCCACCACCACCAGACCTTCAAACTCCTACCCTCTTCTTCCTGTAATTTTCTTTTTTACTCCACTTCCCTTCCCTATATGTACACCTTTAACAATATTGCAACAAGGCAAAGCAGATTTACAAGTAACAAAATTTCAACTCTGCCATAAATGACTTCCTCTGTGCAATAGTGAGTGAGTGAGTGAGAGTACCTTCTTCCATATATATTTGGACCGGATACGATGCTTCGCCTAAACAGTTTTCTTATTATGCCCATCCATGGCTATACTACAGCTAATGAAACCTGTACCCGCACTAGAACCTGCTCCGATCCGATCTTCTTGCTGAATCTGCTTCTCGATTAGATCTCCGATTACATTAGAACCCAAAGATCCCCCCTGCTGCAAGAAAAATCTATCCGAAGAGCTGGGATGGGCAGATTTCATATTGCCCGGATCTGAGCCAGGTGACGAGTCTTCCTCCCGCTCTGGCTGGATGTTGAGGTCGATTTTACCTTTGAGAGACGAAGCTGAAGATTTTAGGGTGTAGGTGTTGGTGTATTTATCAGCATCCTGTGCCTGTGCCTGTGCGTTTTTGGGTTTTGAATTCTGCAAAGAAGATTCAGCTTCTATCTTGAATTGTTTCTTCTCTTCTTTCTCCATAAGGGTTTTGAAACGCAGTCTCAAAGAAGTGCAGACGACGCATTCACACGACTGCTTGTGCTTGGATCCTCTGACACTGGGAGGCCGGAAGCATACGATGCATGTGCAGCCTGTTTTATGGCGCGGGTGTTTTGGTCGGTTTTCAGATGAAGCATGGGGACCCTCTCCATCATCTTGGATCGCTAAAACAGGTGGATCAAATGCTTCCAGAGCCACAATCAGATCCGGGTCCTGATCAGCATCGGCGCTCTCTTCTCTCTTGGAAGAATCTGCATTTTCAAATGGAAAGAAAAAATATGTTATGGGTTTGTGGTCATAGAACTAGTTGAGCTTGCTGGGTAGAAATGAGAATCTCAGATCTTTACTCATGGTAAGTAGCATATGGTCAAGCTGTTCTTTCGTTAAATCCTCGACAGCTGAGCATGCTGATCTGATAAAGAAAGCATAAGAAGCATGACTGTGACAACTGATTGATATGTCAAGAATTCAGAAAACACTAAATAGAATCTTTCCAAACTGTGCAGACATGAAGAGCCTCTGCCAAACAACTAAGCAGATTTATGACGCTCAACAATTTGTTCAAGTTATTACATTTGAGAAAAATAAAAATAAAAATAAAAGAGAGGCTTAGGATTTAGAATGATTTTGATGGAAAATAAGTGTTGAGAGTGGTGCCTTTTCACAAGATAAAATTTGGAACAAAACACTCAAAGTATCACATGAACTTGGGTATGAAAGGATAAATTACAGATAAGAGGCATATGAAAGCAGTAAAATCTGTGCAACAAATGAAAATAAATTAATTGTTCAAATAACACATATAACTACCATACCTGTCAAGGTCCCAAACATTTTCAGCACAGGTCCATCTTGCAGGAAGAAGAGCATCTGCAGGCACTTTACGCCACTTAAAACAGTCTTCACATTGGAGCCACTGGATCTTTTCACTTATAAATGAAATAACTCAACGTCAGCATTCCTTCATGCAATGGGGAGTATGAACGAGGAAAGACAAATCTTCTCGATGGCAGAAACAAAGTATCTTACCCAAAGTGATCTACCCCTGGAATAGTAGGTCTGCCAATAACTGGCGCAGCTTCCTGAGAAGGAAAAAAAAAAAAAAACAAAGATGTCATACTGATCATAAAGAAATTGTCATTCAAACAAACTACAGGATGAAGTCATAAGCTCACATCATATTTAAAAAGGAGAGTTAAAATAGTACAAAAATCGTATTGAGAGAATCTAAACCTCAAATTCTTCAAATTCAAATCCGTCCACAATAATCAATGAAGGAGTGGTTTTGGCAGGTGCTCGCAACAACATTTGAGCTTCCTTCCAAGTAAGCTTTAGGTCAATTACATCATCATTTTCAAACCTAAGCCGCTTATTTTTTGCAGGAATGTTGCCATTTTTCCTCTTACTATGGCTGATGATTTTATCGTCAAGGACTTTTTCTGCAATTAATATCAGTTTCAAAACCCAAATAGGCAAATATGTCATGCATCTTCTGAGCATCAATACGCCATTTGATAATTTACCTTTTATGTGGCCATTCACAAGAACATCTGCAGAGCTATTTCTTGCACTGCTATCACCTGGAGTTGAGGTATCACTTCCCGCTATAAGAGCATCATATACCTGTGAAGAAATTTAAATACAAATAGTTCCTTATCATTGAATTTTTAGACTTGGGTATTAATAATGCATCCCACATGCTTATATAATCGCAATTTGCATTTTATATGAGTAAGGAATACATTATCTGGCATATAAGACTGTGAAAACTCATGCTTACAAAATGGCATTAAAGATCTATCAATGCAACAGAAGTAGCAGGAAATATACACTGTTAGGAACTAAGGTTGGTTGATGACAAACCTGATCGGATGGATGAATGGCAGAAGCCTTTCTACCACCCATCACCAACTTCCCTTCCGGTTCCAGCCGGCTAAAGGTTACTGGTAATGACAAAAAAAAGAAAAAACCAAACCATTATGTGAAAAAAGACAAAATAGCAAACGTGTAAGATATGTTTTATCTCATTACATGGCTCAAACAAATAAACAAAAAGTTGGCCTATCATGACTAAATTTGAACGACAGGCAAGAAGCTGTGGTAGCAGAAGGCAAAATTGATGGGCAGAATCTATTCCAACTTTTATGCCATGAGAGAGAGAGAGAGAGAAAGAGGGAGATAGAGATGGAAGAAAAACTAGGCAGAACATTGTGAGCAACTGATGAATTACCTACATCCCCAGCTTGCAGTTCCATTGACTGTATGCAAGGGGTAATCCCTTCCAAAACATACATTCTGCTGTTGTTATTAGGCCAAAATCGAAACTGAAATACCCATTCTTTTCCCTTCACATCCAGCACCTTTAAAGGTAATCCTTCTGGATGACAGATGGGCGGAAAATATGCCTGTTGCATCATATATCAAGTAAAATGTGAAATGAGGAAGCTTCACAGGCATGGGCTGCACAAAATAGACCTGCATAGTGTTTGGTGTAAATACATGCCCCCACTATAATAATTTTCCTATATATCATTATAGAAGGACCAGACCATATGTGGATAATAGAAGATAAGCGCACTAAATACAACCATGGTAAAAGGCCACTTGCATACAGAAATCTCTATGATTTTGGGACAAGGTAGAAAGCCATCGATCACTCTCATATCTTCACTCTGGATGAATCTCCCAGCATTTCTACTAGTTCAGTTTGACTTAAAATTAGTGACAACGCACTCCTCTAAAGCTATCTTATTTCTTTGATAGGTTAAAAAGATGCATACTAATCAGAATCGGGACTTCAATCAAAAGACCAATTTAATTTCATTAAGGCATTACAATCATTAGATTTGCCCAATGCAACAACTTAGTCTGTCAGCATCAGCGTGAATTGATGTGGCACTGGCATTCAATTATTTTAAAGCTGAAAAATCTAAACATGACCACATCGTAGTTGTTCAATTCATAATGACTAATTCTGTTGGCTCCTACATTTGGATCAATACAATCAGATGATTCCAGCTATAAGATGGGAGCACATAACATAAATCAATTCAGAAACTAACGCACAGCAGTATCCACCAACGCTTATAGCTCACATTGAAGTGCATGGTAGAGTCCATTTTTTATTTTTTTAGCCAGAGCAAGACATCTCATCACAAGGTGTCAACATTTCATTCGAAGAAAGCAGGTGAGAAATAGTTGTTTACCTCTGCACACTTTTTTGGCAATACCAGGCGCCCAATCCTCCCAGCATCACTGGCACTTAACATTTTCTCAAACAATGGAGTAATAACTGACTTTGAGCTAAGAATACGCTAAGGTGAAATCTAGTAGCAAGTTGCAGAAATAAAGAGGTATCATATTAGTAGCGCCTGATGCTAAAATGAATCACACAGGTATGTAAGGTGCTTCTCAGAAAAGTTGATGTGTAGCATCAGGAAAAACAGAAGTTCAAATAAGTTTTTTATCATTATTGTTGAGAAACAAAATGGAATTGTGAATGTGGCAAAAGATATAGGATACTTGCTAGAAATTTGTTGAAGCTCCTTGTTAGACATTTGAGGGCGATATCGAGGAAGCAGCAGATTTCGGCCTCGAACATCTCCTCGAGCCTTTTCATTGTGCAGTTGAACCTCACCAGATGGGTCCATCATGCTGTGACTTACCTGTTTTCCCACAGGTAATGAATAGGCTTGTGATTTTGAAAAAATAGAAGAAAGTTGGGCGTCATCTGTTTCAATTCTAGATGAAGCAGCTGTTGCCAAACTCAAGTTTGAAGAAGAATCATCATTTTTTGGGAACAATGGGTTTAAATCATTAATGAAGGTAAACGATGGCTCCTTCATATTGATCCCTGCATCGAATGAATACAGGTTACACCAAGTAGGTAATAAAAGGTAAAGAAGCGATATCTACTCTGTCACAAGTAAACAGACCTACCAGAAAGTCCATTTTGAGGTGTTTCAGATGGGCCAAGTCTCAGCTTACCTGGTACTAATCTTTCATATCGTTGTTTCATCTCAAAAGGCGCAGTGGATAATTTATCACCAATGTGATACCTGTCATTGCTTCCTGATTCATTGATTTCAAATGGCATCCTTTGCTGTACACGAGAATGGGTATCAGAACCACTGAACAGACTAGGAGCCTGATGCCATGGCATCTGGCCCGAGTTAGCTACTGTACTCCAAGTTTTCACAGAAATGTCCTTGACCGTTTCAGGTTGTGAAGGAAGAAAATGAGAAGGTGGAGGCCACGCTGGATTTGGGGTCTGAATCATGTAAAAATTAAATCTAGGTGACTGCCTATGTTACAGTGAAACACAAAACAATGTGAAAGAACAATGTTGAGTCCGTATGCTTCTGCATATTCTTTCACCATTCATTAAATCATATAGAAATTTTCTTTAGAAAAAAAAAAAAACATCCAGGTATCAGTTTTGTGTTTGCTATATATAAGATGCAAAAATTTGAACAATTACTGCCACATAAAGCTTACCCTAATATATGAGAGAAGTATGGTGAAGAGAAATTTAGTGAAAATGAACTTCTACCTTTATACCCTCATGAAAAATAGAAATAAATAAATATATAAAATAAAATAAACCTTATTATGATGGAGTATGACAAGATAATAGGATTAATTAATATAAAGGCTACAATTGCAGACTCGAGCATCCCTAAAGTATATACATAAAAGCCTACCCTAAAGTATATACATAAAAACCTAACCATTAACCTTATGTTTCACATACTTGATCTAAGGTTTGCAGCAACATACCTATATTGAAAATATTGCTTTATAAACCAAGCTTGAATAACATTTTCTGCTTGCTTCTCTTAATCAATGAAAATGCAACAAGCTCAAGTGCAAATGAGTCGAGACCAAACATGAAAAGCAATTCAATCAGGCTCATTAACAAATCCAATTGTGATTATGCATGAAGAAGGATGCTCAACCGTAACATGAAAATGTTATTCAATTGTCATTCATGCTTGGCCACTTAGCCTTCATCTTATGACATGTGGCCTACTATTTTGTACTTCTTAGCATAGTTTTTTCAACACTTCTTCCACCAATAATTTAACCTTAAATGTAACCTTCTAATCAAAGGCCATACATTCTTCATCAATGGCTACCTTACATTCTTTGTCGGGAACCAGCTTAGCTATGTCATTTGTTTCCTTAGCAGCAGTCAACTCAAGTTGACATTCTCAAGGCTACTTTAGGTGAAAGAATATTGATGAAGTTTCATTTCAAGCTAGTCAATCTATACTTTCAAAATTTATCATCTTATGCATTTTTCAACATTTTCTCAATGTGGGACCCGCATATAATCTTATATTTTTCTCTCTCTAAACAAATACATGTTATAAAATTGAGTTTGTGAATTAGACATAGATATATTTATTCTATCTAAATTATACAAAATTTTATTATCTACAAAATTATACTATATTATTAAAATATAGTTTTCAAAACACTTCAACACATATTTTAAATTTATTTTTAATCAAATATATTACATTATTTCATTCAACTCATTTAAAAAAATTGCAAACCACAATCCTCCAAAGTCTAAAACCAATGCAATCCCACCATATATTATAAACCAACCACCAAATCAAAACATCAAGAAGGTTCACGTCTTTAACTAAATGAAGAAAGTTAGAATTTGAACCTCTAAGTTAAGAGTCTTTCAACATATCAATTATGCACTTCTAAGAATGATGCAGACGAGAGCTAGTGTAAAGTATAGTTAAAAAAATAATAAAAATAATAAAAAAAGAAAAGAAAAGAAAAGAAACCAAAGTAAAACAGAACAAAAACAAAGAGGATGATGTGAATGAAACTTGTGGGCTTCTAACATAAGCCAAGTGATAAAGAAGCCGCTCTTACCAGTATGTAACTTTTTTTTGCACATGTAAGGCACTCTATACCTCCAGCATCCAATAGTACAAACATATGGAACGAAACTATACATCCACAGTGTATTTGCTGCAAGAACGAGTTAGTTATTCAATTTATGACATTCTCTACATTGCAAAGATAGGTGGATTAAACATCATAAAAGCCTTGTACTCTAGGAAATTACTTGTCTCGAACTTTAAAAGCTACGTTACCTTTCCACAAGATTCACAGCATCTCCACCCAGTAGCTTTTGAGTGAAATGTCTCACAAAATTTTCCATCCTCATAAGCAGAGCTGAATTCACACTAATTTCATAAATTTGGAGAGAGAAAGAAAGAGACAGGCAGGGAGAGACTTTCCAAGGAGAAAGAGAAAGAGAGAGAGAGAGAGACAAAGAAAGACTTTCTTAACATAATTCAAATTCTTAGAATTGATTTCTTAACATACTTGTGTTTCAACTTCAGCAATGGTTTCCAACAAAACTTCAAAACCCAGTAGCAATGCCATTTCATCAGATTTATCAGTTTTGGGCTAACCACCACTTAAAATATAACAGCATTTTTAGGCTGAAGTAATTGCCCCCAACAACTAAGAATGTCAGTATTCTAGAACAACAACCAAAACATTGACTAAGGATTTTAAAAAGTAAACGTTAGTCCATGAAACACCTCACAACCACGTTAAGGAACGGCGTTTACTCTGAAAAAACTAACCTACGAAGAAATTGCAAAAACCAACCACAATACAGTCAAATATTCACAAGAAGTTACTACAGTTAAACTAGTCACATAGAAACGGACAGATATATACATTCGGACACAAAACTAAACTTATCAGGCACGAAATCTCCTCCTTCACCACAAAAAAATAAAGTAAGAAGAAGAAACAACCATCTACAGCTAAGCAGCATTGCAAGGCAAATCCACCAGAAATAGATAAAAACAGAAACAATCTCCCTTACGCGCAGCGATCACAGAGGCGAGCATAGTCGCCTGTGCGGCGACGCCAGCCTCTCCTCCAGTTCTCCGACACCTCTTTGCAGCCGGAATTGAAGCACACCTTCGTCGCCGTGGACGAAGACATCATCACATCACATACACGAAAACCCTAACCAACAAAATATTTATCCCCACAGAAGAAGATTTATCTGCGGATTCTTGTTCCTACTCCCTCTCGTTAGTTGAAATATAAATTCAGCACTAAATACTGAGGGTCAGGTGTGGCATCATCCATTAAAGCACAAAACCCTAGGCGAAGCTAGAGAGAGAAAGGTGCAGCGATTTACAGTAACACACCACTCTCTGTATTCTGGAGCAATTTGAAAATCATTCTAGGGAAGAAAAAAGGGTTTTCAGTATGTGTGGGTGTGTGTGTGACGCAGGAAGAGAGAAGAGGAGAGTAGTGAGTATGTGTCCGCCAACGTATCGTATATAGTATACACGATATTTAATAAAATAATAATAGTATACTGTATACTGTATTCTGTATTCTGTATAGGTTGTAAAGGTCCGTTTGTTAGGTAATTTGCGTTTTCAAATTTGATTTTTAAATAATTATTTATATAATAAAAAAATATTAATGTGATAAAAGTAAAAATATAGACAAAAATATTTTTAAAAAATTTAGTTAAAATTTGAAAAAATATATATGTATTTTTTGTAAATAAATATTTTTATAGATGGGTAGAATATATTCAAATAAAAATAAAATTTTGATTTCATGTTATGTCATTGAAAAAAGAATCATTAACAGTAAAAATATTTTAAAAAACTTCAAACAAATACAACCTAAAATTTTTTTGTTTGATTGTGTTTTGTTTATTAATTTTTATTTAATTCTTATTATTATTAATAAATATGTTGTTTCTTATAAAAATTATATTAAAATATTTTTAAACTAAAACTAAATAAAAAAAAAACAAGCAATATATTATAAAATAGTTGTCTTTTCTTTCATATCTAGTAATTATTAGTAAACTGATATTTTTAAATTATATATATATATATATATTCATATGGTTATTTATGATGTATTTAATAAAAATAAGTATTAAATTTTATAATAAATAAAATTTAGAATTCTTCAAAATACAAGTGTGGTTGTTTGTTTGGGGGTTTGGATTTTGAGTTGGGAGTTGAATAGTAAAAATTTTGAATTTGAATAGTTGTATGATGTGATATAAATAGGTGTTGACGTGATGTTTTAAATGTAAAATTAATTTTTAGTATAATATAAAAAATGAAAAATAGGTGTTTGATTTGATATTTTTGGGAAAAAAAATTGGATAAATAGTAGAATTTTATTAAAATTCTACAAACGAACACACCCTAAATAAGAATATCAATAATAAGAAATCTAATTCGACAAATTCGATGTCATTAAAATATTATTTTGTATATGAATGAATTTTCATAATAATATTCACCAAATAATAAATTTTGATATTATTTAATATTATTACATAAAATTAATATTATAAAAATATAAATAAATAATAGAGAAAACATAATTGAAATTAATATCAAAATTCATTTAAGAGTTTAATATCTGCAAGAATCTAAGCTCTATTTGTTTGTGAATTGTGAATTTTCAAGTAATAATTTACTACTTATCTATTCTAAAAATATTTATGATATTATTTTTTTATTATATCAAAAATTCACATACAAGTCCTATTAAAAATGACATAGTAATGTAGAGTGGACTCGTGACAAAGTTTTCAGACTTTTCGGTCATACTTGTTTTGCCTACTTAATTTGTTGATTTTGCAATAATATTATTTTACAATTGAAAAAAAAAAATAAAGTCACTATCATAACTAACTTAGGGTGTTGTCTTTTATATATATATATATATTTATGTTATATTTAAATAACATTGGCATTTCGTTAATGTACACTCATATGTTATATGTATGTCAATTGTCAGTGTGTGTATAAATGAAGGTGTCTGTTAAAACTCGTATAGTAATGAAAATAATAGTAGTAGTAATTAGTAGGTTGTAATGGCATGGAGTGTAGCCGCTTTCTGCGCATAGAATACACTAAATGGGGCTTTGCGGGGACCGCCGCTCTGTCCTGTCCTACGTCGTCGTTTCGTTCCCGTTCGTTTCTCACATGTGGATGGATGGGATGGGTTTGTAATACATACACATAGGGTTTGTTTTTTAAAATAAAAATATATATATATTATTATCATAAATATTTTTTATTTAAAATATTGCAAAACATTATTCATAATTCAAGACATTACATTTAACACATATTTACTTATATTAAACATGTTACTACATTCAAAAAATTTTAAAAAACAGTTGTTACTATTTAACAACTCAAAACCGGACATCTCTTGTCCCTTGGCGAGGCCTATCTCTAACACGCCGTAAGCATAAAATTATATTTAGAAAAATATACATGTATATGTATATGTGTATACAAGATAATATATACACATAAATACATAAATATATATATATATATATATGTATGTGTGTGGGCAGATAAATTATACACACTTGTGCATAAACAGGCACACACACTAGATGCAAATATAATGAGGAAAGCTATTTAGGTGCAAATAAAGTAGCCAAACCTTGATCCATTTTGATGAAGAGCTTGTCGTAGCTCATCAATGTCTTCTTTTCATATTGGAAGGCTCCTTTGCCTCTAGCTAGAACTTCTCCATCAACATCGATGATCCCGCCCGTGGCCGGGTCTCCGATTTGCTGCCCAGGCTGCAAAATGAAGGCTTTCACCTGCGCCCGATCGACAAAAAAGACATTCACTGCGAGCTTTTCTCAGATATATGCAATGAAATAGCAATGGATGTTTCGAAGTGGCGAAGATGGTAGAGAACCTTGAGATAAGATACATGTGGGGATTTGATATGATCTCCATTGTTGAGTTTACTCATCAGCTTTAGCAAGGCCAGCTTTGGACAATCCTTGACCATGATCAGGTCCAAACAACCATCTGCAAACTGCATCAGTTCAAGAAAAATGGAAATGAATTGCTTCGATCTATGTTTTGATTGAATAACTTCAATTATGAAGAAATGATATGGAATGGCAGAAATAATGGTGTATTAAATGAATCACGGAGTATTGAATGCACAAAATGAACAAACCTCGGCATTGGGTGCTGCCAATGAATCTTCGCCTCCCCAGGGAACATTTTGAAGCCAGATCGAGGCAAAAGGGCCGCCAACCTTTCGCCAGTTCAAACTCTTTGCATCAACTTTAGGACCCTGATAGCTACAGTCGAGATTTTTAATAGGTGCATCGACAGACTTCATTTCACTCTCTTCTTGGACAATAATTTCATCTTCAAGACCTAAGGGTTCTCCAAAAGATTCATATCCAGGGGCGGGCACAAAAAGTATTGTGCCATTGTACTTTCTAAGACCCAAGATGCGGCGAAGGGCCTGAAGTTAGTGAAGAAATTTCAGTCTTAGTAGAGCAAATGATGAATATGGTGAGGGTAATGATTGAATTTTGATTCAATGAATGCACTAAAAACGTTTCATGCAAGAAAGAACAGAGTTTCTTTCATAGTACTGTGTTACTTTAGGTGTAAGCCTGTATTGTTGACAGGCTCAACTATGGATATATGATGTTTGTTATAATAGAGACCCTAACGTGTAGAGAAGATATTAATAGCAACCTGCACAGGTAATGGTGAAGTTATTGTACTAACATGCTAACAAATGGCCTCGGTTGTGATTGAAGCTAATTGATTCAAGTTTTGTTTTGTCGACTGGTTAACATCCAAGGATATTCAGCATTGCTATGTTCAATGCAGCGTAGATGATAAATATAAAACTCACATAGAAATCTATTCGAGCACTTCCCATCCATCTGTACTTCTCCGACTCAATATCAATATCAGCCACAAGGCCTACAGCAATACCTCCGAAAATTAGCATCTGTCACTTAAAGCCAACTAAAATAGCTGATCCCATGAGTAGTTCATAAAATGATCAATAAGCATGTGTTGACTTAGATTTTGGATTATCACATACCCCATGCCAGCATTAGAATGCTGAAGAATTTGGTATCCCCTTGTGATATTGTAGCAACATCCAACGAGCGCTTGTTCCCTGCGTTAGTCGTTGGCAGGCAAAAATGTTCTGTCAGCTACATTGAAGTTGTGTATCGATAAAAACAGGTGGCAAAATTTACAGATGAAGTTTAAACTACCTCGAATTATAGAAAGAGTAGCATTTGATGCTGTACATGGCTCACTGCATGAATCTAGAAGTGACTTCACCATTCCATTTCCAGTTCCTAGACTCAGAAAGAAGCCATAGTTAACATTTTCGTAGTCATATGTGTAATTATTATTTCTCTGTATGTGGGAAACCAACTTTATCATCTATTATGAGCTGAATCTTGGACCAGCAATAATCCCCAAGTTTAAACAAGATACGAATTTCAATTTGAAAACTTTACCCTGCTAGAGCAATTCACTAAAACATCTCATCTTTCATGCCTGTAGTAAGCTCAGCAGGAGATTTTTATAGATGGAATAATGTCTTTTTTTTTCAATTACAACTATTCTTATGGCAGCACTTAGAGAAACAGTTGTACCTGCAGGTACTGCTCCAAGAGGCATCTTTATCGCATCATGCCAATCGTCCCTGGTGAGAAGACCATTTATTACCTACCAAGAACCCCACATAATAATTAACAATCAGGAGGTCGATGCTCTTACTTTTCAGAAATCCCTTGAGTTGAGATGTCTCAGATACTTCTGCCAGATGGAAGCTTATAAACTCGGACACAAATAATTGTTGTAAACAAACATTTAGTCTTAAATCTCAATAACAATAAAGTAGCCTCAGTCCCAACCACCCACTTTGAAGATCTAATTCAAGAAAATAAGCATTATAACTTAGTTGGGACAAAACCGCGACAAAACCCCATTTGGGAATCAGAGTGAGAATTTTTTAGGAGCCCACAATCTCCAATCAATGCGCTGAATCTCTGTTCAACCTATGCTACTTTAATACAGCAGTTCGAGGGATTTATTTCCGCTTTGAGATTTTATTGTCTATAAAATTTATTGTTTTATATCATGAAATGTCAGATACTGTTTAATACACAGCCTAATTTCTTTTAGTTTACCCTACCGACAAGTAAATCAAGCTTACTTTTCCGTTGCGATCGCTTGATCAGCAAGCAACAGTAATTCATAGAAAATCTCCTTAAATTTCTGGAAAACTGGCACAATTCCCAGGGAATGATTCGATTGAAAAACAGATAATGACAGAATCAATAAATATGTGGCGACAAAGATGAACCTACCTCAACTAAAATTCCGTCGCCGCTTACGCAAACAATTCCATCATACTTTGCTATATCAAGCGACCGAACAACTTCCTTCGCGTGGAGCTGATGTTCAGTTTCTATCGAGAAGCACGCATAGTCAACCCTTGCTTATCAAATGTATATTATAAACATAGAAAATAGAAAAATAAACACCATGCTCAACCGAACCTTTCACGGTGTAATCGATGTTGGCATCATCGAGCAACGGCCTCACATCGTTCGAAAAAATACGCAACGCGGATTTCTTTCCTCCGAACGGATTGACAAATATGAATAACCTCTTCGGCCTACCTAAAGAATCCACACGCACAAAACTCACAAATTACGGCAAAGTCATATTTGATTGGACTTACCAAATTTCCAAAAACTGCGGAATTATATGGTAAGATACACGAGTAAATGCAAACTACGCAGATTTTCGCACGTACAGATAATCCAACAAAATCTTACCAAGAGAATCCAGGTACTCCTGCAGATTCTGAGTCCAAAGGCGAAGAGAATCATTCGACAGGAACTCCAGAGTGAAGGTCTTCCTAATCAACGATCGCTTCGCACCAAAGAAACACGCTCCAGCACCGCCTTCGATCAGAGCTCTAATATTGATCCTGTTTCCCACGACGGAGAAGCCGAGGACCTCTCTCTCCACGTCCAACCGCCGCCCCGCCCACCCCAGCTGACCTCCGGCGGAAAGCGTCGCCGTCGTGATGTCGCTGTTGGCGCGTACTTGGTCCGACAGTATAGATTCCCCGATTTTCATCTTTTCCATGTGATCACCGAGTCTGCTCCTTGCTTTGCAACGACCAGAAATTGTTTTGCGCGGCGGCTGCGGAGATTCCGAACGCTGCCGAAAAATCGCGTTTGCGACACCTAACTGATAAACGCGCTTTTAATCTAAACTCGGTTTGGTCATAAAAAAACGTTTAACCGGTTTTTAAATATTTTAAGGGCGCGGCCCATGGGTCCCGTGATTATCGTTGGATGGGACGCCCAGTGAATCTCCACCGTATATACGTTGTGGAGTTAACACGTGTATGGTTTGGATTTATTCGGAGATGAAGTCCATGGCCCTTGCAAGATTGCCGATTGCGTACTGGCCTTTTCTTTTCGTACTTAACATAATTCTTTCTGTTTAATTTAAGACTTTTTTTTAAGCAAAGCGCCAAAGCCACTCTAGTTTGACCGTTTGCGTAAAGCTATTCACATAATTCAGTTATTTAAAAAAATAATAAAAAAGTACGTAATTAATTAATATAGGTAGACCCTAAATTCGATATTAATTTACTTTGAACTTGCGAATATTTTTAAAATTTATAGAAATATTTTAATATGATGGGTTTGTTGACTTGATTTTTTAGATAGATTTTTATTTTTTATATTTAAAATTTTAAGTATAAAAATTTATGTTACGATTTTTTTTTTTTATGAATAAATAAAATATATTATATATTTTGATAATATTTATAAAAGATTTTACCATCCAAATATGCAGCAATAAACCCTATATTTGTATATGAATTTTTAAATTATCCTAGTTCTCTTAGGTGTGTTTGTTTGGTGTATGGATTTTGAATTATCATTTGAATATAGTAAAAATTTTAAATTAAAATAGTTATATGATATCATATAATATAAATAAAAATTAATGTGATATTTAAATATAAAATTGATATTTATTATAATATAAAAAATAAAAAATAAGTGTTTAATTATATTTTTTTTTAAAAAATTGATAAATATTAAATTTTGAGAAATCTCCCAAACAATCTCAGTGTGTCTGTTTTTAATTTTTTTAGTACTATATATAATATGACGTCACTGTTGTAAAACTGAGAACAGTAGCTACTATACATTTATTTTATAGTCTTCCTTTAGTTCCATAAATAAAATATCTATTTATAAATAAATAATTAAAAATTATATTATTATAAATAATTATAAATTAAAATTTAATTATGTTAGAGAATAAAAGATGCTCAAATACCGTTAGTCAATTCTGTCGGCGTGGACTCCGAAAGTACTCTAAAGAGTATGTCCGTTATCGGATTTGGGGCGAATCCGACGGTAGAGCCTACGCAGCTTACAATCTAAATAACTGATATACTAAAATTTAGATAAATTTATTGGAAACTGAATAAAAGCATGCTTGAAACATAAATTAGCAACAAAATAACAAAAGACAACATTAATTAGAATTTAGATAATATACGGGTGAACTAATAACATGATAAAGAGTTGTAGAATATAGTGCGTTCTTGTCGTGTATGTTGTATTTTGTTTTGTTATATTTAATCCTAATACCAAGTAACTATTCTTTTGGTTGTTACAACTATTATTTCCGTTCACTCCAACTCCTTGACAATCCCTCTGTTCAATTCTCAACTGTTGGACTCATTTTCAACCGCTTCAATTGCACTTGAACCATTCCAAGACTCATTCCGAATCACCTCTATTACAACTTAGCCGGTCTACAAGGTTTTATCTTTAACAATTTTGAATTGTATGGAGTCTTAAGTTTCGATATGAAATTGTTAACTTAGAGCCAGTGGAGATTGCTGTTTTTAGCTCAGCAGAGAAAACAATATTTAACTTTATAGAAACATTGTTTTTGGATAGATGCGTTATAGTTTAATAAATTGTTGCGTTAAGATTAATAGAATTTGATGCTTTATGGTAAGTGGAGACTGCTGTTTTAGCCCTAAGAATACAATAATTCTTTACTTTGTGGAGACATTATAGTCCAATTGAGGTGGTTTCGCAGCTTTGAAGCGCTCCATTTCTATTGAACAGCTCCGTAGCGTATGAGTCCCGGCTCCACTTCATCTTCATGTTCATGTTCTTTTGAACTCATTTTAAACAAACAAACTATTTTAATTAAAATAAATTTAAAATTATTTAAAATATATAATATATTTTATATTTAAAATATTAAATAAATAACTGTTTATATTAACCAAACCAACATATTTTCATTGGAAGTTAAATTGTTTAAAATTCCAGATAAACAAGAGCGCTAGCAATCATAATGATAATACTAAGGTTGAAAAAAGGCAATCAGAAATTTCGCAGATGGCTTAAACGAAGCTTCTTGGTAGTCTCTTATCTCTTTCCCGGCAATTCCAACTTATTTGTTTTCCCGCTTTTCTATCCTTTTTATTCGCTGCCGGAATCTTTCCCATGTTTGCTAAAGTCGACGATAGTTTGATTGAGGAAACTTTGCAACTTGCGAGGTGCTGAATGAAGTGGCATTTATTTATTGGCAGAAATTAGGAAAAGTTAGGGGAAGATGCAGACAGGGTATGTGGAAAGAGCGAATAGAATGGCGGCGAGGGAGAAGCGTGGTTTGGATTCGAATAGTAGCCAGGAAGGTCAGCCTGAGAGGAAACGCCCTGCTCTTGCCAGGTAATTTACCGAGGCGCGGATTCTCGCACCTTTACTTGCTCGGAGATAAATTTGGTGAACTAGTTGTGTGATTTTGTGTATGCAGTGTTTGTTTAGAGTGGTTGAATTATGGTTTGGAGTGAGAGAAGTGGTGAGGAATCGAAGTCATGCGGTAGTTCTGGCCATTTTCTAAGGGTTTAACAAGGTTTTCACTTTTGATGCAGTGTTATTGTCGAGGCTTTGAAGGTGGACAACCTGCAGAAAATGTGCTCTTCACTGGAACCAATTCTTCGGCGAGTTGTAAGATTGTAGACTCTCGATTCATACTGTTTCAGTTTGTGGCGGATCGTTAGTTGTTCAGCGATGTTCCTGACTATGTGCTGGAAATATTGTGAACTATATTTGTTTCTCTGCATCTCTGTTATGTAGATTTTTTTTTACAGTTTTGTCAGTACTGTCTTTGTTAATGATTTCTGCTGTCAATTATGCTGCTATGTCAGTGTTCTTTAATGGATAATTCTTTCGTGGATTGCACAAATACTGGTTATTACTGATTTCTTCTTCTAAGGGTGTGTTTGTTTGAGGGATTTGTTTCGATTTCCACTATTCATCCTTATTTTTTTCTTCAAAAATATCAAATCAAACACCTTTTCATTTTTTTATATTATACTAAAAATCAATTTTACATTCAAAACATCACATCAACGCCTATTTATATCACATCATACAACTATTCAAATTCAAAATTTTTACTATTCAAATCCCAACCCAAAATCCAAACCCTCACACAAACACACCCTAAATGAACGCCACAGTTTTCATTCTCGTGGTTGTAATGTTGGTCTGTTTGTGAGAATCTTCTCATCTGTCTGCATATCACTTGTAGCTTATAGAATTTAGATATGTTTCATGGTTTGTAATAGCTCTTTAACTTTTGGATTGTCAGGTAAGTGAGGAAGTGGAGCGTGCCTTGGCAAAATTGGGATCTGCAAGATCAAATGACAGGTGTGGGTGTTATTTTCCAAATCCTTGTAGTTTTTGTTCTAGATTTTATAATGGATGAAATTTCATAGAATATTCTCGTTTCTGTTTGTTGTCAGATCATCTTTGGGATATGCTGACAAATATTTTGTCCATATATAATGGATTCAGGAATCTGCAGTTTTCTTTTGTTATAGCAAATTTTAGCAATTATGTCTGAAGGAAGGCTTCCGTTAAAATGCTGAGGCTAATCATGTGAAAATATAACAAACAGAAAACGAAAATCTAATATACAACACATGCTTGTCAGTTCTATTTTATATGTTTGCAGTGTAAGTAAACTTGTGTGCTGATATCAATTCTAATATGTGGCATTTTGATTACTGTCATGAATTATCAGTTCATGTGTTATATTATATACACGTATATCTTATGCTTTTGATTCATACATAATGTGTTGTCAATATATATATTATTTGTGTTACCAACACTGTGGTTATTATAATCAGTAACAACCACCTTGGAGGAATGTATAGGTTTAGTACTATTATTACCTTATCTATTTACCTTTGGATTTGTCTCAATATCTGAAATGAATCATGTATGGATTATTCTAAGTTAAGCTGAAAGTTGAATCTTTCGTTAAAGCTGCATCCACATTTTACAACTGTTTCAACCTTAAACAAGCAGGATATCCCCACAAAGAATTGAAGGTCCTGATGGGAGAAATTTGCAGCTACATTTCAGATCCAAGCTGTCTCTACCTCTTTTTACTGGAGGAAAGCTAGAGGGAGATCAGGGTGCGCCAATCCACATTGCGCTGCTTGATGCAAACACAGGCCAAGTTGTAACATCAGGACCTGAATCCTCAGTAAAATTAGATGTTGTTGTGCTTGAAGGTGATTTCAACAACGAGGATCGTGATGGCTGGAGTCAAGAAGAGTTCGAGTCAAATATAGTGAGAGAGAGAGAAGGGAAAAGGCCACTTCTTGCTGGGGACTTGCAGGTTGCTTTAAATGGAGGTGTTGGAACTTTAGGAGAGCTGATGTTCACTGACAACTCTAGTTGGATTAGGAGTCGAAAGTTCAGACTTGGCCTGAAAGTGTCAAGTAATTATGAACGTTCTAGAATTCGTGAAGCAAAAACAGAAGCCTTCACAGTCAGGGATCACAGAGGAGAATGTAAGCTTTTTCTTTCCAGAAAAGATATAAGAAAATTGATTTTTGTACTGTTCTTCTCGTTCATTTGGTGGTAAATTCACACTTCTTTTTGTAGTATATAAGAAGCATTACCCCCCTGCACTTGACGATGAAGTTTGGAGGTTAGAAAAGATTGGGAAAGACGGTTCATTTCATAAGCGGCTTAATCAAGCTGGAATAAATACCGTAGAAGACTTCTTGCGATATGTTATTAGAGATCCACAAGAACTTAGAAAGGTGAGATGAAAGGCTTAATTTTTCTGATCAATCTATTCTATGATTTTGCTTTTTTTCAAGCGCGCATAATGAATCTTTGCTACTTATTTCAGATACTGGGAAGTGGAATGTCGAATAAGATGTGGGACATTCTCGTAGAGCACTCCAAGACTTGTGCATTGGGTGGGAATGTATATGTCTACTATCCCGATGAGCCGAGTAATGTGGGGGTTGTATTTAACAGAATCTGTCAATTGAGCGGCTTGATTATGGATGGACAGTATCACGCAGTGGATTCAATTTCTGAGAGCCAGAAGGTTAGTGATTCCATAGCCATTAGTGACTCAATTACCTGTTTTAGAGATGATCACACTTCCCTGACAAAAATAATTAAATTGCTGGCATAAAATCTAGTTAGTCATTCCACATTAGGAGTTAACCATAGCTGAGTATTCAAGAGAAACATTAGCCTCTGCCATTTACTTATCTGTCACATTAGAAGATTTTAATCTGAGTTCAGACAGACAAGATGAGTTGTAGCAACTTATGTTTGCTTTGTATTGCAGGTCTATGTGGACACATTGGTAAAGAAGGCTTATGACAACTGGACTCATGTGATAGAATATGATGGCAGATCACTGATGGGCTTTGATCAAAACAAAACCACAGAGACACAAGATCAGCTAGTTTCTCTTGATCAACTCAGTTTATCTAGCTTCCCTATTACAATGCCAAATCATCCTCCTATGAACCAAGGTTTTAACATTGGAGGTAACTTACCACATTTGCTAGATTAACAATTACACCTCCTTTTAAGGTTTCCTTATCGATAACTTTTGCCTTCGAGTAAAATGTAGATGACCAGAGGTTAGTTTTGTGCAAGACTATTCTCACTATTGGATGATTAATCTTTGGATAGGTTACAATGACAATATTGGAGGTGAATATCCCACACAATGTCAGGACATGAATCTAAGTGTTGCTATAGGATTGAACGACTACGATCCAACTCCCCCACAGGATCAGCTCATCCATCATGAACGACAACCTCTACCATCCGAAAGTGAAAACTTGCTAGCTCTCGGTCGTCCAGTCTCAGCCATGTCCGGCTTCCACATTGGCAGCGCATCTAACCTTGCGCCATATAGGGCGTATGAACACATTCCTGAGGATGAAATTCGTGTAAGAAGTCATGAGATGCTTGAAACTGAAGATATGCAGCATCTGTTACGTATGTTTAGTATGGGACGCTATGGCCAGTCTTCATTTAATGATAATGGGAGTAACTATGCCTACTCGGTATGCACCCCTACGATGCATACCAACTTTGGACTCGAAGATGACCACACACGTCCTTCTGCGAAAGCTGTCGTCGGGTGGCTCAAACTGAAAGCAGCTCTCAGGTGGGGTATTTTCATCAGGAAACAAGCTGCGGAGAGGAGAGCACAAATTGTAGAACTGGATGACTTCTAGGTATGATGCACCTTTTTAATCTTTTTCCATGATGCACCACAGCAAAATACAGTGTATCATATATTATGTGTGTGTGTATGTGTATATAAATATATAAGTTAAAGGTTAATGGAATTCTCTACATAATTTTTTATGAATTCTTACAGAAATATATAGTTATGGAATGATCAATTCCTATGGAAAATCAATGTATCCTGGTTAGGAGATTATTATGTATAAATAGGGGTGCCTTACTTACTGGCATAGATACTACAGCAAGGAATTCATGTAGAGAGAGTTTTCTTTGTGTGTTATTGTCTGTTTGTTTTAAATTGCAGTCGGAACAATTGAGCAACATTCGTATGCTGTTTAACCATTATATGGATGATTTGGTACAATATACTGAAAATATTTGATCATATTATATTTTATTATCATATCGAATTTTCAGTATATTACAAATACTGTACAGTACCAATAATTCAATATATCAAATTGTTCATACTGTCTTGTTATAAACCGATATACTAATATTAGAAATAATTTTGTACTTGAAAAATCTTAATTTTAGCATCAATATATCAAATTATCAGCATAACAATATACTGAATATCAAAATAAAAATATCAAATTATATACCATTACCATACTGAAAAAAATTCAATCAAGTATCATATCGACCAAAAATTTTGATATATCGAAAATTTAGTATTTTCAATACAATATATGTTGTATTTCAATAATTCGATATTTTTTTCCACCCCTAACCAATATATGGAGCAATTTTATTAATACCATAGAAATGCTGTTATACTCTAAATCAATTTACAAGCACAGATAATGTTAATGCTTAAGCTTCAAGAAGTACAAGGTGCCAACTGCCAACCAAACCCCGAAAACATACCTAAAAATTCAATTTATGTTCTCATTCTAGAGCTAAATATTGATTGTAAAAAAAATCCAACAGACAAACCAACAACTACTATTCAAGATTGATACAAAAGGTCCGAAGAATTTCACAACTTGTTCATTGACCTCTGTATTCTTACGCTTTAATGCCTCAAGTACATCATGATCATAGTAAAACAATCGTAGCATCTTTAAATGCCTAAGAAAATGAAAAGCTCCGCAAATGCAATTCAAACGATGAAAAAAGGATTACAGATACAAAACCAAGGCTAAAACTCTACTACATTCCTTATTCCACAAAATGACAAGCATATTACACCTCATCTCCAAATTAAGGAGAGAAAAGGACGAGAAACTTCTTGTATATTCAGACTCTTGTAAAGGGTACATACCCGAATCATACCTGTGTGAGAAGCTCACATAAAATCATAATCATCGTAATCGTTATAGGTGTCAACAGCTACATCATCATCGGGCTTGCCAACATGGAGTTGTTTTTTCTTTCCAACTGTATATATAAGAAAAGTAATTTAGCAATTGAAGCCCAGCACTGGATACGACTAAAATAATCAGCAAAATAGTTGTACCTGTCTTCTTTTTGCCAGCATTAGCTTCCTTTTCTGCTTTGATCTTTTCATTAGCAATTGCCGTAATGGATGAAGCAACTTCTTTGGCATCTGCACCTTTCAAGGAAGTCATCGATAACCTCATTACAGCCTTCAACAATGCAATGTAGTGAAAGCTTTTCTGTAAACGAGAGAAATTGTTTGCGAACTCTTAACAGCGGCATTCAAATTACAAGAACTCGTGCATTGAATAAGATGAATATCAAAGAAGTACCTCATATGGGCGAAGTTTATGAGAGATGAGCTCAGCATATTCTGCAAAGTCACTCTCAGTTTTGGGAATAAAATTGTCGAGGGTCTTTTCATCACCTCTCTTACCAAACAATTCTGCAGCAGTCTTTAAATCTGCTTCTTCCACCAGCCTGCATAAATACACAGTGCCATTTCTCAATCTTGCACATTAAGATCGATATTTATCCACAAAAAGCTCAATGTTCACAAATGTCAGAGTATAGCACGAGTGCCAAACAAACTACAGCAACTTCTATCAATATATATAATAAGGAGTGGTACTCATAGCACCACAGAAGTTTTTCAATTTTGAAACAAGTAAACTCCGATTCTCAATTGCATAGCCTAGAAAAGAAAACTGGAAATTTTGAATTGCTGAATCAACAAACATTGAACATACTTCAAAACAAATTTATTTCAACAGGCTCAAACTAAGAAACAAATCAAGCATATTGAAAAGGTCAAAATGCCAATATACAGAATATCACCTCTGCTGGCGAAATTTTTCTTCTATGGGATCTAAGACCGCATCCTTTCTAGGTTCAACTTTCTCTTTCTTTTCAGACGACTTTGCTACAGGCTTATTAGGAGACTTTACAGGAGGCGGGGGCTCAGCCTTGGGTTCAGGAGCCTGCCCAAATTATTTGTAAGGATATAAACCTCAAAAGAACCAAAGGATAATAATAATAATAACAACAACAATAATGCCACATTGCCCGAAAAGGACCCAAACTAATTAATGCACCCATAATTGAACATTCACATGATACTGTAGGAATTTCTTGTCTTCTGAACCAACCAAAAAGAAACTGTCAAATTGTCCATGCATAACAACATAGGAAGAATTTTAAAGATCAAGGCGATAGCCCTTTGGTTTGGTGAAATAGAGATATCATTATAAGAAACTAGATATATTTGAGGCTACTTCATATATGACATTTGAAGAAGATTGAAGGTATGAGAGAGATTCCAATTATAATTAAGGCCATTGAAAGAAATGAATAGAAGAAAATGATTAATACCGGAGCTGGTGCAGGCTCATCTTCATCTTCCCAAGAATCCTTCACATTATCATCATCCAAATCTTCATCATCCCAATTATTCTTTGGCTGCTCCTTTTTCAGAAGATCAGGAATTGCTTCATCTTCTGAAAGCAATGAAAGCAAATAGGTAAAATACATGGATCCCAAAAGTAATCGAACGAGTAAGAAAAGTTACATGGGGTGGGCAGGAATCTGTGTGTAATAATATTATTTACTTGGGAAATCAAACAAGCATATAAAAGCATCGGCATCAGAAAATGTTACAAAAGCAAGTAATATACATGGCGTTTATGAGAAGATAAAATTATCAGACATATTATGTGCTTAATTTGATTTAAGAATCCCTTAGTATAATCTTGCAAACACAAAGTATTATATATTTCAATTAACAACCTGAAACCATACCCAATAATTAGCTAATTGCAAAATGAAATACAGAAGCGCCTTGCATATAAAATGATGAACAAAGAAATCATCATCTAAATTGTAAATTAGAGGGGTAGAAAAAGTACCCCAATCCTCCATCAAGCTATTCGTCTGAATCCGACCAGAAACTTCAATCTCCAAGAACAATCTGAACCCAAGAAACAAGAACAAGCTCAGTAAGAAGAACACAATCAAATCAGAACAAACGTATCAGAAGACAAAATCATTCGATTCAGAGTATCAATCCAATAGACACATAAAGCACGAGAGAACCAGATTCACGCTCCAAAATTCAAAGAAAACACACGAACACGCACATAAACAATCAAGGGAAAGATTAAAGGACACGAAATACTGTCCATTTACCTGAAAGAAACACCGAGCCTATCGGCGGAAATACAAGAACCCTAATCGAAATTCTCGATTCAACCCTCAATGAATCTTGTAAGAAACACGGAATCCCGCAAGAAGCGCGGGAGAATAGGAGCCGGAGATGTAGTGACGCTGCAAGAGAGAATCCGCTGCAAAAAACTTCCGAGCAATTAGGGTTAGTTGCACAGTGCACTGCGCCTCTGCCCTTCCCCTATAAAAATGTCGGCTCGTATTTATACTAGTATATTTATTCAAGGAAATGAATTGACGGCGCTTTTACTAAATCGTGTTTGATTCTTCGCATTACATACACGACTTATAATTAAAAAAAAATAAAAATTGCATCGGAGCTCCCTGGTTTGGAACACCAGCTGACACTACACCCCAATTCTTCTATTATTATTTTTAAATCTTATAAGTTATTTTCTTAAATTTATTAAAATGAAGTATTCTCATATTTCTTTCTTATAAATAAATACATATATATATACATACATTTAATATTTTCATAAATTAAGTATATATAAATATATTATTTTAGTTATTTATATTATATGAAATTTTATTTTCGGATACATTTTTCAATCACAATTTTTCAACTTACAATAATAAAAAATAAAAAAAAAACACTCAAAATTCTACATAATATGTTTGTTGTTATTGTTATTATTATTATTATTACTTATTTATTTATTTTCTTATTAATAATTTTATATTTTTGTTGAAAAAATAAATCTAAAATTTGATTTTATAATTTATTTTATGCTTTGATCTGATTTGAATAATGTTTGTTATAAAAAAATAAACTAAAAATCCATTAGGTTACAAACTAAAATAGTACCATAATTGAAACTAAATTCAAATAAACATTTATAACTCATATTGTGAATTTGTAATGATATTAATTTAAAAAATATTTTAGTTTAATATTTAATTTCATTCAAACTTATTCTCATTTTTCTTCTTTAATTGTCATTTAAATTTATTCACTTTTTTTTTTTTAGTTAAAAAGTACCTTGTTTTCTATTTTTTTATCATAAAATTAAAAAAAAATATATATTTTTAATTTATTTTTTTAAAACTCGTGTCCGATCAAATGAGTATAAATTTACATGACTGAGGAAGTATAATATAAAAAATGATAAAATATATAGATATACAATTTAGTGGATTTTTTTTTTAGAAAAATGACCATTTGATTAAAAAATGTAGGTTTGTTTCTTTTGTCTCCAAACCCCAAGTTTCTACTATCTGGTCTTTGCTTTTTAAGAAAAAAAATATATTTTTTTTCTTAAAAAAAAATTCATCATACATTATTTTAATATCACGTATAAATCAAAATTTTATCAAACCCATAAAAAGAAACCAACAATTTACCTAAATTTTTGGTTAACTTGAATTGTTTTTCTTTTTTCTTTTTTATATGGGCTTGAAAAAAATTCCAGCCCAGTAAGGACCTTTCCATTCTTTTCTTCTTTTCAAACAAGTATTTGCCACTTTATTCAAATTTTTGTACCCTTATGTGCTAATCAATACATTAATTTTAGTATCATGAATTTAAACTATTCAATTAATAATGGTTTGAGATCAAACTTAAAAATTACCTCAAATAAAATAAGTCCTCGTAATGAAAATTGAAAAAAGAAAAAAAAAAATACCGATAAAGTACGTAATTGCATAAACAATATGCTAATTTAAATATAAAGTTTGTTTGATATTCGAACACTCATATAAAGTAATAAAGTAAATAGTTTACCAAATTTGATGCTCGGATACTTAATCGACTCAAATAGATTAATATAATGAAATAAAACAAAAAAGAGATAAAGAAAATACAGATAATAAACAATATATAAACAATGTGCCGACTTAAATATATAGTTTGTTTGATTTTCGATCAACCATATAAAGTAAGAATTTAAATATTTTATCCAATTTAGTACTCGAGCACTTAACGAATTGAATATGAAACTTTTAAAAAGAAAATTTGATTTAAAAATATGGATATAATATATAAGCAACGTGTCAATTTAAATATGTAATTTATTTGATATTCGAACAGTCATATAAAGGAAGAATATAAATAATTTACACAATTCGATCTAAATCGAGACCTATAAATAGAATATCAATCTAATTACATCTTTTTACTAAAGTATATTACACTATGAATAAATTTATACACTGATGTAACATTATCAAATACACTCATAATTTAACCAATTTATATACAAAACCACATGTTGTCTTTATAAAATAAAAACATCGAATTCCCAGTGCGCACTTTCGGGTAGTGATTGCGGGTTCCTATGTGATCAATAAAAAAAAACATCGGATTTCGTTGCTTTCAAATTTTTCTATCTATTTTTATGTGCGAATGTAGAAATTTTACGCAGTAATTCAATTAATTAATGTATAGTAAGAGTACAATAATTTGTGTATTTATGCTAAAATCATCATACTACATATATAATGTACCTCAAAAATAAATAATTTTAGAATCATGAATTTGAAATATTTAATTAATAATTATTCAAGATCAAACTTTATAAGATACATCAACACTTGTATAATCAAATAAGTCCTCTATAATGAAATTTGAAAAACACAAAAAAAATAAATAATGAGAAAATATATTTTCTTGGAACTCGAATAATCATAAAAAGTAAGAACATAAATAATTTAATTTGCTAGCTTAAAGATGCAGTTTGATTGATGTTCGAACAATCATATAAAGTATAACATAAATAGTTTACCAATTTCGGCACTCGAACGCCTATCAAATCGAATAGGTCAATGTAATGAAACTTAAAAAAAATGTAGATAGAATATATAAACGATATTCTTACTTAACTATGTAGTTTGTTCGATGTTTGAACAACGTATAAAGTAATGATTTTAATAGTTTATCAAATTTAGTATTAGCACTCATCGAATCGAATATGTTATTGTAATGAAATTTTAAAAGAGAAAAAATGATAAGACAAATATTACAGATATAATATATAAACATGCCAATTTAAATATCTAAATTATTTAATGTTCGAAGAGCCATATATAGCAAGAACATAAATAATTTACACAATTTAATCTAAGTCGAGGCTTGTAAATAAGATATTGATCTAATTACATTTTTTTTTACTAAAGTATATTACACAATAAATAGGTTCATACACGATTGTAATATTAACGACTACATCCTTAAAATTTGATCAATTTATATCCAAAGCCACGTGTTATCTTTACAAAGCATCGATATCGGTCTCTTTTGAATTTGTGTATATATTTTTATGCGCGAAAATAGAAATTTCAGCATTAGTTTAATTAACTAATGCATAGTAATAGTGAAATATACAATAAATATTTCATAAAATAATTTATGTTAAAATAGTACCTCAAAAAAATAAATTCTCCGTAACAACTAATAAAATAAAAAAATCCTAATTATATGAATTTATGAGTATTTTATTTAACAATTTTTTTTTTGAGGTAAAATTAGTTATAATTTTTTTATTAAAAAAAATAATGGTTAATAAACCCTCATTTTATTTTATTAAAAAATCATTACTTTTCTTTTCCATTCTTACACGCAATATTAAACATACGCTTCTCATAATATGTCACAGCACCTAAATAAAATTATCAATATACATGCAAAATATTATTTACACGTAATAATAAATATTTGTTTCTCATAATATGTCACAGAACCTAAATAAAATTATCAATATACATGCAAAATACTATTTTACCATTCCGGCAATATTTTACTTTTGCAAATTTTGCAAATTCATATTTAGAAAATAATTCCTAAATTATTAGTGTGCCCTGAATACTGAGTAACTGTATAATTCTCTTACGAATACAGATAATTTAATTTTAATCAAAATGAAATTTGAAGTGTACAGCATAAATGATAATTTCCAAATTATATATATGTATATAAATTTTCATTTCCTAATCTGTATTTAAATTATCAAATTTCAACTAATTTTGAATTCATTTATTGCAATTCACTGTGGGGATTAAGAACACATCATCCTTAATCCCATCAATAACTACAAGTCTTATCACCTGCCCAAATGAAATAAAAAAAATTAAATTTGTACCACTTTAAAAAGAAAAAGGAAAATAATAATCCATTTCCGATGTATTTTCCGTGAATCAAAAGGCATTTTCAGCATATCACAATATCACATATAGCCAGAAATTATTATTTAAATCTTCCAACATAGTAAAGCGAGAAATTTAATTTATTTTATAAAACCTCTTTTTCTTCTGGGAAATGAAAAAATAAAAGCCCTAGCCCTATCTTCGTAATTCAATGCACAGAATACCTGAGCAGGATTATTTAATGCAGATAATATAGTGTACGAAAAGACCAGACTAATAATAGTTAAAAAATAGTACAAGAAATTATTACTTTTTTTTAAAAAAAATTTAAATTCAATTTTTATTATATAAAAATAGCACGCAATATTTTACATTTTAAAAATATTGCACGCAATATTTTAGCATAATTATTTTTAAAATTAGCAATTTGAATAATTCTGACAAAATTAGCAATTTCGTATAGTCGTCAGATTTCATTAATTATTTCCCGTTGGTAATAAAAATCCAGGTAACATTATTTCACCCACCCAAAATTTCTCCTATATATATGTGTCTGGCCGTGTGAGTCACTCCACACTAAACTGCAATATTTCTTCTGTATTCTGCATCACCGGCAATGGCTTACCAAATCATCGGAGCACTGCCGGCGATGTTCTTCGGCGGCGGCAACAAACGAAGAAGAACAACAACTCCGGCGACTCTCCCTGACGAAATCATCGAGACAATCCTCCTCCGTCTCCCTCTGAGAGAAATCCGTCAACTATCGATCCTGTCGAAAAGATTCCGGCACAGCTGGAAGCTCTGCCGGAACCTCGCCTTCGACGGCAGCTTCTCCGCCGGTCTGACTAAGGACCAGTTCAAAGCCGGCGTGACCAACACTCTATACCTCCTTGGAAAAACCGGAGCCGACCGGTTCGCCCTCCGGTACGACGCGGCCGGAGAAACCCGGTTCGTTTTCTGCTGGGTTCACCGAGCCATCCAGCTCGGCGTTTCCCGGCTGGAGCTCGACTTCACCCCGTCGGCTCCTAAGAAATTCATGCTCAGCTCCGACATCGTTAACTATGAATCTGTTACATCTATTAAGCTCATTAACTGCGAGATCCTCCTCCCCCACGCCGCCGCCGGCGGCCTCCGGTTCCTCCGCGACCTGACGCTGCAGAACATGCGGGCCCGGCCCGTCACCATCCTGACGCTATTCCGTAACTGCTACGAGCTCCGATCGCTGAAGCTCATCAACTGTAACTTCATTTTTGCCCTGAGGATCTTCGCGGAGAAACTCCGGTGCTTTCAGACACTGATCGTCAAGCACTGCTCCGACATCCACTCCATCTGTCTCAACGCCCCAGAGCTTCAGACCTTCCATTTCTATGGCAAAATCTGCGAGATCGCCTTCCAGGTCGATACCCCGCGTCTGAACGATGTGCTGATTGAATTCAGCCATCCTCGGATCTTCCAAATGGTCCCCCGCAGGAAGGAGATGATCCCTCGTTTCGCCGCTGTCAGAAGCCTCACCATCACAAGCACTTTTCTCGAGGTAATAAGATTAAATTAAATCAATTCAAATCCACCCCCAATTTGACAAACCCTAATCCCCAATTTCTCGAATTAGGGTTTCAAGATGTCGCAATTCACCCTGCCCAATCTGGAGGAATTCGTTCTCACCATCTACCCGGAGAGTTACCTCAACGCTGCCGACATCATCATTATGCTCTCAAACTCCCCTCGGATCCGACGAGTTCACATCGATGTAATAACTAAATTTCAATTATCCGCCATTGCAAAGAGGTACGCACTGTCTCTTTAATTAACTTTACACACGTTAATCTATGGATTTCTGCAGATTGGGCAGAATGCATTCAATGATGGAGGCGCCTACTGGAAGACAATTGGGAGGCATTATCTGAACGAATCTGCTGCAGCTTTTCCATTCTTACAATATGTGAAGATCAGAGGGTTTTGTTACAAGGAGCAGACAGTGATGATGGCGAAATTCTTCCTCAAATATGCTTCCTCGTCCTTGCGATGTCTGGCCATCGAGAAGGCAAGGATCAACAACAATCTTCCTGTGCATTACAATTACGAACTCATCAACTATCTGCGCTGGGGGATCGCCACCATTGCTGACATTCAAATCTCAGACTATCACTGAGACAGGAATGGATCATATTATCCTAAATCAAAGACAACAATGCTTGCAGAACTTTTATTTTATTTTTATGCCGTTTAATTTTATGTTATTGTTGGTTTGTGACTGATGATGAACTCTGAACTTTTCATGCTTTGTTTAATTTCTTGCAATGTTGTTTTTGGTTTTCTTTATGGTTGTGTTAATTTATGTGTTCGTTATATTTTGCGATATATAATTTATAGATGCTTTATTTTTATTGTTAGTAAGTTTCGAGTTTTTATGAATATTAAGCTTTGGGTTTTTTTTTTTTTAGACTTGTAATAAAATCTTGAGCTATTGTATCGTCTTTTGTCATTAATAAAGTGTAGCGTTGGGCGTTGATCGATAGATTTTAATAAAATATAATTATTGTCTTATCTATTCATGTTTTAATATTCTCGAAAAGTTTTGAATTCAAAACACTTTATTTAAACTTCGACGTTAGTCAATAGATTCGCAATTTGTATACTTTCGTTAAATGGGAAAGTAAAATAAATCCTTGCTAATACATGATTTTATATATGCATTCAACAAATTATTATAGTTTTTACTTTTTACCCTTATCTCGAAAGTATTTCTATTTAATCCAATTTATTACTTTCTAATCTACAAATCTGTCGGTTTTCGAAACCAACAAACTAATAAATATATTTATATTTGGATAGAGACGCGAAAATGGGCCTACATGTATCCGATAGTTCCTTCAATTATATTTCGGTAAACTATGGGCCACGACTATTATCCAAGTAAAAAAGTGAAATTTTCTATAATCGATTTTTACAATTAATTTGCAACTAAGTAAACTCAAAACATTTTATTATGCCGAGTAAGTCTACATCTCTACTCAAGTATAACCTAAAGGTTAAAAATGCCATACTCAAATCAAATTGTAATATATTTATTTATCACATTTTAAAATATTTTCTATTGTCTCCATCAAATGTATGTATTTAGTGTAGAAATTAGTTTTAGTTAAATGTGTAAATTAGTATTGGACAAACGAAATGACAAAATATATATTTTTAAATGAAATGAAAAGACAAGAAGTTGTTTCTGAAATATATACTTCCTCCGTCCCACATAATTTGTTCATATTTTCTATTTTCATCCGTCTCACATAATTTGTCCATTCTTTTTTTTGGAAATATAATTATACACTTTAATCTCATTTTAAATTTTAAATTTTATAATTTTTTTAATCTTAATTAAACTATGTAGTTATCTTAATCTTAATCCACAATTATTTTTATTATACCGAAATTAATTTTACTAATATACTTCTTAATTACTTACTAATCATATTTTACCTAAATTTCTGTATCTACAGTAATAGGCCCATAAATATATGGGACTGATCGAGTATTTGTTTGTAAACAAGCAACAAAGAAAATGTATATGTTTTGTTTTGTTTTTTTTCTTTTCGTAGTTGGATTATCTATAAAATAATAATAATAATAAAAAATATTATGTGACTTGCATAATAAAAATTTGAAAAAAAAAATATATATATATATATATCAAAATAAATGTAGTCAAATATTTCAATAATTACTTTAAGGTATTAACTGTCATATATTAATTTTATACAATTATGTTTGATTCTATATATTAAAACATACTAATTTTCATCTATTACCCCAAATTAAAATACTCAAAATCTACACATTATATATATTTTTTATTATTTAAAAATTACATTTCCTTTCCAAATTACAATTAAGATATATCCATTATATAATTTATCAATAATAAGTAGCAGTAAATTTCATTTAATTGTAAATGTCATAAAAACTCTTAATAATGATCATTAATAGGCATATTCTATAAATATACCTACAGATTCAATATAAATGTACCTTCAAATTATCAATACATAAATATGAAAAATATCAATGTAGATTTTAACTATTTTTTTTTTTAAAAAAAGTACTTTATTTCATTAAACAAATCTACCTAAATTATTAAAATTAAAATATGGATGTGTTTTGCATTCTTATATAGATTATTAATATTAGTATATCAAATCGTTATGTGCTTGGTTTGGGGCTTGTGTACTTGACTTTTATTTTTTTAGGTAATATAATTATTTAATGATATTTTATATGAGAAAATTAATGTATTTTAATTTTTTTTATTAAAAGTATATAAATATAAATATTTATTAAAATTTTCAAAAACTCAAACCAATAATTGTTAGTGGAAATAATTTAACATATAACAAATATAATTTAATTACAATATTTTTAATGAAAAATTCATTTATTTGTATTAAAATTTAACGCGTAAGTAATAAAAAAATAGTGATAACTAATCAAACAAATTATTACATTTATTAATTAACCCATCACTACCCTTTGACTCATGGTCCAACTTCATCTAGAAGCTCCCGGCCCCCCGACTCCACAGGTTGTCGTGGGGTCCACTACGAAAATCACCGTCTCCAATTCCTCAGTCCCCAGTCTGGACAGTACTTCAATTTTCAACTTAATTACACGGAAAACGCGTGCGGATTAAATAACACGGCCGTCACTCACCCACACACCACAGCTGCCATCGTGGACTCCTGTCTTCAAACTACAATCAAATCACAGCCATCCAAAACAATCAGAACACCACGTGTCATCATCGTAGCGGTCTGTAACACCAGAACTCGCGAACCCCGGTGACTTCACCAAAACACCTCCACACGACCGACCACACACGCAGTTGACAACTCCCCGCCACGTCATCAGACCGCCCGGTCCGGCGCCCCTATGTCCTCTCCAAAAGAAGAATGCTTTCCATTCCATTTTATTTATTTGTTTAATTCTCAAAAAAAAAAAAAAAATCACATATATTTATGATCAATTAATATTGTTAGAGAGAGTATATAAAGAAAGAAGATTGCCGTGCGTGCGAGTTTAGATAGATAGAAGATAGTTAGAGTGTGCGTTTTTTGTTTCCATCTTCAGCACAACCGTTTCTGCCAATCTTCCTTCACTTTTCCGCCTCAAATCTGCTCTGGATTTAGGGTTTACGAAGTTGTATTAATTAGCACAAGTGAATCCACGCCTGAGATTCCGCCGCAGGTATAAATCACTCAGATTCTCTTCCCTGTCCGAACACCAGATCTCCGAAAATGGGGTGCCTCGAAAAATGCGGCTCCAGCGTTGTCCGGAGCTCCTCCTTCGGCCGGAAGAGAGTCGCCGCCGACATGGAATTCGAGAGCGCCGCCGCCGCCGGAAAGAGATTCGCCGGCCAATCACCTCTCGAGAGTTTACCTCAGGAACTTCTGGTTGGTGCTTCAATTCCTTAAAATAAATAAATCATCTTTAAAAAAATGAAAAATACAAACCTTTTTGTTTTGTTGTTTCAGATTAGGATCGTGTGCGGTGTGGAGCACGACGATTTACAGAGCTTGTTGTCTGTATCGAAAGCACTCAGAGAAGCGGTGAGTCACATTCGATCATTCAATTATATTACAATATTCATTCTTCAATTTTATTTTTTTAAGTTTTTATTTTTTCGATAGGCGTTGGTTGCGAAGCACGCCCATTTTGCATACAGAACGCCGAGGAAGAAGAGTTTGGGGTGGAGGAACACGGGCGTGTTGGGGGATTGGGAGGACGTGGAGGCGCCGAATGCTCCGAAACAGACGCGGGTTTCGGCGTCCCGACTGGGTAGTGGGAAGAAGCTGGCAGATATTTCGGTGGCCCTCTTTAAGGATTTGGTTTTGGAACTTGAAAATTAACTGCCTAACTAACTAACTAACTAACTCGAGATTCAATTAGGTCTTCGGATTGTCCGAGGATTTCTGATCATATGCTAATCCCATTATATATCTACATATGTATGATTTGTTGTTGAGGATGTCTGTCTGTCTCTGCCTGTAGATTGTCGATGTCATGACATTGAAAATCTGGTTGGATTTGGAAGTCTGTTGTTGTAAGTTTCACTTCGGGCCAGACAAAATAAAAGTTAGTTCACGACGACAATGATATGCTTTTGTGCTTCTTGAGGATTTTTTTTATTGTTTATTTATTTATTTATTTGTGTTTGGTTGATGTCTGCTTTGTTTATCTGAGAATTTTATTATTTTACGAAATAAATTTTTTTTACTGTATTCTTTTAGAGTATAATTTAATTTATTTTTATATAAGATATAGCTATTTTATAATTTATTGTGAAAGGAGTGTATTGACTTATGCCATAAATTTATTAAAGCTAAATAGTTGATTCATAAGGATGTGTTGGTTTGTTTAGTATTTTGAGTTGAATATATATATATATATACTTATTTATTTATGTGAGACATTGAAAATTGTATGGATAATATAAAAATTAATATTATTTTTATAAGAGAATAAAATATATATATATATTAAAAATAGAAAAATAGTGGACAAACAAACAGTAATAATAATAATAATAATAATAGTAATAATAATACCTTTTCAATCTCAAATATTTTTTGTTATTATTAATTGACTTGAAGTGTCTTAAAAAATTTGTAATGTTTTTTGTTTGTTTGTTTATTAATTTACACATAGTTTATAAACTAATTAAAAAAACACAAATAAAAAAATGGTCAAAAGAATTATTACTAATGAAAATAATTAGAAGGGGTGAATATTAAACTATTTAAAAAGGCAAGTTGACTAAAATTTGTAATAGCTTCTATTAAATTTTTTACATTAGGAAGGTTTGGTTTAAGTGAAAAATATTTATTTTTTTAATACTATCAAAATTCAAAACATAGGAGCTTGTTTGTTTTTTTCCCCCATAAAATGGGTTAAAATATTATTTAAATAAAAATATATAAATAACTCAAAATAAAAAATATACATACATGTTGATTAATACATAAATAATTTGGTCAATGAATAAGTCAACAGTTAAATTTTATGATGGGTGGATAATTATTTATGGAAATTTTGGTGAGAAGAATGAATGATAATTACTTACCTTAAGTTCGTGATTCCTAATATTCCTCCATAGATTGAGCTGTACACTCTCTAACATTAGTTAATAAGGCTTTTTATTGCGGGCTAAATCATTCCTAACTGAGCCTATAAAAATTAGTTTGATTAGACCCATATTTTAATACACTCAAAAATTTATAATACAACTAGGGGTGAGCAAATATATCCGAAATTCGAAAATTCAATCCGAATCAAATCGAAATTTAAAATTTGGTTCGAATTTTTCGGATTTTCGGATTGAATCGGATTGAATTTTTAACAAATTTCGGATTTTCACATCAGATCGGTATACTTAAAATCCGAAATATAACATTTTAATATATTTTTTTATTATATATATTTAATATTTTATTAGAAAATATTATATTTTGATATAAAAAACTCAAATTTATTAATTATATTTTAATATATTTAATTTTTATATATTATATATATTTAATATTATAAAATAATATAAAATATAAAAGAAATTTAAAAATAAAAAAATAGTAATAAAAATATTAGAATTTCGGATATTTCGGTTTGGTTCGAATTTTTTAGTTTGGATTTTCGGATGCCAAATCCGAACCGAAAATTCGAATGCTCACCCCTAAATACAACTCTCTTTAAAAGTGTGGCGGGCGGGCCAACCCGATTTATTTGATTTATTTTGATGGTTCTAGTTTTTATTTTTTTAGCTGATAATTAAAATGGTATTTTCGGTTTATTTCTTCGTCTTAATTTGTATTTTTTAATAGATTAACAAATAATAATTTTTATTTATTAATAAAAAATGTGTAAGATGATTTTGATATTTTTATAAAATATAAAGAAAATAATTTTTTTGTTAAAAAAATAAAAATATTTAGATATAATTGTTTTTATTATAAATTAAAAATTAATACTAGAACAGATAAAAATAGATTTCAATAATGCAACAATCATAAATAGGGCCCTTTGTTTTATTTTTTGGGCTGGGCCTTTGATTGGGCTTCAAATATGGCCCAAATGGCATAGACACGTGTCATGTCCCTAAGAAGTGGACAAAAAAAACAAGAATTGGATAAGGATGGAGACATCTGGAAGATAATTGCAAGTCACACTAAAATGGGCTACTTAAAAAACTTTCCCTACATTTTGTTTTTCCTTTTAAAAAAATTAAAAACTCTCTTTGTACGATATTTTTTAAGACTTTCGTATTATTTAATATTTTAAAAATATCATATTAAATATATATTTTATAAAATATTATACTAAATACTAATTTTTACTATTATCAAATTTTCGAAACTCTAAAAATCATTAAAAATTTCTATTTACACGAAACGTAACGATAAATTAACTAATAAAATAAATGCACAAAAAGGAACACCTTTGTGTCCATTCTTTTGTTTTTGTACACACATACAAAGGGTTTATCTTATTTGTATTCTGTAGAATTTGATTTTTATTATTTTAAGTGAAATAATGATTTAATATTAAATATTATTTTAATTAAAAATAACGAAAAAAAAAAAAAGGCTTTTAAAAACACCACATGGCTATAATCTTGTAAGTAGAAAAAAACATAAAAATAAAATAAAAACAGTGGCCACTAATTATTATTATTATTTTTTAAAATTCTATTCTCATCCAATCCCACCATTGCTGGCCTCTTTGACTTTTCCTCCACCACCTTGTAATAATGCCTCTGTCCAATTTTACACATTCAACCTGTGGATTATGATTTTGTTGACTTTTTTTTTTTTTTTTCACAGCCACCATTAATTTGTTGTTAGTGTTGCAACATAAACATCTTTCGATTAGGACAATGAAACCTAAACATGCTGATAATTGAAACAAGAATAAAATCAAGAATTGAAAGGAAGATTATTATCAACCATTGTTTTTTTTTTAAAAATAAAAATTAAAGTGAATTATTCTTCATAATTATAAAGTGGAAAAAAAAAGAAAAAAAAAAAAAGAAGAAAAAGTAAAAGCATATCGGCACAGTAATAAACAATAATAATAACCATACGTCAACAGTGGGGTTATTACAAGTCAAACCACTCTTATACTTCCATTAAAACGACGTCGTAACTGTGCATGCTGAAAGCAGACCAGTTTCATATTTTATAATACCGTATTATATAATATATTTAAAAATAAATGATTAAATTAAAGTGGGACCAAATAGGGTTTGGGAATAAAATTAGGGTTTCCATCGAATCACGGGAAGATTGGTATAAAATTTTCTATAATTTTAATTTTGGCAAACTAATAAATTTATTTTTTATTTTTTTTAAAAAAAGTGGCTATGCCGACTGCTAATCTTTTTTTATTATATGCACTAATCATCATATTCAATTATATATAAGCCCTTTTTTTTAAAGTCTAACCATTTTGCTTAAGACCCCACTAGTTTTTATTAATTGTACTTCCAATCATAGCACAGGATACCCTTTTATCAAAATAAAAATAAATATTTTTGTAAGCATGAAAGGTCATGCCTTGAAAGAGGGCTTTTAGAGAAGTCTTTATTATTATATTCTAAGATTGTTTTTCTATTGAAATTAATCAAAACTTTATTATTATTGTACTATGGTGTGTATTTATTTATTTTATGATTATTTTTGGTTGAGGGGGCCATGTGCATTTTGTACTATGATCATGGATTCCAACTTTCTACCAACTCTTAAAATAAGTGTGATCAAAATGTAGTGCTTCCAACCCAACCATTAATGATCAAATTTGATTCAATTGCACAATTAATGCATTGAATTCAGTCTTCCAACTTTTTTTTTTTTTTTTTTTTTCTCTTAAAGGAATTAATGTGAAAGAAACGCTATTTAATATCAAAAGTCGTGTTTTCAGTTTTGATAAAGAGCTAGGGGTCACAATGCAAATCCCACTAGACTGAGGGCTGCAACTTGAAAATTTCGGAAAAGGTGCAAAATGGAAATATTAAAAGATCCTGGACTCCAATGCCAATTAGATTCCAGCCGTTGATTTTGCAGGCTTTCCACGTGGACACGTATGATGGATGAATCAGAACGACCCTCTCGTCTCATTCGACGGTCGAGATTGAGAAACGTGTCTAATAACTATTGGATGGCGGACATACGTTGGGTTCCTCCGCTGTATTATCTGTCAGTCTTACTCAGCCAATAATTAAAAGCTTTTATGAATATATATCTATATTCATATCTTTATTTGAATACAATAAATAGTATTTTAAAAATTATAAATGGAAAACGCACTAAAAAATTTTCATCAATTTTTGACATCAATATCCGGAGTTATTTTATATATTTTTTTAACAATTTAACTCTGGCCTCTGAAAAGAAGGAGTCCCTCTTTTGAATGTACTGTCAAGTAGAAACAGTGACAATAATATCATCATAATAATAATATATATATATATATATTTTTATGATAAAAGAAATATGCAGATGGGATGGGAATTGGGATGACTGAGAGCTTTCCCTGATGCTGTTTGGGCTCTCGCTCCTTCGTTCACTCATCCATTAAAGAGAAGGTAAAAATCAAATCTTTCCTGCTCCATTCTTTCTATATGCCAAAGCCTTTTTGATCTTGTTCTTGATCTTGATGTTGATCTTGCCCACAAATCAAATCGAAGTCTTGTGGGTTTGTCTGAAATTGATTTTGTGCACTGAGGAAGTTCTGGATCTGAAGGGTTTTTGGGCATTTTGGTTCTTGGTGGATGGATCTGTGTTTTTTTGGGTCAATCTGGTTGGAGAATGCTGTGAGGGTTTTGCTTCTTTAGGTGTTTTTTGCAATTTTTGAAGCAAAAGGTGTGTTGCTAGTTGCAGTCTTAAAGGTATGAATGAGGCAACTAGATTTAGGCTTTTTGTAAGCTCAAGTTGTTTGGCTGTTTTAGTATGTTTGTGTGTGATGGTGTTTGTCTATTTTTGTAAATGATTTCGAGTGACTGCATCTTTTATTTGCCATCCAATGAAATGGGCTTTCGATGTTTTTGAATGTAGCCTAGCCTAACCACACTTTTGTTTCCAGCATTTCTTGTTCTGTATAGTTCTCGTTTATTGAGATCAAGATTTCAAGAATTGGCATGTTATGAAAGGCATTTAAATTGATTGTGTAGGAAGAAGCTTGCAACCTTCGTAGTGTGGATTGAGATTATTTTAAGAATCTTGAAGAATCAAGGTTGTCTTGCCCTACAGACAATTCAAACAAATGGATTCGGAGGGCCCGAAATCAGAGGAATCGCAGGCGATGGTTAACAACTTGAATTCTCAACTGCCATTCCCTGATGAAGTATTGGAGAAAGTCCTTTCTTTCATAGATTCCCACAAGGACAGGAACTCGGTCTCCCTTGTCCGAAAAGATTGGTACAATGCCGAGCGATGGACGAGGCAGAATCTTTTCATAGGAAACTGCTACTCAGTGTCCCCGGAGATTGTGGCCAGAAGGTTTCCGAGAATTAAGAGTCTCACACTTAAAGGGAAGCCGAGGTTTTCGGATTTTAACATGCTGCCGCACGATTGGGGCGCCAATGTCCATTCGTGGTTGCTCACATTCGCGCAAGTCTACCCGTTTTTAGAGGAGCTGAGGCTCAAGAGAATGATCGTCACCGACGAGAGCTTGGATCTCTTGGCGAAGTCATTCCCCAGCTTCAAATGTTTATCCTTGTGGAGCTGCGACGGGTTCTCGGAGAAGGGGCTCAAAGCCATTGTCACTCATTGCAGGTAAAATTGAACCAAGCTTTCTATCGACTGAAATTTTATTTCGAATATCGTAAAATTTTTCATATCGATCATGTTTGTATGTCCTCTAGGTACTTGACTGAGCTCGACATACAGGAGAGCATATCGTTCGACATCGGCGGAGGTTGGTTGAGTTGCTTCCCGGAGACGTTGACGTCGCTCGAAGTACTGAACTTCTCGAGTGTCAATAGCGCAGTAAATTTCGAGGACCTCGAGAGCCTCATTAGTCGATGCAAATCTTTGAGGGTTCTGAAGGTTAACGAGACGATCACAATCGAGCAATTGCGGCGGCTGCTCGCGCTTGCCCCTGGGTTAGTCGAGCTCGGTGCGGGCTCCTTTCAGCAAGAGCTCACGCCTAATCTATACAGAGACATTCAGAGAGCCATCAATGATTGTAAGCAGCTACAAATCATTTCGGGTTTATGGGGCGCAAGCACGGATCATCTCCCTGTCCTGTATGGCGCTTGCGCCGGGCTCAGTTTCTTAAACTTGAGCGACGTTCCCGTTCCGACTGCTGACTTTGTGGCGCTTCTCGCGCATTGCCCGAATCTGACACGGCTTTGGATTAGTGACACGGTCGAAGATGAAGGGCTGGCAGCTGTTGGATCTAAATGTCCGTTAATTGAAGAGCTCCGTGTCTTCCCTGCTGAACCGTTCGAAGGAGATCATCACAACGGTGTGACCGAGGTGGGTTTCTTGGCCGTATCCCGGGGATGCCGTAAACTCCGTTACGTCCTCTACTTTTGCCAGAGGATGACGAACGCTGCGGTCGCAACCGTAGTACAGAACTGCCCGGACTTCACACACTTCCGGCTTTGCATAATGACTCCGCGCCTGCCGGACCACGTTACGAATGGACCTATGGATGAGGGCTTCGGCGCCGTTGTCAAAACCTGCCGTAACCTTAGACGCCTCTCGGTTTCGGGCCTTCTCACGGATCTTGCGTTCGAGTACATTGGGAAGTATGCGAAGAATCTGGAGACGCTTTCGGTGGCATTCGCTGGCAACAGCGATCGGGGAATGCAGTGTGTTCTCGGGGGCTGTCCGAAGCTGAGGAAGCTCGAGATCCGAGATTGTCCTTTCGGGAACGCGGCTCTGCTGTCGAAACGAGAGAAGTATGAGAACATGCGGTCGTTGTGGATGTCGACGTGCTATGTGACGATGAAGGGCTGCAGGCTGCTCGCGAGGGAGATGCCGAGGTTGAATGTCGAGGTCATTGCGGAGAACGGGAGCGACGACAGCAGTGTTGTCGATAAAGTTTATGTGTACCGTTCCGTGGCAGGGCGGAGACGCGATGCGCCACCGTCGGTCGTAACGCTCTGATGAATTCTGGTGGGTCAGTAGCCGTGCTCGATTTCCTTACCATCTTCCTGTTGAAGAAAAACTCGAGTAAAAGCCAGTAGATTTTTTCGTCTGATAGTTGTTATCTCTTGTGCAGATGCTGTTTTTGATCGGCGTTTGTTCTCAGAAGAGCAATGGGGGCGCCGGCAGCCGGCCGGCGGCGGCGTTGGGGAGGACCAAATGATTCTCTTTGGTGCAAAGGGAAGATTTATTCGTGAACAAAGAGAAGATGGATCGATCTCCTAGCAGCAGCCATTTGTGCATTATTCCTGTTTTGTTATTACTACTCAAATAATGAACTAACTGTGGAAGATGATGCATTTGAAATTGGACAATCCTCATTGAGACACTCTTTCTTGTTCTATTTATTGTCTATCTTACTACCTATTTAATATTTTATTACACAGATTAAAAACTCTATTTTCTATTGGGCCAAATTAACGGAGAACGTATTTGGGCCTATCCTGCCTATTAACTAAAAACAATGAAAAACCGTTAAAATATTAACGCCGTCTGTGGGAATCGAACCCACGACCACATGGTTAAAAGCCATGCGCTCTACCGGCTGAGCTAAGACGGCTTTACAGCTTGTTAGTTTGAATTTTATATTAACTACGTTTAAAATGTTTAGTTGCAAATCAGGATTTCTAATTTTTCCTTCTTTGTCCGCGTCTCTCTCTAAATTCTCCCAATTAGTTCCTGTTTGGGAGGCTGAACGAACGAACGAACCCTAGGTGGAATTTGTCATATTGAGGAAAGGGTGAAGAATTCCTTTCTCCATTGATCGAAGATGCTGAGATTGGCTGGGAGGAGGCTGTCTTCTCTGTCGTGGAGATCTGCCCACGCTTCGTCTGCGCCGTTCGTGTCCAGGAACTCATTCTCCGCTGTCGATTCATCTGCAGATGGACGGGCGTCGTGCGATTATTCGCCATCTCGGTCTTACGGCCTCGTTAGCTCGTTTCCTTACCAAATCAAATGTTCGGTTCATCTTTTCCCCTTTCTTACCGTCTTGTTTCTTTTGATCTTATTCTGTTGTCGTTATTTTTTATGAATTGCGAATTTTCGCGTATGTCTTCCTGGAAGTTTGGATTGGTGGTGGAAAGATTTGGATGTTTTCTATTACATTTCTACAGCGTTAGGCGAATTAATGCTGGCTAGTTTTGCAGCTTAAGATGAAATGATTAGATACTGATTTATATATTCATTTCTTTACCTTGATGAATTATTTATCAATCGTATTTTCTCCCAACTTCTTGGATCTTATGTATGAGGTTTGATTTATATGTCTTCCGTTCTATTTGATAGTTTTGATATCGTTGAATGAATGTTAAAGTTTACATCTTCATAAGATCCAGCAGTTGAGATTTTTCTAATTTGATATGAATTCCACTCGTATAATATCTGGCATTGTTCATTTCTTGCCGTAGTTCTGGAATAAATGACAGTTAGATCAATTCTCGATTTCTACAGTAGTTAATTTCACTATCTGCTTTTTTCAGTGGTTTACTGCTGCTTTTGCTCTAGTTTTCACGTGAGGTGCAATTTGTTCGAATTACAACTTGCTGGTTATCCTTTCCATGTCTACGAAATATATCTCCATATTTGTGTTTGTTACCTTCTCATTCCATGTTCTAATTTGCCCCGTTGCAATGATAAATTCAAATGTCGAGCTGCAGCCCTTAAATGGATAATTTGATGATATGGTTTGTGAAACTGTCTGTAGGGTTTTCTTCTGGCACTCTTGCTCAAGGACAGGAGGTAGACCTGATTCCGGAAATTCCTCCGACAGTGGCTGCAATTAAGAATCCAAGTGCAAAGATTGTATACGACGAGCACAACCACGAGCGATACCCTCCTGGCGATCCCAGCAAGCGTGCATTCGCATACTTTGTTCTGACTGGGGGCAGATTCGTCTATGCCTCGTTAGCTCGTCTGCTGGTCCTCAAATTTGTCCTGAGCATGTCTGCCAGTAAGGACGTCCTTGCTTTAGCTTCCCTCGAAGTGGACCTATCCAGCATTGAACCCGGGACAACTGTCACTGTGAAGTGGCGTGGGAAGCCGGTTTTCATCAGACGCCGAACAGAAGACGACATTAACTTAGCCAACAGTGTTGACGTGGGCTCCCTCCGTGATCCTCAAGAGGATGCCGTCAGGGTCAAGAACCCGGAATGGCTTGTGGTTATCGGTGTGTGCACTCATCTTGGTTGCATTCCTTTGCCGAATGCCGGCGACTTTGGTGGATGGTTTTGCCCGTGCCACGGATCCCATTATGATATTTCTGGTCGGATTCGTAAAGGGCCTGCGCCGTTCAATCTGGAGGTTCCTACTTACACTTTCTTGGATGAGAACAAGTTGCTGATTGGTTGATAACTATTTCTTACATCAAAACGTGGGCAAAAACCAGAAAAGAACACAACTTTGAGGTATTGTCCCTTTCTTTCTTGTTTGTAATTTGTAATTTTTGTTTGCTTTAAGGCTGCTTTGTTATGCTACATTTCCACCTGAACATCCCAGCTGCTTGAAGGGTTTCTCTCATATTTTTGAATAATGCTGGCTACATTTTAGTTCTTGATTATTTCATAAGAATTCGCTCTTGGCATTTGCTTCGGTGTATGAATCGAATGATCGTAGTTGTTCTTGAGGATTTTTATGATTGGGAACAAACTCAGATGTTGTCTTTCTAGTCACATATTAGGACAGTAATTATAATTCAGATTTTGAGCAAAGTTTCTTTAGTTTCGAAGTGAAAAACACAAGAAAGGAACGGGTACAACTCGAGGAAGCTTATAATGTATAAACTATGTTCGATACACTTCTTATTCGGACAATCAAGCCGCTGATCGATTCACTCCTTGTTTGGACAATCAAGCTGCTGATCGATTTGCTCCTTATTTGCGATCTAGTTGGGCCCGTTGAGAGAGCCATCGATGCAAACCCACTGCCCGATGAAGAGGGCAGTGCAGTTGATGTTAGGGTTGATGGCATTGAAGGTTCGGGTAGTCAGGTTGTGTGCCTCAGCAATTGCGAAACAAGTGTCTCCGTCGTCCACTCCGACCACGCTGTTGCAAGTTAGACTTGCCTTGGCTTTCATCGGAACTGCAAGTTCTCCTTTCTCAAGTCACACATTTTATGTAAGAAGAATCAAGAAATCTGAGATGTTTTGAGTGATTTCGAGAACTTACCTCCGCAAGTTAGTCTGCTCTCTGCAACAGCGTAGAAGAGAACAAGCAAGATGACGAGGAAAGCACAGATGGCGTTGCTTGCCTTGGCCATGGTTAGCTTCTGAGATTCCCCGGGGTGTCCTGCTAACACATTTATACAAGAATCTCGCGACAGAATTAGGAAAAGACAATCGTTGGATACAATGAAACAGAATAAGATATCGTTATGTACAAGAGAAGCTGAAAGATGAAACAGACATTCTTGTAGCATAAATAGTTAAAACATTGTGGACGAAACAATTCGTCGTTATCAATAGATACTACAGACATAAGTTGTTGCAATAATGCCAGAAAGAAGCAATCCAGCAATCCTGCCTTTGGACGCATAGCTCAGAAATACTAAGGTTTACAGTAGAGTTTATAAAGAAGACGTACAACCGAAAGAAAATTGCGTAAACGAAAGCACACGAGGAACAAATCAAATCGCTCTCTTTCGTGGAAACAACAATCACATATCTACAGATTTGTATATGGCAATCAGCCAAAATACTAGCTATTCGAGTGGCAACCGTAGCATTCAAACAAACAGACCATTTTCCTAATGTCGACTATGGCAGAGCAACTTTTGATAGATAAATAAGAACACAGAAATTTTCAGCAATACAGGACTTTTGAGGGAGAGGTTAGTAATACTCATACAGAATCTACCCCTTCCACTTGCTGTCGGGCTAGGTACCGTTCTCTCCTTTCTTTCTGCACAGAAATGTAGAAAATAAGTCGAACTGAAACTCGCAGTTAAGCTCACCCGATAAAAATTTCAGAGCTTATGAAATGGCTCTAACCCATTCATTGATGACAAGTCCTTCTCCAACAAACTTTGGGCCCGTCTCTTCCAAAGGCTTTTGGCGAGTCTCAAGCTCGGCTTCGGCTTCAGCCAATTGCTGCTTTAATTTCTCTAGGGCCTGAAATAACAAATGTATTTACAATCTGATCATGTGTCTTTCGAAAAGCACAGTAGAAGATGTGATTTAGAAACCAGAATCATCATCACTCACGGGACTAGGATGTTCGACATCCAGAAAAACTACGCGAAGAATCTGCTCAACAGCCACTTGATCCTTGTGCTCATCAAACTGAACCAAAAGAAATGCAAAGTATCAGAGTCCAATCCACACACTTCGTTCGTAATCCCAATACCAATACAGTAAATGTGCGCTAAGTGAGGCAATAGTTGGTGATAGACAAATGTTTTTTTGATAATTCACGCTAAATAGGATTTCTCCGTTGTTTCTGTTCTTCCATTGTTTTAAACAACGACTTTTCCTTTTTGCAACCAATTTTATAAACAATAGAAGTTTGTGTCAAACCAGTTCAGGTACGTATTCCATTGGTCCCTTCACTTTCAGGCTCATAATTTTGAACTTCACCCTGCTTTTCTGATCAATGGGCTTTTCGTTGTTCTCTGGAGGCTCGACAAACTTGAATACTGACGAAAACAACCAATTCCAAGAAACAGGGGATTATGAGATTCAACTTCTAGCCAATGGAATGAGTATTTCAAACTCAAGCATGCTTTTCACCCACAACATACAGCAATTCCATTGGAAAGTAATTACCAGTTGCGATTATACTCTCGCCGGGAGCAAGAATGGCACCAGGAGGACGCATAAAACAGCTTTTTGGTGAAGTTGTTTGGAACTGATCAAAACAACAACAAAACAGAGTCGGAAGAAAACAACAAATTAACAAATCTATAGGATCATAAATAGCCCAAAACCAAAAATGTGTTGTACATTGAAACTCCTATGCTCCCGAGCCTAGAAAGATGAACAACACGGAATAGAACAAACAAATAGAAAGGTAATGTCGAGTATACCTTGAACGCTACATGAGACTTGCTTGTGTTTTTTATCTTAATAGCACTTCGACTTTGCTTACCAGGCTCATCTGCAAGATGTCAATGGGGTAAAGAAGGGTAGAGAACACAACCTACGAAATTATGGAGTACGGGATTTGCATGTAACAAGCAATTTACAGACAAGATTCTATAGTCATATTTGAGTGCAAAAACCTTTATGGTTGTAAAGAGGAAATCTCTAAAACAGGTATTGTGAAAATCAAAACCTAACTTAACAGAATTTCAAACGTATCTCATTCAAAAGTATAAATGCTAAATTCAACTTCATTGCCACCAAAATTACTCATGTTCTTTCACAAATGGCGAAATTATATTTGCAGCACCACGATCTGTACTAGAATGAGAGCAAGAGACAAATTTATTAACCTAATTAATCAATAACATCAAGTTGGTCCCATCTTCAATTCTACATAACGCCAAGAAAAAGTAAAGAGAGAGTTAGAGCTAGCACACTGTCAAGAATACTCATTCAATTTTCCTGAAAGTATCATCTGGCAAATTTCACGGAACCTATCACAAAATTAGGAAAAAGGAAAACACCAGATCAAGCTCAAAAAGGAATCTATCACCAACAAAATACAATCACAAAAAACAAGCCAGAAAAATCGCCATAATTTGAGCTAAAATCAAATAAAAACACCATATGCAAAGCCAACAGTAGTAAAAGAAAGAGAAAAGAGTCCAAACAAGGAAAATAGAGCTTGTTCGAAGGATCAAGCTTCAGACGGCGGCGCGTGGGGAGCAAAGACCTAGCGACGGACGAAACTGAGGCTCCACCACCAGCCTGAGCACCAGATCCCTCCACCTTCGAATGCGAATTGCCGCTTCCATAGCCGTAATTCTGCTGATAATTAGCGAAGTTCGACGCAGACGACGTCGTCGATTGAGAGCTTCGGAACGGTAATTTGAAAAGTCCCCACACTTTTCCGTCCGATTTCCCCTCATCAATCGCCATTACAAGCGCGTCCACACTCGCCGGAGCACCGGAATGGCGTCGTCGCACTTACTTTCGGATGTTCGGAGAGAGCGTAGCTTTTTTGAAATAGGCCTTCGTTGGTGGTTTGTGGGCTATCGTCTCGGCTTTTAACGGCCACTTTTTCCTATTTTTAATTATTTATTTAAATCGCAGTCGCATTCGAAATTAAAATTTAAATACTCATATAGTAGTATTAAATTAAACTGTTAAAGTGAACACATGTTAATGGATAACTATTAAATTGGGAAGGACGTATATGAAAATTGTCAAATGTTATCCCGCGTTGACTTGACCTTTATGGTTGACTTTGATTTTAGTCTGCTGTCCAAAGATGGCCACGGTATATTGGTAAGCGACGACTACCATTAGTCGTATAGCTTCATATACCTTGATATTGGTTATATATATTTTTTATTAATATTTTTAAAGTCAGAGCATTTTAAATTCCAAATAAAATAAAATTGCATGTTTCTGTTCTTCCAAAGGCTACCACATTTTGAAATTTTAAAATGATCCTCTTTCCTGTATTTTGAATATTGGTTTATGTTTGAACGTGAATTTGTGATTTTTAAATTTTAAATTTAAATAATATTTTATTAATAAAAATATATTGTTTTTTATTAAAGATTATATATGAATTTGAAATTCAAAACAAACACACTTCAAATATTATAGTACGACATAATAATTATTATTATACCCAATCTATCCTAGTTAAATTTATATATTTTCTTATTTGTTTCACTCACATGAATTTATATACTATTGTCTTCTCATTCAAAGGTTGTCATTTCATTTTCGTCTGTCCCAAAACAAGGTTACCATTTCCTAATCTAGTAATTGTACTATCTGCCTAACATAATAAATACCCTTCTAATTTACACTAATTACACAAATGTCATTACTTTTATATTACACAATACTAATAGGGGTATTTTCGTCTTTTTCAATACAACTCATTATAATACTAATATTCAAAAATCTGCATGCAAAAAGTAAATGACAACCTTGCACCGGGACGGATGAAGTATTTTCTTTCTACCATAGTAAAAGATCATTTTATATTAATATTATTATTTTTATATAAATTATAAATATATAACTATTTCATACATAAATATGGGTAAATACATAAATAACACATTACAAAATATAGTTGATGGGCTGTATTAGAACAGGGCTAAGTATTTTCTTTCTCGTAAAGGATGGCCTGGTAATGTAGATGTTGAACTTGTGACGGTGAGGTTATGAGTGCTTTTTACGCGATGAGTATATATTCTACGATAATGAGAATTATATTGTAAATAATTTGGAATGAATGAAAAAAAAAACCTTTAAAGTTAATGGAATATTGCACATCTTATCTTAACATTTGTTCTTTTGGCATCTTATTTTTTATTTTTTTTAGAAAAATAAAAAATTCATATTTTATTCTTTTGTCTTCTTAACAGAAATATGTACTTCCTCCAGTTTGGTAAAAATATGCTTAAAATTTTTACACACAAATTAAGAATAATAGTAATAGTAGTTTAATATTATTTTTTGTACTTCTCTGAGGGTGAATTTGAAATTGTAATATAGTTAATAATGTAAAATTTGAATTAAAGTAGAATGAATTATAGTAAATATGGGTAAATTTTTTAAAAAGGTTTGTATATTTTTTCACTACACACCAAATGAAAACTATTTTGGTATACAAAACTTGTAAACTAATAAAATAAGCATACTCTGTAAATACCTATTTTAATCTTTTATTTATTATTATTGTTTTATTGTTTTTATATAATATAAATGTCAATAAAATTTAATAGCATGTAAATTAAGTTGATAAAACAAGTCAGACCAAGTGAAACAGGTATCACGTATAATTCGGCACCACATTCTCTCATCCAATTTTTTTTCGAAAATCAAAGGCTATCCAATGCACAAATTTCTCTTACAGAAATATAAAATATTTACACACAACATAAACTAATACCATATCAACATTTATAACAACCAACCGTCAATGGCCATTCGTACTACGCTAATCTTTCCAAAAACAGAAACTATCAAATGCATATATACACACACAATTATATATATCTATATATACACAATTTCAGTTGGGTCCCCAACAGCTCAAGTAGATGACCGTCCGGAGCGACTCCTCAGCCCATCTCAGCCTTTCAGTCCGACCAGAATTCGCCGTCGCCGTCGCCGTCGCTACGACGGACTGAACCGCCGCACCGGAGAACAAATCCGGCGCTTCTAGGGAAGAAGACGGCGGCGACCCGTCGGCGGAAGAAGCGGCGCCGCCGTTGAGAGATTTGATGGCCGTTAGATCATACATGTCTCTAATTCGCTGCATCGCCTTCATTGCAAAATTATTAATGAGATTAATTTTTCGTTTGTCTGATCTTCTGATGGGATGTATGTATATTTGTGAGGAGATGTGGGCCCGCGCACGTGCTTGAACGACACGTGGCGACGCTCTGGTTTGGATTAGTATTGCGACAAGTCACGATGTTTTGCTAGCCAGATTGGAATGTGCTGTGATTTGTAATGCAAGTGGAAAACTTTATCCATTTCTGCTCCGTAAACAACTATTTATATATATATAATTGGATTGAAATAATAAATTAATTTTTGATATTATTATAATATATAAAAATAAAAAATAGTTATGTAATTAATATTTTCAAAAGAATTTTTTTTGATAAATAAAATAATTTAGATAAAAATTTTCAAAAATACATACTTTGATAGATTTTTTTTTTAAATTTAAAATATTATTTTTTAAAAAAATACTATAATAAAAAAAAATCTAGACCAAAATAGGTACATAGCTGTGTAAATTATATATAGTGGTGTACGTGACCATAATGACTATATATAATTATACACTAAAATATACATGACCCGTAACAACATGACCTTGTAGTTTTTAAGTCAGCTGGCACGTGACCTCTGTTTTGTCAATGTCAGCAATTTTCGTTAAATTTTTTTTATGACGAGATCAAATTTGATTGAAATTATTTATAACAAGATCAAAATTGATTGAAATTGTTTATAATGATACTAAAATTGATGAATTTTTTATATTGAGACAAAAATTGATAAATTTTAAATATATTAAAAGTAAAATTAATTTTTTTCCTTAAACAAATTTTGATGGGGTATAAGTATTTGAATAATAATTTGTTTTTTTCTGGCGTTGGAAATGATGATTACATGTGTGGTTTTTTTTTTTTTTTTTTTTTTTTTTTTTTTTTTTTAAAGGAAGACAATATTTAAAAAATAAATAAATTTGAATTTGGCCCAAAAAATTTTACAGGGCCGAAGGATATCAGAAGCCCCTGTTCCGTTCGACCTTTGATTCAATATCCAAACGGCGTCGGACGCTGCTTCGGAGGCCGTTAGGGTTCCCGCCATGAATGTCCTCATCCAACCGCCGGTCTCTCGATTTTCTGTGTCCAGCTGCCGCCGTCCTTTCCGTCCGTCTCTCCGGCAATGTGCCATCTCCGTAAGGTACAGTATGGTGGATTCCGCCGCTGCTCTATATATGTTTCTAACTCCCGCTTCTTCTATCTTTTGATTGGTTTCAGGTCGAGTTTTAGCCTTCCTTTTCCAGAGCAGAAAGCAAGGTACTATGAACATCTGAAAGCAGCTGTTGATGTCGTTGAGCGCGCTTGCCATCTCTGCGTTGATGTGATTTTCTTTCATTTTTTGTTATATGCAGTGTTATATCCTCATTGATGTTATTGAAATTTATTATTTTTTTTTGAAGATAGGTACAAAAATCTCTGCTCTCAAGTGACGAGAAAATCACTAAGAAAATAGATAAGACACCGGTCACAGTGGCTGATTTTGGAGTTCAAGCTCTTGTTAGTTTGGGTACTTCATCTGACTAAGAGAAAAATCGAAAATTCGCTTGTTCATCGTCAGCATTTTTAGCCATTCATTTCTTTTACCCCTTCAAATTGGCAGAATTGTGCAAGCAATTTCCTTCAATTCCATTAGTAGCTGAGGAGGACTCAGCCTTTGTCCGTGAAAATAATCTGGTGGATGCTGTTGTTGAAGTGGTTACTGATAGATTAGCAACCACAGATAAAGAATTGAATGACGAAGATGTCCTGAAGGCAATTGACAGAGGAGGAAAAGATGCCTATGAGTTTGGACCTGAGCCTGCTACTTATTGGGTTAGCTTTCCATTATTAGATTGGGATTGGGTTGAAATTTTGGCTAGAATTTGTAGGATGAATAACATAGAGGATTGGTAGCTTCAGTACTTATGTTGCTAATTAATGAATTTGTAGGATCTATAACATGGGGATTGATAGCTTCAATACTTACTGCATTGCAAATTAAACATGGCTCTCGATATCAGGGTGAAACCATTATCGATTTAGAGTTGTATTGGTTGTGGGAATGGCTGACTGCTATTGCTGAAGCCAGAACTTTCTGACAACTGTTGTTATTTATGTTATCTAAAACATCTATGTTTGTAATCCTAATATTTGATTCCTGGTTAATATGATGAATATTCTCAGATATTGGATCCAATTGATGGAACACGAGGATTTGTCCGAGGCAAAGAAGCTCTCTATGTGGTATGTTTGTCATTTTTAGCTTTCTTGAATCATACCTTGGGCATTAGTGCTTTTGACATGTTTATTATTTATCCCCATACACCAATTGCCTATGAATTCCCTTTTGGAAGTTTGAAAACACAATCTGGACTAATATTGGTCCTATATGAAAATTTTGGTGCCCAAAAATTGAATTATTACTTTTCTGTATCCTGCCAGCAGCTTCTTACTCTTATACTTACAGCTGGGTTTTGTTTCCTGCACATGTGCAGTTACAAACACTCATAGAGTTTAGGCCCTCTTAAACTTTTTTTTTTTTTCTCACATGGATAATAACTGCTGCGTTTTCAGGTGGGTTTGGCTCTAGTAGTTGAAGGGGAGATTGTGTTGGGTGTTATGGGATGCCCGAACTGGCTATATGACACTGAAATTCAGGGAGATGAGAATAGTACTTCTAGCTCAGGAATGATTATGATATCTCATATTGGTTGTGGAACATGGCAAACCAGATTGTGGAAACAAGGAATTGGTGATGCCAAAAAGGTTGATAATTGGACCAAGTGTTTGGTCGACAGGTTTAACCAAATTAATGAAGCACGATTTTGCATTCAAGACAGTCAAAAATGGGAGTCTCTGCCCCTGTCAAGTCAATTTACTGCTGTTACCCAAACTAATTGTGTTGGGGAGAAACAGATTCGTCTGCTACCTACCTGCTGTGGAAGGTGCAAATTTTCAGATAAAATCTGTGGATTTCTAACCTCTTTAATATACACATAGTTACCTTTTTATCCTTATCATATCTCTGTGTATGTGATGGAATGGTTCGAATGAAAAATGTGCCTTGGCTTGATGAAGAAAAATGTTACATATATAACATAAATGTTGGGTGCATCATTTTATTACCTGATTGTGTTTCTTGAGCCACTCAGAAATCAGGAGTGACCATTGCGAAAATTGGTCATGAACACTCTTGGGATAGTGATGTTTGTGTATGTTACGCTGCCAACTAAACAAGTCAACTAGATTCCTAAAATGAAGATTGCTATTCCAATTAGACTCTGGTAATCGTACTGTTTTTCTTAAAGTAGCCCTTTGATATTCTTAGAAAATGTGATATTTTTGTGAAACATCCTCATTCAATTGGATGCATTTTTCCTTTCTGTCAAGCGATGTTTATCTTATATGGTTTCTTGTATCTTTATCAAATGGCTTGACCCCTTATGGTACCTGAACCACCTTCTCTTTAGCTTTTTATTGAAGCCATCAGGGCATGCGTGTAATTGTCTTAATCATTTATCCAACATAATTTAACATTAGTATCTTACAAATTCATTCCTATGCAGATTCTGAGTTATCCTTCACGCTATAAGTGCTTACTGTACTTGGATTTGCAACTCACTATTACATCCTTAGCTGCTTTGTATTCATATTGTTCTTTCAAATACACGTCTGCCAGTTTTGATTTTGACGAATGCCTCGGGTAGTCACTTTTATCTTTGTCTTCTGTAACAGCCTGTGTAAATATCTGATGGTCGCATCTGGAAGGGCATCCGTCTACATTCTTCTCGCAAAGACTAAAAGAACCATCAAGGTATATCTCCCACCATATCTGGTAGTAAATTATCCTGAGTCACTTGAATTCATTTTCATTTTATCTACGTTGAGAATGCAGGTGTGGGATCATGCTTCTGGGGTCATATGCATCCATGAAGCTGGAGGAAAGGCATGCTGCCCGAAACTCTCGCCCTTTGTTTAATTTTTACATCATATCTATCCCATTTATTAGATATTGCATCCATCCTATTGTATGTATTAGACACACTTTGTTCCTTACCCAAAGATGTTCACTATAATACAATTGAAGCTTTTGTATGTCAGGTGACTGACTGGAGTGGAAGTCCACTTGACTTTGCTGTGGACGAAGGAGAGCGAAGGGTCTTATTTCCTTTCGGCGGTGTTCTTGCAACAAATGATAGCATACATGAACAGGTACTTGATATCATGTCCTCAGCTGGCTGATGATTTCTTTTGAGGTTTTGTCATCTGTTTGACTGTGTGCTTCAGAAAATTTTTCTCTCATTGATATACTGTTAATTCTTTGGGATTTGAAGCATTCATGTTTAATTAGTCTGAGGTAGAATTTGTAATGATAATTATATTCATATAATTAGCTAATAAAAAGCTTGATTTTAAGAAAAAGGGGAGAGAGAGAGAGAGAGACTACAAGAATCAAAGATAATTAATTAGAAAATTGATGTCTATAGTTAATTGATGCTTTTAGGAAGAAGACCTTGTCATATAATGCCAGCTGTAGTCTATTATTACAGTTAGAGATCATTGATGAATAATGCTTTGAATGTCTTATTGTTTTCTTCTGTTTAATTGCTTAATTATTTCCAGGTTAAAAGTCAATCATATTGAATTTTCATCTGTTAGGCATGAGTTTGCTTTAGACATTGCTAAAATATTTTAAAATTAAAATACTAAAATAACAGTGTCTTGGCCGTGAGAGTCAAATTGCAAAATTTGCATTGTTTATTTCTGACTTTCCCTTTTGAAAATAAATAGTAGTAAACTGTTAATGCGTTGAGTCTAAGTTATGACGAGCTACATGAGGACAAATGGTTTGTTAAGTATTTTCGTCTAATTCATGTGCAAGTAAAGGCTTTATTATTGTAATTTGAATGACTGTTCAAATTTTGGAGGTTGCGACAATGACATGACCTAACTGAGATATATATATATATATATATATAATTTGTTTGATGGGTCTATAATATGGTGATTAGAGTGACGAAATAATCCATTATTGGGGGTTAACACATGAGAAATATTATGGCTCCGTTTAGCTAGAAGTTATTTAATTTTGAAAGTAGTGAAATATTAGAGTGTTTGATAGTATTACGTTTTGCAAGAGAATAAAATTTTGATTTGATAACTTTTTAAAATGTAGTATTTTAAGTAGCCAAAATTTTCAAATAAGAGTAATTGAATTTTTTTTTTTTTTTTTTTTTTTTAAATAAAACATCATTTCAGATCAAAATCAAATCATATATATATATTCACAAAACATTACACTAGAAATAATATTTGAATAAAAAAACTATCATTTTAATCAATTTTAAACTATAATCAAATAATTAAAAAGTAAATTTAACCTATGTAACAAACACACCCTAATAGTCACAATCGAGTAAGCATGGTGTGTGTGAACAAGGGCATAAGGCGAAATAGGATCGAAGACTTTTGTCTAATTCTCTAAAACAAGATTAGGCTCGAACAGATAGTTTTGGAGTTTTTAAAAAATTATAAATAACAAAAAATTAGTATTTAATTGAATTGGTATTAAGAATACTTGTCACCATTGTATTAAAGAGGATAATGTGGACAACAATATTCAAATGGTCTTTATTTTTTTATAAAGGCAATGACTGCCCAGACAAGCAAACTCAATTATTGTAGCCACAAGATCGAAGGCATCATTCATTATTCGTTAGGAAATATCCCAATTTAATTCAATAAACATCATATGGGCCACTTATCACTTCTTGGCTCCTTATCAAATTAAACATAATTAAAAAAAATAAAAATGTATTCGCTATTCCCAAATGTCCATTATGCCCCCAAGAGATCCTCCCCAGCTAAGAACCTGGAGCTGAGCTGGGGCCCCGGAAATCGACAAAATAGTCTTTTTACAAATATGTCGAGGGGGACGAGGGACACGTCGCAAATGCGGGCAATACGGACGGCGCCGGATCCCTTTGACTTTTCCTCCCCATTTAAATATATTTCCATTAATTTTTGCCATTTCTTTCCCCAACTGTCAGCATTATTAGTATATATTTAATGCTATTGTTTTATTTCAGTGTATAAATGAAGTCATCATCTGATCTCTTTCGACTTGCCATGCATTAGGATTAATCAATAGCATATATGTATATATGCTGTATATGCTACGACGGCGGCGGCGGCCATGGGAAGAGCTCCTTGCTGCGACAAGAATGGAGTAAGGAGAGGGCCCTGGGCTACTGAGGAAGACCAGAAACTCATCGATTATATCCACAAGAATGGCTGCACTAACTGGAGAACCCTCCCAAAAAATGCTGGTATTGTATTACATATATATATATATATATTTGTATGTACTAACTTTGGCAAATCTGTCAAAGCCTGATCATGTATTATACTGCAGGGCTACAAAGGTGTGGAAAGAGCTGTCGTCTACGTTGGACTAACTATCTACGCCCCGACATTAAGAGAGGGAAATTTTCTTCTGAAGAAGAACACACAATTATCCAACTCCACGCTGTCCTCGGCAACAAGTACGTACAAATTATTATAGACATTCTTGAGCTTAATTTGAAAATAAGACATTTCGACATTTACAGGTGGTCTGCAATTGCCGCAAGACTTCCGGGGAGGACAGACAATGAGATCAAGAACTACTGGAACACGCACATTAGCAAGCGCCTCCTCCAGATGGGAATCGATCCCACGACTCATACACCTCATCTTCTCAATCTCTCCAACACCGCCGCCGTCGTGAACTCCTCCATCTGTCCTAACTCACATCCTCATATCAATTTTTCGACTCTAGTCTCAATGCAGCCGGCGTTGACTTATGATTCTCGATTACTAAACACCGTTTTCCATCAAGACGCGGGGTTCGCCAATCTTATTCCAACGCCAATTGTTCAAGATTCTGGGCCTCGAGCTCCTCCCGATAGAGCTCATGACCAACTCATGCATGGCGATGAGATGGGGCCGAGTAATGGATCGCGGCTTTCAACTTTAACGGAAGGCTATGGTTCGCTGTCTGATTATGGCTATTATGGCTTGGAGCCGCCGTTTGTGGACCTGAATCCGTCACCGGAGGCATTGGCTTTTCAATCTAACAACCACCGCGATTTCTACTTTTGGCATGCTTTCTTGAACCCATCGACTTTATCGTCGAGGAGTTCGACACCGTTGCAATCAAATTGGACATATAATTTATACGGCAGCGGCGGCGACGACGGTGGTGAGGATGGAAGGGGAAGTTATTGCGGAAGCATGACGGAGATGGAGTTTCAAATGCCCGGAATTGTGGATGCCGTTGTTAACCATTTCGTGTAATTAGTTTCATGACCAAAAACTTGATTGGATATATCAAGGGATCGAATCATTTTCAAGCCACATCTTACTTATTCTTGTAATGACCGTTGAAGGAAGTAGCCGTTGCAATTAATGTTATTCGTGTCTTGCCCATCGACAAGTTGAGGAAAGTATTCCCTTGTTTCTTTAAGTTCTTCAATTCATCCGCAGCTATTCATAAATTTCTTTCCCTTTTTATCAAAAAAATAAAATAAAATAAAATTTAATTTAACAAAAAAAAAAAAAAAATCAAAACATTGCGACAGGTAATTAATTATATCATATAAAATATAATTTCAATTCCAATTTTTATTATCTCAGAGTCGTAATTTCAAATTTTAAAGAGACAATCGTATGTCTAGTGTATTCAAAATATTTTATCATGTACTATGTAATTATATTATATTATATTAAAAAAATTGTTTTAATTATTTTAATTTTTAATATAATATAAATATAAATAAAAACAATTGCAATATTTTTCACTAACTTATACTATCTATTAAACAAATCTCTTAATACTTTTTTAAATATATTTTTATAGAATTTTTTACTATTATAATAAAATATTATTTTTTTTTAATATTGTGCATAATTTTAGAGGATGAGAGTAGTGAATAATAAATGTTTAATTGGAACTAACCCATTTCAGACACACCATAAGGATGCGTTTATTTGGGATTTTAATTTTGAGTAAAAAAAATATTTAATTAAAATATTGTATGAAGTAATATAAATAGATGTTCATATGATATTTTTAATTTAAAATAATTTTTTATAATATAAAAATAAAAATATTGATTTGATTTGATTTGATTTTTTCAGAAAAAGAATAATAAAAATCTAAAAAAAATCTCCAAATAAACCTTTTTTTTTTGTTTGAAGTTTAAAAACAGAAAATTGTTATAAAAATTAAATATTTGATAGAGATTTTTGTATAAAAATTTTTTTTAAAATATATATATAAACGAGCTTAAATTAAATGGAAAAATGAATGAGGGGATAAGGTTGCGGGACCACTAATAACAATTAATACTCTCTCCGTCCCATATAATTTATCCATATTTTCTATTTTCGTCTGTCCCACATAACTTATCATTTCTATTTTTGAAAATATAATGATGCACTTTAATTGTATTTTAAAATTTAAATTTTCTTAATTTTAATTAAACTATTTTCTTATCTTAATCTATAATTATTTTTACTAATACATTTTTAATTACTTATTAATTATACTTTACCAAAATTTTCGTATCTAAATCAATACACCCATATTACCTGACGAAGGAGAAATAAATAATTCACAAGTCAGACAGAGATTTCTTCGTCTGTCGGAATCGGAGGCTTGCTGGCCGTACGATCCGAAATGGTATAAACGTACCCAAAGTCAAAAGCATGCCGCGACTATGTTACGTCATCCTATGGTCACGATTTCGTCATCATATCCATAATTAATTAAGTGCAGTAATTAATGCAAGTAAGTAGTCGTAAAGTTATTAATATAAATTGAAGATGAAATTTGCAAGTATAAAGGAAGGAATCTCAACACATATCAAATTGATTGATGTCTGATGTCTCTGTTTCAACTTAATTTCATGTCCATTGTTTCATTTTCTCATCAGCCGACCAAAGAAAATAAGTTCTATGCAATAATAATGATAATAATAATATTGAAAATTATATATATATATATATATAAAAGAAAAATATATTGAAAATTATGAAATTAAATCAATTATAGGGTTCTATGAATTTGTTTGTCATTGACTTGTATAGACAAATCTTTGTGGATTTGTTTTATTGCTAAGATTTTGGTTTGTAAGAGTATTATATGAAAATTTTTATATAAAATAATTTAATATATATATTTTCTGATAGAAATTTGTAGAGCAAAGTTGAACAAATAAAATAAACAAATTTTTGGGTTTGGTTTGTTTTGATTGAGTTTAAATTTTATTTAAATAATATTTTAATATAATATTACACGATAAAAATTATATTTTTATTGGAAATATATAAAATCGAATAATTATAATAATAATTTTATTTTGAAACAATATATATATATATATATCCAATTATCTTTTTGCACTTATAATCGAAAGTGTGGGCTCAGTTAAAATCTGGCCCAGAAGTACAACTATGGGCCCAACTGGATTTCCGTGACATTATTTTTAGTTTGACACTTTCTAAATATGTTTTGTAAATTATTTATTTATATATTTTTCATCTTTGTTGTTATACATATAATTTATAAAATTATTGAAAAAAATAATAAAAAAAAAAAGTGTCAATTTTTTACTAAACTATATCATTTAGAAAATTGAAACCAAAATTAAACAAAACAAAAATATTATGAGGGAATAAGTATAATAATGTAGAGGGCCCACAATAAGACAATAATGGAGCAGTGGACGTACGTATGCATGCATGCATGCACGCACGCTGAGAAGAGCAATGATGGTGTTGCATGCGTGCATGGGGTGGCGCCTTCACCACCCACCCTACCCCGCCAGTCGATATACACATGCATATAATATATATATATATATATATATAAAAATAATATGAAGAAAATGGAAAGTAAAGAAAAAGTGAAAGCTATATATTCAATATGTGCAATGATGCCTAAAACAAACCCCTTTCTCTTGCATCTATAAAATTGAGCGAGAGTCAATTGGGTTCGATTTTATACTTTCTTCATAAATAGTAGTAGTATATTAAATTAGATAATAAGCTCATAGTATTTGATTTTATTTATGTGTATTATACTGCCCTGTCACATAATAAATTATCCATTTTAATCCGTATTATAAAAAAATATTTTTTTTTTCTAGCAGTTGTATTATTTACTTAACACTACAGATACTCTTATAACTTACAATATATTACACAGATGTCGTTACCTTTATATTATACAATACTAATAAGATTATTTTAATCATTTCAACTTTATTCCTACTATATCCCAATATAATACTCCCTCTGTCCCAGAACTATAGTCTGGTTGTGTTTAGCATGAGATTTAAGGAAATATTGATATTATATTAGTAGTGGGTAAAAAGTACAGATAAAAGACTTTTTTGTCACTATGAGTGTATTAGGTAAAAAGTAGCAATAATTGTGTAATAATAATGAAAAAGTAAGAGTAGTTTATTGTGATATGGTTATTTATAAAAATGAGACTATTGTTTTGGGACCGACAAAAATGGTAAACAGGACTATCGTATTGGGATGGAGGAAGTACTAATAATCCTAAAATTCCGTGCAAAAAGTAAATGAATACATAATTATGGGACATAGGGAGTATAAAAAATTATTTTATACAAATATATTATTACACTAACACTCTGTTTATATAAAAACTTGTTTTTTTTTAATTTTTTTTTACATTATTCATTAATATTATTATTATTTTTTAAAAAAATTACATAAGATATTTTTTATTTCACAAAATTTTACATCAAATATTTTATATTTTTTAATATTTTTAATTTTTACAATCAAATACTATTTTATTTTTCAATAATAATATCTAAGGTTTGTTTGGTTTGGTTGGGATTTGAAATATTATATTATAATATTATTTTAATAATATGATATTTATTTTTTAGGAAAAATACTTTATTTTTATTAATAACCGTCTTAAGTAAATAAAGTACATTGTGTTTGATATCATAAAAATATTAACAAACCTCTCATTTTCAACAATAACACCCTACTTATAGCCAAAGTAGTTACAAAAATCAATAAAATTATACTTAGTACATAAAATATTTTGTATAGGAAAACAAATAAAATGAGATAGATATTGTAATATAAGGATGAGAGAGACAGAGAAGATGCGTTGCTTGTTCATGGGGCAATTCATTCTGTTCGACATTAATTATTTACTATTTCGATCTCAATATATATATATATATATCTATATCTGTATCTATAGCTGATTTATCTTTGTCTTTAATGGCTGACAGTATAAAGTTGGCGTCTTGCCGCTTGCCCATATCTCTCTCCCTCTCTAGAAAAACCCCAAACTGCTAAATGAAATCATTTAAGAACATGTACCTAATATTCCCGTCTCCTTTAATAATATTGATATATATATATATATATATTTTTTATGTAAATTATAAATATATTATTATTGTTTTAATAAGATTTTAATACGGTAATTTTTTTAAAAAATTTTAATACTATCTCCGTCCGATTAAAAGGTTTTCATTTACTTTTTATGTATTGATTTTTGAATATTAATTATTATATAAAATGTAGTATAAATTAAAAAAAATTAAAAAATACTTCAATTAGTGTTTTATAATACTAATAAAAAAATATTTGTACACGTATTTTTATACAGCACGGATATCATTTTTAATATTGCTGAATGGTTAAAAGATAATTACACTTAATTAATATAATTAAATAATATAATTAATATAATTATATATAATTTTTTTATAACTATTCAGCCGATGCTGAAAATAATCCGCAAAAATTTTTATATAAATATAAAAATATTTTTAGTTATCAATGGAGTTTACGTTAATACCGGATAAATATATTTCAAAAGAACATGAGGAATCCATTTAGGAAACTGTATGTATATATATACAGCAGCTGAGGAATATAGTCAATTATGTGAAGAAACTCCACAAATATGGAGGGACAAGAATCACGTGACAGAACAGAACAGCCCCTATTAATACTCTCTCTCTCTCTCTCTCTCTCTCTCTCTCTCTCTCTCTAGTATACATAGAGATCATAACAGTGCCACTCGATATAAATATACAAACATATATTTCTATATATATATATATAATAAAGGAGACGTGTAGGTGGCCCGTGCAGCACTGCTAAATAAATCATACTCGTACGTTCATAAATAAATACAAATAAACTGTATTTGCATTATGGTCCTTCTTTAATTTATATCTTCTTATTTGAGCCTATGAATATATGTATATATATAGAGCTGTAGATTTGGAATTACTAGCGAGTGGGGCGATTGGTCGAGTGCTTTTGAAAACCGTCTTTCATTCACTCTCTACCCGCACTTTCTTCTCCACATTTTTTCAAAGGAATTCTCAGCTGCGATTGCTTTTGAAAAGGTATTCAAATCATGAGTAGGGAGGAAGAAGAAATGGATTTGGAGGTGGATATTCAGAATCCGTTCGGTTGTTGCCAGTGCGACGGAGTTCCGGTTGATCTCTTCGCCAGCGAGTCCGAACACATGCCTTGTTATTTATCCTTACATTCCGACGATTTGCGCCTCCGTATTCGCCGATCTGCGCTCTCTCTTATTTATCAGGTGCGTGAATTGATCGTAGATTACTGAATCGAAATTTACAGTAGAATTTTTTTTTTTTTTTTTTTTTTTTTTTTTTTTGTTTGAGTTTGTTTTGAGCTCGTGTTTGTTGTTTTTATATTTGCAGAGCAAGTTTTCGTACGACTTAGATCCGTTTCTCGTCTACCTCGCTGCGAATTACGTTGATCGGTTTCTCTCTAAGCAGGAGATTCGGGTGACAACTGCTTGTCTTGAATAAATACGCTGTATCTTATTATGCGACTTGTGTTTTTAAACTTGAGGATTAAATCAGGAGGAAAGGTCGTGGATCGCGCACATTCTGGTACTGGCAAGCCTTTCGCTTGCCGCCAAGATGAGGAAGTTTGATCTATCAGATTTACTCTCTGATTTACAGGCATAATTTAAATCTCATGCTTCAACATGTTATACACTTGAAATTTCATACTATATACTGAAGTAGTTCTGCTTCAATTTGTTCCGTTGTAGCAGAGAGAAGTCGGTTTAGAGTTTGACTCACAATCGGTTCAGCGAATGGAGACGATTTTGCTGGCGTCTCTGCAATGGCGAATGCGCTCCATCACTCCTTTCTCCTTTCTCCAATATTTCGTCTCTCTTCTCGAATTGGAAGACGCTGCTCAATGTGTGAAGAACCGAGCTTGTGATATTATCTTCAACGTTCAACACGGTAATTTCACTTCTAATTCTTCTGTAACAGGCTGAAGAAACCGTCGAGACTCGAGACAACGAACAAAAACTCAGCTATGAAGTATAGCTAGCTTTTTATTAGCAAAATCTAGCTTCTATAGAGAATGCTTAAAATAAGAACAAACCGTATATTTGCAAGCAGGAGCCTTACAATTTCTAGCATAATTCAATGACGCGAGTTGTAGCCTAATTTCTGATGTTTTCTTATATGAGCAGAACTGAAGCTGTTACAGTATAAGCCTTCCACAGTTGCTGCTTCAGCACTTGTTTGCGCCATCCAGGACTTGAATAAATCAGACGGATTCTCTTCTTCGGAAGCCACAATTTGTTCCTCCGAATATGTCAACAAAGTAATCAGTAGTCCTTTTTTTTTTTTGTTCCATTGATTGAATTGATCCTTATAACCGATTGAGCAAACAGAACAACTGAGGAAGTTTCTGTAATTGCAGCAAACGTTGTTGGAATGCTTCACCGTGATGCAGAAGGCGGCGAGAGATGACAACGAACAAACCGGGAACGGTACCCCGGGGCCAACGGACATCCGACGTACAAACTCGAGAACAAGAGAGGAGGGAATAGAGAGAGACAATGTAGAAGAACGGCGGCGGCGGCGCCTAAACGGCGTCTGTGACGATAGAACATTCCAGATCTCTCAAGTTCAGTACTGTTAAGCGCCTCTCATCTTCGTCACAATTACGGTCAGCTTTCTTTATCATATCCTCAAATCAAAACATTATTTATAAAAACAAACGCCTCAGTTTCGATCTTCCAATGAGTCCTGAATTTCGAATCAGATATTCCAACAAAAACTTATTTTATTACAACAATTCACAACACAACAAAATGTCGTCGAAGACGACAATGCTTATTCAGCACACAACACTCAAGATTGAAGTCCCAATCCACACACATACAACATAAAAAAACAAACAAACAAAAAAACAATAATTTTGAAGCCAGATCGATGGCTACTTACCCACAGTGAGTTTGGCCCTCGAATGGCCTTCCTCGATCTGAAACTGAGTCCCCAAACCAAACTGAATCATAAGAAGCCAAACCACAGTTAGCAGCTCCCCCCCTCTGGACAACTGCTGCACATGATTGTCTGCTCTGCAATTGATCGCAGCATAAGACAGCAGCTCCACCCAAACTCTGCTCATTATACTCCATTTGTTTTTTTTTGTCCTCAGCTCTTTAGCTAGTATGCACCCGTCGAACAAAACCGACTTGCTTTTCTCGCCCTTCACCGTCTCCGGCTTAACTTCTGTGTGCACTTCCAATATATTCTTGCAGCAATTCACATGCTCTGTTTTCCTATTGTCCTTCATCCTTGAATAGTGTTTGAAGATATCCAAGTAGTGTTCCTTCACCTTCTTGTGCCATTCGGAACTCACCGTGTTGGCTATAGCCGCTACTAAAGGCAGAAGCAAAACAATGTAGAAAGAAACCACGAGTGCGAGAAGTGGATAAAGCAAACAGATGACGCCCCGGTAGATGATTTTGAGGATTGCCCAAACATATAGTGTCCAAGACATCCAGTTACCATTCTTCCTTATCCAAATGATCAATCCATTCACCTCCTCCTCTTTCTTCGCGAAAAACTTCTTTGCGTCCGCACACGTGTCCCTGAATCGAATCTGCCCGATACCTGCGACTGCAGACATCATCGTCGGCTGCATGACTAGAAGATATAACATGTAATCAGACAGGAGCTTGGAACAATCCCTGTCCTTATTCTTCTTGTCCTGATCAGATTCATCCCAGTAACAGAGTTCAGTTGCAATATGCCACAATAAGAGACTCTGATCGTAGTCGACTTTAAGCACATAGTGTAGAAACTGATCGCAGTGCTCGTCTTGAATGGCCCAGTCGCCTTTCGCATTACTCAAGGCCTTGGCGGTGTCTAAATCATCGGCAATCTGCGATTTCAGATGCAGCTCCCGGAAGATGAGTGACTTTAGATCCTCGGTTAATTCCTTCCTTTCCAGATACATCAGTCTATCTAAAAAGCTGGTCAGCGCCAAGAAGTTGAAGATGTTCTCCTCAACTTCATCGCGGCCGTGTTTAGCGTAGTAAATCAAGTTAAAACTCGAGACAGATTCGGACCAGCGGCGTACCAGATTGTGCAGTTTCCTCCGAATGACAGATTCCGACCACCAGCGCTGCACACGTGACTTCTTCGCTCCAACGGCTTCCTTGTCCCATTCTAGAATCCTCATGTTCACTGCAGGCAGCTTGTGAATGAAGATGTTGAGCCAATCTGAGGAAGCAAACATGATCAGAGATATGCAATCCAAGGCAATGGCTCCAATAAGCAGTGTGTAGGTGATGACAACGTCGGATTTCTTGAAGTTAGCCTTCTGCTCGAAGTAGAAGAGATAAAGCGACGTAACAACCAAAGAGGCGCAGACGAATCTAAGTATGCAGCCATGGACTGTGTAGACAACATTGGCTTTGGTGAACAGGACATCGTACATCAAATTCAGCTCGGTTTCAATCACATCGAAGCTGTCCTTTGCCGTCCTCTTGTTAAAAAACTCCCGGCATTGATTGCGCTCCCTGAAACTCAGTATGATCCCGACAATGAGTCCCTTAAACATCTCGAAGAGGTGGTGAGCATGAAGCACCACCTCTGTTCTCGTCAATCTACCCCCTCTCACCCTATTCACCGTCTTCGATTCCTTAGGCTCGTCGAACATCTTAATGCTTGTCGGCAGGTGCGCCTCTTTCATTGCATGGTACTCGTTCATGAGCTTGGCGTAATTCGGGCCGGGGTCAGCCTCCCTTAGGATCTTGTCCCGGAAGGCATCTAAGCTGGCCGAGAGCAGGGAGAAAGTCCTCTCGCCGTACTTAATGATCCCGGAAACAAACATGAGCATTGTCGGGATCCATAGCTGGTTCTTCGGCAGCGTTTGGTAGAAAACATACATTGCGGAAATGGACTGGAATATGAGAGTAAGCATGTGCCTCCGCCATAGCTCGTTGTCCTCGAGAGCAAATGCAGTGATAGTATCGGGGCCTCCGAGATGGACGAGGAGGAACGACACCCAGAATGCGTAGAGGTCCGGGTTGGTGGCGCTGCCCTTTTTCGACTTGCATGGATCGTTGCCTTGGGAGCTGGATATTAGGCCGACGGCGAAACCGGCGACCCAGTCGGCGAGCAAGTATGCTGACCAGATGGACATGTATATCCAGATGTTGGAGAAGCGTTTCCTTAGAGGGGAGAAGAGAATGAGGAAACATTGTAGGAAGAGGCTGAAGAGAATGAAGGACCTGATCTCCCATGCCTCCCATAAATTCTTCAAGGCCTTGGGCACGGGGAGTTCCATTGTTGATTGTACCTGGCCAACATCAAGAAGAATTTGTCATCTGAATTATCTATCTTAGAACCGATTAGTGAGGTAGTGGGGATGGTTTGGGTGCTGATTGCGGCTAATCACTATCATATCATAATGATTAGTCCTAATCAATATTAGAAAAAAAGTCAAGCATGTAATTTCAAAACATACAGAATGATTTGTCCTAATCTAACATATAAAAAGAAAATAAAACAGTCAGCACATAGTTTCAAAACATACTGTAGCAGGTCACTTACCTGCCTGATTCAACCAATCAAGAAATCCCCTGATGCATAGACAAGGAACAATGTTAGTTTGATATATTTATAAATGGAGATATGGAATGAGATGAGATGAGGATTATATTCACAGACAGCAGCAATTAAATGTGATGTAGTACTTCACCTTGAAGCAACTGTGTGGTGCATATAGGAAGCTTGTTGTATGCCTAAAGAGGTAAAGATAAAAAAAGAGAGAGAGAATATAAACGACCTGCAAGTTTCCTCACAAAGTAAAAAACTTTTGTTCTCTCTTCTGCTATGCCTGTCTTGTGCAAGAATACATACATGGATGAAATGCTTCCATTGCTCAATGCACACTTGAAACCAAGCCAAACTCAACCACATCCCTTCAATTCTTCCTTTCTTTGAACAAAAATGGCGGAGACGAAAACGTTTCTGCTCGAACAGATCAACACGACGATCAAAGATACAAAGAATCTGCTCAAGCTGTACAAGCAGCAACTCCACATATCTTCTTGCTTGTTGAAGTGCTCCGACCCTATGGAAGACTTAGAAAAATTGGAGAATATCCGCAACAGCGCTGCAGCGAAACAAGTATCGCTTGACTTCCTATATGATCTCAACAATGTCACGGCGGCGTGGCTGAAAATCTTGAATGAGCGTCATCACTTCATGCAGAGGATCCCATGTTGGGTCTGCGAGCTTCGTCTAATAGTGAAGCAAAAAGGCGAGGAAATTGCAAAATTGCTTCCTAATGAGGCTGCAGGATCAGTTCCTCGTGGGGTTTCCGCAGAAAGCTTTCCAAAGGCTGAGACGAACCGGTGGAGTTCTGCGGCTGCAGTCCATAAAATTCATGGGATAGATGACAAGACCATGATCATGGAGAGGCTGCTAAGTGGGGATGGAAGATTTCAGGCGATTGCGATTGTCGGGATGGCTGGTGTTGGGAAGACAGCACTTTGCCAAGTTGAGTTCAACAATCAAGAAGCGACGAAAGACTTCTATCCTAAGATTTGGATCTGCTTGTCGCAGACGATGAATGGTCCCAGCAGTGAAGAATACCCGAAAGAGGTGGTGAAGAGAATGCTAAAGTGTATCGGATACGAAGAGGACATCATCAACAACCAACTGAAACAATCTGATCTCCGCACTCTACTTATGGTCCTACGGCGACAATTGTTGGGAAAAAAGTACTTAATTGTGCTGGATGATGTTCAAGATAATGCTATGCGGTTCTGGGCTTCATTAAGTGACAGTGTAGACGAGCTCATGCCGGAGGGACAAGAGTGCATACCGGAGGGACAAGAGCGCCTCGCCTTTGGACTGCCGAAAGGAAATGGAGGCATGGTGATTGTCACCAGTAGATATAAAACTATAGCAGAGACTATGGTTGGAGGGAAAAATGTGTTCCATCTTTTGCCTCTTGCAGATAAAAGTTGTTGTTGGAAGATCTACGAGGACACAGTTTCACCTTCACTGAAGGTGGATAAGGAGAAACTGAAAGAAAAGATTGTAGACGACTGTGATGGCCTGCCGTTGCTCGCCATGATAATGGCGAAAATTGTCGAGAGCAAGCAAACAGTCGGTAAAGAAGAAAAGCACCAAAACGAACCGAAAGGAAGCACACTAGAGGAAGAGGGGAGAAAAGTTTAGCTGTTGATCAGCTTCTCATGTAGAAAATTTGAGTACAATGTTATCGGGGGATTCTGGTTTCTTTGTAACTCAAGATTTATGTTTTGTGGAGATTGAGGTCTTTGTTGTTTTAGCACATCGTCTTTCCTGTTGTCAATGTTATGTTTTTCAATTCCAAAGAGTGATTGATGATATGATGCAAACTTGATTATAGTTGTTACACCATGGCTATTTCCCAAAAGAAAGATACATTTTCTTTAGCATGAATAGTTTAGTCGATTCATTTAAACAATAATTATATAATATGTTTTCTAATTATGAAGTAAACAAGTCAGTAACCGAGGCTTCTACCTAAAGGTTCTAATGAGACAAATATTAATGTATTGGTTCAAAGAAGACAATATGCCAGGTTGCAAGATGCAAGATTGATGCACATGTAAGTATTCTAGATTTAGGATCAACTTTTGGTGTCATGTCATATTCATCTTTTCCCTTTTGTTTTGGTTACAAAATATAATATGTGTTTCTTTATTCCTTTGCCCAACAAATCAAGAATATAACAGTCATCATCGTGTTTCACGAGAGGATACAGGAAATGGCCTTTCTCAAACAACCATGGCGATGTGGAGATTCTCTATATATTTACGAGAGCTTACTGAAATATTCTGATATCTCTAAACATAGAGGAATTTGTGGTAAAAAACTCAACGATTGACTGTTCATCAATGTTGAAACCTAAGGCAGATCATGTCGTCAGGCATCACCTTGAAGATACTTAGAGACATTCGAATCACTCTACCACTATACAATCAATGAGACTTATGTTGAGTAGTATTGGATTTTGATAGTCATTGTCGGATAGGCTTCGGACCATAATTGTTCGTCGAGTCATTCTCTTGTGTCTAAGGGCTAACAGAACAACGGCATGATCACTAAATTCAGAACGATCAATAATATCTAAAACGATTTACGCAAAACTACCCCATCCTTTCAGTTAAATATGAAAATTAGTAGAATAACAAAGAAAGTATATGTTATTCTGAAGTAAGAATCGACTTACATCGCCGCCGAAGCCTCGTCGCCTCTCTCTCTCATCATCCTTCCCAATCAGTTGCTTCAATCGACAATCGGAATCCTCCATGGCGGAAGCCGCCACGTTTGATAGCGACGACGCCGACGCCGTCGCGCAGAACCACCAAATTGACGACGACCACCACTCATTTCATCTGCCGCCGGAGCAAATCGGAACTCGACTGGAGCTTCCGCGTGGATTGTCGTCTTCGGTGGATTTGGGGGTAGTTTACTTATAATGTGCATTGGAGAATTTGTAACCGGAAATAGATGGAACTCAGTTTAACTAGTATGCCAAAATGGATGTTAATCTTTCGATGTGGGATTGAATTGTACGTTAATAAGATCACTAATGTGCCATGATGGAACCCTAGAAAATCTCTCATCAACAGCATTATTATCAATCAACCTTACAATTGTGATGCTCGTTAAATGACCATCTCAAGCTTAATTTAATATGCTTTTCAAAAAGACAACCGACAGACACTAACATGATTCATGAATCAAGAAAATTCTCAAAATTTCATCGCTGATCATTCAAGTCAATCCACAACCAATATTTCATATAGCGATCAAAAATCTGATCTTGACAATTATTTGATGATATAATCGGATCACACACAGCTTGTTGATGTAAGCAAACCAACAAATGGATAGATGATCATTCTCCAAAACTGAAAGGAATACAACACACAAAAGATACATGTCTGCATGTGACAAACTACTTCCCCATGCCACCTAACACGACAGCATCGCTAGCAGCATGATTCACGGCGATCATAAGCAGGCAACAAACACAAACTCAAATGGAACAAACCAATGCATAAGAAAATAAAATTGTGGCATAAACAAAACAATTAGGGAAACATACAGATGACTGGCATACGATCTCTGGGGAGAAATGTGAGCCACGATTCATTTCTACTACTTCTTCCATACCCCATTAGCATCACACCGGGAGAAAGTAAGTTTAGGACAATCAACTTGCTCCAAGTATTGTAAATGAGGAAATAATTCGTGAAGCTGCGTCCAATCCAGCTCTAGTTTGGACAAGAATTTGAGCCGTAAGTGAGTAACATTCCATGTGTCGATCTTCTTGTCTGGCCAGGCAGAAGGATACCATTCATCAACATCCTGGTATTGACCCAAATCAGAAAACAGCCCACCTCTGATGTAGAGCTTCTCCAAGCTGGACAAATTACTACACAAGAGCCACTTAGGAGTGGTGGACTTGGGAAAGCATTTGAGATCCAGCTTCTTCAATGTGGTCGGGAGTGTGGGGAAGGTATCTGTAGAAGTTTCAGAAATCTCTGCATCGGTTGCTCCACATGTAATCAGCTTCTTCAATGTGGAAGGGAGTGTGGAGGAGATATGTGTAGAGGTTTCAGAAATCTCTGCGTCGGTTGCTCCCCAAGTAATCGTCAACTTGAGAAGGCTTTTCAAATTTCCCAAATATTTAACATGCTCATCAGACAGAGGTAAGCCTGCATAAATACACAATTTTTCCAACTTCTTCAATCTCCTCAAATCATCGAGTGTGCATGAGTTACTGTTGCTCCTTCCATTGCTAAGCACGAACCCCTTAAGCACTTCAAGATTCTCCAGGTGACTCAGGCTCTTGGGCATGTGATCAATCAGAGCACAACCTAACATATCCAAGTGTGTTAAACTCTTGAGAGAACCTATTTCGTCTGGTATGCTCTCAAGATTATGGCAACCTCGAAGGTCCAAGAACTCGAGACTTGCAAACTTTGAGATGGAGGCAGGAAGGAAGATGACATTTGCAACCCCTTGAAGGCTGAGAAATTTCAGATAATCCATGTTCCCAACTTTCTCCAAAAACTCCGTACTTTCAACTTCGACATGATCCGTAGCTCTCCAATTCCCCAAATGTATGAAATTCACATTTTTCATCATGGAAAACCAATCACCTTTGATTTCAAGCTTGGCTTCCCTCACATTGAAAACTAGATGAACCTTCTCAAGAATTCTCTTCAAAACCTTATCCAAATCATCATTCTTCGGTTGTTTGATTTTACTATTATACACAGTCTCTAAATCATCATAGGAAATTATTCCATCTCCAACCAAGCATGCCTGGAAAACCTCTTGGAAGTTTTGTGTGGGCTCTCCATTGGTATCAAAATTAAAAAACTTAGCCCTCTCTGCCAGGATAGCCAATGCAGATCGATGAAATGGATGCATTTGACACTCCTTGACAGAGCTGCTTTTGTTTTTATTCACAGGCTCAATGAACCCCATCTCCATGAACTTGTTGAAGTAATCGTCACCATGTTTCTTGTTGGCAAATCTTTCACAAGCCCACCATTGCACCATTAGCCTCTTCTTGATGATAGCATCTTTAGGGAAAATAGAGAAACACAGCAAGCACAGCTTCATTTTATTAGGGAGATAGTTGTAACGAGCCTCAAAATCTTTGAACTCCACACTGTTTTCGAAAACAGTATCATTGTGCAGTCGAGGCATTAACTTAAGCTCTTCCGGCGGAATCTCTTTCTTGGCCTTGAAAGCTAACTGCAATGTCTTATGACGGTCTGTTTCATCTGAATCGACTTTGTACCTTTGAGGAATCTGAAGCTTCAGTTTGATGATAGCATTTTTTAACTCCTCAAGAACATCCAACATATCTGATTCCCTCAAGGTGTTCCAATTAGTTTGAGCATCCTTGTGTGCTTTTTTCAGTTGTTCATGATCCCGTCCAAGATTTTCTGCCGCCTTCATAATGTAATCAATGTCTGCGCTTATCGACTTCTTAATGTAACCAAGGTCTGCTTTTTTCGACTCCTCAGAAACCTGTGTCTTCTTGTCGTCTGGATTTGAGGTAGTGGTTGGACCTTCTTGAGCTGGAGTGTCATCAGATCTTTTGGGCGGCGATCTTCTATCTGGAGTGTCATCAGATATTCTGGACGAAGATCTTTCATTGTCACGTGGAAAGAATTTTTTGACATACTTCCAAAAATGTGATCGTTTTGGAGTTTTCCCATCTCTTTCATGGCTTTTGATCCCAGGGTCAGTTTGGGACGGTGGTAGTCTCCGTGAAGTGGTTGCATCATCTGCAAGAGGAAAGGGATGAGCATCACCAGTAGGCTCTTTGGCGATTTCATCATCTTCTTCTCTTCTTGGTTCAGAATGCGCCGTAATTTCAGAGGGTGCTGCATAAGTTGGGCGATCAGAATCTTTCGAGGCTGATTCTTCAGCTGGTGGTAGGACTAGTGGGGGTGGTGAGGGTGGTAGGACTAGTGGGGGTGGTAGGGGTGGTGAGGGTGGTAGGACTAGTGGGGGTAGTGGGCGTGGTGCTGGTGGTAGGACTAGTGGGGATGGTGGGCGTGGTGCTGGTGGTAGGACTAGTGGGGATGGTGGGCGTGGTGCTGGTGCTGGTGCTGGTGGTAGGACTAGCGGGGGTGGTGGGCGTGGTGGTGGTGGTGTTGCTGGTGCTGGTGGTAGGACTAGTGGGGGTGGTGGGCGTGGTGCTGGTGCTGGTGGTAGGACTAGTGGGGGTGGTGGGCGTGGTGCTGGTGGTAGGACTAGTGGGGGTGGTGGGCGTGGTAGAGGTGGTAGGACTAGTGGGCGTGGTGGGGGTTGTGAGGGTGGTAGGACTAGTGGGGGTGGTAGGGGTGGTGAGGGTGGTAGGACTGGTGGGGATGGTGGGTGTTGTAGAGGTTCAGGATGAGCATGGACATCAGGTGTAGGATTTTCTCTATGAGGTCCAGTATCACCAGTTTCTGGTGCAGCATGGATTGAATCATCCATGGCAGCTTTGATAGGGCTCACAGGAGCAGTGTGTTGGGTCGATGGTTCTCCTTGGGGATCAGCATCAGTACTGGAACTGGATTTCATCCCTTCAGTTTGGCCAGGCTGCATTTCTGTAACATCAGGATCTGAACTTTGCTTGGAGGGTTCAGCATCTTTGGGAGCTGCAGGGGGGTTGTTGGAGGAGGTTTCATCTTGGGGGGAATTGGGTTTCTGGTCGTCTGTGGATACACCTGAGGATTTTGGGTCGTCAGTGGACATGGCAATCCCTTGAGAAACTCAAAATTGGTTAATCTTAATGGCAAGAAAAAGAGAAGAAACAACTGTAACTACGAGGAGCTTGAGACATGGGATTTAAATGGAAAGGGTTGCAGTACACTTAGCTGTTACACATTCCTTGAATTTGCAGCAAAGTATTCATTCTCCTAGAGGTGGAGGCAAGGAAAGAATGTTCGTTAAAGTGACCCGTACGATCACTTGCTCATAATACATCTTGTCACTTGCATTCACCTGGAGAAGCTAAACATTATCAAAGTAAAAGTTTTCACAGCAGGAAAATGATGACACAAAAGAGAAACTATATAAGCTCATTCAGAAAAAGGGAAGCAGTACCTGTAGAGAAGAGGATGCTCCAGAAATGCCATGGAAGAGAACAGAGGATACGAAGCTTTGAACATCCAATCCCTTCATGAGCACAGGTTAGAACCCTCGGATTGCAGTTTTATAGCAGCAGCATGGAGTAAGCATAGATACTTGAGTACATTACATAGCAACCAGATTTACGGCGGCGAGTAACTGTATAACTATGTAAAGACAGGACCTAATTCAGTGACACCGACTTTCTTGGACAGGGTTGTCAGCATGTTTAGTTGAAGTAATTCTAACATCAAAGATAGCTAATTTCAAGTGTGAAATCACACCGGAACTCCGAAACATAAATGTTGGAAACTGATTTGAATTCCGTAAATGTCGATAACAGAATGGCACCTTTGTATTCCGGGATAAATTATGGTACATATTTACAACAATAGCTGTACACTTAGAGTCTACAAGCGGATATACATGTACATAAACTTTGGAAGCACCTTGCGGGCAGCAAATCAAGATTCTTGGTTGTATGTAACAAGAAACTTAAGTGGTTTCCATCTGTAAGAACAATATTGGACAACCTCTGATGTACTCGCCCGATGCACCATTCAAGGCATATTAATCCCAGAACCAATCAGGATATCGTTTGATGCTCTATCTTTGACGGCATTATATGTGACTTTGGATTAAAATGGGTGGATGAACGAGGTAGTCTGATGTTTTCTGCATACTGAGGGATTCCGGAGAGTTTGTTGACACGACAAAGGATGAGTTCAATGCTGAGGGTGGTTTGCTACCATCGGACATGCTTCCTATACATATGGTATCACCTCTGCCATGCCAGATGGCGTCTTGGACGTTCAGCTCCAATGTCCTCGACTCCTGCTCTTGTTCAACAAAATTATATCACTACAAAAACAGAAGGAACCAATACAGGGAGTGGTGCTTCATTCAGACACTTTGTACCTGGCATTGAGCGCAGCAAGGGCAAATAAGATGGTAAGCACAATCATCCGAAGAACCATCACCATCCTGCACAACAAGTCAGTTAGAAGTGCACTTTTTAACGACAGCTCATTCGGAGACACGTGTGCATATATGTTTGTATTTTAATATGCAAAGAACAAGAGAAAGTAGAATGCACAGAACATGTTTCAGCTGCTTCTACTCTGAAGGGATCCCGAGACGATTTCACCTAGCCATTTCATTGTAGTGGCTACACTTCTAGGTTAAACACTCAGTAATCTTATTATATGAAAGACAGATAGCTGCAGAACCTCTTACAATGGCTTGACGGAATCTACAATGGTTTTATCAGTTCATTTCATTTAATGCTACTATATTAAAACCACTGCTTATAGATCACCACAAAAGAGCTTGCACTAGAATATGTGAGATCTTAAACTATAGAATAAGTTGCAGTAGCTAAAATAGTGCATCAAATCTACATATTCATCTATGTACAAAGACCATTATGCTGGAAACAGCCACAAAACAACTAGGGGTTTTCATATAATCAGCCAGCAGATTCTCTATAGGAAGAAAGCTCAGCAAGGGCAAACATAAGGTAGAAAATACATCTACAGAGGAGCAAATGGAATAAAACATACAGATCAAATGAAGAAAATAAAATTAACATTCTGATAATGCATTATTCATTCATTCAAGACAGCTCAGACAAAGTTCAGTGCATACTTTTATATTGAACTTTTTCCTGATCAGCATGCGGCAATATCCCCGATATGCTCCAATTGAGACAGTGAAAGAAATAGCCAAGTAAAGAAAGGAGTGCCTTCTGGTGATCAAGAATGCAAGCAGGTTGGAAAGGGCTAAGACAAAAAGAATAAACAGCACAGATCCCTGCACAAAAACCATGAGAAGTCTAAGTGAAAATCATCAATGAGTTACGATAACCAAAATATCTACATTCATCTCAATTCTCCAAGAAATTAACAACATACATACTAAACTGAAACTGTAACAAAACACACACCAAAAATGCTAAAATTTCATGTTGATTTTGAATTATAAATAAAGGGCATTTTGCAATTCCAACTATAAAACGCATGGCTGATGTTGATGAAGAATGTATTTACCTGTAGAAAACAAGAACCAAATCCTGCCCGTTTCATATTTTTGCCAAAGCTATAACATGGACAACTGCAATAAATGACAAACAACATGGCAGCATCAGCACAAACTTCAAATTAGTAGTTATTGAATCGAACATGGCAGAATTCAAACCAAATTGAACAAGTTAGAGTCCTAGAGAGCCCTTTCAAATCCTTACAACAACAAACCAATTTACCCGAATACCTCAATGAATTAAAAACAGGCAAAAATAGCATAAAAAAAATTCAATGCACCTCATTAACATCCTTAACAAATTCACAGATTAACAAAAAAACATAAAAAAAAAAAAAAAGGAAAGCAAAGTCAGAATCTAGGGCACACAAAAACCAAAGAAAAGGCAATTGAGGAGAAGAAATCCCTAAAATCAATCGAATTACCAGACGGATTGCAGAGCGATTCTTCGATCATCCAAGCAGTCATTGACAAGCTCGCCTTCCCACATCCTAAATGCCCCACGTCCATATTGTTGGCAATCCGCCATAAGGTTCTCCTCTTCACTATCCCCGTTCAGCTTCCCCCATTTTCCCTTGTCCGCCTGCATAACGACCGCCGAGCAGAGCATGTCAATATCCAGCAACGTGACCTCCTCCATCAGCAGCCTCTCCGCCTCCGCTGCCCCTGAAACGCCTTCCCTTTCCTGCTGCATTGCCATTGAAAATTCAGAGAGGCATCGCCATTCTTTCGCCCCTGTTAGGTATATATATCTCTGATTTGCAGAGATTTTGTGCAGAAGAGAAGGGCTAGCAAGGCTCCATAATCAAGAAGGAGGTCACGCAGATAATGGTGCGGATTCTGTTCGGGTATAAATGCAAACTACAACAATTGGCGCCAGTTAATCTATATATATATATATATATATATTGCGGTGGTAAAAGCACATGTGTTACAGCCTTACAGGCGAAGATGCTCCCACGTGTTTCTAACTCCCCCCCTTTTTCTTTTTAATAAATTTATACTGTACAAATAAATAAATTTAATGGTGAAATATTAATTTCATTGTGGTCAGCAGTTGAAAATTGTTCTTTAATTTATTAATGGCGTTCATTTGCAGCTGAAAATATGGTTCGGATAGCTGTCTTCTTTTATTATTCTCTCCCTCAGGACATAACGTTAATACTATTATCCGATGAGAGATGTAATTACCTGGTAATATGGAATGGAAAAAATATGATACCATGAGGTCAATTATTATGATTTTTCTTTCAATAAAAGAAATATATGTTAGAACTTCTTATGATCTACCGTGTTGTAATAATTGAGATAAAAAAATAAAGCGAAATAAATTTAAACTTATTCTTCAGCATAGTCGAAGCAAATAATGGAGAGTTTTGTGTTCTTCAAACCTGTGGCGCAATCCCTCCTTTAAAAACCGCTATATGTGCTAGTGTAAACTAATATGTGTGTTTGGTTATGGGTAATGTTATTCCCACTTAAAAAAAGTATCATTTAATATGCTATTGTAAATGAATTTTTCTTTAAAACTTTAAAATACAAATATCAACAAACATTCAATCTAGATAAATTATACAATAATTCTCCAAACAAATTTAGTACCAAAGTACCAAACATGCAAGTTTATTTTCACGTTCGAAATGTTTCCATCAAATTTATACTATTAAATTGAAATATAAAAAAAAAAAAAAAAAAAAAAATAGAGTACTTGGTTGAATTTTACAATTTATTTTTAAAATCTATAAGTTATATTTAATAATGTTAAATTATTTAGTACAAATAAAATTCTATACTTTTTGAATTTGATATTCCAATTATAATTTCACATATAATTTCAAAAACTAAAATATAATTATATTTTTAAATTTAATTTAAGTGTAATATATAAATTAATTATTTTTTATTACTATTATTAGCATTAGTATGATGACAAAACAATAATTTTAAAATAAAGAGCGAGTTGCAGAGAAAATGGAGTAATCCAAATGAAACGAAAGAGACGTTTCACCGTACATACAAGACAGACATCAGGCGGCGGTGGGCGGTGGTGTCGACGCGCTCGTAAATCAACAAGGTCAACTTTCAAACACCGCTGCACCCAAAACATCCGATTCAACCCCAATCTTCCACCAGAGCTTCAATTGCGACTCCACCGTCGGAAAACCTAAAAACTCCATAAGATCATCTCCGCCGGAATTACGCTGCCACTTACTGCAATTTCGCCGCCATGGCATGGCCGAATAAGCTTAAGCCGGAAAACAACGACCTCACGCCGGCGGCGATACTCCACAAGCCGGCCTCCCCACGCGTCCCTCCCGGAACTCCCACTTCCGGCGCACAACGCAAAATCGCCATCGCCGTCGATCTTAGCGACGAGAGCGCCTTCGCCGTGAAATGGGCGGTCCAAAATTACCTCCGCCCTGGAGACGCCGTTATTCTGCTGCACGTCCGGCCGACCTCCGTCCTGTACGGCGCCGATTGGGGCGCAATCGAGCTCTCCCTCGACGCCGCCGATGAGAAATCGCAGCAGAAGCTCGAAGACGATTTCGACAATTTCACCGCCAGTAAAGCCAACGACGTGGCCCAGCCATTGGTGGAGGAAAACATTCCGTACAAAATCCATATCGTGAAGGATCACGACATGAAAGAGAGGCTGTGCTTGGAGGTCGAGAGGTTAGGGCTGAGTGCAGTGATCATGGGGAGCAGAGGATTCGGCGCTTCTAGAAGGACTAGCAAAGGAAGGCTGGGGAGTTTCAGTGATTACTGCGTGCATCACTGCGTTTGTCCTGTCGTCGTTGTCAGGTATCCATATGAGAAAGAAGGAAGCTCTGGTAACGCCAATGGAGGATCGGACAAGGAGGACTCTTGTCTGCATCCCGTTCCTGAGGAGGAAGAGTCACTGTATCATGATGCTTCTGATAAAAATGCAGGTGTAATTTGAATTTCTTGGATTGAGATTTCAATTCACTTCGTTTTCTGTCCATTTTAATGATACCCTGAATTCTTTGAGCTCAATAAATTCATATGGCAATAGAATTTGGACCTGGAGAATCTATAGGATGAAGAATGTGATCATATGTTTTATGGTGTTTGAATTTTTGAGCTTGTATGAAGAAATCAAGTAACTTTGTTGATGATTCTTGATAATAGTATACTTGTAGCTTGCGATTAGTATAATTGGCTGAAATCGAAGAGCTCGTTGGGGGCATATTGTAGTGGCATTTATGATCCGGGGTGGTTTATTCGAGTTTAAAGTCTTATTCCTTTTGTCGCGCCGTAGTGATTAACGTTGCACTTGTAAGAAGCATGTATAGTTTGGATTATCACTTATTTCTCAGAGAACGACTAACTATGTGTTTTTGGGAGACCTGTTGTGATTTTGTGGAGTGTTTTGTTTTCCTTTTAATTTTAAGTTTTCTAGAGTGTCTTTTGTGTAGGATGTCTTTTTAGTGTACATTATGTAGTAATGTTGATATATGATCCGGACCTGTTATATGTCGGGCTTGGCTTTTAGAGCACTCGACGGCATAAGCATAAATTTTTCTTCTTTTAGCGGTGTTGTGGAGGCCTAGGCATTGAATTTCTTTCGAAACCTACCAAAGAGATCAAACGATTAAACTAGAAAATTTCCGGTAGCTCTGCTCTAGTCATTGTCTTAACCCGATAGTTCTTTCTTGGTAGATTTGTTTTTATCGGTCCCTTTAACCGAGCTTTTGTTTCAAGACTTGGGCTCTTGCTTTGAGCCTTTGAAGTCAAGGTCTCTCTTTTCTCTTTTAATCAATTTTCTAAAATCCAATCCCCCAAACAAACAGACCCTAAGTTTGTCATTCTTCACATGTTAATTACTTCAAATTAACACGGTATATAACGCTGCTAAGAATATAATGACCAAGTGAAGATGGTCCTAAAGCGACCTTGTCCGTCCGGAGCTTTAGGGACTAGGATGAGGACCGTGAATTGAACTCCAAAGAAAATCAATCTTGCAGGAGAAAAGACAAAACGGACACGTGTACGGTGGGAAAATGAGGTTCAAGACAAGACTTGATTGTCCAGGTTCATGCATGCGTACAGTTCTTGGCATGATATGTCTGGATGGAGATGGGTCTCTCCATTCATTCAAAATTTATTAGAAACCACCCCAAAAAATTTCTAAGTGTCGACTGTCCTACTTGTTCCTTGCCTCAACGACACTCGTGAGCCCACGTGGCAAATCGTGGACTGCTGCTCGTTTCTGGGTCAACGAATAATGCTTTAGGACAACATTTGTGAGACGTCAACTAACCAAGAATTGAGAAACGTACACAATGTCAATTTACATTTGATTGCAAAGCAGGTGAAATTAATAATAAAGTGGGTTTTAATTTATGGAGTAGTTGTCGGGTGATTTGAAAAGATACAGATACAAATACTTTAACATCCGGGAATTAGTTAAAACATTTACAGCCGTTAAAAAGATTGACGGTAGTATTAATAATTAGCTATAATCACAAGAACACATAATTATGGCAATGTAGCTGAATTTGATCATCATCATCTGGCAAATTAACCCTGATTTTCCCTATCCCGGATCTGACGTTTCTCAGACATACCTGGAAAAAACAAAAATTAATGGCGAAGCGGCCATCTTAATCAGGACATGGAAGAACAAATGACGAGACAAATTGTCTGGAGAATTCAGAACTAAAAATTATGGCCAAACCTGACACTCGGCTGGAAACCCTACAAGAATCATCAGTCGTGGAAGCCATAGATGAGGCCTGCAGGGCCCAAGGCACAACTTGATTCTCACCATCATCATCATCATTATCATTACGAATACTGAAATCCTTAATCTCCTCGTCCTCGTCCTCGTCCTTGTCGTATCCATTACGAACACATGCCACGCAGAGAGCGACGGTGGGTGCGAGCCTGGGGCCGGAGCCGGTCCAGGGAGTCGGAGTCCGGCAGGCGCGGCAAAGAAGAACCCTGGTGTGCTTGGTCACGATGGAGTTTGCACTGTGGACCCTGGAGTCGCAGTCCCAACACAAGCTCGCCTTGTCGGAATCGCAATATATTCTTGCAGCCTTCTTGCACAGCTCGCATTTCTTCATCACCTCTCTCTTTCTATCTTCCTCAAGCTATGCCTCAGACTATAATTCTTGGTTCTGGTTTGTATGAACCAGAGGCGATTTGAAGTTTGTACTCCAAAATTGTTTCTTTTATGGACAACGATGGCGTCTTTGGACAAAGACTTTTCTTTCTTCCCACCACTTTGTCCGTATGCACACAGTATTTCAATCCAAATTCGCCATTTTCGTTCGATTGGGTTGGACTGATTTTAAAAAGGCCCAATCTTTTTATAATCAATTGGGCTTTTAACTACTTTGATGCCCCAATTCAATGATCACTCCAACATCCGCCGCCTGGGGTGTCGCCGCCGTAATCCCTCGCCAATCGGCGTTTTCCGAGGTACGTCGCGGTCAGAAATTTTTTCAATTTTGATTTTTAGGTTCAATAAATGTCTTATTTCCTTAGAAAACCAAACAGAAGTATGCTTAGTACCATAAATATGCTGCAATTATGCATTCAATTCTTGATTATTTTTGTTTCTACTGGTTAATTTCCGTCCTGGGGTTTGCCTGGAAACTGATACCATTAATGGAACTCTTGTCCTTAGGGAGTCAGACACCATTGTTTCTTCCAGCAAGCAGTTCAGTTTAGGTTTCTTCAGCCCCAACGGTACCAAAAACCGATATTTAGGAATGCGGTTCTATGTTTCTCCTACATCCTTCGTTTGGATCAAGGATTCATCCGGAACCTTATCGATATCTTCTAATGGAAACCTGCTGCTTATGAATGGAAACCGTGAGATTCTATGGTCATCTAACATTACATCATCGGAAGAAAGAAATACAACAGCTCAGATATTGAATTCAGGGGATTTAGTCGTTAGAGATTCGTTGAGTGGAAGCGTTCTATGGGACTTAACTACCTAATCTTCATGACTGCATACAATGCATAACAAGATATCCATAGTTTGTAGCAGCTAATTACATAGTCGACTCGACTTGTTAATTCGGACATTGTTGTTTCAGATGAGAAAAAAGGATCATTGCAAAGTAGTCGCTATAGCTTCGGTTGTTGTTAGTTCATTCGTTGCATTTATTTGCCTAATGTCGCCCTTGTTGATGCTCAAGTATAGAGGGAAGCGCGCGACTTCAGCAGTCGAGGAACAGGTAATAAGGGACTGGTTTTCTGAAAAATCCGACGTATTCAGTTTTGGCGTGATCGTCTTGGAAATCCTGAGCGGGAGAAGGAACACGAGCTTCTATATTTCGGAACTATCGTTAGGCCTTCTGGGATGTGTAAGAAGTTTTTCATCCTTGTTCGATCTTTCTTTTCGAACGCCGAAGCTGTGTATTTTTATCATTTTTTTTTTTGTGTGTGCAAGAATCTGCCGCGATCAGGCCGAGCATCTCGACTGTTCTTTCGATGCTGACAAGCGAAATCGTCGACCTGCCCGAGCATCCGGGTTTCACCGATAGAATCAGCTGTTCCGATTCTATTTCATCGGGGCCCCGATTCGCGAATAAGGTTGCTCTCACCGTCCTCGAGGGACGATTATTCGAAACTGGAACCGTCGGAATCGAAACTGATCGATGCTTACAGCAACAAGACAACATAAAAACGTTTGTAATTAATGTAAGAAGATTGTGTTCATATGTAATGTAACTAACATCAATTTGTTGTGTTAGGAAATTAAGGAACGAGTGATGCCAAAAAAGACTCGTGACGAACTGAGGTGTGTATGTAACAAATTGGGTCGTCTCATCAATTATCTTCTATTAATTTATTTCCAATCTGTATGAATTTGACGAAAATTGGGGGATTTTTTTTCTTTTTTTGGAAAAAATTCAAATGTGAACATGGGCAAGTGGAAGATAAAGTTCACATACACTGTAAGGCAACGACTCAGTACATTACCACAAACGCATGGAAATCATCATTAACCAGTCAAGATCAAGTGACAAAAACACTTTCTTGGTTGCTATCAGCATCACCATTTTAGTATGAAGGCAGCAGCCCTTCTTTTGTTCAGTTAGGATTTAGGGAAATGTTTATTTAAATAAATAATTAAAAACATAAAAGTAAATCCTTATATCTTGTAGAATTTCAGAATTGTTTATTATTAGTAATGAAATTAGAATATACGATCAAAGATCGAATTTGAGAAATGGGCAATTGTAGGCATAGCTAAAATTTTCAAATATAATATCATGTTACTATTTTGCAAATTTACTTTTTATTAATAATGAAAGGAAAGACTATAAATAAATGCTATAATAACTACAATACCAATTTAATTTTAAATAATCAAAATATATAAAATTTGTCAAGCCTTAATATATATCCAAAATAATTGTATGTAACGCGGAAAAAAAGAGCAAAAAGACAAACCAGTGTAAGCAAGCCACCCACCAAAGTCAAGTGGGAGTTTAAAGTCAAACAAATTATGTGATTCTTAATAATCACCATAACATTACATTCCAATTACCCTAAATTCAATTCCAAAACCAGTCTTTAACAACTAATCGACGACTTAATTGACCCAAGTGCTAACAGTTTACTTCATTGCAAGGTATTAATTGGACAAATCTGCAGCAACAAGATCGAACAGCAGCTGCCATGTCGAGCTTCAGAATCATTGCAATTTCCATTCTCCACTTCACCTTTCTGCTCTGTAATCCTTTCCCAAGCGCCTGTCTGAAAACGGACACAATCAGCGCCGGCGTATCCATCAAAGATCCCGACACCATCGTCTCCCCCGGTAATGTCTTCAAATTGGGATTCTTCAGCCCCGCCGGCACCGGAAACCGCTACCTGGGCGTGTTCTACGCCGTGTCGGAGAAAACCGTGATTTGGGTAGCTAACAGAGGCCGGCCGCTGACGGATTCTTCAGGGACGGCAGCAATTTCCGGCGAGGGCAATTTCGTCCTTTTCGATGGAAAAAATGAAACCCTATGGTCGACAAACGCCACAGATTCTCCGGCGAACGCGACGCTGCAAATTCTGGACACGGGGAGTCTTGTCCTGAAGGATAATTCGACGGGAGGGATAATCTGGGACTCGTTTTCTGAACCGTCGGATTATTTCCTGCCGACGTTGAGGATCGTCGACGATACCAACACCGGGAAGAAGGTTTTCGTTTCTTCCTGGAAGAACGCCGCCGACCCGGCGGCGGGGAGCTTCACGGCGGGCCTGGAAGCCCGCAACATCCCGCAGATTGTCACGTGGAATAACGGCCGCCGCCACTGGCGGAGCGGGCCGTGGAACGGCCAGATTCTTATCGGAGTTCAGGACATGTATTCGCCGTACCTCGACGGTTTCAAAGTGGTGGAAGATCCGCCAGGCGTTTTCTACTTCACGGCGCCGGAAGGGAAGTTCTTGATGAAAATCGGCCTGAATTCGTCGGGAACTTTGGTTCAGACATTGTGGGACGATCAGAAGAGGACTTGGGACATAACCTGGCAGGCTCCGCAGCAACAATGCGACGTCTACGGCACGTGCGGGGCGTTCGGGAGTTGCAGCTTTCGAGATTCGCCGATTTGTTCGTGTCTGAAAGGATTCGAGCCGGCGAATAGGGAGGATTGGGACAGGGGGGATTGGAGCGGCGGCTGCCGGAGAAAAAAGCAGCTCCGGTGCGGCTCTGGAGGAGATTCCGATGGATTTTTTAAGCTGCCGTTCATGAAAGTTCCTGATTTGGCGGAGCAGTTTTCGTCGAGGCGGGGGGATGAATGCAGGACGAGGTGTTCGATGAATTGCTCATGTATAGCTTATGCGTTCGATTCGAACATTGGCTGTATGTTTTGGAGCGGGAGTTTGATCGACATTCAGAAGTTCAACGGCGTCGGCACTGATCTTTATGTTCGCCTCTCGGCTTCGGAATTGGGTTTGTTTTTTTTTACGGTCGATTTAGTTAATGTTAAGTTTGTTTGATTCTTGATTGATAGTATGTTTCTGTTTTTCAGATAGCCACAAGGACAGGAAGTTGGTCGTCGTAATTCCTGTAGTCGCCGGTGTTGTCGCCGTAGCTTTTGTCGCCTTCATCGTCTGGTGTTTGATGGCTAAAAGAAAAGGTGCATAACATGCCCTGAATTTCCCTGACTCGCCTTTATTATCGGCTTATCGCTCTCGTCTATTCGACATTTTTGTAGTGAAACGCGGGGAAGTGAAAGACAATAAGATCTTCGAAGCCGGGCAAACATTCTCGTCAGATTCGACAGCGCTTGTACTTAAAGATGAGTCGGAGAAAGTTAACATCGAAGAGTTGCCGCTATTCACTTTCGAGGCGCTTGCCAACGCGACAGATCAGTTCGACGAAAACAATCTTCTCGGAAAGGGTGGTTTTGGGCCTGTTTACAAGGTAAAATTCGTCGATCATTTTGCTTCTCGGATATCGTCGTGTAGTGTTAGAATTGCAACGGCGAAATTTTGTAGGGAAACCTTCCGAACGGGAAAGAAATTGCGGTTAAGAGGCTTTCGGCAGCTTCAGGACAGGGCGTGCAAGAATTCATGAATGAAGTGATTGTGATCTCCAAACTGCAGCACCGGAATCTTGTCCGGCTGCTCGGATGCTGCGTCGAGAGGGAGGAGAAGATGCTCGTGTATGAATACATGCCTAACAAAAGCCTCGACGTCTGCCTATTTGGTCAGTCGACAATACAGCATAAAAACAGAGATTCGATTCGAGTTAATTCTATTCATATACGAAAAATATTTATCCGATCCGAGTTTGTATTTTCTTCAGATCCGACGCATCCATCGCAGAAGATTTTAAGCTGGGAGAAACGTTTGAGCATCATCGAAGGAATTGGTCGAGGGCTGCTGTATCTCCACCGCGACTCCCGGCTGAGGATAATCCACCGCGACCTGAAGCCAAGCAATGTTCTGCTCGATGAGGATTGGAACCCAAAAATCTCCGATTTTGGGATGGCGAGGATATTCGGAGGGAATGAAGATCACGGGAACACGGCACGAGTTGTAGGAACATAGTAAGTCTCGGAATCCGAATTTATCGAGTAATGATTGCGCACGGGGACTATAAGTTGCGCCGGTTATGAATTTGCAGCGGATATATGGCGCCTGAATACGCAATGGAAGGGAGATTCTCGGAGAAGTCGGATGTGTACAGCTTCGGCGTGCTGATGCTGGAGATCGTGAAAGGGAAGAAGAACACACATTATTACAACCACGAATGGTCTTTGAGCCTGTTGGGATGTGTAAGCTCTGCCTGTCTCCTTAAGACAATACTTTTTTCGATACTAAATCTGATTCTTGGGGTTCTAATTGTGCTAATATGGCATCAATCCAGGCCTGGAAACTGTGGAGCGACGGCAATGCTTTGGAGTTCGCCGACGAAACCATGGCGAGTCGGAATTCGGAGAAGGAGATCGTTAGGTGCATTCACATTGCACTGCTCTGTGTCCAGGAATTCCCCAAGGATAGGCCTGCCATTCAGACAGTCCTGTCGATGCTCAGCCGGGAAATCGTGGACCTGCCGGCGCCGGAGCAGCCGGTTTTTGCTGAGAAATGGAATGGCTTACACGTTGGGTCGAATCAGCCCACCGGCCATGTTGGATACTCCATTAACGAGCTTACTCTCACTGTTCTTGATGGTAGATGACCTCGACGACGAAAGGAACGACTATTGTTCAAAATTGGACTCCAAAGAACACACACAAACACAACAAATATATATAAAAATAATGTTATGTAATAATGTCCGGACTGCTTTTGATCTTGAATTCAAAAAGTTTGTGCCATATTTTACATATTTAGAAAGTTTGATTGAGTTTATATTTTTTCAAAAGTGTAAGGATAAGGGGAATAAGTAAATCAATAATGGTCCAATCGGCTGACTAATTGGCCGCCAGAAATACTTTTCTTAATGGGAACGACGACAAAGATAAATGCGTGGGCCAATTTGAAAAACCTAATCGGATCCTTTTGGTTGTTAGGGAATAGGGATTGAGAGTGAGTGCAGATCCAATGATGGAGGCGTGCCGGCTGCATATATAATTCGTCTGATTAATCCTCGTTAGAATACGAACTGTGAGTGGGTGGGTACACCAAGTTGCAGAAGAATCGCCATGTCCAGGGCCCATGGTCGTTGTTGGTCTCTAGAAAATGATGGAATTCTGACTGTTTGTTGCCACTGTCGAAAATGGTGGCTCATTCCAATCAGCCACTCAACCCTAAGCAGACGTCTAATCTGTGGGGACTGCTGTTCGAGAAGCAAAAAGTTAAAAAGGGATTGCCAGAAATGGCGATGAGGTAATCCAAATCTTCTTCTGACAATTTGAAACTGGGACTTAAATTGACTCGATTCAATTCGGGATTCATCTAATGAACCTGTTGGAAGCCAAAGAACAAGATCCAGCCACGAATCTTGAACAAGATGGTACGAAATTGGTCGTGTTCTTGTCTTCTATTTTCCATTGTCGTCCTGCACACCACCTGTTCGATCATATGCGCAGCTCAGAGCCGAGACAGCTGCGACGCGTTCGGGAGGTGTGGGCCGTTTGGGAGCTGCGACCAGCACGATTCCCCGATTTGCAGTTGCCTGCAAGGCTTCGATCCGAGGAACAATCGGGAATGGGATGCGGGGAATTGGAGCAGTGGGTGTGTAAGGAAGGTCTCTTTGAATTGCGGAGGAACTGCCAATGGAGGAAAAGCTGATGGGTTTCTGAGGCTTGGAATGATGAAGATTACGGGTTACTCCGACCGTTGGATCGGCCCCGAAGATCAGTGCGAAGGTCGATGCTTGATGAACTGCTCGTGCGTCGCCTACGCTTTCGACGTGGGCATCGGGTGCATGTTCTGGACCGGAACTTTGATCGATGTTCAGAAGTTCGCCAGTGGATCCGGCTCGGATCTTCACATTCGTGTGGCGAATTCCGAGTTAGGTCTGCTTGTTTTCGAATATTTTCTTAAATAAGTTACAGTGTCGCGTCCCTGACTATTAGATTCTTGATTTAGGTCAAAAGAAAAGCTCGAAGAAGATCGTTCTAATAATCATCGTAGTTGTCGCTGTTGGCATTGTTGTTGTTTCGCTTTGCTCGTATTTTTCATGGAGATGGATGGCAAAACGGCGAGGTAGTATTCTTACACAATGTATATATATATATATATCTGCGCAAGCGTAAATGCGTTTCCTTTGTCGATTAGGCGATAAGAGAAATGAAACTACGAACACAACCATTTCTGGTTCGATCGATTCCTCTCTTCAAGATGCATTGAGCCAAGCGAATCTCGAAGAGTTACCACTCTTCAAGTTAGAGATACTCGCAAACGCAACCAACAATTTCTCCGAAGCTAACAAGCTTGGCAGGGGCGGGTTCGGTTCCGTTTACAAGGTAATAAAGATTTTCGCGTTTGTTCGCTGCATTAAATTCTCGTTCCGAGTCAAGCGTGAAATGTGCGTTGTTGTAAATCAGGGCGAGCTGGGAAACGGAAGACAAATAGCGATCAAGAGGCTTTCGAAAGCATCCGGACAAGGGATGCAAGAATTCACGAATGAAATCGTTCTAATATCGAAACTCCAGCACAGGAATCTTGTTCGACTACACGGATGCTGCGTCGAGAATAAGGAGACGATGCTTGTATATGAGTACATGTCGAATAAAAGCCTCGACTTCTTTCTATTCGGTTAGTCACAGTCGATTCTATAAAATTTCCGTACTCTACATAAACACGCTCAATTTCCTGCGCATTCGATGTCTAGATCAATCGCAAGAAGTACTCGACTGGCAAAAGCGATACAGCATTATCGAAGGTATCTGTCGGGGGCTGCTCTATCTCCACCGCGACTCGAGATTAAAGATAATTCACAGAGACCTCAAGCCGAGCAACATCTTGTTAGACGATGATTGGAACCCGAAGATTTCAGACTTCGGCATGGCCAGAATTTACGGAACTAAACAAGATCATGTCAGCACAGTACGGGTCGTGGGAACATAGTAAGTAACAAATTCGATCATCCAAAAATTTTCGACATCTTATTGCTACATTGTCTCCTCAAATTACAACATATGTTACTATCTCAGCGGATATATGGCGCCCGAGTATGCTCTAGAAGGAAAATTTTCCGAAAAATCGGATGTCTTCAGTTTCGGAGTTCTAATGCTGGAAATCGCGACGGGAAGAAGAAACTCGAGCTTCCATCATCAAGAAGGATCGTTGAACCTCGTCGGACATGTTAGTTAATACAACGATAGTTAATTTTACAGAACATTATATCAAATTACTATTTAAACAAAAACTATAAGCCAAATATACTCGATTATAGGTATGGAAGCTATGGAACGAAGACAACATCGTCTCCTTGATAGATCCTAGAATATTGAGGGGTAGCAACCGGCAATCGGAGGTTATTCGATGCATACACATCGGATTGCTGTGCGTGCAAGAACTGCCTAAAGATCGACCGTCGATATCCTCGGTGCTGTCGATGCTGAGCAGCGAAATCGTGGAGCTTCCCGAGCCGAAACAGTCGGCGTTTGCCGTAAAATCGAGCCGGCCCGATGTCGGGACGAGCTCGGCCTCTCAGCAGAGCCAAAAGAGTAGCAACTCTGTTAATAATGTCACACTTACTATGGTCGATGGCCGGTAAATTAATATGCTATGGTTATGGTATTTATATACAGAAATATATATATATATATTTATTTAAAATTACTGTAGTTAATATATATTTTTATTTAAAATGTTGTAGTTAATATTTATTTTTAATTTTTTAAAATTATATATAACATCCAAATATATCTAAATAAAAGAAGCAAGGCAATTGTTTTATTTTCATAGGAATATGTATATTTATTGAAGAAATGGTAATCAAACGAGGGGATGAGCATCTCAAATCTCTAACTTGTTAGATGCTTATACCAACACATAGTAAGAAATATATATTTTATGTATGTGTTTGTGTGTGGGTTGGTGATTGGATTGTACATTGGTTTTAGTTTTGTAAATAATAAATAAATAAATTTGGTGAAATGTTATGGATGATAATAAAGAAATGGAAATGGTTGCCATGACTTGAATTGATCCTTATTATTATTAATATTATTATTATTATTATTATACACATCCCACAACTTGTGATGTTCACTTTGACTCTCCCAATTAGGTAAAACATCAATAATAAGCTATCAAATTTTCATTATTTTATAGACAAGAATCCTCTTTGTTTTGAATTTAAAAGCATAGTATGGATATGATATTTTTTACGAATTTATAAAATTTTGGAAATGGATGAAATTTCCAATGAAGGAAAAATTGCCAATTGGTTTACAAAATCAGAGATTAGTCCCGCCTGGATTTTTTTACAACTGTAGCCATTGTTGGCTGGTGACTCTAAGTTCTATAAGAAAAAAATTAAATAAATTAGTGTCAAGATTTTCAGCCTGCAATCAATTATTTTTCTGAAATATTGCCATAAAAAATAGATATGAAAATCAACATTTTTGTCAAATTTACAGAATGCCTTTTGGGTTTCTTCTTTGGAAAAATAGTTAAAAATCTAATTAGTATCAATTCTTATAATTTATTTATTATTTTTTCGAAGGTAGAGTGAATATGAACCTTCACATTTAATTTCAACTCCAACCTATCGTCAGAATTTTCAGACATCAAATGTCACACATTACACAAAACAGATATACACCTGCCTGAAAATGGCAAACTTCCGCCGCCGTGCCGGAGTTTGGGGCTTCCTCTTCCCACTCACCCTCCTCCCGCTCCTCGCCGCTTCGATTGACCTAATTACCACCACCCAATTCATCGCCGGAGACCAAACCCTAGTCTCCGCCGGCGAGGAGTTTGAGCTTGGTTTCTTCCTCTCCGGCAAGTCAACCACTAACTGGTACGTCGGAATTTGGTACAAGAAGATCGGAGAAAAAACCATTGTCTGGGTCGCCAACAGAGATTCGCCGGTCGTGAATTCGTCGGGGGTTTTTAAAATCAGCTCAGGCGACGGAAATTTGGTGCTACTCGACAAATCAGGAAAATCCGTGTGGTCGTCGAACTATCCAAACAAAAACGAGAAAACGGTCGCGGAATTACTTGACAACGGAAATCTCGTTCTCCGGCGGGAGAACGACGAGAATCCGACGAACTATTTATGGCAGAGCTTCGACCATCCGACGGACACATTGCTGCCGGGGATGAAATTAGGATGGGACTCCCGGACCGGCCTGGACCGGTACATAACCTCCTGGAAAAGCTCCGACGACCCGTCGACCGGCGACTGCAGTTTCCGGCTCAACACCCACGGTTTCCCGGAGATATATTTGACCGACCGGCGGGTGGTGAAATACCGGAGCGGTCCGTGGAACGGCCTCCGGTTCAGCGGCGTTCCGGAAATGAAAACCAGTTCGTTCATGTCGTTCCGATTTGTGATGAATTCCGACGAAGTTTCTTACTCCTTTCATTTGAGCAACCGGTCGGTTTATTCGAGATTGGTGATGCGGTCCACCGGTTTGCTGCAGCGGTTCACGTGGATTTCGAACAGCCGGTCGTGGAATCTGTACTGGTACGCGCCGAAGGACCAGTGTGATATTTACAGGGAATGTGGGGTCCACGGGATTTGCGACACGAATGCTTCGCCGGTCTGCAATTGCCTGCGCGGATTCCGGCCGGGTAACCCGTCGGCGTGGAATTTGCGAGACGGGTCGGGCGGGTGCGTCCGGATCCGGGAATTGGATTGTCGGACCGACGGGTTTTTTCAACTGCGTAACGTGAAGTTGCCGGAGAGTGGGGCGGCGTTCGTCGACGAGGAAATGGGGTTGGACGGCTGCCGGGAACTCTGCCGGAGGAACTGCTCCTGCCGGGGGTTTTCGAGCGTGAACATCACCGGCGGCGGGAGCGGGTGCGCAATCTGGGCGGGGGATCTCTACGATATGCGGCAGTACGCGGCGGCGGAGGGCGGCCAGGACTTCTTCCTCCGGGTGGCCGCCGCCGATTTAGGTACGTCGGAAACTTGTTTGTTTGGTAATCCTATTTTCACCGTCAACGCTGGAATGGATCCGCACCGTTCATTGCATGGTGTATACTCAATCAACGGTGTGGATCCTTCCGGCTCTCGTTTTCTCATTACTAAAGTCGCGTGTGGACATTTAAAAACGTGTTTTAATTACTGCCTGTAACAGATTAGCTGCACAGTAGGTGAGAAATTTATTCATACTGAAATTCTTTAATAATGTGAATGATTCAGTGTGTACAATTCGAGCTGGTACACATGGAGGTTAGAGGCCAACATTTATGAATCCTTACACAACTACCAAACAGATTTTATAATGCATAGGTCAAATGGACACCACCATGTTCATATTACTTTAAACGAATGTCTAAACTAAAGCTATTCATCTTTCAATCCATACTTCTGCTTCAAAAAGTTTTGTTTTGGATTATTTTAGGATATCTAACCATATATCACATTCAATACCTATTTTTCCAGAACGAGCTGCAAATGCTGGGTCGAGCGATCGCCGTTCTAGCAAGAGTATACAAGCCATCGAGATCGCGGCCATTGTTGCCGGCATTGGTGTTTTGCTTGTTGGGGCAGCCATGTTCTTTGTGTGGAGAAGGAGCAAATCGAAGAGTTCACCGAGGAATATTTTCGAGCCAAGAGGTAAAGAATTGTTAGCTATTTTTGTCGATGAATATGCAGAATTTGACTCGTAAACAAACCTTTCCTGACAGGTTCGAGGGAAAGAAGTAGAGACATTCTTCTGAACGCACCAACAATCCCGAGCAAAAGAGATAAACCCTCCGAAACAGATGCAGATGAGCTTGAGTTACCACTGTTTGATCTCGACACATTGGCGATTGCAACAGCCGAATTTTCTGATGACTACAAGCTCGGAAAGGGCGGTTTCGGATCTGTCTACAAGGTCTACTATACATAATGTTACATCCATATCGATTTTTTAAGTGTTGAATATATCCGGCTAACAAGAAACTGGTTATCTGCAGGGATTGCTCGGAGGACAGGAGGTAGCAGTGAAACGCCTGTCGAAAACTTCAGGACAGGGAGCCGAAGAATTCAAGAATGAAGTGAAATTGATCGCCCGGCTCCAGCATAGGAACCTCGTACGCCTGCTCGGATGCTGCGTTGAGATGGAGGAGAAGATGTTGGTGTATGAATACATGGAAAATAAAAGCCTGGATTCGATTTTGTTCAGTAAGTTCGTTTGAGCCAACGGCACAATCGTTGCTTTGTGTTCTTGCATATTTGCGCCTTCGTTCCATTCATTAGTCCATCTTTGCCCTTCGAATTGCAGATAAGGATAAAAGTGCGGCGCTCACTTGGGAGAGACGGTTCAACATCATATGCGGGATTGCGCGAGGGCTTCTGTATCTGCACCATGATTCGCGGGTGAGAATCATCCACAGGGATCTGAAAGCCAGCAACATTCTCCTGGATAAAGAAATGAACCCCAAAATATCAGATTTCGGCATGGCTAGAATCTTCGGGGGCGATCAGACAGAAGCCGAGACTAAAAGAGTGGTCGGAACATAGTAAGCGGCGAAAGAAACTCCAACAATTCTTCCAAACTCTGTGTACATTAAACTCCCTTTTAGCTTATCACACCATTGTTTCCTCGTGCAGCGGTTACATGTCGCCGGAATATGCTATGGACGGCCACTTCTCGATCAAATCGGACGTCTTCAGCTTTGGAGTTCTCGTGCTGGAGATTGTGAGCGGGAAGAAGAACAGGGGATTCTACCAAACAAACAACCAGCTGAATCTTCTAGCATATGTAAAAATCTTCTAATGTTCTTATTCATCACTTAATGAATAGCAATTAATGATCAGATTTCGTGCAGGCCTGGAAACTGTACAAGGAGGGAAGAGCCCTGGAAGTGGTGGATCGAGCCGCCGGAGAATCCTTTCCGGCGAGTGAAGTGATGCGATGCATACAAGTCGGGCTGCTGTGTGTCCAGGAGCAGGCGGAGGATCGGCCCACCATGTCCACCGCCGTCGTGATGCTCAGTAGCGACTTCGTGTCATTGCCGCCGGCGAAGCATCCCGGCTACTGCCTGGGGAGACGGCCGGCGGAAACGGAGTCTACCTCCGGCAAACTGGATGAATCCTGCACTGTCAATTTAGTTACCGTTACTATGATCGACGGTCGATAGTTAGTCATTCAATCCGTTAATGGATATACAAGTATAGATACATAAATACATACAAGGAATTGTATTTTATTCTTTTGATGATGCTGATTGAAGAACAGTCGACGCTAATATTGTCCTTTTTGTTTATAGTTCTTGTCTGGCTTGACAAATGGCAGGTTTTCTTGCTGCCAACAATCAATTAAACATGGCCCAAATTAACGTACGCCACAGAAAATTAAGGCACAAAATTATTCTGGGACTACAGTACGACAAACGACGAAAGTCGTGGTTGAATTACGTGATTGATATTTGATTAGGTTCTTTGAATCATCCTCCATCGTTTTCGTCCCAAGATCTGCTACACAGTTGTTTGCTACAGGTTTTGCCACAGTGCCTTCGTTTCAACACGAAATTTATGGCGCAGTCGCGTAGCAGAATGCTTCAATAATATACACAAGCCGCCATTAACAATAGTCAAAAGAAATTAAAAAGTTCATTCCGAGGGCAAAGCCGTAATTTCGCCAGGTAGAGCGGCTGCCATTATATGAACCGCCATTGTCGGCCTCGAGCTCTGATTTTGCAAAGCAGAGGAATGGCGGCAAGGTTGCCGGAGGATTTTATTTGTCCGATTTCTTTGGAGGTTATGTCCGACCCGGTGATTCTTTCCTCCGGTCATACCTTTGATCGTGCCTCAATTCAACGGTGGTTGGACGCCGGCCACCGGACATGTCCAATTTCGAAATTGCCCCTGCCGGAGCCGCCGTCGCTGATTCCCAACCACGCCCTCCGCAGCCTCATTTCCAATTACGCCGCCGTCTCGTTGCGGCCGCGGCCGCAATCTTGTCCTCCCAGCCTTCAAACCCTAACCCAGCTTTTGCTTTCCCCTTCATTGGAGGAGAAGCTCACCTCGCTTGATCGACTGAACCGGGTTTCTAAGCACGACTCGTCGACCCGGCGCGGTCTGGCCGAGTCGGGGGCGGTGCCGGCGGTTTTGCAATGCGTCGACTCGAGCGAACCGGGAATTCAGGAAAAGGCTCTCCTTCTGCTGCTCAATTTGAGCCTCGAAGACGACGGCAAGGTGGGGCTGGTGGCGGAGGGGAGCGTCGGCCGGGTGGTGCGCGCCCTCCGTTTCGGAGTCGGCGACTCACGTGCCGTCGCGGCCACCGTGTTGACCAGCCTGGCCGTGGTAGAAGTCAACAAGGCCACAATCGGATCGCATCCAGATGCAATTCCAGGTTTGATTGACCTCCTCCGTGCCGGAAATTCCAGGGAGAGGAAAGAAGCCGCCACCGCTCTGTACACTCTCTGTTCTTTCGCCGGCAATCGGATTCAGGCATTTTATAACGGTGCCATTCCTGTTCTGATACAGAACGCCGCCGGCGGCCTCGAACGTGCCGTGGAGGTTTTAGGCCTGCTCGCAAAATGCAGTCTAGCTCGAGAAGAAATGGCGAATTCCGGTGGGGTTGTGGATATGTTGATCGCGATTGCAGGGAATGGGAGTTCGAGGGGGGTGCAGTATGCCCTCTTAACTTTGAGCTATTTGTGTTCTTACAGTGAAAGGATTGGTCTCGAAGCTCTTAGGCAAGGCATGTTTGAGGTATGCATTGGCCTTTTGAACGACGACAATCAGAAAGTGCGACGAAATGCTAAGAGTTTGATTCATGTATTGCAGAATCTGATGGTTGAAGATAGGTGTAATTAACTGTGAATGATGAATGCTAAGAAATGTCGAACATTTTGCACTTTGAGGGCTTCCCCTGTTTCTCGAATTGGCATTTTCGTATTTACAGAGTAAATTGTTTATAGATTAGTTCAATTGTTGATTTGGGACTCATGAATTTCTTCCGCTGAGGGTCTCATTAAGATTGAAAATTTAGACATTTTCATAGTTTTGAGCAAGATTGATGATAAAAATTGTATCTTTAACTTATAATGCTGAGTATAATTCGACAATGGGGTTAAGTCAGTGATTGGTAAACTTCCTTTTTTTGATCTTGATTCGCGTTGAAAAATTCTAAACTATGGGCTTAGTTGATAGTCAAATTGACGAGATTTGATATTTGAATTCCTACTGGTATTGTAGAATTTTTTAGGGCAATTGTGGGTACCGTAGGACCGTTTTATAATAGTCTTCGATCAATTACGCATTAATCAATATTTGATTGATTACTCCAAGACCCCATGTAGTTCCTCGGCAGTTGCTGTGTGCACTCTTGGTTTTTGATTTTTCGACTACTTTTTTTTTCTTTTTTGGGTGTTATGATTCCCAAGTTTGTTTGCTTCCCGTGATTGCTCTCGAGCATGCTCTTGTTTGTTCTTCGATTTAGTCTACGATAATGTGAAGTTGTAATATTATGAAAGAGGAGCTCTGTGAAATAACAGCCGACAGAAAATGTTGCTTTGGACATAAAAAGAGAAGCAAAAGAAATCCCTATTGCTAGAAAAGTGTCTTAGATTTGAATATAGAGAGGATATATGTTCATACACTGATACAGACATTATTGTCTGCTGCATAAAGGAAGAAAAACATTGATCACCTTTGGCATTCGACATGAATAATTACTTGCAACATATTTCACCTTTATTGGCATGAAAAATGTGACCAAACCTATGATCAATTTTGACTATAAGGTGTTCTTTTTGTCTGTTATAGATTTTGATTATTATTATTATTATTATTATTATTATTAAAGTAATATTAGAGTTAAATGTAATAGTTTATATAAAAAAAATTAGCATATTTTTGTTAACAGCCCGATTACAATGTTGAATGCCAAAAATCAGTATTATTTTTTCTATCATATTGATTAGGACAAATTCAAGCGCCCCAATAGCTTTATAACGTGACTTAACATCACACATTTTGGTTGTTTGTAGATATATTCGAAAAAATCGAATAAATATTTAAAAATATGAATCAAATTAAATAATTCAAATCAAATCGAATCTAAAAAGAAAATATTAAAAAATAATTAAAATTTCAATTAACTAAAAATACTTGTAAATATTTCAAATTGAATTAATACAATTATTAAGATAAAATTTAAAATATAATAATATAGAATATAAATATATTTAGTTTGGTTTTGTTTGATTCTTTTCAATTACTCGAAAAAATGTGTTAAAAATAAAAATTGAACCAAATAAATATCAAAGATGCAATGTTTGAGTCGAAAATCCAATTCATTTCGATTCACCTCAGTGATTTTCAGTGGTTTGATTATGATATTTTATCTGATCCTAATGATACAAAAGAATCAATCCCAGAAACTTAGGAATTATTATTTTTAAAAAAATAATTATAAATTAAGAGTGAGATAACTATTAATAAAATTATAAAATATGATTAAAATCTATAGCCATATTTTACAAATCAAATCTAACACACTCAAAAACCTTTTTAATTTGTTAATTACTAATTATTAATAATTTAGGCAGTACTAATGATGAGGTCGGCGCTCTTTATGTTCACAATAATATCTAACTATAATTATAGTTGCCAAAAATTATTATAGCATTTTTTAGTAAAAATTATTATATTTTTATATTTTTCTTACTATAAAAAAATAATTATTATTACTCATTTTTATTAAAATTTGTATTCCGTCGAATGAGCAGAGGTCTTTATGACGATGAAGTATGTCTTTCCATCTTCTTCATTATTTTTTCAATTTAAGCAAAAATGTAAAATGCTTTAAATGCTCTTTAATATAATTCCCCAATGCATGATATACATTCCTATATTTGACACATATTCGTTTATTAGTAACACAAATAAATAATACATACAGAGTTTGGGCTATTAAGAAATAATCAACATTTCCGACTATATATACACACACGCATACACAGATAACACAGGCGTCTTCTTCCTTCGTTCAGATCAGAGTTTTCCGACAGAAATGGCGACCAAAGTTTACGTTGTGTAATAATAATTATAATGACTTGTTCTTACAAGAGTTTTCAAGATTTGCAGAATTAATAAAATCCTTTTTGTGTATGTGCAGTTATTATTCGACGTACGGACATGTGGAGAAGCTTGCGCAGGAGATCAAGAAAGGGGCCGATTCGGTGGAAGGAGTGGAGGCTCAGTTGTGGCAGGTTTGATTTGATTTAGATTCAGTTATGAGAAGTTGTGTTAAATCTTAATTGACCGGAAATGTCGCCGGCGATGGAACAGGTGCCGGAAACTCTGCCGGAAGATGTTCTCGCCAAGTTAGGCGCTCCGGCGAAGAGCGACGCGCCGGTGATCACTCCCGATCAGCTTGCCGAGGCCGACGGATTCATATTCGGCTTTCCGACTAGATTCGGCATGATGGCTGCGCAGTTCAAGGCGTTCCTCGACGCCACCGGCGGGCTGTGGAGGACTCAGGCCCTCGCCGGAAAACCCGCCGGAATATTCTACAGCACCGGTTCCCAAGGCGGCGGCCAAGAAACCACACCGTGAGTTAGGGCTGGGTTAATTAATCAATTAATTAATTAATTAATTTTCTAGATTTGAAGATTCTTTCGCTTTTAATGATATTTGATTGATCGATTGCGCAGGTTGACTGCCGTGACTCAGTTGGCTCACCACGGCATGATATTTGTGCCGATCGGGTACACATTTGGGGCCGGAATGTTCGAGATGGAGAAGATAAAGGGAGGGAGTCCTTACGGCGCGGGAACCTTCGCCGAAGATGGATCGCGGCAGCCTTCCGAGCTCGAATTAGGGCAAGCTTTTCATCAGGGAAAGTATATTGCAGGCATTGCCAAGAAGCTCAAATCACCTGCTGCCTGAATCCAAATGCCATACTTAATTTATCCCAATTTCGATCGGTTTAACGTTGTTTGACAAAGAAGATTATTTGTTTTTTCATTTCAATAATGGACAAGAATTCCTTTCATTTCGTAATTTTATGTTCACCACAAAAATGCAGAAGCAAATATTCTGAACAGGGAAGGGCCCCACAAGCATTGGATATCGGAAAGTTTTTTTTTTTTTTTTAAGGGAAAAATCTGTGACAAAGGGCAGATTTTTTTAAAATTTTGAGAATCTGAAGATTCGAAGAACTTCCGATAATCAGTGAAGGCTAGGGTTGAATCTTATCATCAATCTTCTCCTTCGGCTGCGCGATTGAGCAATCTTGTCTGAGAAATTATGGCAACGCTAAACCTCGTCTCCTTTCCCAAACCCCTAATTTCAATCCCTAAACCAAAAAGCCCTAATTTTCCATTTCCGTCGTCCTCCCAGTTATTCCTCCGCTGCGCTCCTCGGCATCCGATTAAATCAAGAACTGGTGATGTTCCGGCCGTCGGAGCGTTGACCGATGGGGATTACTCTTCGAGGAGGAGCAGCAGCAGCGGCGGTGAGGAAAGGGAAACGATAATGCTACCCGGCTGTGACTACAACCACTGGCTAATTGTGATGGAGTTTCCCAAAGATCCTTCACCCACCAGGGAGCAAATGATCGACACCTATCTCGACACTCTTGCAACTGTTCTTGGCAGGTTTTCTGATGTTCTTATTTTTAGTCTTTTCCATTTCCTTCGCCTACTGATAAATGAATGTTTTCAAGAATTTTTAGTACTTCATAGTTCATACTGTAGTTGTCTGGTTAGAACACAATAACAGATTTAAATCAGCAGTTTTGCAAGGATATATTTACCACATCATAGGCCTTCTTTGTATGTGTGCTAATTGGTAATCATCATAGGTTCAAGTTGCTAGAAAACAAAAGAAACACCATAAGTTAGATTTTAATTTTTGTATTGGGATCTTGATTGGCAAAGATTGTAGTGAATTGCTCTGTTAGAAACTCAGAATTGCTTTGTATTTGAATTGGGTTCTTGACTGACAAGAGTTGTCTTTGATTATATAGAAGCTTTTAAGTTTTGTAAAATTTTCAAAATAGGAAAAAGTTTGGTATTGATCGCAATGTTCTATGAAAAAAATAAAAGCTTAAATTTATCATATAGAGAATATCTAATGCTCTCTTTATATCGAACCACCGGCGCGCGACACCAGCATGGAAGAGGCAAAGAAGAACATGTATGCATTTAGCACGACGACATACACCGGTTTTCAATGCACCGTATCCGAAGAAACGTCTGAGAAATTCAAGGGTAGTCTTTCGATATCGAATCTATCATTTATTATGCACGCGGAGCTCCACGACTAACAGGTTGGTTATGTTCGTCGTTTGCAGGACTACCCGGCGTCCTGTGGGTTTTGCCTGACTCATACATCGACGTCAAGAACAAAGATTACGGAGGTTGTTGATTGTTCGTGCAAAAGGCTTATAATTGATTGTACTAATGTTGTCGATAACTTCCCTTCAGCTCATCTGTCGCCATTTTATTTATTCTTTTGGTTGTTTCAGGAGATAAGTATATCAATGGAGAGATAATTCCTTGCCAATACCCGACGTACCAGCCGAAGCAGTCGAGAGGTGGCTCGAAACAGAAGAGCAAGGCTTATGTTAGACGAAGGGACGGCCCTCCTGCTGAAGGAAGACGCCCAAGGCAAGGCGCCGCGCCGGAATCTGCGTCGTAATTCGACCAGTTTCGATGTCGTGTACACCAAACATGGAATTGATGGATCGAATTTGAAACTTGCCATTGATGAATTAGTCAGTTTAGTGTTCTACTTTGTTGTTATTATTCCCTGTCTGAGCTATTGTTGTCTTAATGGTTTGGAAACGGGAAAGGGGGCTGTAGTAAAGGATTGAGAAAAGTTCATCTATTAGTCTAAACCTTTACTTTTTTTTTTTTTTTTTTGAAAAAAATATTTTATCCGACTCACTTGGTAAATATATACTCTATATTGTTATTTTTTGTTGTCCAAATCTATTATTTTAATATGTATGAATGTTATAACATATTATATGTATCTTCGTATTTATATTTATTTACATCAATATTTTTATATTAATTTCATACAAATAAGATAATTTTCACATACTAAAACTATAGTTGAAACACATTATTTATTAAATTTTGTATAAAAAAATAAATATTTATATATTTTTTTTAAGTAGACGAAAAAAATATGTTCTAGTTCAAATTTTGGTCACTCATTATTCGAACCCTTCAGCAGTATCATCAGCCTGGGCCTGTCTGACGCTGCATTCGTTAATTTGACATGGGCTGATCCAACTCACTTTTTTAAATAAAATTATATTAAAATATTATTTAAATTGATATTAAAATTAAAAATTTTAAAAATATATATAAATATAAATCAAAAAATAAATCAAAAATCTGCTCTAATTTTTTACTGCTAGTATTATTTATAATTTGACATGTTTCAATTTTATTTTTTTTTTAATTTATGTACTCAACTATTATTATTATTATTATTACGCTCAAGTATAATTTATAAAAACAATCAAAATAACTATGTTTTATACCTTTCTATTGATTTGATTATAATACTCCTATATATTAAAAAAAATATTATACAAATGTATATCATTAATACTCCTATATATTTTGATATTTTTAATTGTTCAAATATAAAATATTTATTTTCTTTTTAATATGTATAGACTCATTATATATTACAAATATCCTATATTTATACTTATCTACATAGCCTATATTAATTTTACAAATTATAAATCTAAAATTATATTCACATATCAAAATATCATCAATTATTAATTAAAATATAATATTTATTAAACTTCATCCAAAGATAAACCTTTAGTTTTCAAAGAGACGAAAGTATAAAAATCTCATAATCAAAACTCACAAATATATTTTAATCTAAAATTTATTAAAATTGCATCATTAGAAATCCTGCACAAAAAGTAAAATAATAGTAGTAAAATATTATGGTATATATGACTTAGGTCTTAGTGGAAATGCTAAAAAAATTGACTTGTAATAAATAAAAAATAAATATATTTTTATGAAAAAGGAGTTTATAATGTACTCACCTCGTTTGGTCAAAGATAATTATTCTTTTAACCGTCCAACAAAAATTAATAATTTTTTAAATTTATCAATTTTAAATATACCTAATAAATATAAATTAATTTAATTAAATTTTTAATTTTTTAAACAAGATTCACTCAAAAAATTAATAAATATTTTTATTTACCTTTAAAATTTTTCATCTTTTTTTATATATAAAACTAATATATTATAAAGTAAATATATATTTTTAATTTATTTGTATTATATAAAATTTTATTTTCTTAAAAAATTTATACCGTATATATTTTATGTGATATAATATTAAAAATATTTAAATACAAATTTTATTTTTTTAATTATTAAATAATTAATTCTTATTATCTAAATAACTTATCTATATTATCTAAATTCTTGTACTTAAATAAAAGACTTTATCTTTATCAGGATTGAGAGTGTAATTTTTATGAAGTGAAATGTGCAGCTGTATATATTATTTTGATGTGATATATAATGCGATGTAATTTGAAAATAATAAACATTTACATTGCCAAATTTCAACATGATAATTATTGTGCAAAATTTAGGATGTGATTGGGATATATATTTTTTTATTTTAAATAGAATAAATAGTGGAAAAAATAAATAGAGAGAGGGAAGAAACATTACCGTTAACAAACCAATTTTTTTAGGGTTTGATGGTTTGTTTTCGACATCATTATTATTTTTAAATTTATAAGTATTTTTATATAAAAAATTATTATCTTCATTATTTAATTTTTATTTAAAATATAAGTATTACATTTATAAATAAAAGAAAACTGCTAAATGTAAAATACTTTAAAACATAACCATGGGATAAATTAGTTTATCTATAAATTGTGTGTTTGCTTAATATTTAGTTTGAAATATTTTATTATATGAAGTATAAAAAGAAGTGTATAATATAAAAATATATATATTTAAGTCTAATATTAATTTTTTTTATAAAATAATAAAATATATATTAAAAATTGTTTGGGATTTGAGTGAACACAACAAACAGTTATGCTTGTTCTTCTTGATTTTTATTTTTTATTTGTCGTGCAACTTAGCTATGTCTTTTGTAAATATTAACTTATTATGAAGTGTTTATGTAATAAGATGGGGTTGAGTGCTTCATGTGGGCCTTGGGATTCCTTCATGAACTTCAACTCTTCACTGAGGCAATCAATCAAGAGGTGATCCATTCTTATATATAAAGAATTAAGCATTGATCGATAGCCCTTCATTATTCGAATGAACAAACAAACTAATATAACCCTTAATTTGTTTTTGTTAAGGTGGGATGTTAAGTCATTGGATTGTCTCCCTGAGTACCTTCTCATGTGTTTCTTGGCCCTTTTCAACTCAGATCAAGGTGTCATTTTTGAACTTTTTTCTTTTTCTTGATCACAAGAAGGGCTCAGTGGGGAGAACTTTGTGAGGTTTACAATTTAGAAGCAAGATGGTACCACAACAGCTACTCCCCGACCATGTCCGAATGCTTCGACACAGCGTGGGTGTCCATCTCCGGCCCATTAATTCTTTTGTATGCGTATCTTTCCATCGCGAATCCCATAAACATCAAAGAATTGCGCCGCCTCGAGCAATATCCCGTCATAGAACACATCGATCATGGCATATACTTGATTAACTTTTATGGGTATATATAATTAGGGTTGTATAGTAATGCTTGTAAAAATATTCTACTATTCAATTCGATTTGTAAAAATATTTGATGAAATATTTTGTAAAAGAAAAAATAAAATCTAAATAGTAAAATTTGAAATATTAGTGCCAAAGAAACACTTAAATCAAACTTGTGTTTGGTTTTCTTCACACTAAATTGTCTCTAAAAAACATAACCCTCAAAATATATTTTTCATTTAAAGTGTTGCTCAAAATGTTTTTGTTTTGTTTAAACTATTAATTAAATACTCATTTATATTAAATTAAACATTTAGTTTGTAATTCAATTTGATATGAAAAATAATCATTTATGAATATACTAATTATTTATGTGTTGTCAGCTAACATCTCTCCCATTTTGAAACTATTTTAAAACCAATCGAAAGCTACAAAACAATTTCAAAACATGTCCAAATAATATTATACTATATTTTACTAGTAACAAAAGATACAAAAACTGAAATATTAGGCTAAATATCCCATTTGACGATTCTTTCTAACAAATCATTGTAAGTGAGATTTGGCTTAACATGCCATGCGGAGAATTATGGGTACAATACTTTGTATAATAAGTTTCGGGAAAGTGATCATTTTGATTATGACATATTTCACCTTTCATCCCTTTGCGGGTTTGAATTTTGAGTTGGAATTTGAATAGTAAAAATTTTGAATTTGTATAGTTGTATGATGTGATATAAATAGGTGTTGATGTGATGTTTTGAATGAAAAATTGATTTTTAGTATAATATAAAAAGACAAAAAATATATGTTTGGAAGAAAAATTGAGATGAATAGTGTATTTGGAGGAGAATCCCCAAACAAACACACCCTTAGTTTATCATATCCAATGGGAAATCGAAAGCCAAAAAATTTTTCACTGGTGACGGCGAAGGTTTGAACCCTTAATTTTAAAGTTACAAGAAGTTGTGAATCCACCTACACTACCAAATTGTTCTTTACAATACAAATACAAAGAATGACATTTGCATAGTTATAAAAATATTTATTATATTAGATAAATAGTAGAACTATTAAATTAGAAAACTACAATTTTGTTTTGAGTCAGACATATATAGAAAATAAAAACTTTTTTATGGGAAAAAGGGTACGACTCTAGGTGAATAGAATAAAATAAAAATAATATGCTAGTGATAAGAGAAATATATATTTATTTTTGTATTAAAGTGAAATATATATATATTTTTGTATTAAAGTGATACGAAGACTAATGAGATGAAGGTGGTTAATTATTTTATATTATGCAAATGTTAAAAAGATATGTGTGACCGTCCAAAATTAGATCCGACAAGAGGCGAACTATACAGTAGATTTGGAGACAAGATTTAACCCGTTACCTCACGATCACGAATCTATCCTTTTAAATTTTTCTTTATTTAGATTGTAGTATACAAAGAGAGCTTCACTGGAAGATGTTCAATTATCAGTCACAACTGAAAGTATAAAATAAAATAAAATTAGACTCTAGTCAAATCAAGAAATTTCAAATTCCTCAATCAATGTGACTGACTGACGAGAAATCATCGCACTTTGTTGCTTGATCTGGCCACGAACGCCGCACGTGCTTCCTCCCAATTGCATCAAAACGCCCAATTTCTAAACATAAAATAATAAGGCCCAATAAGCCCAGCCCAACATTAGCCTCCAAATTCCCAATGAATCTTCTTCTACATTTCTGATTTCATTAATTAATCCCCTGTGCTTTTTCTTTTTTGTTTTTTTTTTTACAGTGTAGCTTCCCCTGCAAATAAATACCGACAATTACTGCCAAGCAAACAGTGTATACGTCCATACATACACATACCTACTCATATGATACCTCCATGGAAGAAGAAGAAGAAGAAGAAGAAGAAGACCGAAGCAATTTCAAGGCCTGTAAATGACCACAAAACAGGGAAGCAGTGCCCTGGGGCTCAGCAAATAGAGCTCCTCAATGTTGGAGTGCACTCCCACTTTCCCTGCCAACGAATCGAATCCCGACTGCCCAACCATCTCCTGCACATTCTCGACCGGCCTATGGACTCTCCCGGCTATCACTCTGCACACGATCAAAGCCTTTCGTATTGACGAGTCGCCGGACTCCGGCGATTCGATCGATTCCAACGCTTTGCTGCTTGTTGCAGCTGTGAAGACGCCGATCCCATTGGTGAACTCCTTCTTGGTCGAGAACCCGTGCTGCAGAATCCTGCAGACTCGGCAGGTGTCCGACTTGCAGAGACTTGATGAGGCCTTTGTGCCGAGAGAGCATTCGAGAGTCGAGCCGTGGAACCTCAGCAGCTCGTTGCCATCGGCCAGGCAGCGCGGATGCTTCTTTGGGAGCTTGCTGGCTTTGATCTTCACGAGCTCGCGGTGCTCCTCGAATTGAGCTATTGTTTTCTGCATGTTGTGGACTTTAAGGATCCTGTCGATTCCACTGCACTGGCTGTCGTTGCCGTTGCTGCTGCTCCGGCCACAGCTTGCTCGGCAGATTATCTCCACGATCTTTCTCGATGAATCGCCTTCGACTAGCTCCGTCACTGAAACAACACACATAATTCAAATGATGGCTGCAAGAAAAAATTGAGAATTTGGAAGGATCTAACCAGCGTGTTTGGAGAGATGATGCTCTTCGACGGCTTCCCATCTGACAAATTGATCACCGCATTTATGGCAGATCAGGGCTCCGAAGGAATCCGATGATCTGGAGGATGATCTTGGCCTGGCGGAAAGGCCGCCGAATCCAGGGCTTCTCCGGGAGAGGCTGCTCGACGTCCGCCGCATCGGACTGCCCAAGATGCCGGACCGCCGGTATCCTCGTCCGACGGGGAACCGGCCGGGGCCTGGAGTGCCGGGCTTCAGCACTCCAACAAAGTCAGAAATATCATCATCGCAATCGCCGGCGACGGCGCAGCCGTCCTTGAAACCGGTGCTAATTTTGAGCTCACAGGTGGAATTATCGAGCACGACCTCGTGTGTAATCGGATTGAGTAGCTCGCTGCTTCGAATGGATCTGGGGCTGCACGCCGGAGGCTTCTCTGTGTGGCGCTTGCTTCCATGGATCACCGCGTCTTTCAAATTGGCAATCGACCTCGAACAACCGCACCGGTCGTCGCCGCCGCCTCCGCCTCTCTTTGTCGCGATTCTATTGAGGTCCTCAGCTCGATCGCCGTCGCCGGTCGGAACAGAAACATCCCTCGGATCGGCTCTGCACTGCACGGATTTCTTCAAAGCACCCCAAAGCGCAGGCATTGTACGTCGTCTTCCTCCCTAACCTAAAAATCCTGATAAGAAATCCATTAAAATCCTAATTCCACCAATACTATTCATCAATCAATTCCACAGCATACCTAATTCATCCATAATTCTTCACCGTCGATCTCCATCTCCGTTCGACCTCCAGAATCCACCACACAGAATGGCAGCCATTAAACACGCCGGCAAGAATTCAAATTCCCATGCAATTAAATCAATCGACGTTGTGAATCGCACTTTCTTGCAGCAAAAAGCAGAAAAGGGAAGAACAATTCGTCGCAAAAGCACCAAGAACGGCAATCAGCAAGTACTAATTAAGACACGAAAAGTCGAGATCCAAGAAATGACGCAAAAAAAAAATCCGATCTTTATCACACTTTGCGCCCGGATAGTGTCTGTACTGAACGCTACTGATAAAGGGGGACCAAAACCCTACCAATCCACATCCTACACACCTAATTCATTAAATGAAGGAAATAGATAGAAGTAATAAATATACTTGTCATACTATTCCACACATTTTCGAATCAATACAATACCAGAAATTTTGACAAAGACTGGTGTGTCCAGGCAACGTTATCAGACCAGCTAAATACATGTTCTCAACGAATTATCCAATCAATCGAAAAATCAAGATTAGACAAAGCCCACCTCAGTTTTATGAAATCCCATATATACACACACAAAATTTAACTCAGGGACCAACAGAATGACTTACCAATTTTTGTTGTGTGCAGTGATGTATGGAGAGCTGACAATAACATGGCAAGCAAGTGGAGACACTGGAGACTGAAATAAATTCTTGCACCTAACAGCATGCCGAGTTAATTAACATATACAGGACATTGTCACATTGCACTTCCCAGTTCCCACCACTGACATAAAGAAGCATCGAAAGATTCTATCCAAGGTCAAAAGATTAGGGACCTAACTATTTCATAGCATTCAACCAAAGATTCAAACCTGCAAGCATCAAATGCAAGATATAGAAGTGCAGTAATTACCCATCAGGGCATCTTCTAAGATACCAGAGATCGATACTCAATCAACTGTAATGTATTAATTCGACAAACACCAAATTTGATGGAGATTCAGTGTTGAAGATACATAATGCTGGTACTCGGTATATACTGGAATAGGGTAGTTTACACAAATAAGAAAACAATAGCTTGATAGGCATATCGCATACATTATAGTCACGATGCAGAGCAGAACATATTACTGTTTACACATAGCAACACTGTGCCCGAGTTATCAATACCAGCTTAAAAGAGAAAATATGAGGAGCCAAGAATAGAAGAATGGTTTCTGCCGAGGTTACGGCCGCGGAGGCACTCCAGGCCCATCACTTGAGAATGTTCGACAAAAAGATTTACCTAAAGCCAAATAAGTAATCAAGCTATAAATTTTGTTGGTGAATTAAACCTGAGTGACAAATGGAACATTGTATTAAAACAACTTACGTTTGGGCCATACTGTTTAATGAACCACTCAGATGTCTTAGGATTTGATGCATCAAACATTGTCTTCTCAAGCCCTAGACGGCCCACAATTTTTGCTATAGCATCAGCTCTCATTGAATCAGCTTGTCTGCAGACTTCATCAGCATCGATCATTATAACGTCTGCCCCAGCTTCAAGGCATCTCTCTGCCCTTCTAATCAGAAGATCAATGTCCTCAACAAGCTCTGCAGTATAAAATTTGCAAAAATATTGCCTTTAGTTCCGAAAGGTAGTGATTAGTAAGTGAAATTACAAATTCACATCATGTCTCAATTTAGATTAGTTTAAGATCAATCCTAGGCCACATTGAAGCAAAATGATATTGGCCTCACATTAGTAAATTAATTAGTACAATTAGGACAACCATAGTAAAGGTCGCACATTGACTGGAGCAACTGACAGACCTCACACTTTCAACAGAATACGTAATAGCAATGGGCAATGGGCAAAAAAGGAAGTACAAAGTATTTGTAATCTTTTGCAATGGACCATCTTGAAATGTTTATTGATTCTGACACTAGAGGATCATATTCACTGAAAATACGATGAGCATAAGTATAACCGGCATTACCTACAGAGAACACTTTTGCAATTCATTCAGCATAGCCTATTAAAAAGAAAGAAAGAAAGAAAGAAAGTGCCTTCGTTGGGTAGATGAAAGGACTGAAAGAGAAGGTAGGGTAATGTGAATCAAGATACACTTAAATATCACTTTACTCAAAAGAATTAGAAAGAGAAATACCCATTACTATGACATGTTGTCCCTTGAAAATAAAAATGTTAAGGAATGGCCTGGCCTGGCCTGGCCCATTCTTTGAAAGACCTTGCAATATGTGTAACAGACTCCATCCAACAAATCTAGAGAGAAATCACATTGATCCTTAACTAATAATATAAATAGAAAACTATATTGACCCATTATGCAGTGTATGCTAACTTTCAAGTAGAAGATCTTAGCATCCATCCACATAATCCGACATGAAAAGCCATAGAAAATCGAATTAATGCTCACCTGAAGATCGGGGTGCAGGAACCACATATGATCCAAATGCTTTATTATCTTTAGCTGGGATATCCGATCTATTAACCTTAATAGAGAACACGGGTTTAGCTCTAAGACCCTCACCCTTTACCAGCCTGACATATCTCAAGAGTGCCTCTTCCGGAACTCCGAGTGATCCAGCTTCAATCTCAATCGTATCAAAACCCAATTGCTTACATTCCTAAAAAAACAATATATCGCACCAGTGAAAGCAGCAGAACTAAAAAACACAAAGTTTCTTTCGAAGGGAAAAGTCATCGAATCCTCTTACTGCAATATAGTCTTTGAATGAAGAAGGACCTTTACGCAGTAGGTGCTCTGCCCAGTCACCAGTGCTGACATACACATTGTGCTTGTGTGCCATATCAGTCACTTCTTTAATATAATCTTTTGGCATCAAGCTATGAGACCCTCCAGCAAATTTCAAGCCATCTACAAACTCTCCCATGGACTCAAAAACATCCTGTACCACACACATCGTTTGAGTTAATGGCACAACATCTTTTCCAAGTGGCTATCAAAAGATCTTTACATAGCTCAATATGACAATCGAAACAATCAAGATATCCATCAAGAGACGACTCTCTTAACAATCTACTATAGCATGAAACTCCAATTACCAGGAATCTAATTGCTTGTTACATACTAATGCTTGATGGAAGTTAATCAATCCAAATATGGAACTCCATCAAAGGAGAACAAAAAATTATTATTATTATTATTATTATTTTATTTATTTTTATTTTTATTTTTTATTTTTAAAATTTTTAATAATAAATTAATATGCAGAATTTGTACCTAAAACTGAAAATTCATCAACTTCGAAACTGAAAATCTTGACACAAAACTGAAAACTCATTAACGGCACAAAATTAATTAAAATTAAAAGATAAATAAGCCCATCTATTTGCAACGATTCGTACAAACTCGATTACCTCGATTTCGTAAGCACAAGTATACAAGGATATATATCTCATGAAGAGAACTTTGAATTGAACGAAGGCTCATTCCACTAGTGAACCAGAAGGAACAGAGGGTTAGAAATTCTGACCTGGAGAAGGTTCTGGGAGAAGAGAGAATAATTGGGCCCTCTCATTTCCGTAACACCATACCTCCTCGGCTTTTCCGGACGATCCTCATCTTCGAAGAAGCTCTTCCATCGGTAGGCAGCCATTCTCTATACCCTGTCCGTAACACTGATAATTCCTGATTACTTAAGGAGACGGCACAGTGAAGATCGTAAAATGCAAAAATTTTCCGAAGCAAAGTAGTGTCGGTGTTGGATTGGATCATCATCATATTCGTAGTTGGAACTTGGAAGAACTCTGAAGCAGTTTCTAGAAATGTATATATTTTAATAATTTTTTAATTCACGAATAAAGGTCTGGTAAATTAGGGGAATATTGAGGAGATCCTGGAGCAGTAGTCCCGGCCCAAGACAAACAAACCCATTGGTTATTCTGAGAGCTCTGCTCCCGGGAGTCTGGTAAAATGTTGTATTTATAAAATAAAGAAGAGTCAACAGGGATTTTGACTCCACAGCCAACTTGATTTCCTCATTCAAAATAAATCGTACATTTCTTATTTTTCATAAACATTCTATAGGATTTGGATCGTACCCTTTTTAAAGAATAACAAATTTCATCTCTAACAATCAATCTGTTGTGAGTTTCATCAAAAGGGCCTTGGAGTCAGACATTCTTAATATAGAGTAATCACCAAAATCAGTACTTTATTCGAACAGGGATCACTGTAGAGGATAGGATACACAGATACTTGTCAATGGAAAGATACCATTAACCAAGACAGCACCTTTTCGGGTTCAACAATTCACTTGCATTCATCACACATATGGATCCATATCATCAAACCAAAAGGGGGTTCAGCCATTTACCAAGAGTTCTGAGAAGTTCATAGCCAATTCAATGGAACAGAAGGCATAGATCAAAATTGAAACGAACAGTGAGTTAACTTCTGAAGGATTAAAGTAGCAAGAATAACATTGCAACCGAAGCCGTCGCAAATGCCAAAAAGAAATCACAACCAATTCCAGAAGACTGGCAACAATGTTGGAAAGGGAATGTACAAACTAAGGTGTGGCAATAAGAGCAGACATACAACAAATATCTCCAAGTGAAAGTAGTGTAAGAAGACGGGAGAGATTGAGAAATCAGCAAACCAAAAGTTACCATCAATAAACAAATGTTCATCTCCAAACAATCATATCACACTTTAGTTGAATGATGCATCAGAACACACCAAACTACAATCAAGCACACGCTGATTTAAGGTTTTGAACTGAAAATTACCGAATTCCTAAATTTTAGAGTGGGAAGCAGCTGAACTGATGGTAACAATGGGGTGAATTAATAGGATAGAAACTATGTTTTAACTATTACGAATATGTGACAATTCAGAAATGAGACCAAAGGATCTGAAAGAAGAGAAGGCAAGGGTGAGGATGACGACTATGACGGACTCCAAAACTCCTGGAAAATAATGTCACAATTGGGGCAGCAGATGGATTCATCCAATTATCCGTAACATCAAAAAAGAACAAACTCAATCAAGAAGCAATATATATTACTGAAACTACATAGAATAACATGCAAATGCAGAATCAACAAGAAGACACAATGCTAGGATTATAAAAACTGCCATCATGAATAGCTACATAGCTTGACATACCATCACATATAACATGAAATAAAGCGATTCAAACTAAACAAAAGTAAAGACTAGCTGATTAAGAAAATGAAAACATAGTCATCCAAAAGGCACAATTTAAGGTCCCCTAACATAACATTATAACATGGTAAAGCAACGAGAATTAACCAGTCGAAAGGCTTAATCAGACTTCAAAGCATCCACAACAAGCTTAGTCAGTGCATGCCTCAGCTCCAACTGCTTCATGTACACTTCTGCCTCCTCAACTTTCAGCCTCATCCACTCCTTTTCCCCATCGTGCCCTTTCCCTGTTTCGAATAACTCTGCTCCCATCCTCATAACCCTATCCTCCACGCTCGTGCCCATGGAAGTGAGCGTTGGAACTGCTAAGAAATTTCCCCTTTCGCCGCTTGAAACCTTTGCACTCTTTGCATCTTTAGCCTCATCATTCTCATTAAAGATTGCTCTTTTAAGTGGAGTCTTCCTCACTGAACCGCCATTTGCTTTTGAAGGTTCAATTGATTTTTCACCCTCAGTTTCAGCCCCGCCATTGTTCCCCCAAATCTTCTGGGACAATTCATACGCCTTGTACTCGTGCGGCTTTGATAATGTTCGATTTTTTCCCTCCTTCTCTTTGCTCTTATTGTTGACATACTTCTTCCTCAACCTCCTGATTTTGTCCTGCAATTGAGCCCTGGTCACATCTACATGTAAATTCTTCCTGATATAATCATGGAATGCACTCAAATCAGCAACAGGATCGGACTTCTTCTTGGCTGCATAGTCTATCATTCCTTTCAGAATCTCGATTTCATCGCCCTCGCTCCAAAGCCTCTGGAAAAGCAATTTCTTTGGGTCGTCGTTAGGCTTCTTCTCGGAGCTCTCGATCTCAGGCTGCTTCTTAGACTTCTTCGTATCCTTCTCCTCCGCTTGCTTCTCTTCCGGAGCGGCAGCGGACTTTACCGGAGCCACGAATTTAGATCTCGACTTTCTAGCGCCTGAATCGGTTGCAGGCCCATCATCCACGGGCTTGGATGCCACAGGCTTGACTTTCTGTTCCTGCCCATCGGAATCTGACTCCGTATCCGATCCGGAGTCCTCCTCGTCGGAGGAAGAGGACGGCTGCTTCACCTGCTGCCCCTGGGGCTTCGAGGACGACAGAGGCTGGGCTTTTACCGGCGCCGATGGTGCGGGGTTTTTGGCGGTTTGAGTCTGTTCGGGCTCGGATTCGGATTCGTCGGACCCAGCTTCGTCCGAGGAAGCTTCCTCTTCTTCTTCCTCGCCGGATTCCGATTCGGAGAGGGTCGGTGCCGCAGGTTCATCCCGATTTTTTGAGATACCCATGAATTCCAATCGACGGCCAAATTATTCACGCAAGGATCTAATTGGGAAATGAATTGAAATTTAGGGCTCCTGGAGAAATCGAGGCCGCTTTATATGAAAAGGACCGATGTACTGCGAACTGCCCTAATCTTGCTGGCGTCGTTTCACGGTGCTGCGCCTAATTACGACGTTCAACAACGGAACTCATTCTGATTTAATCTAATTATGTACTCAACTTATATAAATTAAATATAACTTTTTACATAAATTAACTTTACAGACATATAACATATGCGGTGGCTGTAGTTTAGTGGTAAGAATTCCACGTTGTGGCCGTGGAGACCTGGGCTCGAATCCCAGCAGCCACATTTTCTATACTTTCACTTTTTTTAATGTTTTATTCTTTTATTTTGATACCTTAAAGAATTCGTTGACGCCCTCAGGTCAGACGCTACTTTTTAATATATTATAAAAAAAATATAACTAAAAAAATTAAATTTATATTTTAAAAATTAATAAGGATGAGACTCTGTATGCGATGTTGCAGTGTAATCCCACTATGTCTTCCAATGAATGCAACGATTGCTTGATTCAGGCAATTCAGGATTTGCCGAGGGCTTCCGAAGGGGCAGATTTGCTGAAATCTGTCTGCAATGTTCGATACAGGTTACACAGTTTCTACAATGAATCTAGGCTTCGGGAGCTCAATGTACAGTTGATAGCCCAGAATCCTAATCCGCCGCCAGGTAAAATCTTCTGTATCATCACTAATGCATATACAGATATGAATTGATGAGTTCCTCCGGATTTAATTTGCAGGAAAGAGAAATGATACTACAATAGTCAAGAAAGATGATAGCACAGTAACTAAAGTTGTTGTAACCATTGTCGTTCCAATTGCTGCCTGTTTTATTCTTGCTGCTTGTGCTGCCATTTTCCTGAGAAAACTGATAATGAAGATGCTGCAGGGGAGTTCTGGATGTAAGATTAATGTGTTTTTGTCTAGGATTAAGATAAATATATCGAGGTTCGTCGCCACCAAGAACTAACATGGATTTTGTCTTCACTTGTGATCAGCCTCGGAGGAGATAAATGCAGTTGATTCCCTGCAATATGATTTCGATACTCTATGTAAGGCGACAAACGGTTTTGCTCATGCTAACAAGTTTGGGCAAGGTGGATTCGGAGCTGTTTACTGGGTAATTTGATCTACTGTTGCCATATATGAACAGCCATTGTTTCGGAATCTGGTTAATTGGATTCTGTGTTAAATTTCCAGGGAAAGCTTTCAAATGGCCAAGAAATAGCCGTGAAAAGGTTGTCGAGAGATGCAATGCAGGGCGATAGCGAGTTCAAGAATGAAGTAGTGTTGGTGGCAAGGCTTCAACACAGAAAAGAAATCTGATTAGGCTCTTAGGCGTGGAAAAGTTAGCAAGACGGGATGAGCGAAGATGTGATCGATCCTGTGTTGAAGACTGAAAGAGATGCTATCAATGATATGCTGAGATGCATTCATATTGGGTTGCTGTGTGTTCAAGAAAATGACGCAGATCGACCACCAATAAACTCCCTTGTGTTGATGCTGAGCCACCCCACCATAAGACTGCCAGCAGCATTGCAGCCTGCATTTCATTTCGCGTCGAATAGCTATGATTCTAGTTCAGAGGTTAGGATAGAAACATCTGGAGCTGATTCATCCAAGAACGAAATGTCAGCTACCAATTTGCATCCTCGATGATTTTCAGTAAATCCGTGTTGGGACTCCCGTTTGTGGATATATAAATTAATGACGCGTATCCAGCGAGTGATGAACATTGTACCGTATAACCCAATGTTTCATTTACATCCTTAAAATTCATTTTTATCAGCTGCATTGCATCGATGATCATCAAACCTAACGAGGATGCAACTCACTAATGGAGGCGCCATTTTCGGAGATATGCAAGGTTAACTGATCCGAAGAGCTGCTCTTTGCAGGACCAAAATAATATGCCGGCTCAGAAGGCACCGGCAGAATCATCGACAAGTTGCTGAGCATCAGTGCAACAGATGCTGTTGTTGGCCTCTTGTTAGCATCATTTTGGCAACATAACAGACCTATGTGAATGCACCTCAGTATGGCACCCATTGATCCTGGATTTGATCTCAACAATGGATCCACTGTGTCAACATTCTTCCCGTCGCGCCAATTTTTCCATGCCTGTAATAAATGGTGAGGTTCATCAACATTTTGAAAGTTCGATTCAAGTAATATAAATGTAGTTGGTTTTGTGCAGTACTTACAAAACTGGTGATGCCGACTTCATCTTCACATCGAATATGATTAGAGCTCTTTTGTCCGTTAATAATTTCTAACATTAGAACTCCAAAGCTATAGACATCGGACTTTACAGAGAATCGACCATGTCTTGCATATTCCGGAGGCATGTATCCGCTGTGGTATCCGAAGTTGATTAGACGATGATATAATTAAGAGACTATCTTTTACAGCAGTAGTTTATCACTTACTATGTTCCTGCAATCTTTCCTGTTTTTGCTTCGGTTTCATCTCTTTCGAATAGTCTTGCCATTCCAAAGTCTGAAATCTTAGGGTTCATGTTTTTGTCTAGAAGTATGTTAGCAGGCTTTATGTCGCGGTGAATGATCTTGAGTCTCGAATTCTCATGCAAATACAGAAGTCCTCTGCCGATTCCTTCGATGATCTTGTATCGAGTATGCCAATCGAGATGTTTTGCCGAATCTGTATTAGTGTAACATCAAACAGTGGCCTAAAGAACATTACATCGAATAAAGAAAAATAACCTACCTTTGCTACCGGCTATAAACTTGTCTAGACTTCCATTCGTGACATACTCATAAACGAGGAGCTTCTCCGTTTCTTCCATGGAGAAACCCCTTAGTTTCACCAGATTCTTGTGTTGAAGCCTCGCTAGAAGCACAACCTCATTCTTAAACTCAGACAATCCTTGTGCTGAATCTTTCGACAATCTTTTGATCGCAATTTTCTCTCCATTCGGTAGTAGTCCCTAACATTTGATCGAAAAAAACAAGATATGTTACATACCATATTTCATTCTCTTGTCTTAGATCATATGAATGAATTACCTCATATACAGCTCCAAATCCACCTTGCCCGAGCTTCTTCTCATCCGAGAAATTATCTGTTGCAGCTCTAATTGCGCCGAAAGTGTATTGAACAGATTCAACGGCGTCGCGCTTGCCAGCTGCCGAAAAACCAGAATTTACACGTAGTTTCTATACATCGTAAAACAGACGATTAACTACATATTCCTTACTCTCACGTCGCCTCCTCGATTCTTCTTTCCCCATCCTTACAACCAACGCGCCGATAACAGCAGCGAGGATCACTGATGCAGAAACTGAGGCAGCTACGACAATAGCTTGAGCTCTTCCACAGTCGCCTGCAATAACTAAGACAATTGTGTACATGCTCTAATACAAAGTTAAGTTGGAACCATACGACTAATGCGCCATACATTTAAGCGACTTCCCCGGTGGCTCATTCGCCGCGACACCTGATGAAGGCTGCGGATTTTGTTCATTACCGTCTTCATACAAAAAAGGAGTGTCCTCATACCGAATATTACAGCTTGACCAGAGAACTCTGCCCCCTATCTGCCCCGAACAACATTGTGGAACTAGCGCCGCGGCATTGTTCAAGCAGTTTAGGCATACGTCGGGCGATAGATCCGGCGTGCACTGAACTTGAGCATAGATTGTTCGAGAATCAGGGCCATTTATTTTCGCCGCAGCGTATTTCTTGCCCAAGCCACTATACGCAGCTTGGCGACGAATACTATCCAGCAGCCTTGTTAGATCGCGATTATGTTGATCCGGAGCAGTCGCGACAAATGGATTTGGGAACATGTAATCCGCAGAAGTCTCCACGGTTCCATATATGACATTGTTCGAATATCGCAGCATGCATTGATCATAGTAGACGATAGCGCCCTTTTGGTCGGGGCAGAATTTGAAAACTTCGGCAATGGCGTAGCTTGCGCACTGCCGGCATATGCTCGCCGGAACGTCGCCTCGGCAGAGGAATAGGACGTAGACGGTTTCGGGAGCTCGGCCGGCGGAGGCGTTGTAGAAGCCGTTGGTGTCGATTTTTGTGGGGAGGGTGGATAAGATGTTGTCGAGATTAGTTTTGTATCTGCTGCCATTTTTGTAGGTTCCAGTGTCTTTGCAGGAATATAAATTATCAGATGTAGTGAAGGGGAAGAGATTGAGCAGCAGAGTTGTGAGGAAAATGAAGGCCATAGACATTATTCCTTAATTGAATATGAGTGTTCGAAAGGGAAGAGTATGGAGAAAGAAGAGTTTGTATCAGCTTTATTACATGAAGTAATGTCGTAGTGGAACCGTACAACATCACTATAGATCCAATCTTTTTTTTTGACAAACCAGACTTAAAGGTGTCGAATATTTGAATTTATTACCTCACCATGAGTTCACACCTGCGGGACAACTGTAGATCCACTTGGTTGATGGATTCAGCCAAGCACGACCATGAAAGTACCCTCTTGCAGATTGTTAATGTCTACCAAAAAAGAAGAAGAAAAAGTCGACTACAAATTTAGTTAATTGTTTTTAATACAATAATCCGATAGAAAATTTATATTTACTTGGATTTTTATTTTTGTGTCTTATTTGATTTTTTTTTTTTTTTTTTGACATTAGTTTGTCATAAGTATTTTATATGGAATAGTAATTATTTAATAAATAATAGAAATTAGATTTCAAATAAATAAAGAATTAATTCCCCCCAATATCAAATCCAATTTAAAGATGATGTGAATGTGTTACATTAATAAAATAGGCACTGGAGGGAATTGAAAGATTGGTTTTCTTCTTTTGTTTTTTCTTGAAAGATGGATTTTTGAGGAATCAGGAATCATTACAGCCACAGAAACTGAACAAGAGCTCAATGGATTGATTTGTAGAAGATTTGGGCCATATTTAGATACTTTTTGTTTTTCCTATAATATATATATATAAAACACAAGTCAAACAAGTGGGGATTTAAGTTTCATTGCCTTAGAATACATAAAATTCAGCATTGAACTACATTTGAAATAAAAGTAATAGTACTATACATGATTTGGAATTCCATTATAAAGTAAAAAGAAGACAATATTCTAAGACCCCAAGGACGCTGAGGTTGCCCTGAATCTCTCCCAAATCATTTGAACTTTCGTTACGATGACTTGACAAAGTCAAGAATGACTTTTCAGGGATCACAATGTGAGATTTACTCGAAGCCCAATATTCTGGCTCGAACAATGCCTAGTAATTCATCGATATTTATGTCTATAGTAAAAATATTGTTGGTTGTCTTCTTTTTTGTTTATTATTGGATCGAATAGTTTGTGCTCCAATTGTTTTTTATTTTTTTCTGTATGTTCATATGTTTGAACAACATATGTTTGAACAGCTCTTCGAATAATCAGTTAAACAACTTATATTTGATTGCATGAAACTCAAATCATTACCATCGACCAGTTGATGATCTTAAACACTAACGAGGCTGCAAGTCAGTAATGGAATCATCCTTTTCAGACATACGCTGGCTCAACAGATCCTGTGTGTTGCTGCTTCCAGCCTTGTAATAGTATGCAGGCTCAGAAGGCGCGGGCAGAGACATCGACAAGTTGCCAAGCATTGCGACAACAGATGCTGTTGTTGGCCTCTTGTGTGCATCTTGTTGACAACATAGCAGACCGATGTGAATGCAACTCAGTATGGCACCCATTGATCCTGGATTTGATCTCAACAATGGATCCACTGTGTCAACATTCTTCCCGTCGCGCCAATTTTTCCATGCCTGCGACAAATGGCGAGATTCAATAACATTTGCAAGTTCGATTCAAGTAATATATGTAGTTGGTTTTCTCAGGGACTTACAAAATAAGTGATGCCGACTGAATCTTCGTTTTGGATATGATTAGAGTTCTTTTGTCCGTTAATAATTTCCAAAATTAGAACACCGAAGCTATAAACATCGGACTTCACAGAGAATCGGCCGTTTCTTGCATATTCTGGAGGCATATATCCGCTGAAGTATCCGAAATTGGTTAGATGATGATATGATCAAGATAATGCGTAAGAAAAGTAGTTTATCGCTTACTATGTGCCTACAATCTTTCCTGTCTTTCCTTCGGTTTCATCTTGTTCGAATAATCTTGCCATTCCAAAGTCTGAAATCTTAGGATTCATGTCTTTGTCGAGAAGTATGTTACTAGGCTTTATGTCGCGGTGAATGATCTTGAGCCTCGAATTCTCGTGTAAATACAGAAGTCCTCTGGCTATTCCCACAATGATCTTGTATCGTGCATGCCAATCTAAATGTTTTTCTGGATCTGTATTTGTGTAACATCAAAGTACTCTCTCAATCCATACAAATTAAAAGAAGAAGTAACTAACCTCTGTTTAGTGATATAAACTTGTCGAGACTTCCATTGGTAACATATTCATAAACAAGAAGCTTCTCTTCTCCTTCCCCAGAGAAACCCAAAAGTTTCACCAGATTCTTGTGTTGAAGCCTCGCTAGAGCACAACCTCATTCTTGAATTCGAACAATCCTTGTGCCGAATCTTTCGACAATCTTTTGATTGCAATCTTTTCTCCATTCGGTAGTATTCCCTAACATTTGATCGAAAAAGATAAGATATGTTACATACCATATTTCATTCTCTTGTCTTAGATCATATGAATCAATTACCTCATATACAGCTCCGAATCCACCTTGCCCGAGTTTCTTCTCATTCGAGAAATTATCAGTTGCAGCTGTAATCGTGCCGAAAGTGTAATGTATAGATTCAACAAGGTCGCGCTCGCCAGCTGCACGTTAATTTATCAAGTGCTAAGGTCATATACTATTTCGATATCCAGAGCTGATTCAAATCATATAACAGAGACAATTGTATCCCTTACTCTCAAGTTGTCGCGTAAATTCTAGTTTTCGCCTCATTACTATTAAGGTTGCGGCAAGAACCAAGAGCATCAAGGATGCCGTAGTTGAGGCAGTAACAACGATCACTCGAGTTTTATGACAGTCGGCTGCAAGAACCAAAAACATTCCATACATGCTGTAAGATCAACATAGAGTTATGCATATATTGGCCTATTAATTAATGTAGGCCGCAAATCATGTGCTGATCCATTTATACATATATCAGCATAGCACCATGTTAATTTGATCGGATTAGCAGTTGATTCATGCCTTATAAAGTAAGAGAGTTTTACATTTAATCGATCTTTCAGGCAGCTCATGGTGCGGCGCGCCAGCCGATGGAGGTGATGCTTTTTCGCCATTTCTATCATCGAAAAAGAAGCCAACGCTCTCATAACGAGAGCTGCAGCTAGGCCAATGAAATCTCGCGCCAATCTTCCCAAAACAACATTGCGAAAATCTTGCCGCGATGTTTTCTAAGCACTTTCGGCATTCTTCGGGATACAAATCTGGAGTACACTGAACTAGAGCATAAATTGTTTGATTATAAGGTCCGATCATTTTCCCCGCGGCGTACTTCTTACTCGAACCACCATTCGCAGCTTGGCGCCGAAGATTTTCCAGCAGATTTCTTAGATCCCGGACGTGTTGAAATGGACTAATCGCGTCATACATATTCGACACAACTTTCTCCACCGAAGTTTCAACAATTCCATATATTGCCTGGTTCGAGTATCTTAGCATACACTCGTCGTACCAGCCGATGGCCTGCTTCCGGTCGGGGCAGGTCGAAGGCGTTTGCCTAGCAATCGTGCGCGCACACTGTCGACATATGTCGATAGGAACGTCGCCTCGACAGAGCAGCAGGGCATAGACGGTATTAGGAGCTTGGCCGAAGGAGGCATTGTAGAAGCCGTTGGTGTCGATATTTGTCGGGAGAGCGTCGAGGATGGCGTCGAGGTTAGCTTTGTATAGGCTGCCACTCGTGTAGTTTCCATTCTCCATGCAACTTCTGAAGACAAGGCGTTGGGTAGAGGTGAGGTATAAGAGATTAAGGAAGAGTACGAGGAAGATGATGAAGATGAAGGTCCCTTCCATTGTCACAGGAAGGAGACGACATTCGAAAGGTAAGACTATTGCTATGTATATATAGTTGCGGAATCGGTTAAGTATCTCACTTTGGATATAATGTTGGGATTCCTCTATTTTATAAGGAGTGAAGGGTTATTCTACTTACAATCAATTGGTTTTAAGTTGGAACCCCAGATTCTCGTCTTTAACAGAATCAACTTTCGAACTCTGGGGTGGAACTCCCGTTCACTTTTTACCGATTCTAAGAAAATTAGGTACAAATGAAAGTAATTGTTGGTTTGACTCTCGTTTATAAATAAATAAACTATACGTATTTAAACAATCATTTACATCATTCTAATTTAAAGAACTAGTATCAAGAGTTAGATTTGAAATTGGTAATATTAATATTTGAATTGAGCTGCAATATAATCTTTTAAATTAAATTTTAAATTTGATAATGCATATTCATATTTTATAAAAATATCTATTATATTTTAATATTTTCATGTACGGCACAATTATTTCCCCGTTACTCTAACTCTAACGAAAGCTCTATGTGGGAGAATCATTCAACTCTAATAAACCATAAATGAAACTGTAATAAATGTATTGACAGATAGTTTGTTGAAAAATATTTATCAAAAAATAAATGCATTGACCGCGTTGACCAGGCCACATTTATTTAATGGCTCACGACTGCATCTTATAGAAGGGTGGTTTACTATTTTTGGTACCAATTTATTTATTTATTTGTGTTTGTTTGTGGACAGAAATCCTAAATTTGTTTGATTTATAGATTTTTTGCTCACAACTTGATACATTTAAAAAAATATAAAATAAAATAACTCGTAGCCGAAAATGTGCACTAGGTAAATTTATTGTACATTATTTGTCTAAGCTACTTGGACCACTTTAAAGTTCTAACCAAAAAGTAGGCAAATTTTTAAAAAATATGCATAGTTTCTCCTAATTTATTTTATTTTATTATTGTAGATTATATTATACTTTCAATTGTAAAATTTTATATGTTCTATTTTTTTTTCAAAATATATTTATGTATAATAATTTATTTTTATTTTTATTAAATTAATAAATATATAACTAAAATTATAAATTTATTTTTTATAAAATTAATTTATGCTAAATATATATTTATTTATTTCTATTATATAGGAGTATTATTTTATTATCTAATAGTATACACTTACCTGTCTTAATCTATGAACTTCAACCTCGAATCTATTTACAAATACAACACTACTAAATATACATTCGATTTATTCAATAGAAAATAAAAATAAAAATCACCCTATTAACTCACTTTTATGCTTTATAAAATATTTTTATCACATCCACTAATATAATAATGTATTTATTAATGACTTATCTAATTGTGACTCACATTAACGACCAAGTAAGCTTAGTGTCAAGTGTACAGAAGCTGACACGCCCGGCGCCTAGGCCACGCCCGCGCTGAGGCTCAGACCAGCCGTCCCCTGTGCGCAACACACCCGGGATATACCATGCGGTACGGGAGAATCATGCGGAACACGTACCTGCACCAAGATATAGGTCATTAAACAGCCGTACAGGACAAGAGCTCGCACACATGGACAGACTATGGCCGAGAACCAGGAGCAGGAATGTCAGCCTGTGACATTAGGCCTAGCTAGAAGTACTTTGTACGGTATATTTAAATTTTTTTATATCATGTTGTATATGTATTTTTAAATATAAAAAACAAAATATATCATATAGTCATTCCGACCCTCTAACATGACATTCCAAACTTATTCATAGGAATTTTCATGAATGAAACAGGGAATTCAATTATCATCTTCAAAACAAACTAACGGGGATGCAGCTCTGTAATGGAGGCACCATTTTCAGACACATGCTCACTTGTCCGATCCTGTCCTCTGCTTTCTGCGGCATTGAACCAATACGCGGGCTCAGAAGGCGCCGGCAGCGTCATCGACAAGTTGCTAAGCATCAGCACAACAGATGCTGTTGTAGGCCTCTTATGTGCATCGTGTTGGCAACATAACAAACCGATCTGAATGCACCTCAGCATGGCAACCATTGATCCTGGATTCGACCTCAAGAACGGATCCACCGTATCGAAATTATTTCCGTCGCGCCAATTTTCCCATGCCTGTGATAAATTGAAAGCTTGATTAGCATTGCAAGTTTGGTTCAAATTATAGTCACTTGATTTTCTCTGCTACTTACAAAACTAGCAATGCCGACTAAGCGTCCAGTTTGGATATGGCTAGAGTTCTTTTGTCCGTTAATAATTTCCAAAAATAGTACGCCGAAGCTGTAGACATCGGATTTCACAGAGAATAGGCCGTGCTTTGCATATTCTGGCGGCATATATCCGCTGTCATATATATATATATGTATGTATATATACAAGCCGCGGATTTTGGTTAGATACTAATATTATATAAGCTTAAAGAGTCGTAGTTTTGTTACTTACTATGTTCCTACAATCTTTCCTGTTTTTCCTTCTGCTTCATCTTGTTCGAATAATCTTGCCATTCCAAAGTCTGAAATCTTAGGATTCATGTCTTCGTCGAGAAGTATGTTACTAGGCTTTATGTCGCGGTGAATGATCTTGAGATTTGAATTTTCGTGCAAATACAATAGTCCTCCTGCAATTCCTTCGATGATCTTGTATCGCGTTTTCCAGTCCAGATGTTTCGATGGATCTGCATAAAGTGGAACTGATTATGTAGCGAAAAATATTTTGGGGAATTAAGGAAAGTAACTAAGCTCTATTACCAGATAGAAAGTAGTTTAGACTTCTATTCGGAACATATTCATAAACAAGAATCTTCTCGGTTCCTTCCGTGGAGTATCCCAAAAGTTTCACGAGATTCTTGTGTTGAAGCCTTGTTAGAAACACAACTTCATTCTTAAACTCAGACAATCCTTGCGCCCGAATCATTCGACAATCTTTTGATTGCAATCCTTTCTCTGTTTGGTAGTATTCCCTAATAGTTGATCAGAGAAACAATTAAGGTGCATTACATATTCGTTGATGCTGCTATGAAAGCGATTTGTATCTTCTTACATCAGACAAACCTCATAAACAGCCCCAAATCCACCTTGTCCGAGCTTCTTGTCATCTGAGAAATTTTTAGTTGCAGCTCTGATGGTGCTGAAACTGTATTGAACAGGTTCAACCGTGTCGTGCTCGCCTGCTGCAGTATCATCAAGTCTAAAATTACACACTCGTCGAATAGAAGATAAAGCAGACAATTTTACTCCTTACTCTCAATCTGCCGCGTTGATTCTTGTCTTCGCCTCATTATCGCGAAGGTGCCAACAAGAACAGCGAGGAACGCCGTTATAGATGCCGAGACTGAGGCAGAAGCCACGATAACTCGAGTTTTCTTACACTGGCCTGCAATAGGTAAGACGGTCACATACATGCTCTAACACCAAAACTTCTTACAGCCTATGCTATCTATAAGATAAGAGACTCTTGCATTTCAGTGTCGACATTGTTGGATCAGGCAACGCACTCGGCGATGGAGGCTGCGCTTTTTCGACATTTCCATCGTCAAACCAATACGGAGTACTCTCAAACCGAACATTGCAGCTCGGCCAGAGGACTCTGCCCCCTATCTTCCCCGAACAACATTCTGGAAATCTCATAGCCGCATTAGTTAAGCAAGTTTCGCATTCTTCGGAGATAAATCCGGCGTACACTGAACTTGAGCATAAATTGTTTGAGAATCGGGGCCAATTATTTTCCCTGCACCGTATTTCCTCCTCGATCCACCATTCGCAGCTTGAGATCGAATATTATCAAGCAGCCTTCTTAGATCGCGAACATGTTGCACTGGACTAGTTACATATAATCCATTAGTGAACATCCCCTCCGGAGAAGTTTCTAGAGTTCCATAAATGGCCTGGTTCGAGTATCTTAGCATGCACTCATCGTACCAGACTACGGCCTGCTTCCGGTCGGGGCAGAAGCCGGGAGTTTCTACAATAGCCATGCGCGCGCACTGTCGACATATAACCATAGGAACGTCGCCGCGGCAGAGCAGCAGGGCGTAGGCTGTGTCGGGAGCTTGGCCGGAAGAGGCATTGTGGAAGCCGTAGGTGTCGATGTTTGTTGGCACGGCGGAGAGGACGGCGTCGAGATTAGCTTTGTATGTGCTGCCACTTGTGAAGTTTCCATTTTCTATGCATCTGGAGAAGGTAAGGGATGTGGTGAGGGATGAGAGATTTGGCAGCAGGACCAGGATGAGGAAGAAGGGCAGTGACATTGTTGCTTGTTTGAATACAGAAAGAAGTATTATGATTCAAAGATGAAGATTTTGAATCTGCTTTTAATAGTCTACGGTGGATTTTTTAAATATCCCGACGGATGGCTTGGGATTTTTATTTTATTTTATTTGATTTTATTTGACTTTTCAGAATGAAGATGACACCACTAGATAAGACAAGAGGAGATGACTCAGTGGAATTGACTTCTGGAGCTGCTGTGATATTATTTCAAATGTACAATTTCAGATTCTTGATTTTAGTCGGGGATGATAGAAAGAACATGATTTCAATCATGATGAGCGCCGGGACGAACTGGAAATTGATCTCTGTGATTCTACTTGTGGCGGCTGTTTCCGATTCCGGCAGCGGGCAGCCCCAGGGCGACGACCGGAATCCGTACAGCTGTATGTTCACCGGGAATTACATAACCAATTCCACATACAGCGCCAATCTCAACGCCGCCCTCGCCGCCCTCTCCCCAAACATCACCCAGTACGGATTCGCCACCGCCTCCGTCGGAGACGGCGAAGATAGAGCAAACGCCGCCGCCCTCTGTAGAGCCGACGTGCTCCTCGAACCTTGCCGCCGCTGCGTGGAAAACGCGGTCGAGCAATTGGTCCAATTGTGCCCTAATCGAAAGCAGGCGGTTAGATGGTACGACCTCTGTATGCTGCACTACTCGAACCTCCCCATAAATGGAGTTCCCAATAATGGCGCGGACACTACCTTGGGCGCCTCCGAAGATGTGGCGGATCCGGTGCCGTTCAGGGAGGATCGGGAGGCGTTGTTTGGGGACCTTCTTGCAAAGGCCATTAATGGGAGCTCCTTGCTCAAGGTTGGGGCTGGGAGTCGGAGTTCGTCGGATTCAGAGACGGTTCATGCGATTCTTCAGTGTATTCCCAATATGTCGCCGGAGGAATGCCGATTTTGCTTGCTTAGGGCTACTCAGGGATTGCCGCCGGCGGCCAGTTGGGCAAAGAAAGTGACAACCGGCTGCAATCTCCGGTACGATCTTGATCTCTTCTACAATGAAACTAGGCTTCAAGAACTCGGTGTGCTACTTTCCCCATCAGGTAAAATCAGTCAATTTTGAAACTTTCTTTTTTTTATTTTTTATAAAAAATAAAACAATTCCTGTAGCTGTTGCAGGGAATGGTGATGATGGCGAGAGAGGTAAGAAAGGCGATAACAGAACGAAAATTATTATTGCCATAGTTGTTCCAATTGCAGTGTGCCTGATACTTGCTGTTTGTGCTGTAATCTTCTTTAGAAGAAGGATGAAGAAGAAGACGAAATGTAAGTGAATTGATTTTACCATGGTTTAACTTTGATTGAAATTAATGTTGATACTTTCTTCAGCAGCTGCTGAATTGGATATGGAGGAGATTGACACAATTGAATCTCTTCAATATGACTTTTTCGTGATAAGTAAGGCGACAAATGGTTTTGCGGATGCTAACAAGTTGGGGGAAGGTGGATTCGGAGCTGTTTATAAGGTAATTGAATCCTCTGTTGCCCTATTCGTTACATCCTTTGAATTTGGTTAATTTGATCATGTTCTACTTCAAAATCTCTGTTCAGGGGAAGCTTTCGGATGGTCGAGAAATAGCAGTGAAGATGTTGTTGAGGAATTCCGGGCAGGGTGATAAAGAATTCAAGAACGAAGTACAGTTGTTGTCGAGGCTTCAACACAGGAATCTGATTAGGCTATTGGGATTCTCCATGGAAAGACGACAGAAACTTCTTATATATGAATTTGTGCCGAATGCAAGCCTCGACAAATTCATATTTGGTAATATCTCACTCACATTGTTGTGCTAATTGTTTAATCGTTCTACGCAATAAACAATCTGTTTTTTTCTTTTTTTTTTCTTCTGAATAGACCCGATCAAAAGTTCTCAATTGAATTGGAAGAGGCGCCGTAATATCATAAGCGGTACTGCAAGGGGACTTCTTTATCTGCACGAAGATTCACATCGCCGGATCATCCATCGTGACCTAAAGCCGAGTAACATACTTCTGGATGAAGAGATGAATCCTAAAATTGGAGATTTTGGCATGGCAAGATTGTTCGAGTCAAGTCGAACCCAAGAAAATACAGAAACAGTTGTCGGGACATAGTAAGTATTACGCCTTCCATAGCCGTGTCCTGCTTCATAATTTAATCCCAAATCGCCATTTTGCAGCGGATACATGCCGCCTGAGTATGCATTATACGGGGAAGTTTCTGTCAAGGCCGATGTCTTTAGCTTTGGAGTCCTCGTCTTAGAAATAATAACCGGTAAAAAATCTGTAAGCAACGACAGAGGCAATGTGGAGGATCTCTTGAGCATTGTAAGTATCTGTCATATGAAAAAATTGCGCGGATTCTGGTTTAGCTACTAATGAGGCGACGAATTCTTAGGTATGGAAAAACTGGAGAGACGGGACGGCTGAAAATGTGATCGATCCTGTTTTGAGGACTGGAAACGATTCGATTCGCGATATGTTGCGACACCTTCACATGGGGTTGCTGTGTGTTCATGAAAACCCAGCTGATCGACCTCTGATGAATTCGGTCGTGCTGATGCTGAGTAGCTCTACCATATCGTTACCTGTGGCTTCGCACCCTGCTTTTGTCGTATCCGGTCGCTCGACTCGTGCAGGTGCTCCGGGGAATGATACACCGGAGGAGGCGAGTTTTTCACGAAATGAAATTTCTATTACTGAGCCACAACCTCGATGAGTTTTAGCATTCTGGAAATCGATGTAAAATATTGTTACAATGTTGCATGTATCGTTGATGAAGATGGATATATACATACTGTTTAGATATACAGATTTTGAAATGCTATGCTCTCTGTTGATATCTCTGTGATCAAATGAAATGCAGAATTAACTTTAAAAACATAGCTTTTCGACGTGATAATTGTCTCCATTTTGGATCACTTCCATATCAAAAACGAATTCAAGAAACAGACGTCTATGTAAATTATTCATTTATGTAATCCCCTATTAACAGGTGATTCAACGCCTAACAGCAGCCTCTGTCTCTCTCTCTCCAGACTTTGCAATTCAATGTTAATAATTTCGAATGTTGAAAGTCGGACACGATGGCATGGCAGCAGGAATTCTAATAAAAACTAATGTTTGACTTATCCCCAACAGTCATCGGTTGGTGTTTCTTGTTTCCAAGCCAATTTTTAGGGTTCCTATTCAATTCAATCCATCTCTTTTATAAGGGTCTTTTGTTGGTCTCTGAAAAGTGTCCAAGAAATAGAAATAGGAGAACTTGCAGTAATGGTGAAGTGGGAGCTCTCAGCAGCAGCAATGGCTATTCTGTCGATGGTTTTAAATTTTGCCAACTGTGAGGATTATCCGAGTCCCTTCAACTGTCCAGACATGGGAAATTACACAACCGACAGCACATACCTCGCCAATCTGAACGCCACACTCTCCTCTCTCTCCTCAAACGCCTCCCAGTACGGCTTCTACAGCGCCGCCGTCGGTCAGGGCGACGACAGGGCACACGCCGTCGCGCTCTGCAGAGCCGACGTACTACCCGACGATTGCCGCGGCTGCGTGCAGATGGCGGCCGTCGGAGTACTGCAATCGTGCTGGTATCGGAAGCAAGGGATTAGGTGGTTTGAATTTTGTACAGTACACTATTCGAACCTACCTATAAGGGGAACTCCGATGGACGGTATCGGAGAAGGCTTAATCGGAGAAGATACGGCGACGAATCCCGTCCAGTTCCGGCAGGATCGGACGGCGCTGCTCGATTTGCTCCGTCGGCAGGCTGCGAACGGGAGCTCCCTTAAAGTTGGAGCCGGGAGCTCCAATACGGTGGATTCCGATGTACTGTACGCTCTGGTGCAGTGTTTTCCGACCTTGTCCGCCATGGAATGCCAAGAATGCTTGATTCAGGCGAGTCAGGATTTGCCTAGAGTTTTAAATAGGGGATCGGAAATGAAATCGAGCTGTACTGTTCGTTACAGCGTCGATCTCTTCTACAATGAGACGAGGCTTCGCGAACTCAATGTATCGATTTCTCAAATCCCCAATTCTTCATCAGGTAAGAATCAGAAGAACAAAATTAGTTTCAGAATCATCATTGATGCAATTACAGAGATGATGACTCTCTAAGTTGTTCTTCATTTTTGCAGGGAAAGGTAACAATACAGGATCAAAGAAAGATGATAACACAAAAAAGATTGTTATAAGCATTGCTGTTGCAATTTCTGTGTGTCTAATGCTCGCTGCTTGTGGCGCCATTTTTCTGCGAAAACGAATAAGGAAGATGCTGCAGAGAAGCTCCGAATGTAAGGTTTATGCGTATGTATAGATGGTCGTTTAGTTAAAATCAATGAGAACGGACATAAGTTCTTTCTTTAACTTGTGGTGATCAGCCTCGGAGGAGATCATTGCAGTCGATTCGCTGCAATTTGATTTCGGAAGAATATGTAAGGCAACAGATGGTTTTGCTTATGCTAACAAGTTGGGAGAAGGAGGATTCGGGACTGTTTATAGGGTAATTTTTGTTCATTGTTGCCGTATTCGAGCAACTTCCATTTCTGAATTCGGCTAATTTGGCTTTGCTTTGTTGAAAACATCAGGGAAAGCTTTCGAACGGCCAAGAAATAGCCGTCAAGAAGTTGTTGCGCGGAGCAGGGCAGGGCGACAAGGAGTTCAAAAATGAAGTCGTGTTGGTGGCTAGGCTTCAGCACAGAAATCTGATCCGACTTTTAGGTTTCTCCATGGAAGGAAAGGAGAGACTTCTTGTGTACGAATTTGCTCCCAACGCAAGCTTAGATCAATTCTTATTCGGTAATTTTGTTTGTACTGTTGTTATATATCGATCGGTTTGCTTGCTCTGGGTGATGACGCCTTGTTTTGCATCGTAGACCCGATCAAAAGTTCCCAATTGGATTGGCAGAAGCGGTGTAAGATCATAATAGGGATTGCAAGAGGACTTCTTTACCTGCACGAAGATTCTCGACTCAGGATCATCCACCGTGATCTCAAACCTGGAAACATACTTTTAGATGGAGAGCTGAATCCTAAAATCGCAGATTTTGGAATGGCGCGACTATTTGGGCACGATGAAACTCAAGCAGAGACAAGAAGGATTGTAGGAACATAGTAAGTGTAGTATCTTATTCTCCGGAAACAATCTATGTATGTATGCGAATTGTTCTAATTGATTGTTGTCCAACTGCAGCGGATATATGCCACCTGAATACGCATTGCACGGTAAGTTCTCTGTCAAGTCGGATGTTTTCAGTTTCGGGGTGCTCGTCTTGGAAATTGTAAGCGGTCGAAAAACTGGAATAAGGAATGGAAATAACGTCGAAGGCCTCTTGAACACTGTAAGTAAATTGGATGTTTGTGTCTCGATTTCAAGGCGAAGACTTGAAACTAACAATGTCGAATAATCAGGCGTGGAACCATTGGCGAGAAGGGACGGCCGAAAATGTGATCGATCCTGTCTTGAAGACTGAAATCGATTATATTAACGATATGCTCAGATTCATTCACATCGGGTTGTTGTGTGTTCAAGAAAGTCCTGCCAGTAGACCGCTGATGAATTCAGTTGTGTCGATGCTGAGCCGCTCTTCAGTAACACTGCCTGCGGCTACGCAGATTGCATTTCATGTTGCATCGAGTAGCTTTCATTCTGCACGCAGTCAAGAAAATGATTTGAAATCGAAAGGTAAGACAGATGCATCTGATGCTGGTTCGTCGCAGAATGAAATGTCAGCGACTGATTTGCATCCTCGATGAACTTTTCTGGAAATCAATCGATGAACTGATGAACTGTAAGTAATACTGTCTGATTATTACAAATCTGATTAATATATTGCAACCTCGAAGAACATACAAATTTGCTTTCCTTTTCAGCTTTTGGAAGCTAACGAGGATGCAAATCAGTAATGGATGCATCATTTTCAGACATGTTTTCATCAAACTGAGCTGCTGTCCTGTCCTTTCCGGAATCGAAATAAAATGCCGGCACAGAAGGCGCGGGCAGTGTAACCGACGCGGCACTGAGCATCAGGACAACAGAAGCCATTGTTGGCCTCTTCGACGGATCTCTTTGGCAACACAACAAACCTATTCGAATGCACCTCAGTATGTCCATCATCGAGCCTTCGCTCAACTTCAAGAAAGGATCCACAGTCTCGACATTATTTCCTCGGTGCCAGTTTCTCCATGCCTGTAGTTGGTTCACAAACTGATTAGATAACATTGCACTTCGATCCAACACTTTGTATAGTTGTCGTTTTTCTTTAGTACTTACAAAATTGACAATGCCGACTTCATTGTCTCCGCTTCGAATGCTACCATTTTTCTTCTGAGCATTAATAATCTCCAGAACTAATACTCCAAAGCTATAGACGTCGGACTTCACAGAGAATTGCCCTCCGTTGGCATATTCCGGCGGCATATATCCACTACAAACACAAGTGTTTATAGTTGTACAAGTGAAGACAAGAGAATATAGTGTATGAAAAGATGATGAAATAGTTAGAGAAAGCTTACTAGGTTCCTACAATCCTTTTAGTCTTTGCTTCGCTTTCGTCTTGTCCGAATAATTTTGCCATTCCAAAGTCTGCAATTTTAGGATTCATGTCTTCATCGAGAAGTATGTTGCCAGGTTTTATATCACGATGGATGATTTTGAGTCGAGAATTTTCGTGCAAGTACAGAAGTCCTTTGGCAATTCCTTCAATGATCTTGAATCTCGTCTCCCATTTCATCTGCTTATGTTTCTGTACTGAATCTGCAAGTTTGAAATGTTCGACATTAGTACGTAAATATTATTCTAAGGGCCAGAGTCAGTTTGCTGTATATAGGAAAAAGATTCACCAGAAATGAAGTTGTCCAGACTTCCATTGGAAACATATTCATACACAAGAAGCTTTTCAGTTCCTTCCAAAGAAAACCCCAACAGATTCACCAGATTCTTGTGTTTAAGCTTTGCTAGAAACAAAACTTCATTCTTAAACTCTATCGATCCCTGTTTTGAATCTTTCGACAATCTTTTGACGGCGATCTTTTCCCCGTTGCCAAGTATCCCCTGTCAAAACACAACATTATTAGACATAGTTCGATCTGTTACAACTTTTTTGCACTTCTTACCATATAAACCACACCGAATCCACCCTGACCGAGCTTTTGTTCATCCGAGAAATTATTAGTTGCTCCTGTAATGGTGCTGAAACCATATTGCAGAGATTCAGCTCCATCTTCATTACAAGTGACACATAGTTTTAGTTGGTTAAACTTGTTTCTTATAAGTTATAACTACTAGTAAAGAAATCTTCAACATGGCGAAACAAGTGATCGAGTTCTTACCATCAATATTTCCAGTTGGCTTCGATTTTCTCGACCTTCTTACAAGGATTCCCACAACAACAATAACTACCAAGCTAGCGCAGACAGCGACAGCCACGGCGATAGTTAGAGCTACTCGACCGTTCTTCCTCTTCCCTGAAATCAGATGATCTCAGCTACGGAAACATGTAGTGTCATATGAATCTGAAGAAGTATCTTAATGTCTGGTTACCTGTTTGCAACCACCCCGGTGGAGGCGGCGCTTCATTTTCTAGTCTAGTTTCATCGAAAAAGAGGTAACTCTCAAACCGAAGATAGCAGCTCGGCCGGTGGATTCTTCCTCCTCGCTTCTTATCACAACACCACGGTATTTGTGAAGCCGCGCTGATTAGGCACCTTTCACAAGCTTCTTGATCTATGTCCGGCGTACACTGGACGAGAGCGAAAATCGTTTGTGAAGCAGGTCCAGTTACATTCCCTGTCGCGAATTTTTTCAAGGAGCCGCCATTCGAAGCTTGGGATCGAAGATCATTTAGCAGACTGTCTAAATCCTTCTTAAACTGAACAGGGCTTATGGCTTCGGATGGATTGAAAACCCCGAATACTGTGGTTGTCGCTGGGACTCCGAATATGGTCTGGTTGGAGCGTCTTACCAAGCACTCATCGGTGCGGTACCAGCTTGTCCGTTCATTGTAGTCGGAACATGATGATTTTGTAATAGAATCGGCAGCATTTTGCACACAGTTTTGACACTTTGCAAGATCGATATCGCCTCTGCAGAGAGCAATGACGTTGGCTCTATCGGGAGCCTGGCCGTGGGAGGCGCTGTAGAAGCCGTAGCGGTCAATGTTAGTCGGTAGAGTGGAGAGCACGGTGGCTAGATTAGCCCCGTATGTCGTGTTGCAGCCCTGAAGTGTCTGCGCCGCGACGACGGATACAAAAATGAGCAGAATGAAGAAGATGAATGTCGCTGGCGCCGGCATGGTTCCATGGCTCATAGTGAAGTATAGAACATATTGAAAGGCTTGATGCAATAGAGTGGCGATGATGTTCTTGCAACTTCAATACAATGGATGAATTTATGACGAAGTTTTACTCGGTTTATTTATAATCTTTTTCTTTTTAAAAATCATCAAATCCAAAAAATGGGAGTGGACTTAGACATGACAGACTGGGATGTACTCTTTACGACCATTCAACACGCTCTGGCAATTCATACTTATATTTTGCTTTTGTTTGGAGATGAAATAGAGTAGTGAGGAATGAGAATTCTGGTATGAACACAAGAATTTATTACATTGCAGCTGTAAAGAAGAGCTACACTCTTTTTCTCCTTGGCCTAACTGCTAAACTAAACATATGTTAGAACTAGTCAAGAAACAGTAAACCCATTTTATAAACCAATCTATACAGTGATTTTCACCTCTGCATCACTGCTTGTTGATGATTTTAGTATTATCAAGTTATTCTAAATTATTCAAAAACATCACCAGTTTACTCTTGTATATCTGTCGAGAACAAATAGGAGCACCACACCAAACTTTATCTTATAATTAATTGTGTGTAATCCAGCAATGTAGAATTAAAATACTTCAGATTCCCTCACCACGAGTTGCGACCATGACCGGGTTGAAAGATTTGGCAGAGGAAAAAGACCCGAAATTGTGTATTCAAAGTGGATGATACCATACTTGTATTGTTTAATAAACTTCCAGAAAGATAAGGACTGATAGACTATTCAACTGTTTGTCTAATGTAACGATGAATAGGACATCACTTCATCGGCAGTTTAATGTAAAATCTCTACTGTTGCCAAGTTATGAACACACCAAATTTGGTGATATAGTTCGATCAAGATGATGTCTGGGTGCAGCCAAGCCAAATATTTGTTTTTCTTTTCAGCTTTTGGAAGCTAACGAGGATGCAAATCAGTAATGGATGCATCATTTTCAGACGTGTTTTCAACAAACTGAGCTGCTGTCCTGTCCTTTCCGGAATCGAAATAAAATGCCAGCACAGAAGGTGCAGGCAGTGTAACCGACGCGGCGCTGAGCATCAGGACAACAGAAGCCATTGTTGGCCTCTTTGACGGATCTCTTTGGCAACACAACAAACCTATTTGAATGTGCCTAAGTATGTCCATCATCGATCCTTCGCTCAACTTCAAGAAAGGATCCACAGTCTCGACATTATTTCCTCCGTGCCAGTTTCTCCATGCCTGTAGTTGGTTCACAAACTGATTAGATAACATTGCACTTCGATCCAACACTTTGTATAGTTGTCGTTTTTCTTTAGTACTTACAAAATTGACAATGCCGACTTCATTGTCTCCGCTTCGAATGCTACCATTTTTCTTCTGAGCATTAATAATCTCCAGGACTAATACTCCAAAGCTATAGACGTCGGACTTCACAGAGAATTGCCCTCCGTTGGCATATTCCGGTGCCATATATCCGCTGCAAATGCAAGTGTTTATAGTTGTACAAGTGAAGACAAGAGAATATAGTGTATGAAAGGCCATGGGATAGTTGGAGAACACTTACTAGGTTCCTACAATCCTCTTAGTCTTTGCTTCGCTTTCGTCTTGTCTGAATAACTTTGCCATTCCAAAGTCTGCAATTTTAGGATTCATGTCTTCATCGAGAAGTATGTTGCCGGGTTTTATATCGCGATGGATGATTTTGAGTCGAGAATTTTCATGCAAGTACAGAAGTCCTTTGGCAATTCCTTCAATGATCTTGAATCTCGTCTCCCATTTCATCTGCTGATGTTTCTGTACTGAATCTGCAAGTTTGAAATGTTCGACATTAGTACATAAATATTATTGTAAGCACGCACAGTCACTTTGCTGATATTTTACCTTCGCTTTCACAAGAGATTTTTGTTCACCAAACAATTTTAAGTAATTATTTGTTGTTTATCGAAGTGGTTTTAAATTGAGGCGGTATATGTATATATGGGAAAAGGATTCACCAGAAATGAAATTGTCCAGACTTCCATTGGAGACATATTCATACACAAGAAGCTTTTCACTTCCTTCCAAAGAAAACCCCAACAGATTCACCAGATTCTTGTGTTTAAGCTTGGCTAGAAACAAAACTTCATTCTTAAACTCTATCGATCCCTGTCTTGAATCTTTCGACAATCTTTTGACGGCGATCTTTTCCCCGTTGCCAAGTATCCCCTGTCAAAACACAACATTTTTAGACATATATAGTTCGATCTGTAACAACTTTTTTGCACTTCTTACCATATAAACCACACCGAATCCACCCTGACCGAGCTTTTGGTCGTCCGAGAAATTATTAGTTGCTCCTGTAATGGTGCTGAAACCATATTGCAGAGACTCAGCTCCAATATCTTCATTACAAGTGACACATAGTTTTAGTTGGTTAAACTTGTTTCTTATAACTAATAGTTCAGCATGACGATATAAGTGATCGAATTCTTACCATCAATATCTCCAGTTGGTTTCGATTTTCTCGACCTTCTCTACAGGATTCCAACAACAAGAATAGCTACCACGCTAGAGCAGACAGGCACAGCTACGGCGATAGTTAGAACTACTCGACTGTTCTTCTTGTTACCTGTTTGCGACTGCCTAGGTGGCTCAGGCGCTGGCTCGGCTGCTGGTGGAGGCGGCGCAACATTTCCTAGTCTAGTTTCACCGAAAAAGTTGTAATTAGTCGCGAATCGAAGATAGCAGCTTGGCTTGAAGACACTTGCTCCATTTTTCTTATCACAACACCACGATATATCTAAAGCTGCGCCGATTAGGCACTTTTCACAAGATTCTTGATCTATATCCGGCGAACACTGAACAAGAGCGAAAATTGTTTGTGAATCAGGACCAGTTACATTCCCAAATGCAAATTTTTTCGAGGAACCGCCATTGGAAGCTTCGGATCGAAGATCATTTAGCAGACTCTCTAGATCCTTCTTAAACTGAATAGGACTGCTGGCTTGGGATGGATTGAAAGCCCAGTATAAAGTGTTGTTCGCCGGGACTCCGAATATCATCTGGTTGGAGGATCTTAGCCAGCAATCTTCGGTACGGTACCAGTCTCTCTGTTCCTTGTCGTCGGAACATGGTGAATTTGTAAGAGAATTGGCAGCAAGATGGACACAGTTGCGACAGTCTGCAAGATCGATGTCACCTCTGCAGAGGGCAATGATGTTGGCTCTATCGGGGACCTGGCCGGTGGAGGTGGTGTAGAAGCCGTAGCGGTTGATATTTGTCGGTAGAGTGGAGAGCACGGCGGCTAGATTAGCCCGGTATGTCGTGTTGTAGCCCTGAAGAGTCTGTGCGACAGCGACGGATACAAAAGTGTGCAGAATGAAGAAGATGAATGTCGCCGGCGTGGTGATCGGCATGGCTCCATGGCTCATAGTGAAGCTTGGCTAGAACGTATTGAAAAAGCTTGACGCAATGGAGTGAGGTTTAATACAATGGACGAATTTATGACATTTAGATAGTTTTTCTGAGGTTTGATTTTTGCGCATCTGAAGGTGACCTGTAGGCGTCGGTTGCCGGACAACGTTACTATATTTTTTTATAGTTTATTATGTACTATTCACCATTGCTTTCCATGCATAGTTTGATTCGCCTACTAGATATAAAAACTGAATAATAAAAAACTGAAAATAAATCTAAAATTAAAATGAGGGCAGACTTAGACATGATAGACTCGGACATTTTCGTTACGGACTATTCAACACGCTGAGGCAATTCATTTAATTTGCTTAGATTTGGAGATGAAAAATGAGTGATGAGGATTATCTTACGAACACTAGAATTTCTTACACTGCACCAGTATAGAAAAGCTCTACAACTATGTTCTTCTTGGCCTAACTGCTAAACTTAAACAAGTGATAGAATTAGTCAAGACAGGCTAGGCTAATCCATTTCCAAACCAATCTGTACAGTTGTTGGATAAAGAGGTAAAATCCTTTCCAAGGTATGAGAAATTGAAACGAAATGAAATAGGAACACCAAGATCATCTTATAATTAGTTGTATGTGATCCAGCAATATAGAATTGACTCACTTTCAGAAAAACGTGCCCGAAACACAGATCCATCCAAACTTGATTCCTCCCCACGAGTTGCCACCATGACCGACCCAAGTTGACGAGTTTGCCTAAATGGCAGAGAAAATAGACACGGAATTGTGTATTTAAACTGGATACCATACTTTTATCCTTCAATAAAACTTCCAGAAAGATAATGAAGAATTTAATACCGCACATTTCTTGATTTCATAGGTAAATAATGAATTTTTACTGTGAAAGAAAATGGCCATTGGAAAACAAACAAATTTATCCTCCTCAATAACCCATCAGTTCTTGATTGTTGATTTCCTCAAAAAAAAAAAAAAAAAAAAAAACGTCAGAGAAATTAAAACACAGTAATGGCTGGAGCAAGAAGGTTGAGCCATATCTTTATGGTCCTGCTCGTTGCTCTAATGGCGGATTCAGATTTCGGGAGAGGTCAGGACAACCAGCAAAACCCTTACGACTGTACGAACAGCGCGGGGAACTACACGAGCAACAGTACGTACAGCGCCAATCTCAACGCCTCACTCTCTTCCCTCCCCTCCAACGGCTCCCTGTACGGCTTTTACAGCGCAACGGCCGGACGGCGGGAAGACACAGCGAACGCCGTCGCGCTCTGCAGGGCCGACACACGCACCGATCAGTGCCGGAGCTGCGTGGAGACCGCCGCCGCCGATTTGGTGCGACTCTGCCCTAATCGGAAGCAAGCCATTCAGTGGTATGAATTTTGCTCGTTGTACTTTTCCGACCAGCCTATCAACGGTCCGATCGCGACAAACGTCATGGACGGCTATAACCTAGACAATAACACCGACGCGAGTAACCCCGTACAGTTCCGGCAGGAGCGGACGGCGCTGGTGGACTCACTCCGCCAGCAGGCGGCGATGGGGAGCTCTTTGCTGAAGGTGGGGGTAGGGTTTAAGGAATCTCCGGATTCTGATACAATTTATGCCTTGCTTCAGTGTATTCCGTCGCTGTCCGCCATGGAATGCAATGATTGTCTGATTCAGGCGAACCAGGGACTGAGGGATGCGCAAGGAGGAAGAAGGCTGATGCCGAGCTGCAATCTTCGATATGAAATATATCCCTTCTACGACGAGATTAGGCTTCGGGAGCTCAATGTAACGCCTCTGCAGCTGCAATTACCGAATTCGCCGCCGCGTAAGAACATCGATCATACTGTGTAGATTTGGTGAAAACGATGAATAAAAGTTGAGAATTTTTTACATCAGGTGGCGACAGGACGAAGATTGTTATCGGCGTAGTCGTTGCATTCGTTACGTGCATATTATTTGCTGCTTGTATTGTTATCTTCTTGAGAAGGAGAAGAAGAAAGCAGCGATTGCCCGAAAATTACGAAAGTAAGGTTATTTGATCGTGTAGAAATGTCCTAATCCTATGGTTTTGGAGTAATGTTTGCTTTGTGGATTCAACAGCTGAATCGCTGCAATATAATTTTCGGCAAATTAGTTCTGCGACGGATGATTTTTCGGATGCGAACAAGTTGGGGCAAGGCGGATTTGGGGCTGTCTACAAGGTAATGGAAACTATAGTTGCAACATATATGAACGCAGCCATGATTCTTGAACTTGGTTTCTTTTGTGACCAGGGGATGCTTTGGAATGGCGAAGAAATCGCTGTGAAAAGGCTGTCGAGGGGTTCGGGGCAGGGCGAGAAGGAATTCAAGAACGAGGTGCAGCTGATGGCCAGGCTGCAGCACAGAAATCTGGTCAGGCTATTAGGTTTCGCCATGGAAGGATCAGAGAAGCTTCTAATATATGAATATGTTCCGAATTCGAGCCTGGATCAGTTTATATTTGGTACTGCTTTGCCTCTGGTTTCTTTGAATGTTTGTGGCATTCGGTTTTGCTTGTTCTTGTAATGAATTTTTATCGACTGGAAATGTAGATCCGATCAAAAGATCACTTCTTGATTGGGAGAGACGGTTGAAGATCATTGGAGGTATTGCGAAGGGACTTCTTTACTTGCACGAGGATTCTCGACTGAGGATCATTCATCGCGACCTCAAAGCTAGCAACGTACTTCTGGATAAAGAGATGAATCCTAAAATCGGAGACTTTGGCATGGCAAGATTGTTCGGGCAAGACGAAACTCAGGGAAACACTAGCAAAATTGTCGGGACATAGTAAGTTAGAAGAAGTCTATTAGCAGATTGAAGAGGGACTTCTAACCAATCATCGACATTTTTATATTTGCAGTGGATACATGTCACCCGAATATGCAATATATGGACAGTTTTCTATCAAGTCCGATGTCTTCAGCTTCGGCGTGCTCGTCTTGGAGATCCTAAGCGGCCGGAGAAATTTTACCTCTTATGGGGAGAATGCAGAGGGCCTCTTAAGCTTTGTAAGTGTTACCACAACTTAATACTATTTCCGTACCAAAACAATAGTTATGTTTTAGGGCACAAATTAGCATATCACATAAAAGTATACAACATATATTTTTGAATAACACAGCAACAATATATGTTGAATTATAACATAATATATATTGATTGTATCGTAAATATGTCATGATAGCATATAATATATACTTACCTTTATGTATGCCGACCCCATCAAATCAGAATGGTGCTGATTTGATTAGAACAACATTGTATCCGCAACCCATGTTTTATTATTTCTATCATTTCAAAATAATATTTCTAATTTTTATTTTTATTATATAAATATCGCTATATTTTATACTTAGATATAAAACTGACAAACGAGCATGCTTTAGGTGTGGAAAAATTGGTGCAACAAGACAGTCGAGAATGTAATCGACTCAGTGTTGAGGGGTGGAAGTGGTTCGATCCGCGACATGTTGAGATGCATTCACATTGCCTTGCTGTGCTTGCAAAAAGGTTCTGGTGATAGGCCGACGATGAATGCTGTCATCGTGATGCTGAGTAGCCCGACTGCGACATTGCCGGCGCCATCTCAGCCGCCATTCGTGATGTTGAGCCGGTTTGGTCGAAGCAAGCCGGGGACTGGTTCCAGCAAGGGATCCAAATTTACATCAGATGCATTTCAAGCTTCGACCCGTAATGAAATTTCGATCAGCGAATTTCAGCCGCGATGATGTCTAGAGGATGACATAAATCGCTATATTGCTATAAATTTACAACTATCAACTATTCACTACAAAAATTAAAAAATATATATTTATATAAGTATATAATTAGTAATGATATTGGTATGGATGTTCAAAAAATAATTTGAATATATTAGAAGAATAAATATGGCAACAAATCTGGCGTAATAATTACAACAAATGTTGGTAACAATTGTGTTCTGAACTTGGCTCTTACAAGTCAATGGTTCTCCACCAAACAGATATATCAACATTATCTCGATTTTTTGAGACTGATTATTATTATCATTATTATTAAAGTTAAATTTTATTTTGTATTTAAGATAATATATTTATTGGAAATATATATATATATATATATATATATATACATCATCCGTACATAAAAGCTACTTGGGTCCAAAATGACAAAAACTGCCTGAATTTCCACGGCATTAATGAGAGATGGAGAGCACTCGAACCCAAATGATCCCACGCATTAATTGACGGCGGCAAAGACCGACTTTCAGACATGGACACCACTCAAGACTTTTCCACGTCAAAAAACAGACAATCTTTACCACTGTAAAAATCCTTTCTTTTCCGTTTCTATAAAACAACACCACACCTTCGCACAAATCAATCTAAAAAATAAATAAAAATATTCGATCCAATTCCATCCTCGTGCTAATCCAGCCATGGCGTGCTCCTGGAAACCACTCTGTCTACCCCTACTGATTCTCATAGCTTTCTCAGATTTCAGTTTCGGGCAGGATTTCCTAAACCCCCATGTCTGCACCAACGCCGCCAATTACACCGCCAACAGCACATACGGCGCCAATCTCAACGCCGCCCTCGCCGCCGTCTCCTCTAACGGCTCTCAGTACGGCTTCTACAGCGCCGTCGCCGGTCAGGGACAAGACCGAGTCCACGCCATAGCCCTCTGCAGAACCGACATCCGCGTCGATGAGTGCACCACCTGTGTCCGTACCGCCGCCTTCGAGTTACTCCAACTATGCCCAAATCAGAAGCAAGCAATTCGGTGGTACGAATTCTGCCTGCTCCACTTTTCCGACGGCCCCATAACTCGGAACCGGTCGGAAGTCATGTATCGCCTCATAAATACGGCCAACGTCACTAACCCCCAGCAATTCCAGCAGACGCTGACGTCACTGCTCGACGATCTTCGTGTTCGCGCCGCCAATGGAAGCTCCTTCCTCAAGGCTGCGGCGGGGACTAGGAATTTGTCCGATTCCAACACACTTTCTGTTTTGCTTCAATGTCTTCCGACGTTGTCCTCGCCGGAATGCAGCGAGTGCTTACTTCGTGTGATCGGAAGATTGTATCCTTCCACGCAAGGAACTCGAATGTTGTCCCCCAGCTGCATTCTTCGATACGAGCTTTACAGCTTCTACAACGACACCAGGCTTCAGGAGCTCAATGTCCTGCCGCGGCCGTTGCCGCCGCCGCCGGGAGGTATGTAAGGAAGATAGTTTTCAATTTCAACGGTGAAAACAGGATGAACATTGAAGATGTTATCTGATTTTTTTTTGCAGGAGGTAATGAGGATTATAATAGAGGGAAGAAAAACGACAACACGACGAAGATCATTGTGGCCGTGGTTGTTCCGATTGCAGTATTGCTTGTACTTGCTGCTTGTGTTGTCTTCTACCTGCGGAGGAGAATGAAGAAGCGTCTGTCGAAGATTCCGGAAAGTATGGTTATTAATTTCATCTTGTATATACCAAATCCTGATTCTGCGCGGTCGATTGCACCTAACATTGACTTCGATTAATTTGTTGTCTTAGGCGCCGATGAGATCAGCACGGTCGAATCGCTGCAGTATGATTTTCTACAAATAAGTGCCGCGACGAATGGCTTCGCCGAGGCTAATAAGTTGGGGGAGGGTGGATTTGGGGCTGTTTACAAGGTGGTTGATATAAAACAGTTGAGGTAGATGTGAATTGTTTTGGTTCAAGAATTTTGGCTGATTCGATGTTCTTGGCGCGCTTTTCAGGGAATTCTTTCGAATGGGCGAGAAATCGCTGTGAAAAGATTGTCGAGGGAATCCGGGCAGGGCGACAAGGAGTTCAAGAACGAGGTTTTGTTGGTGGCGAGGCTGCAGCACCGGAATCTGGTGAGGCTGTTAGGCTTTTCTCTTCGCGGAACAGAGAGGCTTTTGATCTACGAATATGTTCCAAACTCGAGCTTGGATAAGTTTATATTTGGTAAAATTGTTCTTCCTTTCGACCCTTGCGCTAATCAATTTGTACTCGTCGTCGCGGTTTAATTCTCCTTCGTATAGTTAATAGTGTTTTAATGATCACGCTTGTAGATCCCGACAAAAGTTCACTTCTAGACTGGGAGGCGCGATTCAAGATCATCGGAGGTGTTGCGAAGGGACTTCTTTACTTGCACGAAGATTCTCGACTGAGAGTTATTCATCGCGACCTCAAACCTAGCAACGTGCTTCTAGATGGAGAGTTGAATCCGAAAATTGCAGACTTCGGTATGGCGAGATTGTTTGGACAAGACGAAACCGAAGGGAACACAAGCAAAGTTGTCGGAACATAGTAAGTATACATATACATATATATATACACACGCGCGAGCCTAGATCGTGATACTTTTAACAAAACATTGCAGTGGATACATGTCGCCGGAGTATGCAATATACGGACAGTTTTCTGTCAAGTCCGATGTCTTCAGCTTTGGCATACTTGTCCTAGAAATCCTATGCGGTCGAAAAAATATGACGGCTAACAGCGGGGAGACCACCGTGGAGGACATTGTGAGCTCTGTAAGTGTCGCGCGTTTTAATATCGATCAACTTATCTAAACAACGCGATGTTAAGCGACTGATGATCGAAAATACCTTTAGGTGTGGGAAAATTGGTGCGACGAGACGACTGTAAACATAATCGATCCTGCGTTGAGGGGCGAGACGGGCTCTGTTCGGGACATGGTGAGATGCTTTCACATTGCTCTGTTGTGCCTTCAAGAAAACCCGGCAGATAGACCCACCATGAATGCCGTCGCCGTGATGCTGAGTAGCGCGACGATGACGCTGCAGGTGCCTTCGAAGCCTGCCTTCGTGTCGATGAGTCACTTCGCCGGAGACTCGCAAGTGACCGAGTCGACTACCGAATCCAAAGTTACTATGTCGGTGAATGAAATGTCGATGAGCGACTTCTACCCGCGGTGATGTCCGAGAATTTGCTCGCGGATTTTGTCCTCTATAATACTTTTAATGTTCGATGCCTTGTAATAAAAACATCTAAAATTAAAAAGAAATAAAGACTTTGTTAATATTTCGACATATACATTTGGAATTAATTAATTAATTAATTAATGTAAATGTGTATTCTAAATTTCAATAGCCATTATTCATTTTTGACGAGTCAGAATGATGGAGATGGGAGTGCTAACTATCCATTGGTGCATTAACTTTAAAAGTCTAAAAGACCCGTAACTTATTATATCACATAATATTTTCAAATTAGATGTGGACTCAAAATCTTTAAATATTAATTTATTATATCAAAATTTACTATAAAATATAAAATTATACAAATATAAAAATAATTTTAATATTAAATAGTATTAAAAAGAACATATTAACATAGCATATAATATTTTTTTTATTATTTTACAGAGCCTATTTATTTAAATTTTTTGTCAGGGATGTCTAGAAAAATCATTGTGGTGTTGATTGTTGCCAATATTTTATGAATTAGGGGTAGCTATGTTAGTTAGCAATACTAAATTTTAAAATGTAGAATAAAATCAGAATGATTGATTCGAACTCTTGATGTTTAATTAATTAAACCTATAGGGGAATCATATGTTTGACTATTCTTTAATAGTTTGAGGTCATTCCTTTCTCAACACCTGTTAAAAATGGATAATAATAATAATAATAATAATAATAATAATAATATGGCAACTTCAAGTATTCCATGTGTTTGTTTGACATTTCAATTATTAATTTATTATCTACGTTTTTGAAGATATTTTTGGTTTTTAAATAAGATATGTTTTGAGTTAATATTGTCATGTAGTATATAATTTCAATAAATTGATAATTTATTTTAAAGTATTTTTAAAATGATAATGTAATAGATAGTACTTAATATTATTTAAATTTATATAATATATGTTTACAAATAATTAATATAGCTCAATTTTATATATATAAAAAAAAATGTGAATTTTGAATTTATGTAAATTAATTAATTTATTAAAAAGGAGATAACATATAAAATTATGTTTTCTTCAAATTAAGACTATTATTATAGTTTAAGTAATAAAAATTCATTGTACATGTCAAAATTATGTACCCCTCACGTAATCGTTTACTTCTTATATATATATATAAAAATATATATATATTATAGTACTCACTCTATTACATAACAAAAGTATCCATTTTTCTATCCATTTTTTCATTTTAGTCTGTATCATAACAAATATCTATTTCTTTTTTTTTTACAAATATTCTTACAACTTACAATATATTACACAAATGTCATTACCTTTATATCACACATACTAATAAAGTTATTTTAGTCATTTCTACTTTATTCCTACTATATCTCAATATAATACTAATATTTCTAAAACTACGTGCAAAAAATAAATGGATATTTAGTTTCGGGACGGAGGGAGACAAATAGAAACGACAACGTAGACATTGTACGTGGGACGGAGGGATAATATCAATTTTGGATGGAAATGCAAAAGTATACACATTAATATATAATGGAAGGAATATTATTATTATTATTATTATTTTCAAAATGAAACAACTTATTCTTTTATTTATTTATTTGTTTATGCAAGTGAGAATTGGAGGGACGCAAAAGACTTTAGCGGGAGTTGACCTGGAGTCATGACTTGAGAGTCAACGCTACGTGTTGGGTGGTTTTGGGAACATTCCAGACTGTGTGTAAATAATAATTTAATTTAATTTAATATGTTATAAGAAATTAATGTAATGTTATAAAAACTCTGAAGATTTTATTCCAAAAAAAAAAAAAATCAGAGGGGGGAATTTTAATTTCATGATTCATAATAATAAAAACATTCTTTTTTCTATAAAATATTAAGGATATGTTCTTCTTTCAAAAAAAAAAAAAATTAATATAGGATACAATTTATTATTTTTAGATTTTAATTACACAATTTTTATATCTTACATAAAACAAAATATTTTATTTAAACTATCTCAGTTAATTAATATGTAGTTAGATCTGGCACTGGAGTGACAATTGTGTGCAGGCTGAATCGATCTAGATTAGTGGGCTTGGGCCGATCTGTCTATTCAGATTAACAATTTTCTTTTTCACTAGGCCCGAAGTAGTCCGTTTTAAGTCTGTGTATATATATATATATATATTTTTTTTTAATGTGTCGACGTATCAGTTCATCATCACTCACCAATATTTACTGGGTTAATTCCGATTTCTCCTCCCAACACCAAGACGACAACTTTTTGATACAGCAAATTCAAATTTCTTGTTTTGCATATAGATAGTTATAATACCGTCTGAGCAAACGATTGCGAGGAGTTGCTATAAACTGTAATTTTCCCGATTGACGGCGCAGACGTGCAGTGTTTGAAGAAGACAAAGAATCCATTTTGTTTCCGTGCATTCGTTCTTTCCCCGCTTGCCACTTGTTTTTTTGAAATTGCTACATTGGAACGGCTTCCTTTCGGGGGTTGGTTCTGTTAATTGCGTTGCGGGAACGAAGACAATCTGTTGCCTGTTGTGTAAATCGTCCCGATGACCATGGCGCTGCGCATTGCCAAATTAGCTACTTCTCTGGGCGTGAAGAATCGGCCTGTTATCTTCTTCTCAAGACCTATGTCGAGCCTTTCCACCGGTCAAAAACTGTGAGTTAGACATGGTGTAAATGGCTACCTCAATTTCGTGCTCTCAACCTGTTCGATGAAATTCCGCTTACAATTAACATTTTATTATAGGCTAATTTTAATTGCTTGTTAGCAGTTACATTGTGCTATTGATGTCAATGAAAAGGATGTCTGATCAACGAATTTATGTTTTGAGATGTTTATTGTGTTTGCTTTTCTTTGATGTAATTTTTGGGTATGACTTTGTTTGGTTTTCCTATGTGATCTGTTCGTTTTTTAAGGTTGGGATTCAATGAACTTACAACATTGTTTTCAAAATTTGAAGATTAGATGAAAATGCAACAACAAAAGACCAAGAATTCCAGAAATGGTGGAATGGAGGTGGCATGTTTCATCAATCAGCATTAATTGATCCAACTGCTCAAATAGAGTTCGGCGCTGTTGTCCATTCAGAAGCTATCATCGGTGCGAATGCCTGCATTGGTTCGGGAAGCGTCGTTGGCCCTTCTGTAACAATTGGCCACTCAACAAGAACAGGGTACAGTCATTCATGAACCTTTCTTTAACTTGGTTGTCCCAATAGTCGATTATTTTACAATGTTCAAATTTTTTGCCCTTACTTTGTGCTAATAACTATTCACCACTTAAGCATTTCCATCTGTCCATCTAACTGATATTAGAGTTTGGCTGAATTTGATATTTATTCTCATTTCTCTAGTTACAAGGTTGTACTTAGTAACTGCACAATCGGCGATTCATGTATTATTCATCATGGAGTCTGCATTGGTCAAGACGGTATTGTCCTTCATGATCTCAAGATTTATATCTCTTTGTTATGTACCGAAATTTTTAGTTCCCTTCAATTACACCATGTGTTTCAAAAACTTACCCATCCATAAAGTATGTTTCACTGAATTGCTGAGTCGGCGCCTTCCCTTTCAGGTTTTGGGTTTTTTGTTGATGAGAATGGACTCATGGTGAAGAAGCCTCAAGTTAGTTAAATATATATCTGCAATGATTTTTCGCTTGGACTAGTATTCGGTGTTCAATTTTTATTATTTTGGGAAGTGGAATGTGAAGGTGTAGAGTGAAATTTATAAGATTTCATACATCCGTGGTTTGTCAAATCGCTCGGATTTTTAATTTTTACTTTGTTTCCAGAGCTTAAGAGCAAGGATAGGCAACCATGTCGAAATAGGTGCTAACACATGCATCGATCGGGGCAGGTGAAATCCACAATAACTTCTGTAGTTCCACGATTAATATACTCTTTGCTCTGTCTTCTTATGACAATCATGCAATTTACATAATCCTGCAGCTGGCGAGATACTGTAATCGGGGAGCACACAAAGATCGATAATTTGGTGCAGGTGAGCCTCAATTACTTTGACTGCTTCGAGATTGCTTTCCGGCTAAATCAATTTATGCGCGCTTCACTTTGCAGATAGGTCACAATGTGGAGATAGGAAACAATTGTATGATATGTGGACAAGTTGGAATTGCAGGCTCGGCGACGTATGTAATTTTCTTTCACATTCTTGGACACAATTATGTAAAAACTATCCATTTGGACTCTGTGTTCTGATTTGTTTGGCTTTCAAAAGCTTGAACTGCCGTAACTTATCTATATCTTGCGCGCCTACAGGATAGGGAACTATGTGACATTAGGAGGAAGAGTTTCTATTCGCGATCATGTCTCTATAGCTTCGAAGGTGTAGCTACAAACGGTTCTTTCTGGATCATGATCGAAATAAAACACCAACGCCCCAATGACTAACATCTTTTAAGGAACTGACAATGCAGGTTAGATTAGCCGGAAACAGCTGTGTCACCAAGAACATCAGCGAAGCAGGCGATTATGGAGGCTTCCCTGCTGTAAGAACACTTCCCTTCTCTACGTCTCCTTTACTGATTTCTTCGCTCAACACAAAATGCTCGTACTGGCAATGCAGGTTCCTATTCAGGAATGGCGAAAGCAAGTAGTCAGCCTCCGGCAAATTTCGAAGGGATCTCAGCCGAGTAAGATCAGTAAGTCTCCTTCAACAGCTAGTAATGACTGTAATGACACTAGATCTTGATTCCATTTTCATCAGGTACACATTCATCTCAGTTCGATAAGCTCCAATCCAGCACGGATGCAACGCCGGAACCACCTAAAATGACGGTCCACTCGGAACTGTAAGATCCGAGCTCCATTTTCTACTTTTCTAGATAAGTAATGTGTTTGCCAAAATGCTGACTGCATCAATGTTAACTTTTTGTGTACACGATTGAAGATTCTACGTCTAAAGTGCATTTGAGTTATCAATTTGAGGTGGAAAAGTACCCTTTACAGATTTATTTGTGCCTTTATGATCAGTTCCCTTCATATTTATTTACTTCGAATGTTTTTTAGTATCCTTATGAAATATTAATATGTCTAAAATTGAATTTGAAATTTTACTATTCTCAAATTCAATCGTAGAAGAAATAATCCCATAAGCTTAATTTTGCATTCGAACTTAATTCTACCATTACATTTTAGTATCGAACAAATTGAATTTACGAACTTGTTTGTTATATTCGATCGTTCACAAAACTCTTCGAACTTAATACATAGTCAAAACTCGACAATGTAGCTCAATTTCCGGCTCCATTTCGCGTCGCATTTTGCAGATCTACATTCTTTACTCCGGAAAAAGCCTCGTTGACACCACTGATCTTCGAACTGTTGAATCGTTCTTTGTATTCGATATGGTGTGTTTTTGTCTTCCATTTCATAATCCTAAACCAGACATCAGTTTCCACTTTGATTACCAAATCCATAGTCCCCTGCCAAAGCTCTCCGCTGTCATGGACATGAATCGGCAATGTAGTAACATTTCCGAATCCCTGGTAGAAACCTGGATTGGAATTCCTCCGGATGCTAAAATTACCACCTCCTAGTATTTCGAGCATGATCTCATTGTAATAAACCCCCATACGCTTGTTTGGATTGGTGACTTCGAGGTCGATGATCATCGAGCTTTTAGGCGATGATGCATTCCCAGGATGTAAGAAAAGCCCGAAAGTTGGATTGCGCGGAGTGAGGCATATCCACGAAACGAAGCCCGAAAGACTCAGGACGGCGACTACGCAAAGGATCCAGCAGTAGAAGCTGAAGTGATCCCTGGCAAGTTTCTTGGCAGCCATTAATGGAGGGAGTGAACTGTGGATATCAATTAGGTGTAAGAAATGGAAGAAGAAGAAGAAGATGATGGCGACGAAGATGATGAATATGGGAATGGCTATGAATTGAAGTTTGTTGAATTTATTGAATTTGTGAATGTGTTGATATAGACAGAATTTGGTTTGCTTTGTGAAGAAGAATGGTTGAGAGATTAAAGAACAACTTTTGAGGTCACAAAGGTGAAAGAAGACTCACTCTCGACATGGAAAAAAAGAGCTTTACCTCAAAATATATGATTAGATATATTTTATTTCACGTGTCAATGTTTATTTAGATAAGAATTTTAAAAGTTCTAAGGGCGTGATTGATTGGTGCTTTTAAAGTTATTTTCCTATTCTTGAATTTTTAGTATTTATATATATATAAATATATTTTTATTATAATAAAAAATTATAACTAATAAAAATGACAAAATATATATATATATATATATATTAAAATTGAGCAATTGAAATTCAGATTCCCTTTTTTCCGATTGATCAATTAACGTAAGTGTAATGATGACCGTGTCATAAATTCAGATTCTCCCAAATAAATCGAAATTAATTCATTAATTAATGCGACTTCATTAATTATTATTAAAAATTGGAGACAAGTGGTCCACAGTAAATCCTGATAGCCATTCTCAGTTTAATTTACTCAAATCTCTTATAAATCTTGTGCCCATGCCGCCTTTTTGAATTAAAAATTATAAATGAAAATAATAATATACTACCAACCGAAAGATATACTTCTATTAATTTATCAATCAATATTGTCATTTTATTCTTTTAAATTGTTCATAATTAATATATAATACATTCCACTAAATCATCGACATAATAAAAATAAATAATATACACAAAATGAACGGATGTATCTATAAGTGATATATATATCTTTGTATAGTATTATCATGCGTGCATTATTAAATAAACTTTTATTAAATAATTGTTTCGAATTTAATCACTATCAAATTTGCTTGGATATAATAATAATCATCATCATTTGAAGGAATTGGACAAATTAGTATAATGGTGTCTAACCACTGAATTATTATTATTAAAATGGACCTCACAATTAATTAATATTAATATTTCACCTCCAAAATTCGAAGGGCCACATAATAATACTCAATACGTTACATGCCTTTCCGGAATAAATACATACCAACAGCCGGCGGTATGTCGGGTCTCGGCGCCAGATGAATCTACACCGTTAGTTATTCGAAATTGACGGTGTTCGTTGATCTGGAGTGGGAGGTCCCGGGATCTTAAAACTAATCACTTCTGACGTGTACGGGATATGTATTATTAAAAATTCATTCCAATCATCATCAAAAATTAAATGGAAATAAAATTAAATAATATTTTCTTAGTTTAGTTTCTGATAATGATACTACCATACATAATGATGGAATGCGGGAACACGGTGTTACCGTGCGCCCCACCGCAGAGTAACCTAACCGTTGTAACCATGGTTAAGGTTTAGATAAGCATTGTGATTAATCATATAGGTTTGGTAATAATGACAACTAACCGCTATTCAACCAATATATATAAATATATATAACAGTGTATCTTCGGAACACACTTCCTCTGAAACACAGCACATGATTTCATTCTTCTCTCTCCCTAATCATCCTTGAAATTCTCCCCCAAATTTCGTTTTTAAAATCTTCCATTGTCAATCGTCGCCGGTTACTACGAGCTTTGGTTTTTGCTGGAGGAGTGGAATGGTTTCTATATGAGCTCTACTGTTGACCTCGAGGTTTGGATTTTTTTAAATTTCGATTGAGCTTTTAGCTTGCGGTGAGGACAATTGCGGTTATGATTGTTTAGGGGAAACAATGTTGACTAAAAGAGGAGTGTTTGGTTTTGATGTGCCATTCCAGGATCAGGTGGGGGAAAGTGGAGATTGAATTTCCTGATTAGATACGCAACTGCGACTTGTCAATCGTTTTCCGGTTCTGTTGTGTATTTCAATCTTATCGTAATTTATACAAGGGTATCAGTGGTGAGTGATAATGACGCAACACTTTCGTTCAAAGCTGGTAAGCGAGGTTTTGTTTGTGGCACTGTTCCATTATATTATTTATATTTGATCTTATGATTTACATCCACAATAGTTCTTCACTGTTCCTCGAGATTATCTAGACTTATTTTGTGCGAATTCGTTTATCCGTTTTCAGGAGGATATGAACGGTTCCGATAATCCGATGTCAAATTGCCAAGGAGGAGATGTGGTTAACCAGAGAACATCTGTTTCCGATCACGTAAACGGCTTACAGCATTCCACCGCTAGATCGGATGTCTTCGTGGTGAATATGGAACGATTTTCACATATCGTGGAGAAAGATATCAATGCAAATTCAAGGATTGCAGTAAGTACTTTTTGTTTGTTCTGATTATTTAAATCCAGAAATCATCATTGCTTTATGATAAAAGCGGCCTTCAAGCCTTTTTAATTCCAGCAATTTTCAAAAACGAATCCTGATGATGTAACGAAAGGTGATTAATAACCATAAAGTGTATTTCCAGCCCAATTTTAGCAATCCAGTCTCAGTTCAGTTCAAAAGTTTTGTGGTTTCGAGCTGCAACAGACCTCTCTTTTCTTCCTGCCTAAAGTCACTCTCCTTTTCTGCATTACTTTCTGAATTTTATCAATGAAAGACAAGAAAATATTCCTTTTGGTTTTGTTCTTACACGTACTTTGGTGGATTCACAAGTTGCAGAGAAGCCTTTCGCGAAAAGGACCTGCCAGAACCGGAGAAAAGAAAATCTCTGTAAACGACAGAGACTCTAATACGCTTTCTTCTTCGCCCAGAGGTACATTTTAATCTCCTTCCTTTCTTGACTCATTATTTCTTATTCTGTTCCTGAAATTACACTGCAATAATCTTAACCATATTTAGAATAATAATATACCTTGTATATAATAAATTATTGCTTGTATTATGCAAACTTTCCCTATTATAAACACCAAAAATCATATCCTTCTTGCCTAAATTTCTTACATTTTTTTAATATAGATATTTTTTATATATGCATGATTTTGGCCTAACCACAAGATATATAGCTTTTGAGTTATAAATGGTGTTTTCTTTTTGTATTCTACGACAGAATGTAATTATGTAAAGTCTAGAATCTACCTGCAATTAATAGGGATTTTTGTATTTTTCTCTCCATGTTTGTATGATGTCAGCACAGTTGTTTTGACCCCCCAAAAAATATCAGAAACAGCCAACGCTGGGGTCACAATCAGACAGCATTTATATTCAAGGCCTAAGTCACCCAAAGCGTTAGATGCACATGCTAAGGAATACAAATTCTACACAACAATGTTAATTTTATTCATGACCAAGAACACCAAAGTAATGATTTTTTTTGCTAATATTATTCTTTTCCTAATCACAGTCGTGCTCCATCATGCGACACGTACGTGTCTTTGTTCGAATTAACTAGCTAGGCAGTTCTAGTGGCGAACCCATCTGTATTATGGTTGTCTTATTGCTGTACTGTCATGTCTCTACATTACCTACTTGATTCACTTTATAAGCATGAATTTATTTAATTGCCTGCTCTAGAATAATTCATAGAATAAACCTCACCCTCCTTACTAAAATAATGTTTCTAGGGATTAACACTGCACTGAATACAAGACTAACATATACTAATTTGATCTGACTTTGATTAGATGAAGATTTTCAAACCACATTGTTTAGAACTACATACATAGACCTGATCCAGCTAGCCCAGCTGGCCATTAGCAGTCTTGTTTAGGATTTTAGGACCTGTCTAAAATAATCATATATATATATATATATATCACGCGGATGCGTATCATCCCCGTGAAGTGCGCGAGGATTTTTTAGGACCACAGATGCAAAGGCCAATAGTAACAGATCATACATTCTTGATTGTATTTAGTGATCATACATACTTGATTAATTGCATATTTGTATTTAATCACTTAGTGATATTGAAGTATTTTTGCTAATTGGTTTGAGAATTACTGCAGCTACTTTACATGAAAGCAGCATGCTGGAGAAGGCAACAATGGCCGATCACCCGCAAGTCCATCATCAAATCACCATTGGTAATAATGGCACAGCTGCAGCCTCTGCCGAGAGCAAATTATTATCTGGAGGCAGAAGGTTCAGTTTCCGGCGATCGACTCACACATGGATCATTGATCCCAGAAAGATACTCTTTTTCTTTGCAACGCTGTAAGAATTGCTATAACAATCTCTTTCTTATATATATATCAATCGATCACCATGGGAATAGATCTTATCTTAAATCATTCTTGTGCAGGTCATGCATGGGAACTGTAGTGCTTATCTATTTCACTTTATCGATGGGCAAGCCCAGTGGAGACGACAATGCTGCTCTCAATTGACCAACACAGGATTAGGAAAGAGGTAAATCCTGACATCTAAGAAACCATGATCGATCACGATGTGTAGACCTTTTTTTGAAAAAAATAAAAAATAAAAATAAAAATGCAGTAGTTTAGTATATCCCCTGCAGGCAGGCTGTAGGCTGTTGGTAGTGGTGCAATGGGGCACTTTTTTGTTGGCCCATTACTTTTTACTTTCTGCTGCTCCAAATTCTTTGTGTAGCCCACCCTAAACTGCTGGCCCCCTTTTGGATTTATTTTAATTTATTTAATTATGCATTCATCTTTGCCTCCAGAAATTTCTATCTAAGTGGGATTTTAGAGTCAACTATATGGATGCTATATTGACACACACGCCCCTTTCTAACTTCTTGTTTTGTGGATCTACAACCACAACTTAAATATCAAAGTTTACATAAAAAATAATAATAATAATAATAATAATAATAATAAATCAATCAATCTATTCGGAAAAATCCATTGATTAAGGGCTCTTTGGCAAGGAGTGTACCAATAATATATTGGTGGATCTTTGGCTTCTGTACTAACATAGGCATCCGCGATGTTAAACGATACATTCGATCTCGCCAAGCGTTGACTTTCAATCGTACAACATCATCCGATCCTAGTGTGATTTACTTTGTTAGGCATAATTTGCAAGGTTCGATGTGATAATGTCGAGCATTCACATAATAAACTAGAATTAATCTTGTATGCAAAAAATTGAATGTTTGATGCAATGTGTGAAATGTAACTTTATTAGGATATACAATGTCAAACAAGTGGTAAATTCTTATTACAAATTAAAATTCAACACCAGGGCTGTTCAAACATCCTACAAAATTACTAATACTGTATTGTATATATATATATAAACAATCATGTGATGGATGAGGAATTAGGTAGGAACATGGGAAGTCCAATCTTGGTGCCATAGGTAGCGACATCGTTTTCAACCTGTTTTCTGAAATCCCCAAATGTAAAACTGTGGTAGACAGTGCTGGGTATAACTGTGTCCGAAGATGGACACAAGAAATAGGCTGTCGAAAACCTCTCCTTCTCCACATCTGTCACTACCCTATGCTCCACACTCCTGTACACGTCATTGCTCCATGCCTGACATATATATATATATATATCAGTACTGTAATAATTGGTTGATCGAACTGAACTGAGCTGACCTTTATAGTGTTGATTAATTCGCCATGTGTTCGATTGTACGATGCTGCTGGTTATCACGTGGGAGATGGGTCTCTCTCTCTCTCTCTCTCTCTAAAGATTGTACTACTTCTCTACTTTAATTATGATTTTTATTTTTATTGTTATTATGGTCAGACGTACGACTGCTCAATTCCATTTTCCAAGGATCAAGTACGATGATCCCATCAGTGTTAATAATAATTATTATTATGGCAATGTTAATTGCACCTGAAACAAATCCCCGACGTTGATTATCAGGGCCCCCCGGACCGGCTTCACGGCGGCCCATTTCCGGTCGCCGCCGTTGACCAGCTGCAGCCCGCCGATGTCGTCCTGGTGGAGCACCGTCAGGAAGTCGCTGTCAGTGTGAGGAACTATGCCACAGACGCCGCAGGCGCCGTACTTGGGGCACGGCGGGTACCGGTTGAGTCGGAGGTAGCAGCTGCTCCGGCCACACTGCTCCTCGAAATATCTCCCGCCGGCGGCGGGATGCCCCAGCTCCTCCGCCAGTACGGCGGCCAGCTTCAGCGCTAGGGCGTGTGCGCCGCCGGCGAATTTCTCCACTGTTGACCTGTAGCAAATTCAATTGGGATTTTTAAGATGCTTGTATAGTAATGATTGTGTCGGGGGAATTAAGGGTGTGTTTGTTCAGGGGATTGGAATTTTTTTTTACTATTCATTCAATTTTTTTTTTTCTAAATACATCAAATCAAACACCTATTTTTTATTTTTTTATATTATATTAAAAATTAATTTAACATTCAAAACAATCGTATCAAAATCTATTTATATCACATTATACAACTATTCAAATTCAAAATTTTTAATATTCAAATCCCAACTCAAAATTCAAATCCGCAGCAAACACACCCTAAGATTAGTAGTGATGGATTAATCGTTGATTAATGGAGTAAATAATAGTGGATCGGATGTCGTGATTTGTAAGGGTTATTACAGTACTATGAAAAAGTACTTATCCATCACATCGACATCGACATCGATCCATCGGGTAATTAATGGGATAAGGGAATCTAGTACATTTTGCAAGTCCCACCTCGCCACTGGATTTTCTTTCGATTCAAGATTCAATTTTTTCCACTTGTTTATTTTTTACAAATCAAGAAAATGAAAGGGTTTATTCTTTAGGTCGGGGTTTTTTTTTTTTAAAAAAAAAAATGTTGATTAATTTTTCTTTAAAAATAAAAATCAGAATTAAACATTTTATTTATTTATTTAATATACAAAAATAAATTTTTATTCAAATTATTACCATAAAATTATACTCACATTAAATATTGAGTATATTCTTCCATGAAAATTTTTATACGCTTTTATTATATAAAATATACAATATGTACATATATTGATACAAAATACTCCATAATATATATTTTACCTAATAAAAAATTAATAATTTAAGAAATAGATAATACATATTTTTAATTATCAACACTCCATTGTATTTCTATTCCAATATTTACTAACAATTAAATAAAAAGACTAAGAACTCCAATTTACTTTTACAATCACACAATACTAAAACGTTGATCACTTATAGGGATATGATGATCATATGACACTAAATCAAAAGTTTTCCCCAAACAATTAATTAGATAAAATCAACCAAAAACATGAAATAATGCAACCAATCAATTAAACAAGGAACATATCCATACGTGTGTGTTGGTATTTTTATGATTAAGAATTAGGTTTATTTATATATTTTTGTTACTATTTAAGTATTTCAATTCAAAATTAATTTTCAGTTGAAACAACAATTTAATCTTATTAAAAAAGACCTTAATTACCAGAGAGTGTAGTTGTTGCGGAAAATGTGATTATGATCCCCCAATTGTAGATGAAAGGCTTCCATCCACGACACCTGGTCGAGCCTTTTGGCCCCCGGCGTCCCCCACCGGTAAATCCTCTCCGGCGACGGCGGTCCCCAATCGTTGTTCTTCACAGTAAACGGCTTCCTCATCAGCTTTATCTGCTCCTCCCTCATCTCCCCCAGAATCTCGTCGGGAATCCCATGGTTAATCACCTGGAACAGACCCCATTTCTTAGATGCTTCTGTTATCTGCTTCTTACACGCCGCCGATGATCGGAGATCTCCTTCCCGACTCATCAACGGGCTCAGGTCAATCACCGGCAGCTCCTGCTCCTCCACCACGGCGGCGGCGGGGCTGCCGGAGGTTGCGTCGTCGTATGTTGCGAATAGCTCCTCGTAGGCTGTCTCGAATGGTGGATCTGGATCCATCGATTCATGATCTCCAGAAATCATCGTGACCTAATTTAAGAAAGATGAAATCTTGGATCATAAGGGAAACATAAATCCTATTTCTCCCAAGAAATATATATAGCACCTTATATTGCAAGAACTAAAATATGCCTTAATTAGTTTCTGTGTTCGATGCATCAATAATGTATATGTGGAAAATTAAATTCAAGAATTTGTGTTAAAATCTTTTGAAAGAATCTTGGCATACTTACTTGGGGATGATTCTTCGATCAGATCAAGAATTTAGTGTACCTTTGGGGCTGTGTTTCTGTCAGCTTGTATTCTGCAGTTTCTGTTGCAAATTCTGAAAATCTAAGATAAGGGTAATTTGTTCTGTGAATTTTCGACAAGATGACACTTTGTATATGTTGTCCAATTGTGACACACACCCTAAACCTGGTTTTCTGGTAGCATTGCAAGAAGAGGCGACGAACATGAAATATAATAACTACAAGAATTGGGATTGAATGAAGAGAGGGAGAACAATCGATAAGAAGGGCCCGGGATGTGTATAATTGGTGTCAACAGCAGGACTGGAGAAGGAAGATATTTATAGGGGCAAAGACAAGTCCATATCTATCAATTACATCCCACCCCCACCCAACCCACCCACCCAATGAATTGTGAGATTTAGATTCTATGTTTAAAACAGCGAACACGCGGCTCTTCAGGCAATCACTAATCAGAAAAAAACCCTCTTTCTAATTAGATTGCTCTCACTATGCTGAGCTTTTCGAACCATGGCCTTGTCGGATGCTTAAAGTGATTGCTTGTTCTTGGAGGGATTTTTTTAGTATTTGAATGATTTACATAAATATAAAAAGTTTTTAAAATAAACAATGTATAACTTTATTCATGATGTCTTACAGTGAATTGATCTGTAATATTCTTTTGAAAACTGGCCTTAAATTTTCTCTTTAAAAACAGTATTCATCATAATTCATTTATTGTGGATTTATTATATTTGTTGGGAAAATCGATATATTATTTAATTGATAGAGTTTAATTTTAAATTAAATTTATTATTTTCAAAATCGATTATTCGACTCGATTGAAATGCAGGTGAGTTGTACGATGGTTATTAATAATGTGGATAAACGTATGAATGTTGATAAGTCACGGATACACGTGCCACTTGTTCGGACCAGATAATTACACAAGTATACGAACATGAATTTTATCTCCGGCTCAAAGGTCTTGGTCGGTCTTGGGTTTAGGCTTGGGTTTGGTAAATGCTAGATTTGATGAAGTCTAGTTGCTTAAGAGCAAAATCAAAACAACAAAATATTTTGTTGAAATACAAGAAAATATATTTTTGTGTAACAAAAGTATAGCTCAAAAATTATAATTATAAGTATGATAGATTTATTATTTGAAATTAAAAAATTCAAATAATATATTTATGACTCAAATTAAGTTTAGTGTTTATGGTCGGACGTTACTAGAAATATGACCGGTGGTTAAAGGAAATTAAGAGCAGCTGGTTTTGCCTCGGAATTAAAACTCCAAGGATGGAGGTACTATAAAAGGCTCTCTCTACACCTCTCAAAATACACCAAGATGAGAACTTTCTTCTCTCCCTCTCTTTCTAATCTTGATCTTTTGGTTTTCCGGCAATATTTCTGAAGACTTTTTGGTTCATATTCTGATAACTTTTATTCATGTTCAAGCCTCCCGATATGTTCGAATTTACCTCATTTTAGTTGGTCGGAGCTCTAAAATATTGAGATGTCATCTAATTCGGTTGTTTTATTTTTGGAAACGAACTGGAGGCATTACCAAGTCGTATTTATTTTTACTGAGAAAAGTTGTACCTCGACTCAACGTGATTATCGAATTTTATTTTTTGATAATTATTTTGATAAATAATGATTTTTCAACAATTTGGCAACCAATTATGGAGTCATTATTCACTTTTATTTTTATCTACTTACTTTTATAGTTAAATATTACTAGTATATTTTTGAAGATTGTTTATTCCTATTATTTGTTTGTTACTTTTTATAATATCGCCAGAATCAGTAATTAATATCGATCATTGTGCAAGGTTTATCTTTTTTAACAATGTAAGTAGATAGTTGTGTCCAATATGATGTCAAATTTAGAAACTTTTTCTATATACAGAAATGCACATGTGGTTTTTTTGTAAAGTAAAACAGTGATTTGTTTCTGCTTTAATTATTATTCAATTGAATTTGAAGCTGAAATGGTGATGGAGCTTTTTCAATCAATCATCCAACCACACAAAGTGGAACCATTCTTTTCTTTTCTTTCTATTCAATTCTTTACTTTCTGTGTAAAATAAAATGGCACATATATATATAGATGATGATGATGATGGATGCCATTTTCATTACCTTTTTTTAGTTTGCTCTTTCTCTTTCTCTTTCACTCTCAAGATGAACAGTTTGTTTCTGTTAATCCCATCATCAAGAAATTAAAGAATTTTGTTGCTACTACAAATATCTTGTGTTGGATGGTATATATATATGTATATATATTTGTGCTTTATCAGTTTGTGGTCTACTGTGGCTCTCGTCGTCATCAATGGAGCTTTCTATTGCAATATCCATCCGACTGTACGGTAAGAATCTCTCTTCACCACATAATGCTTCCTCAGTGCTTCCACTGATCGATTATTTATTTATTTATTTATTTTATGACGTGGGAATCCGTAATTTCTACCCGAAAATGCGCACTGGTGAACCTCCAGCCGAACCTAATACCCGACAAACCGCTTTTAATTTTTTTTTTTTTTTTGTGAAAGCAAGATATATATGGACATGCCGGAGTGTTCCATATTTAGGTTGCCTTCCTTTTTTAAAATATATATATATATATTTTAAATATGAGATTTTATAACATAAAAATATAAAACAAAAAATTATAAAGAATCGTCATTATATCATATAAAAATTAAAAAATTAAAACTAATAAATTCAAAAGAAATATGGCTAGTTTTGTATTAAGTCCCATTTGTTAGTAAGATTTTCACTACAAATTAAGCAAGCACTAATATATTTACAACATGGCTCATTGGCTTGTTTAATAAAATATGTGTTGCACTTAATTTGATTATTATTATTATTATTATTATTATTATTATATAAAATAAGATACATGCTTGATCTAAGTCACTTAAACAATATAAATTATTATAACCTACTTAACAAGGAATAATTAGAATGGTGAATGAGGATAATCAAAGCTATGTTGATTAGTCCATTAAGCATAAAATAAATAAATAAATAAATTGGATAATGCATGCTATATAAATTATTAGCATGTGTTATATATATTGTATGAACTATTATCATATAGTATATTTATATTATATTAACTTATACGTTGAGCTGCCAGATTAATCTCCATATTTTGATTGTATATATTTATCATGTAATTATAGTAGTAACTTTTTAGAAAAGTACAAATTCACAATTTATATATTACATTGAAATTGCTATTTAAGTAAAAAAGAAAAAAATGAAAACGAAAAAATATATATATTTTCTATACACACCCTTTCATTACCTATAACCCTTTATTGAGATAATTGATGAAAAAGTAGGAGATGAAAATAATTACATGTAAGAGATAGAACAATTGTTATTTATGACAAGTTTGACTAATGATATATAGTATAACATAATTGCACACTCCTCTATCGTGACAACAAAGGAAATCTTTTGAATAATAATAACAATAATAATAATAATAATAATAATAATAATAATAATAATAATAATGTTCTTTTTGGATTTTTTAATAGTCTTTCCAATATTTAAAAACATCACATTCAATAATTATTTTATCTAAATAATAATAATAAAAAAAGAACAACAATGTGTATGTTCAAATTTTATAATTCTTCTAGCGTTGCGGGTTCCCACGTCATCCAAAAAAAAAAAAATTATAATTCTTTATCCCGTAAAAACTGTCATGATGGTGTGGAATAGACGCGTGACTGTAAGGATCGAAATTTATCCAAAACACACTCGTGGAGTAGCGGCTGCCTCAATATAAAATTAGATAAAGATATATAATTTTTTTTTAACAAAATCTCAACTCCTTAAATCAATATCAAATTTTGATCACAAAGCTTTTAAGCTTCGAGTCAATAGTTAAAATAAATAAATAAATAAAACCACAGCCAAATGGTGCATTTAGTTTAAATAATTATTATACATAATATTTTGTTATATAAAATAATATACTTTGTAGAAAATAAATAAATATTATATAGTAAAAAAAAAACAATTCAAAGAGTAAAAAACTAATGATGAATAGTAAAATTTTATTAAATAATAAAAAACGGGCAGTTAAAATTTCAAAGATAAATAAATTTACCTCTATTGTAAGTAAGTAATTGTATGTATGAATGCATCTAAAGTTTGATATATATGTATATGTATGTATTTTATTTAAACTAAATATCAAATAACAAATTAGTAATATAATATATATATTTAAAAAGTACGTAGGTCCTTAACTTCATCATATATGTTGTGCGTCACATATATCTATATATACATATACACACAATTATCAAATACAGTAAAATATTGTTTTATAAAATAATATAATTTTTTTTTATAAAATATTACATTCAAATTAAAAGTAAAAAAAAAAAAAACAAAAATAATTGTTTATACATATATGTATTTATAGTTCATATATTATATTTATTATCAGTTTAAATCACTATTTTGTAATTATGGCTTAAATATATATTACAACGTGTACATTATATATCCTAGTTTTCAATACTTATTGATATTACTATTAGTATATTTTTTTCTAATTTTATTTTTTTCTTTTTTAGATCAATTCAAAATTTTAGAATACATTCAAAATATATTTCCAGTGCACTACATACAATTCTCGATATATTTTTGAGAACATTATCGTCATCGTCGTCGTCGTCGTCATCGACTGCAAACCCCACCACCACAATGTTGGAGGTAGGACATCATTATTCATGGATAGTAATAATTCAATTTATCAATCAGATCATATATCAAAATATATATATATATATATCTTATCCTAATGACCTAACAATTCGACTGGACTCGACTCAACTCGAATGCTTTATTTATTTTTATGAAAGGTGTGGACACCAATGGATCTTTGAATTTATTGAAATGATCTTACCGACACACACGGTCGCCGTCTCGGTCGTCGTCGTCGTCGTCTTGGTCTGTCCATCAAATCATGTCGTCGGAATGCATGTCCGCCCGGCAAAGGACACGTGACCATATTGCGTTGCCCACGTGACTCAATGCGTGTTTGGGAGAGGCTGAAGCTATGGTGCGCGTGCTCTTTACCCGCAGGATTCGCTCCCCACCCCACCCCTGGACCCTCACTTTTTCCCGACTCCTGGGACCTCCTGTCTACTCCACCCGTGATCATATTATTAAGAATGATTATTACGAGTGCTTATGATGTCTATGGTGTATTAAATTTTGATCGAAATCCTGAAATTTTGAACACTTCAAAATTATATTTTTTTTAACGGAGGCCAAACGTAATAATTTTTTTTTTTTTTTTTTTTAACAGAGATCGAACATAATATCCTACTAACTAGCTTGACAAGATAAGTTACATTAAGTGAACAATATATGATTTGTGAGGGAGGCATTGAGAGCACAAATCCACTCCCAAGTGGACATTATTAGCAATATTATTAGAATGTTATACCCTGAGATAAATGTTATCATCCTATCATCAATTTTAATTTAAAAGTAAAAATATATGGGGACAATATTTATATTTAAATTCTCAAATACTTTCTATGTTCTTTTAAATGTTGTATTTAATAAAAAATATATATATATATCTATGTTGTTGTAATATTATCAATAAAGTTAAATTTTTATTAAAATTTATTATTTGTTTGAATATCTATTATAATTTATATATTTCCATCAACCTATATATTTTTCTCTAATTAAAAATAATACTCTATTTATTTTGGTATATTATATGTCAAGAGTTATTATTTCAAAATGTTGAAATAATGTTAGAAATATATATATATATATAATTTTCCAATATTTTAATAATTTCTTTGAAATTTTTGACATTTTTATCAAAATCTCTATAAACTCGCATGTACGAAATCGACTATGAAAACCAAAATTTGATACCTTAGTCCTTAGATATAGTACGAAATGGAATTTCAATATATATAATTTAATTTTAATTTATTATTATCTTGGAGATAGAACAAATTTTAAATAGAAACGTTTATTTGAACAAAAAAAAAAAAAAAAGTTCACCCAGTATTTTTTTTAATACAATTTTCGATGAATATTGTCAAAAATATTATTTACATACATTTACAAAACATAATAGTATATATTTACTCATAAATATCCATATATGAAAATAAATAAGACCCTAAACTTTTGGTAGTTTGGTACTACATGGCGTAGTGCATTGGACCGAACCGGACCGGACCGGACCACATCTCTTGCTCTACTCTCTCGAGTTCTCTCTTTCGATCACTGTAACTGAAGACAACTCCATTTTTCCCGTAACCCACTTCTGATATTTTCTGCGATCTCTTGCGGCGCTGATATGAGCTATGGCCGCCTCCGCTCCACTGGTACACCTCCCATTAATTGTTTCTTGAAATTTTGGGGTTAATTAAAAAATTACTGCGTAATATTTTTTACTTTATCTCTGCAATTTCTTGTTCCAAGATTGGGTATTTGGTGCCCTTGAACGGAAAACTAGAGGAAGAAGACAACCCATTAATCCCCAAAATACCACTCCACAGAGGAATTACTTACGTCGGCCGCGATTGTATTCCCGTCGCCGATAAGCGCGTTAGCCGGAAACATCTCGCCTTTAATGCCTCCGCCGATGGCTCCGCTGATATCGCCGTCGTACGCCATTTTATTTTATATTATAAAATTTTTACCTTCGCCATGCCTATGAAAAATGTGTGCTTTTATTTATGTATTTTGCGTGGTTTCTTTGGCAATTTTATAAATTATATGATACTATGAGAATTGGGATGTAGGTAGGTACCAATCCGGTTGTTTTGAGGGCCAACGGTACAAGAAAAAAGCTTTCTTCTGGAGAAAAATGGAAAATTCAAGCAGGTGATGTAATGGAGTTAATACCAGGGCATTACTTTTTCAAGTATGTTCCTTTGTCTAGTAATACAATTGAAGATTCTCCGAGTCGAGGTCGGGGAAAAAGGCCTTTGAGTGATGACAGTAGTAAGGGTAAAGGCAATGACGGTGCTCCGAGTAAGAAGAGATTGCAAAAGACTATTGTGGAAGAAGACCTTCCAAGAAACTCAAATGTACTTTCTTTTTGAAATATTCTTATAGTAGCGCATATAATCGATGATTTCATATTGCTGCCTGTACTGATCTACAGAATGTGGTGAGCCATAAAGATCACAGGAGTGACGCCTCCTCGAACAATATTAGGCATTTCCATGTTTCGAAGGATAAGTGGCCAATGACTTTTCGACTGTTGAGAGTGAAAGAGTTGCCTGAATGGGCGAATACGAATGCAGTTTCCATTGGCGATGTTATTAAGGTCATGATTGTTTCTAGTTAGAATATGCTGTTGCCTGAATTTTGGCTATTTGTATGATATATAATTTTTCATTGCTCGGGAGGGCTTTCGAGTGTTTATTTCTCTCATGATGCTTATTCGAATTTTGTTTGTAGGGGAATGTGCTTTTCGCTGTCCTGTCAAATTACATGGTTGACATTGATTGGCTACTTCCTGGTAGGTAGTTTTTGTTGAAGCCTTTTCTACCGATGTCTTATGTTTCGCAGGTTTTGTGTGTTTAGACGACAATCTTATTGCGCACCTACTGTTGTAAGAAGATCTACATGTATTAATTTGTTACTGCCATTCTAGTCTATTGTATAAGTAAATTGCTACTTTATGAAGATAAAATTGCACCATATCAAAATAATGCTCTTGTTTGTTTCAATTTTATTTTGTCCTGCAGAATTTACTTCTTGATACCGTCTCTTTCCCATTTTCAATGCAGCATGTCCTATGCTAAGAAGGGTCCCTCGAGTCCTTGTTATTCATGGCGAAGGCGATGGAACCCTAGAGCATATGAAGGTTGCATTATCTCATTGTATTGGTTTTCAAAGTGGTTTCATGTGAACTGATTTCATATCCCGAATCCCTTTTCAGAGAAGCAAACCTTCTGGCTGGATTCTCCATAAGCCTCCATTGCCGATTTCCTATGGAACCCATCATTCAAAAGCCATGCTGCTTGTGTATCCACGAGGAGTGAGAGTCATTGTGCACACGGCTAACTTGATATATGTAGATTGGAACAACAAAACTCAGGGATTGTGGATGCAAGATTTTCCATGGAAAGATCAAAAAAGTGGAAGCAGCGGGTGTGGTTTCGAAAATGACTTGATTGAATATCTTGGAACGTTGAAGGTATTGTCGTCTGCTTGTGACTTCAAGAGCCTTGTTTTATTAGTGAATTAATTGATAAACATATGTGAAAATCCGACAAAAGTCTGTTCCTTAGGTTAACTGCAATGATTGTGCAAACAAAGTCTTAAATTATTACTTCAACATCAATGGTTTTGTATTTCAAAAGAATCCCCTCCTAATCTCTGTTTGGACTTGGCGTTTCTTTTGGCTTTTCTGCTCCATGCACTGGAAAATTCGAATATTTTAGGAGTTTCTTTCAACTGATTTAAGACTCTGTTTTATGACTTTCAGATTCTAGAATAATGTAGTCTTTAGGAACCTTTTAGTTCTGACAGAACTATGTTTCAACTAATCCACATCTTTATGCTCTTGCAGTGGCCTGAATTCAGTGTCGACTTGCCAGCTATTGGCAACTTCACCATAAATCCCGGCTTCTTTAGAAAATTTGATTATAGCTCTGCAAAGGTAATTAGCTAATTCCCTTATCTTCTCCTCCATGTGTTTTTTTATCATATCGATGTGAGGGAATTAGAGGGGAGATTGGATTTTGCCATTTAGGGTTTGTTTGCTTGGTGATTTTTTTTTATTTTTTATTTTTTTGTTTTGGTTCAAATAGTCGAATGTGATATTTTGTGAGAGAAAATACCGTGGAATCGCGAGGACTAGTAAAGAAACCAAAAAAGAAATCACCAAATAAACAAAGGAGATTAGATTAATGCAACAAAATGAAAATGGTTTTTCGTATTCTTCGGATATATCTAATTATGCCTTGCGGTTCATGGATCTCTTCCAAAATGTTAAAATAATTTAACTATATTCCATGTTTGGCGTTGTTTTACCATTATCCATAGTAACACTGTTATGTATTTTTAATTTGATGATCATTGATTCTTTAAATTTGTGATGCTACCCGGCAATGATGATTTATTAGTCTAAAAGTAAATTTACTGATCAGGTCAGGCTCATTGCGTCGGTCCCTGGATATCATTCTGGCCACAGTTTGCGGAAATGGGGACATATGAAATTACGAACTGTTCTGCAAGAATGCATCTTCTCGAAGCAGTTTGAAAAATCGCCTCTAATTTATCAGGTAATCATATATTCATAACAACATTAAAATGATATTTCGAATTCTCTAATAAAGGCTTCTTTATATGCTCATTGTTATTGTTGTGCTGCAGTTCTCCTCACTAGGCTCTTTGGATGAGAAATGGATGTCCGAACTAGCAGCCTCGATGTCTGCCGGTATGACAGAAGACAAAAAACCATTGGGTCCGGGGCAGCCTTTGATAGTATGGCCTACTGTAGAAGATGTTAGATGCTCCCTAGAGGTAACATCTCGATTATGGATTCGTCGGCAAGTAAGAATCGATGAAATCGTATGTAGAAAAATGATTCCCTATTTTCTGAAGGGTTATGCAGCCGGTAATGCGATTCCAAGCCCGCTCAAGAACGTGGAGAAGGAATTCCTGAAGAAGTATTGGGCAAAGTGGAAGGCAAGCCACTCGGGTCGCTGGTATATTCAGAAATGGAACTCGTTTTTATTTTACATTATTCGATAACAGAGTTCTTTTTTTTTTTCCATTTCTCTATGTTCCATGATTCGACATGTAAAATTTTTGAATTGTTGCAGCCGCGCGATGCCTCATATAAAGACATTCGCCCGTTACAGTGGGCAAAACATCGCGTAAGTGACCATACTCGATAGCCTTGCATCATAATCATATGCTCGTTGCGCCATGTAAAACTTTTCCGTTGGCTTTATCAACAGTTGGCTACTCCTAACATCCTCAAACCTCAGCAAGGCTGCCTGGGGAGCGCTACAGAAGAACAATTCCCAATTAATGATCCGATCCTATGAGGTAGTAACTACCTTAGGCTTGTTCGAAGATTTGGATTTGGTTTCCTTACATACTTCTAAGTATAATTGTATGTATTATGTCGAACATTGTAGTTAGGAGTGCTGTTTCTGCCCATTTCCGGGAGAAACAGATGCGTGTTTTCTTGCACGGATGATGCGCCTCTTCCCGTGGTAGGACATACCCATACTGTTTAATTTGGTTCGGTTAAGGATTCAAGTCCTAATGTGATGGGTATTGTACTTATTTTACAGGATAAATCGGCAACAGAAGCGAAGCAGACGAAACTGGTCAGCTTGGTTTGGAAGGAAAGCACAACCGAAGAACGTTGTGAAGTTGTTCGATTGTCCGTGCCCTACGAACTTCCTCCGAAGCCTTACTCCCATGGAGGTTTGTGCTACTTTTCTAAGGCTTATTGAATCTGTTTTCATGTATGGCTCTAAATGATGATATTTAACTTCTGATAACACACATTGCAGATGTTCCGTGGTCGTGGGATCGACAGTATACTGAGAAGGATGTATATGGTCAAGTTTGGCCTAGGCAGGTAAAGCTGTATTCAAATCAAGATTTCTGAATTGGTTACAAGTGTTTGTAGATGAACAAATCAATCTTGTTACCTGCTGTTTGTAAAGCTGGATTTATCATGATCAGTTCATGTCAATTCTCATCGACAACCAAATTTGAAGATTTCTCGGCCCCAAATTTGGGTTTTATTGAAATATCAAGAGGATGAGAAACAACATGAGATGTACAATCACTAATTTTCAAGAAAATGAGAATCAAATTAAACCCAAAACAACACAGATCACTAAGACAATTTCATAACACAAGTAAACACATCCTTAAATGACCAAGAATTTCTTTTCTCAGGAAGCATTAAAATTTAAATGAAAAAGCATATGGTAATAAGAAATGCCTGTTAGAGACACGATGGAAATGTATGGAAGAGGATATCATATACAACATAAAATCACTTGTTCAAAGACTCTAGTTTTTACCATTCAAGTTCAAGATTACAGCAAATAGGGACAGATTGTAAGCTGGGCGTGAGAGTCGATTGCATCACACATTGCTTTGCTTGTAGAACTTTGTGTCAAGTACTTGTTTCCCGCACATTGCACATACGCCTGCATCGCCACAAAATCGCAAGATGCACTTGAGCAATGCCACTGAATCTAATTTGCACTAAGAAAAGAAAATGGCATGGAGTTTGAGATTACCTTTACTGTAAGCACATGTATGGCAATATTTAGCATCCTGATGCACTTGTTGCTTGCAGATCATACATTTAGATTGCCCGTAAGGCTTCCATCTGCAGAGCAACCAAAACTTCTATCAACTCAAAGGGAATAAAGAGCAAGCATAATTGGTGGGTATAGCCCCTAGATCGATCATGTAAATTATGATCATTGTTTTCCCTATTTCTTCAGGTAACAAAGTAACAACGCGAAATTGCTTCAAAATCATAAAGGAAACCATTAATATGTCAATGATCTGCAAGCATATGAGCTTCTGCAATAAAAATTCAGACTATAGGATAAAACCTTCTGTTCAAGCAAACGAAATTTTGTTCAGCACAATACTACACATCTAATTTGTTTTCACATATTCAAGGGAGCTACATAGTCAGCAATGTGATCCACCACACCAGCATTCATGTGTAATGGTGATACAATTTGTGTACATGCCTTCACTTTGCACCTTAATAATTACTTGCTTTTAAAGACAAGAAGATGGAAAGTCTAATGGTTTTGCACATTTGCAGAACTAATTGAATTGCTGAAAAAACAAACACAGAATGAAAAAGAGGAAGTTCTGAGTTCGTTGAAGATAAATGTAAAGATTGAGAAAATCAGCATTGAATATAGATATGCAACCCTAAACACGAAATAGATTCTCAGAAGGGGTGAAAACATCAAAATCTAGCAAAACATGTCTCTTCCAATATTATATATGTGTCGACATGCGGAACAAAAATTGAAAATCATAGTCAATGGAAAAAGGCGTCAAAGAGGAACCTGTTTTTCTTGGAGAGGAGCTTGTTCTCGTTGATCTTGCGGCCACCGCCTTCAGTGGTGTTGCTTGCTCCTTCTTTCCATTTATCCGGCACTATCACTTTCGAAAGCTTCTTCTCACCTACGCATGCACACAACACAACCGTAAACCCCCAATCCGACAAACAAACCCTAAAGCAGCAATTCGCAATTACACATCAAAATTCGAAGGCACTCAAATCAAAAATAGAGGAGAACGATGGCTTACACTTCTCGCATACCATTCTGCTCTAAATTTGCTTTCGAACGACGGAGACAACCGCCGGCGACAGAAGTCGAGCACTGAGATTCAAAACAAGTTCCGGATTTGCAAATTATCGCAGAGAAAGAAAATAGATCAAATTGAACTCCCCTTTCCTCTTTATATTTATTTCGGTAATTGGGCTTGTATATAGGCCCATCAATGGGCCAAATTGACGAACATTAAGTTGCTTCACATGACCCCATCAAATTTCAATTGACATTCATACCACCGCCACGATCCTACCCATTTTTTATATTTAAAAATAAAAATAAATTATTCTCTATCCCAAAATTTTTACATTGTTTTTTAAATGACATAATTTCGATGTGTCTTCTCTTTATTATAGAATCATTTTACTATTATCTTTATTAAGAATAATAAAAGCAAGAGCATGTATAAAAAAACATTACAAAAACTTTCAATTATTGCAAATTAAAAAAATAATATATATTCAAAATCGGCAAAGAATTTCGACATGTATAGTAATAGTATAGATCTGTGGTGCATCAGTATGATGATGAAATCATAATCAATCGTCGCCTCATCTAAACCCTAATCCCAGGGGCTGAGGTGACATTCCTGGGGCAATTCAGGATACCTCTGAGGATCCTTGCAATAATCGTAAATGACGAGGTTTCTCTGCACCCAAGCGTAGTCTTTCTTCTGATTCTCCGACAGATGCCACGCACTGTACTGATCCCACCAGTTGTCGCCGGTGGTGGCGACGCACGCCGGAAAAGGATCCTCCCACTGGCAGGCCTCCGCCTTGAAGCCCTGGTACGACGACACAAATGGCGCCTTCTCCCAGTCCGTCTTCTCCAGCCCGCCACGTGTCGCCCAGTCGTCGGCGTTCCAGATGCTGGAGAATAAGTACATCGGTTTCTCGTTCGGGAAGAACCCGTTTTTCTCATTACCCGCGTCGTTCTTGTAAACCCTTATCGGAGTTCTGTCCACCACGAACCTAAACCAGGATCGATCCATCATTTTAATTATTAATTAATCAATTCAGACAGGGACTAAACTAATTCATTAGTTAATTAATTGATTACATGATCTGATGGTTGTTCCAGAGGATGGAGTAATCGTGGAAGTCCAACGTCGGATCGAACCAGAGCTGGTGGCGCATTTCCCGGCCGCCGGTGCCGTTTTTGTAGACGTTTGTTTGTATAAGGTAAGGCTGTCCTGACCGGTTCCCTAAAAACTCGATGTCCAGCTCGTCCCTCTCCGGCCCGGCCCCGTTCTCCGAGCACATATAATAGGCGGTGACGACGCCGGCGGAGTCGCCGCCGACGAGTTTGAGCTTCATCGAGAACCACCCGAATCTGTACCTCTGCTTCGTCATGAAGCCGCAGCCTGGAAATGTAGAATTAGTTTTAGTTCCCAGTTCAGTTAATTTAGAAATTAATTATTAATTATTACCGATCGACCTACCTACCTACCTACCTGCTTTTTTGTCGAGGGAGAGGTGCCAGATCTGGCCGTCTTCGGATGTCTTGAAATGGGTCTCCGGGCAGCTCTTGCTGAAGCTGTCGTCGAACAGTCCGGCCGATTCCGCCGCCGGCGGAAACACGGCGAGGAGAACGGGGAGGAGGAGACAGAGCAATTTTCTTCTCTCCTCCATTTTCCTGCGAGAAAATGACATGGAACAGATGGATGATATATGGCTACTTTTATAATACCTGTGAATAATTTAATTTATACACCTGGAAATTAGGCGTTGGCATTATTTATTAAATTTGAAAAAAAGAAATGGAAGAATATGATATAATACGAGAAAGGTTAAGGCAGACCGACAGATGCGTGAAAATTGGTGCCAGTGGAAATTCATTCCAGGCTGTGCAAAAAAGAACATGATTCGATCGGGTGGTGTTGTTTATATGTTTATATTATTATTATTCTTATTAATCGGTATTTATTTATTTATTTATTTATTTGTTCTGGATTGGATCTACCTTAGTAAGTTAAACATTATTATCTTATCTGCTTTTAAAAATTGAAAGAATAGCGTATTTGTAAGGTATTAAATTCGACAAAAGTTTATCAGTAGTCCTTTATTTTATTCTGTGAATTTTCACATAATAAAAAAAATATTATAAAAAATAAAATAATAATAATTCAAAAACAATCTGAGGCCCTCAAAACAGGAACTTGCTCTCAATGTTCTGTCATACTCTTTGACAGATCATAGATGATCAAGATTCATGCCTCAAGGGACTTGGTACAATCTTTTCGTGACAGCTTTTTACTTAGAAATAAGAAACTAATTAAAATTAATACAGTATGTAAAAATTATAATACAATCAAGACAGTTTGGCCGAGTGGTCTAAGGCGCCAGATTTAGGCTCTGGTCCGAAAGGGCGTGGGTTCAAATCCCACAGCTGTCATTTTATTTTCGTTTTTAATATAAATCTTTAAATAATGAAGATAGAAGAAACTGGATGATTCTAGACCGTTCACGTCCTATCACTCTACAGAGATATTTTTGGCTTGATATTTTTCAAGTCTCTATCTTTTGCTATTATATACTGTGCTATTCTGAGTCCCCCCACACTCAGCAGCCTTACTATCATCTTCTTCGGACACCGTTATCTTTTAGGGCAAAATCAGTTTACCGGCGGAAATGGCAGCCATGGCAACCACTCTCACCTCCTCCCTCTCCAAAACCCAATTCTTCGACAACAAATCGTCCTTCCACGGCGCCGCTGTTCCGACACGCGCCGCCCAGCCCATCAAATCGGCGCCCCAAACCCCCTCAATCGCCATGTCCGCCGCTCCTTACAACTTCGACAACTTCAAATTCCAGCCGATTAAGGAATCCATCGTGGCCCGCGAAATGACGCGCCGCTACATGACGGATATGATCACTTATGCTGACACCGACGTCGTCATCGTCGGGGCCGGCTCCGCCGGCCTCTCCTGTGCGTACGAACTCAGTAAGAATCCCGACATAAACATCGCCATCATCGAGCAGTCCGTCAGCCCCGGCGGCGGCGCGTGGCTCGGCGGCCAGCTGTTCTCCGCCATGGTCGTACGGAAGCCCGCGCACGAGTTTCTCTCCGAGCTCGGAATCGAGTACGACGAGCAGGACGACTACGTCGTCATCAAGCACGCAGCGCTCTTCACCTCCACCATTATGAGCAAACTCCTCGCCCGCCCGAACGTCAAGCTCTTCAACGCCGTCGCGGCGGAAGACCTCATCGTCAAAGACGGCAGGGTCGCCGGCGTCGTCACCAATTGGGCCCTCGTCTCCATGAATCACGACACCCAATCGTGTATGGACCCCAACGTAATGGAGGCCAAAGTGGTGGTCAGCTCCTGCGGCCACGACGGCCCCTTCGGAGCCACCGGCGTTAAGCGCCTGAAAAGCATCGGAATGATTGACAGCGTGCCGGGGATGAAAGCCCTCGACATGAACACCGCCGAGGACGCCATAGTCAGGTTAACTCGGGAGATAGTTCCCGGCATGATCGTTACAGGCATGGAAGTGGCGGAGATCGACGGAGCTCCAAGAATGGTAAAATTGAAAATTACCCTAAAAGAATAAAATCCCCAATTTCCCTAATCGGAACCCTAATTTCGAACTCTGTAATTTTCAGGGGCCTACGTTCGGGGCGATGATGATTTCCGGCCAGAAAGCTGCGCATTTGGCGTTGAGGGCGTTGGGGCAGCCGAATGCTTTGGACGGCTCTTACGCCGGAGCAAAAACTGGCCAGCCGGAATTCAGCCTGGCGGCGGCGGAGAACGACGAGATCGTAGATGCATAAATGGCGTGAAAAATGGAACCCTGAATAAGAACAAGAAAGTCCTGTTTAGTGAGATGGTGTATCTGTTTTGCTTGGGATTCCCATCGTCTTCAATGTTGTTGTATTTTTTTTTTTTTTCAATTAATGATCATCTTTTAAGTTTTCTGTGTTTGAAGGAAGTCTTTGGCTCTCTGCACTATATGCTTTGAAACAATAAAATTGCCACGATAATCAAAAAAGAGACCTCACCCGACATGGATTTGACTCTCCTCCAATGAGCAAAATTTTCTATCAAATTATACCAAATTAAAGATTCTTAGGGAAAATATCCGGCAATAAGAATGGACCACTAATTTAAACCACCAACATTATACGGGGGAGATTCGTCAAGAACCCATTTTCTATCTTGAACCTAATTTGGAAAATGGTTCGAAATCAAGAGGATCTTCCAAGAAGAAACACGAATCTTAATTGGAGGACACGAATCGAGCACTCCCGATTAGTGTCGCAAGCTTCTTCAATCCTCTTGCAAAGGCAATTCAAATTCTGGGCTCCACTTCTTCGTCGTCTGAGGCTATCCTCCAATTTTAACCCTACGCTGTTTAATCAAATTCTGACTAAAATCAAATCCCACCCAGAAATCTGTATCAATTTCTTCAATTTTTCCCAGAAGAGTCTTGATTTCGAGCCAGACCTTACGGCCAAGTGCGAGGTCTCCCGGATTCTATTGTCCTCTCGACTGCCTGAACTTGGAATGCCCGTTTTGAACTCAATTGTTCAGGATCATCCGCCGGAAACAATCATGCCGTTAATGATTCAATCTTCCGAGGAGCAGGAGACTCTCTCCCCTGTTTTCAGCTCTGTCGTTGAATGCTATTGCAGTAAGAATTTACATTTGGAGGGTTTGGAGGTTTATCGTATGGCTAAGCGGAATAAAGTTGAATTAGGGTTAGGCTGTTGCAATGCGTTGCTTGATATATTGTGTAATAAAAATGAAGTTAGATCTGCCTGGTGTTGTTTAGCATCGATGATTAGAAGTAACATTTCTTTGGATCACTCTACATGGACTGTGATCGCGCGACTTTGGTATAAAGATGGAGAATTCGAAAGAATATTGAGGATTTTAGACATGGGAATTCATGCACACGAGGTGTTCGACCTAATGATTGATGGCCATTGCAGAAGAGGGGATTTCGAAGCTGCATTTGTTCATCTAAACAAGATGTCCAGCCATGGAATCGATCCGAGTTTCGCTACGTACAGCTCAATTTTAGATGGAGCTTCCAAGTATCAAGCTGGGAATGTCGTCGAGACCATAATCTCTTCAATGGCGGAGAAAGGACACATCATTTCACCCTCAGCTCCGGAATTCTACGACGCGATCATCCAGAAGCTTTGCGTTATAGGAAAGACATTCGCCGTTGAACATTTTTACAAGAGAGCGCGCGATCTAAAAGTCGAGCTACAACATGGTACTTACAGATGTATATTAAAGGCGCTACTATCCGAGGAAGGAAGAATCTCAGATGCAATTACGCTGTATAACACAGTGCAGGGAAAGAACATTTCATTAGATATGGATTCCATCGACAAATTTGTAGATTCTCTCTGCAAAGAGGCGGCGTCGAGAGAATTTAGCAGACTATTAGTCGCGATAATAAAAGGCGGATCCATTTCCAATCCGAAAGGACTTTCTGCGTACATCAGCAAGCAGTGCAGCAAACATCAATGGAGGGACGCGGAGAAGCTAATGGATGTGGCTCTAGATCGAGGATTTATGCTCGATTCCATTTCTTGCGGCTGTTTTGTCAAAAGGTATTGTCGCACCGGGCGAATAGACAAGGCGATTGCTCTGCAGAGTAGGTTAGAGGAGCTGCAGTGCGATTTGGACATTGGCGCGTATGAAGTGTTTCTTGCGGCATTGTTTAGAGGAAAAAGAGGCGACGAAGCGATGAAGGTGTTCGAGTATATGCGCGGTCAGGGCGTGACGAGCAGCGAGAGTTTTTCGATCATGATAAGAGGTCTTTGTGAAGAGAAGGAACTGAGAATGGCTATGAAACTACATGATGAAATGGTGCATTTGGGGCTCAAGCCTGGTTTGAAAGCTTACAAGAGGTTAATCTCCGGATTCGGAAACACTTGACTGATTTCAAATTTAAATTTTTATTTAAATAATAATTTAAGGATACAAATATTACAATATTATTTATTATATTACGACGTATATAAATGATGGGTCGGGAATATATAAAAAATTATATATATATATATATATTTATTTAAGAGATTACTTTTAACATTCATTTATTTTATATCAAACATTAATTTGATATTGAACTTTTTAATAATTTAAAATTGAGCACTCGGCAACATCTGTACTAACCGTAATATTTGGATGGCCCATTAGATCGTGCCGTGGATTTTCACAATCTTTTTGTCTGTCCGTGCGCTTCACTGCACCGACGTTTTATCCACCAAAACTCTACCTACCTTTTTTACACTAATTAACATATAAATACATGCTTCCTCTGTGTCCCAACGTAATTTGTCCTTATTTTTTATTTTTGTTCCTTATACATAACCTGTCATTTCTATTTTTAAAAATATAATTATGCATTTTAATTGTATTTTAAATTTGAAATTTTATAGTTTTATTAATTTTAATTAAACTATTTATTTATCTTAGTCTTAATATATAATTATTTTTACTAAATAATAATTATTTTTATTAATACACTTTTTAATTATTTACTAATTATATTTTGCCTAAATTCCCGTGTCCACGGGAATACGCCCATATGGGACAGAGGGAGTACTACATTTATAAAGTTTAAACAATTTTAAGATCAAACAGTGTGTCAATAAATGAATGTAGATAAATTAATTTTAAAAAAAATGGTTTGTATGGACATATTTTAGTTGAATTTTCAATCACAAATGTGTCGATTTTCGTTTATATAATATTAATGTTTAGTATTATCAATTTTCAATTTCACGTCCAAACACGCCCTAAAATGGTTATTAATGGCATTAACTATATATTAATTCCATGGTCTACAGCTACAGCCATGAATTCGTGTCCTTCAAATCGACGACGCTTCCCCACTGTTTCTGGCGCTATTCCTTCTTCAATTCCCACTCAATCTCTGCCTTGCTGTTCTTGCTGTTAATGCAATCCCTCTGACTCTCTGCAACTCTTTTTTCTCCAAGGCATCGGTCGCCTAATTTGCCCCCAAATCGCCTCTCACTGTCGCCATCACCCAATCTTGAAACCTTGAGCAAAATCCCCATTTTCTTTGTTTTCTCCAATTCCACACCCTTCCTTTCTTTCTGCTTTCAGTTGATTGACTTCTATTTCAATGTTGGAAGAGAGATAGGTTTTTTAATCCATTTCCTCTCCATTATTAGGTCTTCGCGCAGGTATATGTTCTTGTGCAACTTCTTTTTTTTGTTTTGTTGTTGTTGTTGTCTGTTATTCTCTGAACAATCATTGTAGAGTATATTCAAAGATTGTTTCGATGTGTGAGATTTATAAAAAAAAAATATAATAATAAATCTGATTTGTGATTTCTGTTTGAAGGTATTGTAAAGCTCTGCGGCGTGCAATGTTTCCACAACACAGAGGAGAAAGGCTGAATTGGATGAACAGTTTCACAATCAGAGGGATTTACAAAGGATTCAAATACACACTTTCTCAAATCTTTGGTACATATCATAATACTAATATATATATATATATATATGTATATGTTTGTATATATGGAAACACTTGTTAGATCAATTGTAGTTTGGCTTCAGTTTTTTGGTAGTAGTTTCATATAATTGAATGTCTCTGTTGATCACTTGTTAAGAGGAAAATTTATAATTCCTTGTAGTAGTGAAAGATCGTGAAATCGAGATCGGATACCCCACGGATGTTAAGCATTTGACACACATAGGGTGGGATGGTTCGGCAGGGGGTGCCCCTAGTTGGGTATTATATATGATCCTAATCTTAATCTGCATTTTTTGTTTCGATATCGATAGTCCATTTGTTATATTTTGGCCATTGTTTCCGGGAATTCGATGTTTCGCTATTTCTTGATGCAGATGAGTCAATTCAAGACTGGACCTGAGTTTGCTACGTCGTCTGTCGCTGCATTTTCACCATTGTCGTCGTCATCCAAAGGTTTGTTTTCAATATCCTTCGCGCCCAATTTATCCAAGACATAATGTCGGAAGCAATTCAATAACTTGGATGATTTCTTCGAACATTGCCATCAAGAGTTCAAGAATGAGATGGATAAAGACGTCCCGGCGACAGAACTTGGTCACACGAAAAAGAAGACCAAGTGGAAGAAGAGTAGGCCAAATTCATCGCCAACAAAGTTGAAAGTCGACATTCTTGAAGGCGTCGCAAAGCCAAACAACATTGAAGTTGCATAGAAACCACTCTTACTCTGCTGCATTACATGGAAATCCCGACGATTAGAAGACTTAGGAAGTTTGCTTAGCATCGATGGCGATGTAAGAAAAAACTAAGCTTTCTTTGCATTTACGTCGGTTTTGGTTTGTCAAAAGATCCTCTGCAATAATAATAGAAGTTGCAGCTGTTGGTGTACTTGTAATACTACATTTGATTGATCTCTTGGTTTGCAATACACAACTGGGTCCTAAATCTATGTTAATCGATGGGGTTTCACATAATAATACTAGTCGAAATAAAAATAAAAATCGAAGATGTGGGCCCCAAGATTTACAGTTAAGTGTGATGGTAGTTGGTTATGCAGCTATGGTTGGGCCTTCAATTAGGGTTTTTTTGTGTGCTTGCGGAGCTCTCAAGAATATGGGCCTTATTTTTATTGAGAAGGGAAAGTCCACTTTGTTTTAGTATGGGTTTTATTTTTATTATTGGGCCATTACGAAACTCATTTAGAAAAGGTCCTGATAGGCCCAAATTAATGAATTAGCATGATATACTAATGCCTAATTTAATGATTTTTTTTATAAATACAACGATAGAGTATAGTTTATCGTACAATTTATTTTTTAAAAAAATAAAATAAAAATTGTGTACATAAATTATGTTTTTATCAAAATTTTTATTTAAATTAAATTAAATAATAAAATTTACACATTTGTAATTTTCCCGAATTAAAATTGAGATTGAAGCAATTCATAGTCGCCGCCACCCCTTGCCTGAACATTATATTTTATGTATTTACTTTGGAATGTGTTGATCTTTTTCTTCAATTTCTAATTTATATAATCTCCATTTAATTATAAATTTATTCTTATTTTTATCTTTATGTATTAAAAAATTACATTTTATCTTACTAAACATGAAATTTTTTTTTAACTTTTTCGTTTTAAGCAAAGCCACTTAGATAGAGTATGGATTGACTATATGTACCATACTTCTACCAAGGAACTTTATCATTTTATTAACCATTAATAAATAAATAAATAAATTGGGCGAATGCATTAATTGGTGGTTGGTAAATGGTAATTATAAAATGGGGATTGGGAAGTACCCAAAATATATTCTAAAAATAAATAAATAAATAAAAAGCAGAGGGCAGAGGGCAGATGGCAGATATGGAGATGGAATTAAGCAGTTTGTTGTTTTTAATTTATTAATTTCTGAATTCACCAAATAACCATATTTTTATTTATTTTTCACATTTCACTATTGTAACAATACTCAATAAATGAACCCACACTGTATAATTCTTTTAAAATAAAAAATAAAATAATTACACTAGTGACAAACTAGAGGAGAGCTTTCACAGGTCAAATATTAAAGATTGAAAAATCCAAAGCAATGTTGTGCAGTTGGGATGTCAAGGCTACTGCAATCAATGCCAAAATTATTATTATTATTTCTATTTTTTATATAATTAATATAATATTTATAAAAATATTTTTTCCCATATTAAAAAAAAAAATATTTTTTAAATTATATTATTTAACACAAAAAAAAAAAAAAATAGAATTTGGATTCGATTTATTTAATTGATATTGATGAGTTTAATATGGCTTAATTAAATATTGAATTTTATATTAAAAAAAAAAAAAATTTATTACAACTTGCACATGTTTAACAATTTAATTTTAAAACCAAATTAAATAATAAAATATCAATCTAAATCCATCTTAATCTTCCATATTACATCATGTCTAGTAGAAATTTAGACTTAATTAATAAATATTTAATATTAATATTAATAATGGAAGTCATAGTATCATATAATTATGATAAATATATTCATAAATAAATATTTTTAACACAAATAATTAATATATTCAAAATTTCAAAATATCATAAACATATAATCTATAAATGTATATATATAAGTGTTTTTTCCATTAAAATGTATGTCTCTTTTACTTTTTAATAGGTATACTAAATAATATAAATATTTTACCAATTTTACTTTATATATATATATATATTATTTATTCTTATTACTTTTATAATTAGAGTTTCCGGGTCGGGTCGGTCGGGTCGGGTCTTGTAATTAATCTTTAATGCCCAAAAATGAATATAGGGGACATTATATTCTATTAATTGTGCAAATAAAAGTTTCTATTTAAATGCCAAAAAAATGAAAATAAGGAAGATACCAAAAAATGCCAATATTCTCTCCCCCTTTGTGTTATCACATCAATTGGTTAATGCTAATATTAGGACCAAAATTATTTTGTGTCTCATGTCACACACATACATATATATATAATTAAATAAAATTATTTAATATGCTGGAAAGTGGAATTAATTGCGTTACCTAATTAATTATTTTGGATGTTTGATATATGATATAGGACCAATTCTCCAAATCACTTAAATTAATTTTGACCAACTATCCAATTTGAAGAATTATTTCTGGCCAATTCTTTAAATTCCAAGAAATGGTCTTCCTACATTTTGGCAATATTTATTTATTTATTTTATTTTATTTCCTACTAAAATAATAATAATAATAATATTCTTGTTAGGGGAAAAAAGTCTTGTGAGGAATTAATTTATATATATAATTTTGGTTAAATTATTTAAATGCATTTCATATAGATATATTTGCAGATGTGACTGTATGTGGAGTTGGTTTACTAATAAATATAAAAACTAATTAATTAAATGGCATGCTTCATTTAATAATAAATTTAGGTAAATTAATTAGTAATCATCATGTCAAATTAATAAGACCTGCAGGGACCATAGTACATTATATTATCAATTTTGAAGACTAACAAAAATATATATTTTATTGAGTCTTGTCTATTCTATTTTATAATTCTTAAAAATAAATTTTCTTGTTCAAAGCCCAATTTATTATTATAATTAACTAGTCAAAATTTAATTCGAGTTCGAACCTTAATTGAATAATTGATTTATTAATTCACTTTTCACAAATTTAAATGGTTACATTCCAGCAATGAATATGAATTAAATTTAAATTTAAGGTGTATTGAATTAAATTATATTATTAGACCCAAACTAGCCATTAAATTATGAAGCTATTATTTCAAGAAAAATTTAATTATGTAATTGTGACGAAGGCTACAATTAGTTCATTAACACAATTATTTGATTTAGGGTTTTGCTAACCAATAATTGCATAATATCGTACGGTATATATAAATATGCAGTTCACTATTGCTCAACAAATGCATACTTATTTATATACATACATATATGCAAAATAATTAATTTATATTGTCACATAAATCTAATAATTAACTATAAAAATGACAATAATGATAGTAATATGGTCAGGTCATCTGAAATTATTGTTCATTCAGTACAACATTAAATTAAGACAACAAAATATATACTTACAAACTATGCTAATTAATTATATTTATATAAGTACAAACACACAAAATTCAAAGATTTCAATGTGATCAAAATATTTTGTTTAATTAAACAAAACCCACAATATAAAAATTTAATGAAAATAAATCAGTTTCGATCACCTTAGTTTTTTTTTTTTTTTTTCAATTTGTATATTGTGAGCATAAGATTAGTCACCATCAAGTAATAACAATGACAATAATAATAATAATAATAATAATATTATATAATTCTTCTATCAATGATTGAGTATTTATAGAGAGAGACATTATTTATTTGTTTGTTTTTATATATTTTTGTGTGTTTAATATATATGTAACCTACAGTAATTGCAATTTTTTAAATATATCATTGTACATATACTTATTTATTTAGTGATATATATATATAGAGATTCCATTGAATGAGGGTTTCTTCTTCACCTGCTGTCACAATCTCTTACACACATCATCTATTATTTTAATTAATTAAATTTTGATTCTTACATATATTAAAATGGTTTCGATTATTCTGAGGTGGTAAGTGTGTGTAAATATGTAAAAGTGCATAAATGGATATATTTAGCCAAAATGAAAATGAATGTATTATTATTATTATTATTATTATTATTATTGTTATTTGTTTTAATATCTCTGGTAACAAATTAATTAGGAAAAATTTCTTTCACCTGGAGTTACTACTAATTAATATTTCTAAATATTGATGTTAATTAGGGGATTTCTTGGCATTAATTAACAGCAAATAAGTATATATGGATGCAATAATTATTTAAGAGAAATAATAGGAAAAAAATCACGCACATTTCTGGATATTCATTGAATGCATCCACCCCCCCCCCCCCCCCCCCCTCTCTCTATATATATATATATATAGTGATGTTGAACGTTTTCACTATATATGATGAGAAAATAATAAAATGTGATTTTATTTTGATGCGTTGGAATTTATTGACAAAATATTTGCAGTTTTTATATGTGTATATATGCATGGTTGTATAATGCAAAATGCATTTAATGTTTGCATATATATATATATCATTATCATTATCTCAATTCTATAGAAAGAGATTAATTAAATAATTAATGTATTATTGTGTATAAGTTTTGATTTACTGTAGGATAACAATTAAATTTTTTAAATCTGCTTTGAAATCATTGTGTGTGTGTGTGACTGTGTGTAAGTAAGTATGTTCTTCCAGAATAAGAACCCTAATTGAAAACAGATATAGATACAAACGTGTATATATATATATATCTGTGTGTGTGTGTGTGTGTGAATTTGTATTGGCAGGGAGGGTTTAATTTGGTCATCTAGAGTGAGAAAATTTAGAAAGATGTATAGTTTCAAAAAGGGAAAAAACAGGTAAAAAAAAATAAAAATTGGAGGACAGAGAGAAGTGAGTTGGATGGATTCTAGAGAGAGAGGGATAGTGAAGAGACCATACTTGCAGCAAAAATTTAAACGTCTGATATGCCAACCCCTCTTCTTCTTTCTCTCTCTCTCTCTCTCTCTCTCTCACACACACACACATACTCTCTCTCTCTCTCTCTCTCTCTACATACACAGCAATAAACAGTATCTCTCTCTCTCTATCTCACTCACTCACTCACCCCCAACCCCGCCATTAATGCTCTCGCACCCTCTCTATACGCTCTGCAATTACTCCTCCTCTGCCACATCTCTCTCTCTCTCTCTCTCCTATTTCTCTCTCTATCTTCTTCTTCTTCTCCCTTCTTCGCCTTTACTCATTTCACCCCCACCCTCTCTGCTACAAACCCCCTTTTTGTTTCTCTGGTTCCCTTCTCTCTCTTGATTGATACTTCTTTCCCTATCATCATCATAAACTCGCAATTCTCCTTAAATTCCATTCACAAGAAAAGCACCTCCGCAATAAACCAGACAGCTTCATCCCCCCCACCATCTGCAACCCTCTTTTTCATCGCCGCCGCCGCCGCCGTCCAGATCTGCGCCGGAGGCACTTTCTCCGATTCCCCCAAACCCCCAATTCCTTATGAGGGTTTTCGCACTCAGCACCTTCGGCAACATCGGTAAGTCTGCTCATCAGGCTATGAATTCTTCCATAAATTATCTTCTGCAGTATCATCACACTAATTACACATTTTTATAAATTATTCTCCATAAATCGAAGCTTTCCCGTTTCTGCTGTTTTATTTCTTCGGTTATACTAGTTCGATGCCTTTCTTATGATCTGTTAGACGAGAAAGTGATGATATGAGTTGGATTCCACCGAATGTCTCTCCTGGGCATCTTCGAAACTGTAGTTTGAAAAAAACCATAGGGCTTTTGTCAATGGCCAGTTCACACTGTCAACTCTTACCCCCAAACTTTTCCTCGTTTTAGTCTTTACGCACGTCAGAACACCGTAGATAACAAGTCTCCTTTGAAAACCCCCAAAACCACAGAAAGAAATGGAAAAAAATAATAATAATAATAAAAAAAGAAAAAAGAACGAAAGGGTCGGGTCCATTTAAGTTACTTGAAGAACGAAAACAAACAGGCGATAGGAATAAAAGTCTATCTATACTTTGTTTTTACATGTAACCATCCATCAACCCTTTTGTTTTGCTCAGAAATCTGCCAGAGAATCTCCTAAATTAAACTCAAAGCACAAACATTCATAAGAAAATAAGTTCCCTCTTTTATTCTCCAGAAAGAGAAGGTGAAAAAAAGATTAAATTAGGGTTTTCTGGGTATCAAGAATTGCAGCTTCGAGAGTTGCAGATGTGGTGGAGATGATGACGAAGGCCTGATGGAATGAATTTTTAATATTTCTGGTGAGTTTGAAAGATTTAATTAATGCTCGGACCCAAGCAACGGGTGGGTGAGTTTTTAGGTTTGCTACCATTAAGAGTGAAGTACAAGACTTCGAGTTTCATTTGATGAAAAATATATATACATATATATGTATTTCCTTTCTCTCTCTCTCTCTCTCTCTCTCTATACCATTCGGTTCCTCTCACTCCTCTTTAAGAACTTCTGTGTGTACATAAATTCTGATGGAAGGTGTGTGGTTTTGCTCTGCAAATCATTTAATTTTCCCTCTTATCGCTCTATTTAATTTCACTCCTTGATGTCAGGAGTCGTCGTCCGCCATTTATAAATCTCTCCTCCATCTTTCTAACTGCGCACGCCTTCGAGATCCATCTACTTCATCATCATCGACCTCCATAACCTTCTTCTCACAGCCCAAATGTGTGTGGATTAATAAACTATTAATCAATTCAGTGTAGCATAAAATCTTGTTGCTGTTTGATCTCTATGTGCCAATTAAGGCTTCGTTATTACATTGCTCCTCTGACTTCTGATTCACTTGATTTTGCAGAAGTGTAGCTCAATTCGAAGCTTGGCATTTCATTTCTTTAGAGTGATCGAGATAATCAAAGATGTTCCAGCCGAATCTGTTCGATAGCCACCACCACTTGCTGGACATGGCCGGCCACAATAAAGGCCCGGAAACTGAGATGGACCTTATCAGAGACGACGACTATGAGAGCAAGTCCGGCACCGACATCATGGAAGCCCCGTCTGGTGACGACCAAGATCCTAATCAGCGTCCCAAGAAGAAGCGATACCATCGCCACACTCAGCATCAAATCCAGGAGATGGAATCGTATGTAATTAAAATATAAACCTAATTCAACTTTCTTACAGATTGGTTAATTAACAATTAATTTTCTTACAGGTTCTTCAACGAGTGCCCTCATCCTGATGACAAACAAAGGAAAGAACTTGGCCGTCGTTTGGGGCTGGAACCTTTGCAAGTCAAGTTTTGGTTTCAGAACAAACGTACTCAGATGAAGGTATGTTCTTAATTTTATTGAATCTTTCCACTTCTTGATCGATGATTTTCTCTAACGTCAGCAAATTAATAATCCTTCCAGGCGCAGCACGAGCGCCACGAGAATACGCAGCTGAGGAATGAGAACGAGAAGCTTCGTGCGGAGAACATAAGGTACAAGGAAGCTCTCAGCAACGCTACTTGTCCTAACTGCGGCGGCCCCGCCGCCATAGGAGAGATGTCTTTCGATGAGCAGCATCTCAGGATCGAAAATGCTCGCTTAAGAGAAGAGGCAAGTGATCCCATCCTTAACAAATTCAAACATTAATTTCTTGATCACATATGATGACGATGAAGAATGTGTAATGTTCGTTTGTTTATTTCCAGATCGATCGAATCTCGGGCATAGCTGCCAAGTACGTCGGGAAACCAATGATGTCATACTCCCATCTCCCCCTCGGAGCCCCTCGTTCTCTTGATCTCGGCGTGGGGAGTTTCGGGTCACATTCGGGCTTAGCCGGAGAGACTTATGGAGCTGCCGATCTTCTTAGATCCGTGTCTTGTCCGACCGATGCTGATAAGCCGATGATCATCGAGCTAGCTGTTGCTGCAATGGAGGAGTTGATCCGAATGGCCCAATCTGGGGAGCCTCTGTGGATTCCAAGCACTGACAATCCGACCGAGGCGCTGAATGAGGAGGAGTATGTCCGGACATTCCCCCGAGGAATCGGCCCTAAGCCGTTGGGACTCAAATCCGAAGCCTCCCGAGAGTCTGCTGTTGTGATCATGAATCACATTAACCTTGTGGAGATCTTGATGGATGTGGTAGGATGATCATCATTCAATTCCTTCGAATCAACACATCGAGCTTTATGCTGCAAACATTACTAATTTGAAATTATCTGGTTGCAGAATCAATGGTCGAATGTGTTTGCTAGCATTGTTTCGAGGGCAGTTACTTTGGAAGTTTTATCCACTGGTGTTGCTGGAAACTACAATGGAGCATTGCAAGTTGTAAGTAGCAAATATATATATATATATAAATCAAATCTATTGATTTATAATGTTCTTGTGTTTCAGATGACTGCTGAATTTCAAGTACCTTCTCCATTAGTCCCAACTCGTGAGAACTACTTTGTTAGATACTGCAAGCAGCACAGCGATGGAACTTGGGCAGTTGTCGATGTTTCTATCGACAATCTGAGGCCTACTTCAATAGCAAGATGCCGGCGCCGCCCCTCGGGTTGCTTGATTCAAGAACTGCCCAATGGTTACTCTAAGGTATAATCGAAACTCACTACTTATGATGATGATCGTCGTCGTCTTCTTCCAATTAGGCCGTTGCGATTATGAGTATTGGCTGTGACTAGGTGACATGGATTGAGCACGTTGAGGTCGACGATCGAGCCGTTCATAGCATCTACAAGGCACTAGTCAATTCGGGGCTCGCCTTCGGTGCCAAGCGTTGGGTCGCGACGCTCGATCGACAGTGCGAACGCCTCGCGAGTGTAATGGTTAATAACATATCAGCTGATGTCGGTGGTACGTGGTTGTGGTTGTATAGTCATTAGTTATGTCTGTTGATTCTTTTGTTCGATGTAATTTGTGGTGAGTGTGTTCGATTCTTGCAGTTATATCGTCCCCGGAAGGTAGAAAGAGCATGTTGAAGCTTGCGGAAAGAATGGTGATGAGTTTCTGCACCGGCGTCGGCGCCTCGACTGCGCACACTTGGACTACGCTGTCTGGAAGCGGCGCCGATGATGTCCGTGTTATGACAAGGAAGAGCATGGATGATCCCGGCAGGCCACCTGGCGTTGTGCTCAGCGCTGCTACCTCGTTTTGGCTCCCGGTTACTCCTAAAACGGTGTTTGATTTCCTCAGAGACGAGAATTCTAGAAGCGAGGTACGATTTGTGTAATAGATTCTTGATTCCACCGGCGGCGACGTGTCTCACGTTGTTGTTTGTCTGATACCGTGGTGCAGTGGGATATCCTCTCCAATGGCGGTCTGGTTCAAGAAATGGCCCACATTGCTAATGGCCGCGATCCGGGGAACTCTGTATCTCTCCTTCGTGTCAATGTAAGCCGAGAATCAGATATTTTTTCAATAATTGGATCGATCGAACTGATTCATTAAAGTTTCCGAAACGTGGGACTTTTGCAGAGCGCGAATTCGAGCCAGAGCAATATGCTGATACTGCAAGAGAGCAGCACCGACTCGACGGGGTCGTACGTGATTTACGCTCCGGTGGACATTGTGGCGATGAATGTCGTGCTTAGCGGCGGCGACCCTGATTACGTGGCGCTCTTACCATCCGGGTTTGCGATTCTTCCCGACGGTCCAAAAAGCCACCCCGGCGGCATCCCGGAGGTCGGCTCCGGCGGGTCATTGCTGACGGTGGCATTCCAGATTCTGGTCGATTCTGTGCCGACGGCGAAGCTGTCTCTGGGCTCAGTCGCCACTGTCAACAGCCTTATCAAATGTACTGTGGAAAGGATCAAAACTGCAGTCCTCTGCGACGTATCAGCTCCGTAGCCAAAGGTAGACGACGACTATTATTAATTATTTATAAAAATTAATTAATTATATATTAATTCAATTTATATATGTTTGCAGCTGTGGAGTGGGAATTGATAGGAAGGATTTGTTTACATGAGAAAGTAGGGAGAGAGCAACTTGGGAAGAAGTCAAGAACGAACCTTGGTTAAACCTCGCCGGCCGGAATCTTGCCGGCCGGCGAGGGTAACGGTGGGGTTCGGGTATTGACTCCGCCTAGCTCCTATAAGTCAACGTAGACAAAGACCTTCGTTCGATTAATCTATCGTCGTCGTCGACTTAATTAATTGTATCCAAAACCCTAACTCTTTTGCATCTTTCAGTTTGACTTTGACTTTGACTTGTCTTTCATTCGAGCAATCGAATCTTCTGCTTCTGTTGTCAATCCTATCAGTAATTTCTCTTTTACTATAACTTATATTCATCTGATTTTGGCTGATTTTAGTTAATTTGGATATAGCTCAGAATTATCGGATACGAATGTATTTATATACTACAGTTTTTTAGATTGTTATGAAAAAGTTATTTGGTTCCCAGTAAAAAATATTACTACCTCTGTTCACGGCACCGTAGATACTGTATTTTAAAAAAATATGTAATTAATATATAAAATAAGATTAAAGTGTATAATTATTTTAAAAAAAGGAAAATGATATGATATGTGGGACGAAAGGAGTATTTTATTTTTATATTTTTTATTATAAAAAATAATTATTAATACTTATTTTTATTAAATTTCATGCTCAACCAAATAGATATACAATTTTTTTAAGTACGATTGGAAAATTACTATCCAAAATGGCAAGTACCAAACCAACAACTTTATCAATTGTCCTCTCTCTGTCAATGCATTTCACTTCAATAATTGCACTTTTTAAAGTTGGAAGCCTTCATAAAGAGTAAAATATTGGCAGTAAATTAAATGGTTAATAGTCGGTTAACAAATCATTTTATTTTTATGGTATGACAATTCAATAATTGAATTATTATTTCCAAAGTTCAGTAAAGTTGTTGAATGTCTAACATCCTATTATTAAGACTGTAAAAAAACATTTTCCTTCGTTGAGAAATAAATCAATAATTCCATTCCTAACTTCTTTGAAGTTAGTGGCAAAAAAAAAAAAGAGGGTTCCAAAATTGAATCATTCTACATATATATATATATATATAATCATTCATATATTATATTCTATTTATTAAATATTTTAAGTTTTAGTATATAAAATTTCATACATGTTGACAATGATCTAGTAGGTAAGACTGCATTCTATCTTCTCCATTTATATATATGTTTTACTATACAACATTTTTAATTTATTTTTAAAAATATTACGTTCAAAATTTATTTTTCAGTAACTATTCTACCTCAGATATTAAAAAATTATACTAATATTTATAGTCAAAATAAATGTTGGGCCTAAGAGTTGTAGGGGACCAAAACATTTAGAGCCCCAACGTATTCAGGGCCCAACTAAACATGAAATTGGCCCAAACATCAAATCAGATCCCAACCTTTTGAATATTGAAACACATCATCGTAAAACTATGGCTTTGCTTATTTTATTTATTATTGCTTATCGGTTATTCAAATCTATTCTCATTTTTTTTTGTCATTCAAATTTATTCCTGTTTACTCTTTTAGTAAAACAATATCGCTTTTCTTTACCAAAAAAAAAAAAAAAGTAAAAATTTCTATTTTTATATATTTTTCTTAAAATCCGTATCCAGTCAAATGAGTACACAATTGGATAACGGAGAAAGTATTTTCTGAGGTTTGTTATTTAAACTGTACAAAATATATTATCCTATTTAAAAATTATCACATTCAAATCAACATACAAATTAAAACTAAAAACTAAAATCAAACCCTCTTTTTTTTTTTTTCCTTTTTTTTTTTCTTTTTTTTTTTAATGACGTGACAAAACCCTCTTTTCTTTAAGGTCAAGTCTTTTAGTTACATACTGATAATATTCATCTATTATTTTTCTCCCTAAAAGCACAAAATGAATGTCTAGATAGCATGACTGACTGTATTTTGTGAAACAAGAGCACGTACTATTTATTTATTTATTTATTATTATTTTTTAAATTGGTGTCTAAAAAGATATATCTACTGTTCTATAAAAATATATTTGATATATTATAAAATATGTATTGTGCTTTATAGTAAAATATATACCGTAATTTATAGAAATATATTTGTTGTTCTATATAACATATATTATTCTCTATACTATTTTGTAAATTCCTCAAATAGCATTAATTCTATAAAAATACCGGTAAAGAAAAAAAAAAAAAAAACATTTTAAATATAGTGCATATTATGTAAACGATTGACTGATGCTTATAAGATTTGAATGATACCGTCTAAAAAAAATCAATATAATACTGATTTTTTTAAAACAACATTGTAGCAGCATGTTTTAACAGCGGATAAAGTTATGCAATAATAGTATGCTACCAAGTTAGATAAGTATATTGTGATGATATTACTGCAAATAACATATTATTTATATTAACTTAATATAATTATATTACATAAATTAACAATATATGATATATTTTTATATTAACATATGATACCGTTGATTCTATTAATGTTGTAACTAAATTAGGGTGTGTTTGTTTGGGGGATTGGATTATATTTTTTATTTTTTATATTATACTAAAAATCAATTTTACATTCAAAACATCACATCAGCACATATTTATATCACATCATACAACTATTCAAATTCAAAATTTTTACTATTCAAATCCCAACTTAAAATCCAAACCCCAAAACAAACACACACTTGTATATTTTATCTATTTAAATTATGTGAAGTAAATTAATTATTTAAATAACGCATAAATAATTTGTCACACACATTTATTTGGTTCGTATTATTTTACACTTTATTTGTTTCAAATATTTTGCAATATAATATTTTTTTACATGTCCCAAATATTCTGTAATATGTTTAAAATGGAAAATAATTAGATATAATTAATTAATTTATATACCACATTTTATCCAATTACATTATTCAATAAAAAAAATAAATATTTTATCATATTATCTAATTCTCAAATTATTCTACTTAATATTACTCATTTAAATTCTAAATTCTCATATCTAAAACAAATATTACATTGAAAAGAATATTAAATAGTCATTTTAATATAAGGTTGCTTATTTTTAAAATTTTAAAATTTAATTAAACTATTTATTTATATAAATTATTATTTAAAATTATTCATATTATATAATAAATATATTTAATAATGCACTTTTTAATTATTTACTAATTGTATTTCCTGTAAAATTTTGTATCTACAATAATGTGAGTAATTTTCATGGGACAGATAAGTATAAATGTGTAATGATTTTTTACTTGTAAAGAAAATAATAATATTTTTTAATGACAAATAAATAAAGAAAAGTAAGTATAGATTCGTAAAACCGAAGAAATATTTTTCTATAGTAATTTTGTATTTTAAATATTTTTATTTGTATTATTATAATTATTTTAAAGATAATATAGAAATTCCATGTAATATTTATATAAGAATTATTATTATTATTATTTAAAAAAAAAAAACTTAATCATTGTATTGAGACTTTCTAACGTAAAAAAAAGAGCCGTGAGTGTAATTCGTTTACATATTGAGGGTCATGTTATTCATGATCTCATGGTGCCACGTATGTAGCGGTAACAAATTAGCACGTGAAAAATAATGTGCACTAGCGTCAACTCATATCCACATCCACATGTTTTAAATGCTATATGTAGGTACTAGACTAGGGTGGACAGCAAACTACGACCGTCGATTCCATTTCTATATTTCATGCTTCAGCAAACTACGACCGTTGATTACATTTCTACATCATACTTATTTCATAGTACTTCATTTGTTCTGTCTTAGATGATTCATTTTATTTTATTTATTTATTTTTATGAATTATACTTTTATTTTAAATAAATTTAATTAACATGTTAACTTGTTACACGTACGATTTATCCAAACTATTTTTATTTTTATTTATATTTTAAAAAAATTATTTTTTACAAAATTAATTATAAATAAATAAATATATTTGTTTATTTATTTGTATTATATTTATTATCTACAAAATTATAGTAACTCCCTTTGTTCCAAATCAAATGTGCTATTTGGAGTTTTATAGTAGATTAAGAAATACTATTCATTATATCATACTTAATTTGTCTACTCTTTTTATATCCGTCTGTCCCACATAAATTATCTCTTTTTTATTTTTCAAAATATAATTATATATCATTATCACATTTTAAAATTCATAATTTTTTATTTTTTATTTTAATTAAACTATTTAATTATCTTAATATATAATTATTTTTATTATATCATAATTATTTTTACTAATTAAATAATATCTAAAACTCCAGGACGGAGAGAATAGTATTTTATTAGTTAGTGAAAGTACGTAAAAATTATTGACATTTTTATCTTTGGACTTTATATATAAATTAATTGTACGTGTAATGATATGTTTGTAATTTAAATAAAAGTTATGAGTATTTTGATATTAGTATATAATTATTATTTTTTAAAATAAAAAAGTGATATATTGAAGTGAAGCAGATGGAAATAGCAAAAAAATACTTTGAACTGAGACGGAATGAAAATTTAAATATTCCATTCAAAATAATTATTTTTCATTTCAAAAAATAAATCTAAGTAGTAATTAAATTTAATATTTTATTAAACAAAATAATGTATTTAAAAAAATATATCAAACAATTTAAAAGGTGAGGAAGAACAAATTATGTGGTCCCTAATTCATCAAAGCAGCAATGAAAACATTTGGTCAAATACGTTTTTAATTATTGTACTTTCAATGCTAAAAGTAAAGAAAAAGTATATTAGCACGATTAATGTATTTTCTTTTATTTCCTCGTCTCGACATTCTATTCAAATGTTTCTTTCTACATTATCAAATATTTCTTCCAGACTGTCTCACAATTATCTTTTTTTCGTTATTAAACTTAACATTAAAAATATTTTTATATTTGTATAATCTTTTGTACAGATATCATTATAATAGTATTATAAGACACTAATAGAAGTATTTTTGTTATTTTTCTTTAATTTGTACTATATTTTAATATAACAATTAATATTCAAATATCAACACGCAAAAAGTAAATGAGACTCTTGGAGCCGGACGAAAGTTGTAGTAAATTGTACTCCCTCCGTCTCATATTTATCTATCCATTAACTTTTTGCACGAATTTTTAAAAATATCAGTATTACATTGAATTTAGAATTTAAAAATAGATGTAGAAACACTAAATTATCATTATTAGTTATGATAATATGACCGTGAAACCAAATCAATGCAAGTTAGATTACACTCTG